TCCTCTACGCCAACCAAGGTAAGCTAGTCGAGGCGGAGAAGATGTACGTTCGAGCGCTGCAAGGCTGCGAGGAGGCACTTGGACTAGATCACATATCGACACTTAATACGGTCAACAATCTAGGCGTCCTCTACGCCAACCAAGGTAAGCTAGTCGAGGCGGAGAAGATGTACGTTCGAGCGCTGTAAGGCTGCGAGGAGGCGCTTGGACCAGATCACATATCGACACTCAATACGGTCAACAATCTAGGCCTCCTCTACGCTAACCAAGGCAAGCTAGTCGAGGCGGAGAAGATGTACGTTCGAGCGCTAAAAGGCTACGAGGAGGCACTTGGACCAGACCACACATCGACACTTAATACGGTCAATAACCTAGGCGTCCTCTACGCCGACTAAGGTAAGCTAGTCAAGGCGGAGAAGATGTACGTTCGAGCGCTACAAGGCTACGAGGAGGCACTTGGACCAGATCACATATCGACACTCCGTACGGTCAACAACCTAGGTACCCTCTACGCCGACCAAGATAAGCTAGTCGAGGCGGAGAAGATGTACGTTCGAGCGCTGCAAGGCTACGAGGAGGCACTTGGACCAGATCACATATCGACACTCCATACGGTCAACAACCTAGGCAACCTCTACGCCGACCAAGATAAGCCAGTCGAGGCGGAGAAGATGTACGTTCGAGCGCTGCAAGGCTACGAGAAGGCACTCGGGGTCGAGCGTATCTCGTCATATCTGCCAGCGTTAAACACTATATTCGCCTTTGGTGACCTCTACGCGCAAACAGACAGAACAGATATAGCGAAAGAAATGTATACTCGAGCATTATCGGGTTATACAGCCGTCCAAGGACCTTCCTCGAAATGGTGTAGTGAAATTCAAGGTCGGCTTCAGGCTTTGCAGCTCACGCCGAGTGAGAGTGACACTCAACATACGCCTACTGAGTCTGGAAAACCCGGAACAAAATCTCGTCTACAGAAACTTTCCCACAGATCGAGAAAATGACTAATGAATGGGACTTCCGATGTCGATCCTCTCTTATCACCCTTCCTCGCAGCAGCCCCGGTCATCGAACGGGTCGCCTCCATATAATTAAATAAAAGGTTTAACCGGAGTCTCTTACCCTTCCGGAAGTATTAACGCCAATTACGCAGTTATTTTTCCACAATACCCCAATCAATGTTAGTTTGATCGAATCTTTTGGTTAGATCTCGCTACGAACGTTCCGTAACTGAGATAACCGCAGTCATATCCTCGGAGCGTACACCTCGACTTCTAGGGAGCTTTTTCTATAATAGCTCCTCGAGCTAGGCTTTCAAGATAAGTCGCCAGTAACAACCAGGGGCTAGTAACACTTCGGGCTCGGTATCCTTTGAGATCGCTTTACCGTTGAACGTCACTTTCCACTCGGTCGAGTAGCGCAGGTAATCTGGAAAATCGCTCCCCTATGTCTGGGTTCTACTCCCCCCTTGCAAAAACCTCGAGGTCGATGGGGATGGGTTATGGCACTGGCTTACTGCCGGTGGGATGTTATTCACTGTCACACAGGGTGTGACGCAGTCAGGAAGAGGAGTTACAGCGGTTCCGACACTCGTTACGCTTTCTGAAAACTGGGTAGAATTCTGCGGACGCCCATTACTGGAACTTGAACAAGTCATCTAAATTGACCGCTTCATCCATAGCGTCGGGTCGTGGCGTTAAAGGTGATGGAGTGATACGTTGTCAATTTGATGAAGTTGTGGTGGCGGAGGTCCCAAGTCTGGTCTCGCGTCAGCAAAAGTGAGCGTAGGGTGAGCAACTGCACAACTCGAATAATGTCTTTGCTAGTATCTTGTCCATTGCAAAATACCCGTGTTCATGTTTACCATCTGTTCAAGAAACATTCACAACATTCGAGTCCTCTTGTCTAGAGTAAGTACAGTAAACCTCTCAGAGTCCAACTCGAAGGCCGCAGGCCACTGATACCGCTTATGCTCCAGAACCAATTTATTCTCTTCTCTTTCATCAGCCTGGCAAATCGCACATGCCCACATTTGAGCAATCGGCCTTGCTCTGAACAGCACGAACACTTCTGCATTGTTCACCGACAGACAGCCTTCAATCTGTTCAGTCTCGGAGGCACGACCAATGCTAACGGCGTGAGCGGGAGTTGCAGCAGCACATGATTTTGAGCTGTGAGAGCGATCGCTAAGTCAGGTCTGCGCATCAAGAGAAAACAGCGATTCAGATATGTTGACGAGACTGTCGAAAATAGCCAGACACCATTGCGGTGTTCCAGCTCAATGCGGCGGGGGCTGTCGCACTTTGCGGGTGTGCTCAAGGAGAAGAAGGTGCTGCTTCTCGCAAGAGCTACGCACGCCGATGAGAGGAGGGAGGTTGCGTTTCCTACTGTACAGTATCATGGTCAAAAGGTAGGGAATGTTTTGCTCTTAAGTTGTTTCGTCAGAACGATCAGAACTTTATCGCTCCAACAGAAAATTCTCCCTTGACCCGGTCGCAGATCTGCGGCTGATATAAGCTGTGGTGGGAATAGCGGCCTAGGTGAATACGAGTTGTTGCGCCTTCGAACTGGCAGCAGTAGTAGCTTCGAACTAAATCTTAAACTGGGGAGGGAGCGAAAGGTCGTTGGGATGGGACAGCATTGAAGCACCGGCAATTCACGTGGCTACATACTCCATATTCCGATGGCTTTTTGGAGGCCCCCGGGTTCCGTGCAGCATTCCAAGGCCTCATCAATACGTGGTTTGTAGCGCGAAGAAATGCCGGGCCAATACATTCCATGTATTACCGAATAATCTTTCAGTATGCGCGTGGTATTGGAAATACCATAGAGAGATCCCACACCTTCGTGTGGTGCAAATCAGCAAGAAGGCTACTACAGATTAATTTTAGCTCTAGCCGCTAATACCTTAGCCTCTCTGGGATAAAATCACAATGTGTCCGTAAAGGGGGAGGGCGGTTTCGGGAAGCTCTGTATCACGATGACAATCCGTTCAACTCACCAAGAGGGATTATTATGGGTATTGAATAGTCCCCCCACAACCTATTATCGAGGGACGCTCTCGCCGGCGTGGACAAGGTAACGTACATCTCCTGCTGCTCTTCTCAAAACTTTCCAACGAGACAGCTCGTCCCCTACAAAGCTCCGGTCGTTTCTTCTCTAAACTTCTTCGTTCCCAACTTGCTCGTGTCGTATCCGTGCTCCTCCAAGTATCGTTTGAACCGCTCGTCCTCTTCCTCAATCATGCCTTGGCCGACGTTGGGCAAGCCCACAAACGCCACCACCGCGCTGAAGATGCACAGACTGCTGCTGACCCAGAAGGGATATTGCCCTTGCTTGACCGTGTCGCTACCTGCAGCATCGATCAAGAGCGGAAACACATAGGTGCCGACAAATGCGCCCACTTTCCCCCACGCCGCGGCAATGCCGTAGAACTGTCCGCGGATCGGCGTGGAGGAGAGTTTGGACGCGAAGAGGCCAATGTTGTCGCCCGGTCCGACTTCGCCCAGGGCCATGAAGATACCAGTCAGGATGATGAACCCGGCAACTCGAGAGGGGTGGTTCAGCTCCGAATAGGCGCCCGTCATGGCGAAACCGACGATGCCTTGCAACAAGACACCCGAGATCAGGCACCATTTGGGACCAATCCAATCAGCCAGGAAAGCACCGAAGAAGGAACCTGGAATCCAGAAACTGCAGAGATCTGTTAGCCCGTCTACCGAACCTGGGCCAAAGCGCGACGACGTTGATCGATCCGCCTGCACAGAGAGTTTCACAACCAGAGGACTCACCTGTTGATCGCTGTAGCCATCCCAAAATTCTTCCACAGCGGTGCGTCGGTAGGGAGGATAAAAACCAGCCAGGCTGACGAAAAGATGCCAAAGGAATAGGCCGAGAAGTTCTGCGTCCCGGTCAGAACCGTCCAGTGGCGGAATCAACGATCAGACTTACATAGACAAACCAGATGATTGAAATGACTGTACATCTCCACCAATAGAACTTCACAATCAGCCACACGGGGAATTTGTTCATCTTGTTGCGGTGGTACTGTTCCGGTTCTTGAAGCTTGATTCTGGGGCATGTCAGGAACAACGGCGACACCAGATACGACGGGGTTCAGCTCACCGGAGGTAAAGCAGACTCAGAGGTGGAATCGCGCCTAGTGCCAGACAGATTCTCCAGGCTGCGCGCAGATGGTTCTCACCAGTCGCAAGCACCACAATCATGGGGACGAATGCACTGATGACGAAACCCAGATCAATCTGAAAGTCGGTGGCCAGGATGAACCACCGATTGCGATGGCCTTTCTTGAGTTCGCCCGTCGATTCGGCAGCTCCAACTGATCCAGCAGGACTTTGCGCACGTCAGTAAATCTTCGCGGAGGACGGAAACCACAGTGCCTTACTATTCCCCTCCAATACCCAGGCCGATCAGGAAACGGTAGGCTGACAGAGCGGCGAAGAGACCTTGCGTACTGCCACCGGCTCCGTAGGCGCCCGCGCAGAGGATCGAGAAGATGATGAGAACTATCCGCCTCCATTAGCACCGATGTTTGACGGGATTATATCCACGACAGGTCATACTGAAGGTAGAAATGAGCAACGTGTTGCGGCGAGACCAATGGTCGCTCAGGACGCCAAAGAACAGATGTCCCACCACCGTGCCGGCAAAGGCGATACTGGGGACAGCGCTCTTATACGACGACTTGGAGTACTGGTCACCGTAGATGAGCTGGAGCATTGTCGACACCGAGCCGATAACACCGTTCAGATACCCGTCAGAGAAGAGCCCTGCTCCGCAAGCGATCACTGGCCACGATCGCTCCCATCGCCCTTTAGGCACTTCGCCGAGCGGTACAGCGTGGGCCGCGATATCCCGTTCGTGATCTGCATCGTACTCCTGAGAAGCAGGGAGCTTTCCCTCCTGGAGCTGTTTCTCGTAGTCCATTTCGCCAGGTCACAGTTTGGGAACGGTTCGAAAGTCTGCAGTCGAAATCCCTCAAAAGGCGCGTTGAGGGTGGAAACTGGAGCTGATGGCGTCTCCATCCCAGCTGCTGCACCGGCCTGCATTATATTGTTCTTTTGAGGTCGAGATCGACTTCCCGAGGCGGCGTCTCTCGCCAGTGCCACCTCCATGCTGCAGAGATTTTTTTCCGACGATAGCTTGATGCAGCATTGAGTGGCATCGAACCCAAAGAGGAAGGAATACTGCACGGTGGATTGGTGCCGGCCAGCCAATGATGACGGGCGATTAACGCACATTGTTGAACGGACCGCAATACCACGAACAGCGACTTCGCCTGCGGCAATCCAACTTCAGCCCGATAGGTCCAAAGTCCATGATAAGAGGACTCTCACGTGGTGAGTTCAGCGTCGGAACCGTTGGAACGCTCTGCAAATGCATACCACACGTGGCAGATACTATGGGCTAAGCGACCACGCCCTCGCCAGAGCATTTGCCTCTGCGGCAAGACATGGCCTCGCAGGGCAAGGAATCTCATTCTAGAATCGGTCAGGCCACGGATTCGGCCGACGGCTGGTCATTCTGGGCCAAGGCTATTGGATGCCCGTTTATCATTGCTTGTGGGCTTTGTCTTCAGGACAACCCGGAAGAATCCTCCCGTCTTCCAGACGCTAGTCATAGTAGTTCTGGACTTTCACTCCCTTGAAGTTGAAAGAGGTCCCTTCACGCTTCTCAATCACTGTCTTGTGATGTACATCCTTGACTCGCGCCCGCACGTACTCGGTTCCTGTCGGGACTGGTTTGTTTGGGTCCTTGTCTTCCTCCGATAGCAGGCCAAGACGCTCAAGGAGGGGTGACGGGACGGTCCTCATAGGAGTCCTCGCTCCAGGGCGACTGAAATAGAGCAAGCCTAGACGGGGGATATGCATTTGATCTTTGGGGGGCGTGACGACCCTGTGTACTGTTGATTTGATGAAACCTGTGTTTTCCTTCAGCGACCTCGACATTTCTGGATCGATGATCGAGTCTTACCGTTTGTAAGGAACGACAGCGTGTCGGCTGCATTACAGGTGATACCTCCTTCAACCGGCTTCACCCACTTCCATTGCCCTTCAGGCGTCCGGATCTGCAAACCTGCGACGTGCTGTGAGAAGAGTAGGGTGAGGCTACCAAAGTCCGTGTGGCCGCCCTTGGTATATGCTTGAGCCTTGTCCCATTCGTCCTGGGTTCTCACATTGTAGATCATGTACCTAAGGTGATCATCCGACTCTCCGTCGTAGGCATGTGCGTCCACGAAATAGTTTTCTGGTAGTTCGAGAATAATGGCAATAAGCACATATAACTTTCGAAGCACCTTGTCCCATAATTCCCGGTGGAATGCCGAGATCTCGTCCCAGTTTTCGCGGACAATTTGGTGCTTCGGCACATTCTCGTACATGGGGATGGGCTTTTGGATGTTAAGCTGGACAGGATGAGCTTGCTTAGTGTTGACTGTGGTAAAGAACACACCATCTCAACGTTCTCCTTGACGCCACTATCTCCAACCCACCGCGAGTTCTCCCTATAGCCGAAGTACTCTCCTTCGGCAAAGTTGCACGGGAAGAAGCGCTTTTCTTCGATCGGTTCCTTGAAGAAGGTGTTGCCGATACTGAATTGGCGGAGCACCTTACTATCGTCGATGCCCGTATTGACCACAGTCCAGAAGCCGACTCGAGTGACAGCATCATAAAGTTGTTTGGCCAACTCTTGTTTGCCCCCTGCCTCATCAAAACGGGATAGGTCGATGGTAGTAAGCGGAGCCCAATCAAGCTCCTCTTTCGTATACTGTGGCCGATTCCAAGGCTTGATCAAAAGCTGCTTGGCTGGCTGTGCCGGCGATTCGGTTTCAATGGCAGATGGCGCCATTTTCGGGCGTGTGCTGCAGTACTGTCACGTTTAGAGAGGTGTCTTGGTTCACGGAGCACGTCAGACGTTTCAGTCAGATGGCGTGGGAGATGGTGCTTAAAAGTCAGACGGACGATCATGCCCTTTGAGATGCGGGGTCGCAGTGAACGGGGGACTCCTTGCTCGAGCTCTCACCAAGGGCTGGACATGATTGCGTGCTTCCGTCGCGGTAACGCGTGCTACGAGACCGGAGGAAGCGATTGACCACGACCCGCTCCCCCAAGATTGTCTTGGACTTCTCCAAACGTCACGCATCTCCTCTTGGGATAGGTAGGCCTCCTCTTTGTGCCTACATTGCCTTGCGGCAAGCCGAGGTTCAATTCATGGAACGCTTCGGGGTGTGAGGGTAAAGCTGAGATTATTGATTCGCTTGCACTGAAGGAGGGGAAATGTTAACCTCTCAGGCCCGGCCAGTGAGAGCGGTGCAATTTGCCTTAGATCTCTGGTTGTTACTGAGATAGATGTGGCAGGAGATAGCAAAGAAAACAGAATTGCTAGTCGCACGTGCAATGTTTGAGATGTTTGCCGATTTTGCACCGTTTGTAAATCCGTTCCGGTGTAGAAGGAGGACCGCCGACTTTTCAGAGAGCTGATTCCAGTGTTACAACCAGGTCAAATCGTCCAGGCTCGCAAATTGCAGCTCATTCTATCTTCTTATTCTCGTCTTACTTCGTCCAGAGTACAGCTCCCCCCGAAATCTTATTCTGACTCAATGGATTGTCGCTGCCATCCTCACCGACGGTCTTACTCGTGTACCCAACTATCTCGTTGAAACCGACCTTCAGGTAGAAGGCTTCCTTGCCCTCCGCGGCGACTACACAAACCGGAAGGTCTCCAGCCGGGTCCTCCTTCGCCCTCAGCAGTCCTTCCCCAACAAGTTCCCTACCATATCCCTTCCCTTGATGATCTGGATGAACACCTAGAACCTCCAATGACCAACGTATTTGCCGATGAGGTGCACCAAAAAAGTGGCCGCAGAAAGGACGTATCCGGGGCACGAAATTCCAGATGGTGATGGGATCGGGATCTATTATGGTTGGACGAGCCGCCGCTTTGTTGGGCCAAATGCATCGTCGCACCCGATACAAAGTTGACAATGCAGGCTTTATCAAGAGACCTGGCATCGAAAAGGTTAGAGGACATGCCCTGTGAGTGCAAAAGACACTACTTACGAAGATCCCACCATCCCCAGATCCCATGTACGTGCTCCCATTCTTTGCCCACCCGCTCCCACTGGGCGAAACCTGTGAGAGTTTCACATTCAGTCTGCTTCGGTGTTTGACTGGCTAGCAATGTACTCCGTTCGTCCTGGCCCTGTCCCTCGTTCCCATTGCTGGACTTGTACGACACCATGAGGATTTGGTGGAAGTCGTACCACGCGATCAAAAGGTTCTCTCGAGCGGCTTCAACGAATGCTGCTGGGTGCTCCTCTAAGTGAGGGAAAAGGAACCGGAATAAAGGGTCCGACCTGAAGGCTACAGCGTATATTTCCGCCATGACAGGTATGTCGGATCTGGTCGCGGGACGGATCGGCATGATGGCAAACGCACAATAGCAGGTTCAAGCCTGTGCTGGGCTCAAGAGAAACAGTCTTTGTAAGAGCCACCGGTTTCTGTAGCGACAATCCGGTATACTTGTGTGACGCTCAGTCTTGGCCTTTCCCCAGCACATCAAGAGTTAAGGGCGGCTAGAACTGGTGGGTCTGGAATGCAGTAGATGGTAGACATGGCGGGTGTTGAACCCAAGATCCGTGTTTCTCGACTTCGTCCCGAGTGCTTGCTGCGTCCCTTATAGTGTGTTAGAAACCCGGCCTCGCTTTCGTTGGTGCTCACGAATTCCCTGATTGCGCCTTCATGTACGAAGTATGTAAGACTGCGACCAGGAGCTGCGCTAGCCAGTTCGGCTTAGATCTCGTACAGTAACTTACAGAAAAGGTGATCTGTCGGTCAGTGTGTCTGACAACTTTTTGTCGTTACAGTACAATGGTAAGTACCCAGTACCAATTTCTGGTTCTGATATCGAATATTGAGTTGCAAGGTTGGACTATTACACTGAATCTGCCGAGCTTTTTGGGCTTCCTCTCGTCTACTTATCTGAATAGCTCGCTACTTACCTGGTAGATATACTGGGTATATGTCTACTTCTGGCCAACGAAATGCCTAATTTGCCACTTATCGTTTGGTCCTCTAGAGCACGCTGACCACGGTATACCCAGCAACGAATGTGGACCTCGAAATGTTGTAACGAGGGCACCATGATCTTACCAATCGCCTATTTGTCACGTATGCATCGCAAGCCTATATCTTCCACGTTTGAAATAGGTAGCTAATTAGACCTCCGTTTCTCTCGAGCAGAACCCCGCTGGGTGCCTCCAGTGAACTATAATCTCTGCCGTTGCAGAGACGGGTTGTGGAGCCAAAGGTTTTACCAGCGAGGCCACCTTCAGCGTTTACCAAATTTCCAAGCAATGCTTGAAGAGTCTAAATGGGAGACATGCGAAGCTTGATCAAAGTCCTTTTGATCGCCGTTGCTAACGGAGAACCACCTGCATCTGAAACGTTGGGTGTACTGGGCCTGAACTTAGGCACCCGCGATCCTGCATGATCTTCATGAAAGGAATATCATCATGGAAGGGCACATGTTGTCGCATTAACAGGCTTCGAGCACCTTGAATGGAGCTGCTCTTTACCAATCGAAATACAAAATCCGTCCTTCTGGCTGAGCGCAGATTAATGATGATTTGGACAAGGGAGGCGCGGGAGAAAGGGAAACCTGGGCTGAGAGTGGCTTGTGAAGAATTTCTCCTGATCCTGGGACGAGAAGATGGGAAACTATCTTCGCCATGCCTTCGCGATCTGTTTGTCGACGGCTCACAATCGCATTTGCCCCAACTCATTCTGCATACCCCTTTTGAGTGGGCGTGATTTCCCAATGTGCGACGGCCTTGCCCGATTTGGCGAAGACTTGGCCATATTGCGATTAGCTCGTCGTTGAAGCGAACCGCGTATCGGCTACTGAAGAACTATTTCCCAGATCTGGCCCAGACAGAATCTCCACGACTGGAGCCGTGACCACGCTTTGTCTCATGCTCAGCTCAACGCCTGCCTGGGTGGGTGTAGATCTGTGAATGCTGTGGCCAACTTTCGTGGCGTCGAAAAGCGGTAGCTGAGGTAAGGTTTGAGGATTTGCCGCTGGCCTTTGTTCTCTGGTGTTCGACGGAATTGAAATTCTCTGCTTGTCCTCCCAACTCCCAAGCTCTTGTCTCCTTCGACCTTCGTCGACTTTGATTCTGGTGTTGTCGCTTGTTCTCGGTGACGGCGTCCTTTTGCTTTTGGTGACAATCGTCACCGTCCGTTCATTTAACAGACATCTTCGATATAGTGTTCTGGGAATGAAGGCTGCGCTTTTTACTGCCGCCTTCTTGTGGCGGATTGGGTTCGGCCATGGTCAAAACCTGAACGATTGGGACGACAATGCTGTGGTGACCACTACTATTACCAACACCCATTTCATCTGTCCTTGCACCACGGTCTCCCTGGTAGCGCCCGAACACCCTTTGGCTACCTCGCACGCATCAGAGTATAGAGGGCAGCATGGTCATACTTCTCCTTCTCCAGCCGACACTACGACGAGAGCCAAAACAGTTCCACATCCTCATCACTCGCCCAGTACCCTCTCGCCCGCAGGTGATGAACAAACATGGGTAGATTGGGACACTGCGTCTGCTCCGGTTTCCAGTACTTCCAGCAACGGTTGGAGCCTGTCTCCATCAACGAGTTCCCTGACGAGCATTTATCACAGCACATCAACAACGCATTCAAGGTCTTATGCTGGAAGTCATTCTACTCCACTGAGTTCTCTGCCTAGTATATCGACCTCGTCAACGACGTCAATCCGCACTCACTCATACCCTACTTCCTCCACGAGTCTGTCCTCCACGAGCCTGATCACTTACCCTACTACGCATTCAAGACCAACCTCGAGCACCGCATATACAACGTCATCCACTACCCTTTCGACAACATCGACGATCACCAGCACGACGACACAGAGCATAGCTTCTTCATCGAGCTCTACAAGCTCCAGCTTCTCCTCAACTTCGACCTCGACCTCGACCTCGACTCCAATCTCAATCTCAACGTCAACGTCAACGTCAACGTCAATTTCGACCTCGACCTCAACATCTACCTCAACATCAACCTCGACCTCGACCTCAACTTCAACGATTAGCTCTACGTCGACCATCACAAGCAGTTCAACGACTTCAACGTTGACTACAACGTCGACAACTTCGACCAGCTGCCCAACAAGCACTTGCGCAACTGTAACACAGGTATAATCCCCGTGACTTAGACATAATGGAATATCATGGAGAGTCCACACTAATATTGGCAGGATGTCGATGTTGTCACTGACGGCGGCTTCGAGGGTGTTGATAACGGTGTGACACTTACAACCGGTGTGACAAGTGGTGGCTGGACTGTCGGCGGTTCAGCATATTTCGACTTCAATGGCAGTCCCAATGGTTATACCACGCCCGACGACGAAAAATTTGTGTACGTGTTCCCTGGGCGTGACTTGAAATGGCTCTTCGTGCCTTTTCTTTGTTGTCCGCTCTTCTCCAACACGATTTCATCACTACTCATGCTGACGGCTCTGCACACAGCGTATTTCCGGGTTCGAACACTGTAACTGCAACTGTTTCTCAAACCATCGTCAACCTTGTTCCCGGTACAACCTATGAACTGAGCTTCGACTACAGCATCCCATACTCTACAGCAGTCAACGATGGAGTCGCGAATTTTTGCTATTTGACTGTCAGCCTAGGTGGCCAAACTGTACCAGATCTTATCGGATTTCTCGGGGAAGCGCAACCGGCATGGGGCGAAATTCGGGATGTTGACTTGGTTGCGGAATGTTCGGAAGAGATTCTTACTTTCAGCTGGGACTGTTCTGGTCTGGAGGATGGAATGGAGACTGATTTCGCGATCGACAACGTTAGTTTGGAAGGAGCATATTGTGCTCCGGCAGATCCTGCCTCCTCCTCTACAACGACTTCTTCGACGACTTCTTCGACGACATCTGCGCCGTCTACCTCTTCCACCTCGTCGTTAACCACCGCTTCATCCTCGTCTAGCAGCACGTTCACAATCCCCACCACGACGCCGATAACGACGACGACAACTACAACTTCCACAACCACCACCACCACCACCACCACATCATCGGGACCAACATGTGCCGCAACGGGACTCGCAACTGGCAGCTGCCCCTCCCAGTCGTCCACATTCGTCACAAGCAATGGCGTAATCTTCCAGAAATACTGCGACACGTATTACTTCGGCAACACGCCTGTACAGATGAACGGGAACTTCCAGGGTGATTACGGCGCCTGCGCGGAGCTGTGCTCGCAAAACCCCGAGTGCACATCGTTCGTTTATGAGACGCCTGGGGATGGTATCCCATATGACTGCGATCTGTGGAGTGGACCGCTCACAAACGGGTCGCCTTCGTCGAGTAGGGGCAACTTCGACACGGGTGTTGTGGTGCAGACATGTCAGTAGCTGTCGTGCTACCATTGGCGAAGGGCAGGCAACCACGTGGTCTGCCACTCTCCATTGGTCTCAAAGTGGTACGGCGTTGGTGATACTGCATAATGCCCGCTAAGCTTGTTCGGTACCAGCGCGGTTGCCTCGTTGACCACCTTCCTCTTCCCTTGGATATTCCTTTCAAACATCTTTCTTGGGTTGTTTTACTGTGCTTCTATTGAGAGAATGTTCTACTGCGACAAGCCATTAAAGCGCACTTGGTGCATCCTATATCAAGCTGCAGAACTCTTCCATGTGACTCAACTTCCTCCCCGCGAGTTGCCTCAGCTGTATGGATCCTATCACCGCGTTGTCTCTTGCCTGTAATGTCATACAGCTGGTCGAGTGCTCCATTGAGACTGTCCAGGTCTGCAAAGAGCTGTACCACAATGGTTCCATAGACGAACACAACAGGATAGAAAAGTACACTGCAGATATCACAGCCACGAATAAAGATCTGCAGGCAGCCTTGGGCACTGGGGCTCCAGCAAGCAGGCCGCTAAAAATTGAACGTGCGGCCCAAGATGCCTTAGCAACCGCCAATGAACTCAGAATCATCCTCAACCGCCTCAAGCTGTCCAAGTCGCAAGGCATTCGCAGACTCGGGGGCGCGTTCAAAAGCACTCTCAAGACTCTTATAAGCAGTGGGAAGATCAAGGCGCTGCAAGAGAAACTGGAAAAGCAAGAAGCAGCTCTTAGGTCTAGCCTTCTCAAAGATTTATAGTGAGTGCTTATCTCTCGTCAACTCTCGTGTTCAGACCGTGTCCCTGTCACCATACGCCAGCGACACCGATTCCTTGGGGTTCACCGCGATAATTCTCCCTTACATCATCCGGCTGGCTGACTGTCATCCAAGCATCAAAGCGGGTCGAAGCGATTTGGCCCGGCAGAGAGACTTTCAAAGCCTCTCACAAGGTCAGAAAGACATCATCATCCAAACCTTGGAGGCCTGCCGACTGCTGTCGACCGAAGTCTCCACGTCGATCGGGTCAGCAGAGGCAAGAATTACGGATCGACTGAGTGTACAAGATGCGAAACTCGAAAACAGCGCCAGACAGCAGAATCTCCAACTAGAGATTCTTCGTGATGAAGAATTCGCCCTACGCAGAAGACGCCTTCTCAAGGCTCTTGTGTTCCCTGAGATCAATGAACGCCGCAACATGATAGAGGGTCGAATCGATGACTTCGGAGATACCTATAAATGGATCTTCGAAGACAAGCCTAATGCCAGTAACGATGTCCTGGGGCCGCAATCTGATTTGGATCCTCCACTCGATCCATCGATGAATCTCAACCCGTTCCCGCCTGACTCGCACTCCGATGGGGGCGACGGTGATCTGGAAGTGGGTGTCAACTCACAAGAAACTGGATCTTCGGACCTTGAAGCTGCCCCTCCTGCACAGGCCAGCGAAGTCCGGAGTCTACAGTCCTCAGAGGAGAGACTCGCCGACTCCGAACCCACATTTTATGCAAAGCAGAGCGAGCCATTGTCAGCTATACGTCGTCCTGCACATGCCTTTGCAAATTGGTTAGAGAATGGGACAGGTCTTTTCTGGATTTCAGGGAAGCCGGGCTCGGGCAAGTCCACCCTCATGGACTATATCTACCACAAAATCCAGCCTGAGAAAATTGGATCTGCAATGGTTAGGGCATGGGCGGGCGGTTGTCCCGTCGTCGTTCTCACATTTTGGTTCTTCCGGCCGGCATCTACTCCGTTACTGAAAAGCCTTCAAGGTTTCTGGAGATCGCTATGCTTCCAAATCCTTGATTCAGACACGAAATTGGCGAAAATGATTCGAGAAGACGAAGACGGCAATGTACCCCCAGCTCTGAAGTCTTGTCTTCTACCAGGTGGCTCAAGTGCAGAGTCGTGGACTGATAATGAACTGCAGACGTGGTTCTGGTATATGGTCACACACTCGACTCTGCGCTATTTCCTCCTGGTGGACGGGCTAGATGAAATCGAAGATGGAAGAGAACTTCTCTTGAACACAGTGCTGAAGATGTCTGCCATGAGCCCCAAGCTCAAAGTATGTTGTGCTGGTCGCCCTGAGAACCCGTTTCAGTCCACACTCAAACACCACCCGAACCTACGGCTTCAAGATTTCAATCACGCTGATATTGCGGAAGACTGCAAGAGGCGACTTGGAGGCCGGAAAGCAGAGAAATTCGCTAACCAGATTGCCTGGCGCGCGGAAGGAGTGTTTCTTTGGGCTCATATCATTTCCGAAGACTTGGCCAGAGCTGCCAAAGAAGGGGAAAGCGAAGAAGATCTAGACCTTCGTCTTAAGGACTGCCCTACTGAAATGACCGAGATGTTCAAATACATGCTATTGAAGCAAGATAAACTCTACGGGACACGACCAAAACCTTACCTGCAACTGGTGGATTTCGCCTCACGCATGAAGCAGACCACGACCATGCTTGAACTTCTGATCGCTACTTTGCCACCAGCGCGGTCCCCGAAGTGGTCACAGTTGTGTGGAAAATTCGACATTGAATTCTTGTCATACCTTGAGGAACAACTTGATGGACTCGGTCCTCGTATCGAGGCTACATGTGCTGGCCTGGTCCAATGTCATCGGGAGCCCCGCTCATACCGATATGAGATTCTAATGGAATTCAAACCTATCTTTCCGAGATTAGAAGAATCAGCGGATATAACGGTGGGATTCATTCACCGCAGTGTACACGACTTCCTCCGTGAAGACCAAGGTGGAGCGGCTTATTATCAAAGATTCAGTCTCACCGATGATGAGGCTGCCAGCATGCTTATGGCGGGCGCTGTGAGCCCCCTTTTCTTCAGCAGTGAGAAGCTACTGTCTTCCTATTATCCCTATACGCCACTTTATTATGCACGATCTGTGAGCAAAGACAGCTGGGTTTCTGAAACAATTGCGATCCTGGATGCCTTCTTCAGGCAATGGGAAGTTCGGTGTTTGCCTACACAAGAAGATGAAGCCATATCGGAATTGTTTCTGCCCGTGACTTTGCCTGACCTGTCTCTTTTGGAGAACCTGGTCTTTGGGTTTGCCCCTATGTATTCACTCGATACATATGTGCAGGCCAAGATGATAGAAGCAGATCCAAGCAGACGACATTCCTTGGCAGCCCAGGCGCTTTGCTCGTATCTGGGGACAGGTGTGATCCAATCCCGAGGTGAAATGGTTACAACTCTCTCTCCCTACTTGGACGCTTTCCAAGTGTATCAAATGAATTACCGGGCCATCACTTCTCCATTCTCACTTCTCGAAATCGAAAGCACTGGATATTTATTCGATCATGTCGTTGCAGCCAGGGTATCAGGAATTAGCGGATGGCTTGACCACGAGTTAGACTTCTTACGTCTGCCTTCGGAGTTTCTGAATCCGCATGCAGGTCTAGAGGTTGATAGCTTCGTTGAAGTCTGGATATTGATTTCTTATGATGGCGAAGTTGGCAAAGTTGTTCCAACACCAGATGTTGATTCGCCATACATGAAAAGGCTCTTCAAGGACACCGCCGTTGCCGTTTCCCACATCCAGCCACAAAATATCTTGCGCACAGATATATTGCCACTCAAAATCGTCGAATGGTCCCCTGCTGGCACGACGCGATTTTTTCCCTTCGACGAAACTTTACAGGAAAGGTTTTGCGTGGCCCATTCCAAGGAGTCATGGGACGCGCTTCGACAAGACTTCAGTTTGGCTGCTGCAGAGGGTCTAAATTCATCAGTGGGTGACATGAGCAAAATGGAGCTTGAGGAGATCGAGCTTTGCAACAAGCACTTTCTGTCTATGGACGAGGATAATAAATTTAAAATCGATGCACGAAGCCGTTTCATACTAGGCGAAAATTGGTGGCCTTGGGCCGGTGGGCATCGACCGAAATATGGACCGAACCATTGATGATCCAATTCTCTGCAACCCAATCGGCCTATCCTTGCCATTGATTCCACAACCTGACCTCAATTTACCACTTATAATGGGCCACAAAGATGACGAGAGAGGTGAAGACGTTGTCGCTCCAGGGTGGTCCGCAACCAGGCCGAGAACTCCAATCACCAACCCGGCTCCTTGAAAGTCCACAACACCACTTCGCGAGTTGTTGCAGGACAAGCACTCAGAGGAGTCCCCGGCGACTAGCTGGCCGGCTTTACACGAGACCGGCGCGCGCTCTCAATTGTGCGCGTTCACTCCCTTGGTTCACAGACTAGCTGGATAGAACAATGTCGACTCACAGAGGCAATTAATCAAATTGAACTCGGAGAAAAGTGACCTCCAGAAACCTTTAAGCACAGCGAAGCTCATGTAGGCTGGCACGTACCTCCTTGGTTGCTGAGTATTCGTTGCCAATCTTACAGACTTATTCCCGCTCTTAGGACCTGGCTCGCTACCTAGGGAGGTAGATTGCTCGAGTTACCGTACTCGACATACGTAATTAAAGTACTCACTCTTTAAATAGTCTTCCTATGGAGGACATGAAAAGAACTGTCTGAATGCTTGCGTAAGTCTATCCAGAGCGCAACTAGCTCTCGCCTTTCTGAGAGGCACAGGGGTGCCAAGGCGTTGCGGCTGGTGTGGAGGGCTTGAAAGAAAAGGACTAAAGCTTGCACTTGCATTCCTATCCAGAGAGCACCAGGCTCTCATCTTACTCGACGGGAGCAAGATGGGAGAGACCACATCTATCCGCTTGTAAGGAGGCTTGGTTTCTTCGGTTCCAAAACTGTACCCTGGAGCATGACATTGTAAAGTTTCTGTGTCCTCGAAGAAAGAGAAAGACACCTATACACATATTCGATGTGATGCTATCTCGTCTCTCAAGAATTAGAGCCGTTGTTTTAAGAAGTGTCTCCTCTTTCCGTTGTTCTGCCCTGTCTCGAAATGTGGATACCACTGTCACTCTCACTTTCGCTGCCACTTTCACTCAATGAAATGGAAGCAGTCTTTCCTCCTCTTTATTTCACAACTTCTACTCTCGCTAGCTTCAGAAGATGGGATCTGTTGAAGACACTGGGAGATTCCAAGTAGCCTCCCTGGTTCCAACAGCCTCGAATCAGCCTCTATGCTCTTGCTTTGCTGACCGCCGCACACGATTCCACAGCACTCGTCTGCCGCTGAGACACGGTCGTCCGTCAACTTTGTTGTATTGCCATATCTGTCAGAGATAGTATGAAGAAGTCCACATGCGCAAGTTATAGGTCACGTTGATACGCTACAAACGGATGCTGGTTATTGAAAGTGGCTCGTGACAAGATCCAGGACAACGGATCCTTGGTCGTCAGCTCAACTTTTCAATCGCGCATACGATGTACTTTGCTCCGAAGGTCTCTACGACGTCCCCTTCCTTACAGCTTTCCTCCCACTGCGCTTGCTTCTCTGTTCTATTCTGCAAACCTTTGGCGCGCCTAGGAAGATCTTGAAGATTTTGCTCGTCTCCTGCTTCGTATTTCGTAGTCCATTCGGCTTTTCCGTCATCCCAAATCTCTCTTCTGGCGCAGAACCCCGTCATTCCTGCTGGCCCTTCGCTGCCGCCTTTCAAAGCTAGAAAATCTCCTCCCAGTTGCCCCAGGAAGGTACGACCATCCACGCTGCGCAAGATCCAGGCAGAAGGGAAATGCTCGGTGAAAGACGGAGAGAGAGTCCGCCAGACTTCCTCGTAGGGTGTCATAGTATTGGTTTCCGGGTGAAGCATGCTGCCTGTTTCGATGCTGTCCGTTGATTCGGAGGCTGGCTGGAAGCTGCCAATATCAGGTTCCGTGTATCCCCTCGAATCAATCCAATGCGTCCATTTGCATGTCACTATTACTTGTCTCAGCAGGAAGCCTGATTAATCGAAAGGCGTGCGGGGATACCACCTACAAGGCTCCTGTGACAATATAAGTCTTTCACCAGCCATTGCCCAATCAATTGAACCATCAAGCTTGGTGATGCGAAGATCGACATACCAGCCTTCAACACCAATGATCAATGTATCAGTGGGCTCCGATGCCTCACCTGGAACCCAGCGTATACTGAGGCGAGTCGAAAGGCGCGCGGGCATTTTTAATGGCCTGTAGCACGCACCTAAGAGAGTGTGATGGAGATGCCGAGAGCTGTCTGGATAGGCGTACGATATCGACGGTGACTCGAGCAAAGGGATTGGGCGCTGATGGTCATATAGCTTCCCAAGAGCAGCGTATTGCAAGGGATCCTTTATAGCTTAGACTTCCAGCTGGCTTGGTCACACCCTGACACATTCAGCGACTGGAAGATGAACTGAGATATTGTAGCTGTCGCTTCATCATTCCCTTTCCGGCTTAGTGGTGATGGATTAAAGCTTATCCGTGGTTCCGGAGTAGTCCGCCTCGCCTCCAGGACTTTTTGCTATCCAACCTCGGGTTTTCACCCACTTGGTTTGGGATGGTCCACGGACTGAGTCCCTTTGTTCTGCGCTATACAGACATCCAGCTCTCAAAGTTGAGCAATGCCGCCACAGCCCACAGCGCTGATCTTGCGACCGAGTGTGCACACAAAGCTACTGTTGGAACGATGACAATCCCCTCTCGATCCTGGAATGGCTGCGTTCGTTGCAGGAAGCGACGCCAGAAGTGTGGGGAGCAGAAGCCGCAATGCGTTCGATGTGAGAAGGACCAAGTGGATTGCTCCTACCAGAAACCCCTGAGATTTGGAGGACGGCCTTTTGCTCAATCGCGATTCGGGGCCTGTCTTTCAAAGAATACTGGAGGAGCCCGAAAAGCCGGTGCGTTTGCTGCGAATGATGATTCCTGTGCATGCGCGTCGTAGACTGAATTTCCACAACAGCAACCATTGATGGAGGATTTGTGTACACTTCGGCCTCAATCGCCAAGGTAGTCCCATCAGAGACCTCGCCATGCAAGCTGGATCCCGCGGCAGGGACAGAACCATTAGAGGCCGAGCAAGTGATTGAGGACGAGACTTCCTTGGATTTGATCCAAGTGAGTAAACGACTACCCGATCCGATATCCAGCCACGTCGACATACTGTCATTCATTCCTGGGAACAACCGCGCCCTCCTTCAGTACTTCACTTGCAATGCTTCCATGGCTCTGGCTACACACGCCTTTGTCCATCAGGAGGTTTGTGAATTGATATTACCAATGGCCCTTGGGAATCCCGCCCTCCTCCACGCCACCCTGGCCCTGGCGGCTATCCATCGGAATTCATTGACGTCCATGGCTGAAAATGAGATGGATGATGGCGCCCAAAGACTTGTCACCCACCTCACGGCCACTAGCATTCGCCATTTGCGTCGAGACCTCCAAGATCCAAGATCCAGCCCACTGGCAGCTAAAGTGGCCACGACTCGAACCCTGTTCCTCTGTGAGGCCATTTCTGGATCTCACTCCCTTCGGGCCTGGAGAGCTCATTTCCTGGGAGCACGAGCCTTACTGTCTTCCCACGCAGGATCATCGCAGGGGTTTGAGCAGGATCCATCACTTCTTTTCCTGCAGCGGTGGTATAACATCACCGAAGCGCTCGTTGCTATCACAACTGACGGGCTATCAGCGGGCCAAATCGCTTGTGGTGGACCACGATACCTCATTGGCGAGGCTGAAGAGGCTGATGTTTGTATCGATATGTATACGGGCTGTGCGGAAGACATTTCAGTAGTGTTCCGAGAGATCGGAGCTGTGGCTTGGGAGAGACGACGTGCAGCTGATGACCCTGGCCGACATCCCAGGCTTTCGGAACAGGATTTCCTGCGTGAAGCCGATCTCTTGGAGATGTCGGTCCGAAGGATGATTGAGCGTGACAAGGCTCGGTCAACCGTGTTCAACATTCCCGGCGGTCGCGATCTATCTGTGGAGGAGTCCAAGGAGTTCTTGCTTTGTAACGAAGCTTACCAACACACTGCGCTCATTCACATTCATCGACGGGTTCGGCGACTTCCACCCAATGCTGCAGCCGTGCAAGCGTCCGTCCAGAGGATTATCGAATGTGTCGAAAGTATTAGACCTGCTGCGACCTTGTCACCGCTAACTTTGCTGACAACCCCTCTCTTCACTGCGGGTTGCGAAGCGGCAGGTCCCGAACGTTGCAAGATCGCGCAGCTCTTGACCAACATGTTCACTCTTTTACGTCTACCAAACATGAAGCGTGCGTTACAAGTGCTCGAAGCCTTTTGGCGTGTATCGGAAGTTTCCGGTATTGATTGGGAGGATTTCTCGCGTGAGTTACATCTGCCATATAATAAAGGCCAGGCTGACGAGACTATAGGTCAACGGAACTGGGATTTCTTGCCATATTGAGCTGAGCAGCTCTGCCGTCCAGTGCGATAAATGCGCCGTCAGCTACCTAGCCGAGTCAGCGCCGAATGCGTCCTGAGCGGCAACGACGAAGTCCCTCTTTTCTTCTCTGTCCTTCAACGGAGATGCCCTGTTAAGACCGCAGCTGGTGGACTCATTTTTCTTGCTGAACGCTACTTTCGACGCTTCGTATGTCTGGCAACTCATCGGACGAGAGCACTATGGGTTTTACCCACCTGTTACCCCATCGGTGGAGTACAAAATAAGTAAGTGGCAGCAAAACGGCGCAGACGATTGCCTGGGTGCCGAAGCACCATCCATATCCTGGGCGTCAAAGTCAGCCTCAATCCTCCAAGTCGGGGATCAACGTGTTGCTTACCAACTGCGGCGGTCCAGTCGTAAATATACCAGGGAACGATAAACGCGGACATCTTTTTGGGGTCAGTCTCGACGGTCATGGTACTGAGGCTGATGTCCACTCACATTTATGATGACGGAATAAAATGTTATGACCTCAATGGCGTGCTCCGGGTAGCAGTCAACGATATATGTCGACAAGGTCGTGTTGCCCGCTTGAAGGCCGACCGCAAACAGGAACAGAGCCACTTGACCGACCATCCAGTGCCATCCTTTCTGGACCGAAGCTCCCCAGACCGCAAGGCCAATGGCGGAGAGCAGGGCGCCGGGATAGCCGAGCCACAGCCTCATTTCTGGTGTTCGCTGGCCGTGGTTTTTCCTCGCTAGGCGGACGACGATCCAGTCGCTCAAATGGCCCGAGCAGAATATCTCGGCAAAGATGACCCCGATCAGAGCTCCGGTGAAGAACAAACCTTGGATCTGGATCTTGTACTCATAGTACGCCGCGGGGATCATTGAGAGCAGAGCCACGATCCTGCCTTGCTTTTAGTACTTGTTCGACGGGATTCGCCATCGGGGTCCACATACCACCAATAATGGAGAAATATATATCCGCAAACACTGGCGACCAACTTCGGGTACGCCCACAGCTTGCAGAATGTGATTAGGGTTGCCCAAGGTTTGGGGTGGGGGACACCTGGGATTTTGCGGATGTTCTGGGAGGAGTGTCAGCATGTCAAAGCACAATGCTTTCTCGAGACCTGTCTCACCAGCCAGGGGAGTTGTGTGGTTCGTTTGATGTCCACCGCGGGATTCTGCAAGGCTTCCCCACGCGCCTTTGCAGCGGCTTGTTGCAGCTCTAGAGCAACAACGTGGGCGCGAGGATATTGAGTTTCTGGCAGAAACAGGAGTTCCCAGAGCAAGAGAAATGCGAAGGCGATGGTGACATGGTAGGCCACCCAGTATTGGTTCACGGTGGCTATAAACCCGCCAACTGTCATGTGTGGTCAGTCCAACTCTCTCCTTTCACTCGGTAGCGACGGAAACTCACTGAGGCCGCCCAGGACGCTTCCTATGTTTGCAGACATGGCCCAGAGACCGATCCGAAACCCTCGTTCATGCTCCCAAGAGATGTCGTTGATGATGCTGAGGCCCACGTTGGCCGCGGGGCCCGCTGCAAACCCTTGGAAAAACCTGGCTGCCATGTACTGGCCGATGGATTGTCCCTTGATCGAGGTGCAGCCACTGGCCAGAACTGCGGTTGCTGTGGCAACGATGGTCACCACCCGGCGGCCGTATGTTTCTGCCAGCGATGAGGTGACCAGAGGGCCAAACGCGAGGCCAAAGGCAGAGATGCCGAAGGACCAATTGACTTGGTTGTACGAGGCATCGAATTGCTCCTCGAGAAGCGAGAACGATGGCACCGGGGCAGTGGTCAAGTACGTCAACAGGAAGTAAAAGAAGCACACGATGCCGATGATGTTGTATTTCTGTAGCCTGGACCAGTTCAAAGGATCGAGGGAGTCTTGGGTCGGTGCCGGCGTCAATGGTTTGTCTCTGGCCTCAACTGGCAGATGGTATACGTCGGCCACGTCAACGGGCGAACTTTGTATCGATGCATCGACCGCAACGGGCTTTTTCTCGACGTCGCTCACCTCGGAGGACATGTTGGCAGTCGAGGCAACAGAGAGGTGGAGAGTATTGGGTAATGAAAAGAGCGGGGTTCTGGACTTGGGACAGGTGATGGATCAGGGTGGGTTGCATGCAGTCCATATATACTCGTTCGAACCACCCCAGATTATATGGACAGGGGGGACGTAAGACGGAACGACCAAGATAAGGACTCGAGTTATTCTTGTGAATGATATTGCAGAATGGTTAAGACGGCCACGATGGATGACCAGGGCTATACTGGAGAAGGCAAGTTGGGGAGATGAGAAGGCTATAAGGTCGCAGACGGTGATAGGGCTACGCTCGAACCCCTTCTCGCCATTTGCGCACACCTACGTGCGGGCCGCTCGAGCTATTAGCAATTCAATGGCCCTTTATCGCCGTATTGCCATGTGGAACACGCCTCCACCATTCCCAAAGGGGAAGGATGAGGAGACGGGCGGGGCGATAGATCATAGAAAGACCTCATGGAATTTGTCGGCACCGCACAACCTTCTTCTGGCCGCCTCCCTGCCCATTTCCGTCTTTGCATTGGAACACTCACGTCCATCCACTCCTTCGCCGTCGCCTCATTATTCTCTATTCGGGCGTGAAGGCAACAACCAACTCGGCATTGAGGTAGAGTCCACGCGCTCATCGCCACAACCTTCCCGTCTGGGATCGAGTCTATCAAAATTGCCATTTCCCTCCCGAATCGAGCCTCCTCAACGCATGATATAATAATAGTCCACACAGCTCTGTTGCAGGAGACCTTATCAGCGTTTCCGTCGCCTTCAAACCAGGACAAAACCGTGGACACCAAGACCAAAAAAAGAAACCAAAAAGACGACTGTGCACCAATTTGATTCGGGGGGACACATGTTGAATTAAACCAACCCGGCAATATCCAACCCAAGCCTGACACCACCCGGCGCAATGCTTTTCTGGCTCCTGTTGCCGTACTTCGTCCTCGTCGCCGTCCTCTTCCAGGCCGTGCAGAGGCTGCGGTCGCCGGTGGCCCGGCTGCCGGGCCCGGGCTACACGGCCTGGACGTCGCTGGTGCTGAAGTACCACGAATTCACGCACGGCCGGCGCCTGTACATCCACGCCCTGCACCGACGGTATGGGCCGGTCGTGCGGCTCGGGCCCGGCGAGGTGTCGTTCGCGACCGCCGACGCGGCCAAGGAGATCTACATGTCGGGCGGCAGCGGGTACGACAAGACGCCCTTCTACTCGCTGTTCACCCAGTTTGGGACGCGCACGCTGTTCTCGACGCTCCCCAGGGCCGACGTATGTATTCTGTCGTGACTGCATTTTTTCTTTTTCAAAAGGAAAGAAAAGCCCACCAGGCTGTAGTGGTGGTGGTGGTGGTGGCAGCGATGGTGGTCGGAATGAAGCAGGCATTATGGGCTAACTTCTCACGGGTTTTCTAGCACAGCTACATGAAGCGATACCTGGCCGACCGGTACGCGAACACCAACATCATGAAACCCGACATCCTGAACGGCATCTCCCAGCACGCCCGGGACTTTTTGAACAAGTGCCTGGACCAGTGTTACGGGAGTGATGGGTTCGCCGACATCTACGTAAGGGACTTCTGCCTCGCCTCCGCTCTGGGCCACTGCTGGGCCACTGCTGCTGCGCCCTGCAAAGACTGACGCGGACCTTTCTCAGGTATCTCTCCACTGCTTCGCCCTGGACGGGGTGACGCATCAGCTTTTCCACCCGTACGGCACGCACGCCAACAGGAACGAACGAGATCTGCGGCTGATGCAGGAATTGTCTTACCACGATAGTCTGAAAAGTAATGTGTGGCCCGGATTGCAAGACAGTTGCGATCGAGTGTTGTTAGAGGAGTGACTAACCAGCGCTTTCAGGCAATGTCGCCATCTATTACATGCCGTGGCTCTCTGGTGTGGTCCACTACATCAGCCCTCCCAAGCCCGCGCCGCTGTCGAATGAATACGTCCTGAAGACTAGCGCACTCCCGTCGCCGTCGCCGTTCAGCCTCCTCTCGAAGCTCCAGGCACAAGCCAAGGCGACCAGCATGGCCCCCTACGCCGTGCCCGCCGAATGCAAGGACCACCTGGCCGCGGGCGTCGACACGACCGGCGACGCGCTCTGCTTTCTGATGCACCACCTGTCATTACCCACGCCGGCTTCGCAGCGCGTCCAGGGCCTCCTGCACAAAGAACTCGCCGAGAACGCCGCAGTACCCTTCGACCAACTCCCCTACCTAGACGCCGTGGTCAAGGAAGCCCTCCGCTGTTTTCCCCCGATACCCATGTCGATGCCGCGATGTGTGCCTCGCGGGGGCAGCACGATCGAAGGCCACTTCATCCCGCAAGGGACCATCGTGAGTTGTCAGGCCTACACGCTGCACAAAGATCCCGATGTGTTCCCCAACCCATTGGAGTTCTTGCCGGAGCGCTGGCTGGACAAAGCCGGCGAGGCAGAGAGGAACAGGTTATTCTTCGCCTTCTCCAGCGGCGGAAGGGGATGTCTGGGCCGGCAGTAAGTTTCTTTCCCCTACTCTCTGGGTTTCCCCTGTATTTCTTGTCTGCCGTCGAATAGGATGGCTAACTACTTGTGTGTGTCAAAAGCCTCGCCATAGCGGAGATGAAACTCCTCCTCCGCGAGGTCTACTCCCAGTGCCGCACGACCTTGTCTAGTCAGATGAACAGCGACATGGAGATGGAGGACCAGATCATTGCCAGTCGGCCCAAGGGCCAGAGCTGCAAGCTGGTGTTTGAGAAGGTCGTATAACTTAGCACAAGATCAGGTTTGTCCTAGTTGACACGTACGTAGAAAGGTTAAATCGTGGCTCATATTAGCGTTGGATAGCAATTCGAAAAGCCGGCGCAGAAGATATTCCCTCGTGCTTTTGTATTTGTCGCGGTCTGCACTTTGCTTGATTGTAGTCTGCGAGGGCTGCGCTCTAGATAGATCTAGATGTCGTTAGGTGCTATCGCACGAGCGACGAGACTACCACTTGTCCTTCCTTGTCACTTCGAATCGGTTCGAGCTATTGCTGAGTAGCAAAAATCTTTAACCGCATAGAGGCCTGTTTCAGTCATTTCACGTCATCATCACCAAGGCTGGCGCGCAGAGCAGAGTAGATTGTGGTCAAGTGTATCATTGTCTGCGCTAGTTGACAGTATTTATGTCGTCATTCATTATTACACTCATTACCTCACATGAGGCCAATGATCCGAGATCAGTTATTGTGCTGTCGTACATGCTTCAGCGCCTCCAGGGCCTCCTCTACCTGCTCTACGGTTACGAATCAGCATATAGAACTTTCTCGGAGGTCGAGGGGACAGAGCAAAAACTTACGGACCATGCCGTTCAGAGCTTCAAACGCGACTGCATAGTTCTGCAGCGCCCTCAGAACTCGGCCGACGCCGGCGTACAGATCCTCGATGCCCTTGTCGGCGGCTGAACTCCGTTGGTTGATGCACTGCATCTCGAGGCTTTTGTAGCATAATGTGAGCAGCGTGTAGCAGCTTTGCATGGCGCAGCAGGCAAACGAGGGCATAGTCCGTGGTGCCGGGGTCGAGGAGACGGGTGACAACATTGGCGGAGAAGGTAGGGGGAGCGGCAGCTGCATCGGATTGGGGTAAGGGAATGATTCGAACGCCCGGCCGATGGCAAGCGCAGCCTTGAGGCAAGTCTTTGCAGCGGGCAGGTCAGTGATCGAGACGTTCTTGGTCAGCGCGTCTGCGTGGTCGCTAGATGCATCAACGGAAACCCCGCGAGGCGACTGCGACCAAAGCCCGGGAAAGCCGCCGGACTGGAAGCCTTGGGGCGAAGTGTTTGAGAAGGCAGACGGGAGCATCGCGTGACACGAGCACCCCAGTGGGCGCGGGGAAGATACGTCCGCTTGGTCTAGATCGCAGTGACGACGGGTAAATATAGGGACGTCTTGGAAAGCGCGATACCGATGGAGTTTGATCCTCGCACTGTTGAGCTTGATCAGCGCCTGCAGTCGCAGTGATTTGGCCAGAGTGTGTTCTTCAGGGTCTGTAGGTGACAGGGTCGACGGCTCGTTCGGGGAGGACGCATATCTGAAAAGGACCGAATCCAAGTCGCTCTCAAGCATCGCTTTCCGTTGATCCAGCGTGCTGTCCCCGAGACCGCTGTCGAGGGCCTTCTTCAGCGCCACAGTGTACTGTGTACACCTTAGGATACACTGCTGGGCTTCAATGAAAAACGACCATGCGTCGGAGTCCGCTGGCGATGTTGGCAACGGGGTCCTGAATTGATGAAAATCAATCGAGATGATTGGAGGCTGGCTCAGCATGATTAGCCAGTGATACCCAACGATCCCGAATGATCAAGCTTACCGTGCTGCTGACAATCGAAGACTGCAGGACGACAATATACTAGGCAACAGGTCAGCGAGAAATATCCACACCAGGCATGACTCTGCGACTTACGGTCATCCACCAGGCGCGTCGACGCGCTTCTGTGTATTCGTCTAAAGAAAGATCGGAGATGTCGTGCAGGCAAAGTCTGATGGCAGCATCGTATGCTTGGCTGGCTCGATTTCTCATCTTCGCCAGATTCCCCCGCTGGGCGTATTCATAGATACTCAGTAATACGTGTGCCAGCACCCCTTCTAGCTCGACCGGCACACATGGATGAAGCTTTTCGCGATCGACCGATGGTCGACGGTGATCCAAAGCTTCAGACGGGTTGGTGGCAGATTCGAGCAACTCGGTCTCAATCTCAATGCTCTCCATGGCCATCTGGGAGAATGAGTGTGCTTGCTGCCTTCTGAGACATACAGACTCATCACTGTCAGGGTACTCGTCTTCCGGGTGGGGGATCAGAACGAGAATCGCCATTAATGCCATTACCAAAGGAGATGCCGGCTCGAAGTATTTCGATTCGCTCATCGGGTCATCAACTTGCAGTGTCGTCACTGGCGGTGGCAGGATTGGAAAGTACGGATGAATGAAGATGTAGTAGGCATTGAGAATGGCTTCGTTTTCCTGATAGCTCCGAGTGATCGGCGTGTAGGGTTTGCCCAGTGAATCATCGTCCAAGGTATCGATTGTGTCACCGCCTTCGGAGACGGGCATGAATATATTGTCGAAGATCTGGTCGCTGTCGTCCTCGTCCTCGACGTCGATCAACCCAGCTCCGGGAGCGATCATGGTAGCAATGAGGTCGTTGTGTATCTCTTCAGACGATAGCATCAGTGCATCCCAGTCAATATTGATGTCCGGGGCAATGTCTTGAGGCTGAGATGTTACTTCGTCAGCCCGCCGTTGCCTTTCCGCGGCCATAATGGCCTTTTTGCGCGACACACGGGGTCCACCACGGTTGCTTTTGACATAGCGGCATTCTTTGCCCCTTATCAGGCACTAGAAACACAATCAGGCACGGTCTTGAGTCAGTCGCGGCATCACCAAGCACATACATTGTTACACGGAACCTTGGCATCGCATCGAGTCCGAGACGCACGGCTTGATCGGAGTTATAAGAGGAGCTCGCAAGTAGACGCTCGTCCAGCAGCGCTTACCAAGATGTACACGCCACCTTCACTGGTGGCAGGATGTTCTTCCTCCGGCGGCTTTGACTGGACGCCATGGCCCCATTCTCCAAGACGGTAGAAGTAGACATGAGGTTTGCGGGGGCAGGTTCGGGGTTCCAACTTCCCAGACTTGCAAATGTATTGATGAGCGTGGGGATCCTGAAGTTGCTCGCGCACGCAACCCTCCCTAAGCTTCCGAGATCCCGCTGTCAACAGGGACGTTGGGGGCGCAAGATTTAAGGCGACGAGACAGAGGCGCAGGAGAGAACAGGGACTCGACGTGATATTAATCTATTGCCTTGGGGCCCCGGGACTTGGCAGCCCTCTTCGTGGTCTCGGTGGTGAGCAATCCTTCGTACAGGTAGAGATAAGCAACTTTCTTATCACCCAATTAGATGCCCCAAAGGCTCTACATACACTAGACCGAGATTGCCCCTCGTGGTGTTCTGGGGCCGTCTACTTGGTATAATATCTGGCAACTCGTCACGCCACAGAACCGGGGCCTAGGCTCAGTTGGTGAGGATTACCAGATCCGGCTTTCTCAGGCACTGAAAACTACATGGTCTCCAGGCTTTCTATTGACGGTTAGCGTGAAAATATCTGGCCTCGCATAGCTCCCGACCGGGTCGAAATCCATTCTGGCCTGTATAAGGTCGTCCATCCTCAGTTGCCCGTAGACAATCTCTTCGCGATCCCAGACGGGCTCCGCAACAAATGTCCCCAACGGCCCGACGATGCAAGAACCACCATGGCTTAGAATGGCGTCCGGGGTCCAAGGAGAGCCGTCTGGTTGTCTGTCATGGTGTCCAGGCGAGAAGGGTGGATAGTCAGACGGAAAATCGGCCACCTTGCAGAACTGGTTGCACGAAATAACGAAACAGCGTCCTTCTTTCGCGATGTGCTGCATCGACGCCACCCACGAAGGCAGGTCATCGGCGTTCGGTGCGATGTAAACCTCGATTCCTTGTTGATATAGCGACAGTCTTGCAGCAGGCATATAGTTCTCCCAGCAGATGAGTCCACCGACACGGCCAATTTCCGTATCCACAACCTGAAGTCCATCTCCTGCTCCTCTCCCCCACACGAGGCGTTCCGCTGCCTGCGAGAAATCATCATCAGTTGCTGGTTCCAGGTCCAAAGGCGCAAGAACACCTCTGGCTAGGATCCGGGGTTCCTAACATACTGTGGGGATGAGTTTTCGATGCGCATACAGCAGGTCGCCTGTTCTCGCGAGGAGTATCGCCGTGCAATACAAGGTTCCTCTTTCTTTCTCAATTATTCCTAGCGACAGGAACACGTTGTGGTCTCTTGCAATGGTCCGCAGCTCCTCGAATTCTGGAGAAGGAATCGCCACAGCCGAGTTGTAGTATTTTGAGAACCATTGGCGGCCTCGAGGCTCTCGTGCTCCTATTGTTGCATCGAAGGCGTAACGCCAGGGGTATGCGCTGAGGAACCCCTCTGGAAAGACAACTAGATCGGCCTTTTCTTGCGCGGCGGCCTTCGTGAAGTGTCTGACTCGCTGTATCGAAGCAGGGAGATCGAATGCGACTGGAGCCGCTTGAACTGCGGCGACCTTGAAACTAGCCAACGTAGACATGGTCGTACCGAGTGCCGTGCTTTGGGCAGCCACCGGGGCTCTGGTAAGAACACGACATCCTTTTGTGCTTTAGAGATAGACCTGTACGTCTGGCCACCGCCACGGAGCCAACGATAATTTCATATGTTCGCCAGTTACAGACACCTGACAAGTCGAACGCCGCTTTGGTTTCTGCGCAGCAGGCCCCGGTGGTTAGACCCACTCCGGAGGGCTCCTGGCAGACCAAAGCCCGAAAAGCAAACACCGAAGGATACATGTCTCCGCCCCAGCCTTATTGGTTGCTGAACATACTCAACACCGGGTGGCCCTGAAGAAGAGCGTCTGGTCCGGCAATATAGCACATAAACAATACCTAGTAACGATTCAGAAGAGCACTTTGAGAAAGCAGAACTTTTACGAGACTCGAACACCATGTGTGTCTATAGGCGACCAACAAAAGGCACAATGAACGTCGGTATGTTGGACTATTGCAAAGCGTTTCCAAGGCTACCCTCTAATCCTTTGGCAGAACTCAATGCCCACCCAGAATACAATTACTACACGAGCCTAGTGCGGAACTTGAAAACCGCCGTCGTACCGACGTTTACTTTGGAATCGGGTCAAGAGCTCCATCGAGTTCACGTAGCCTACAGCGCCTGGGGCACCTTGAATGAGGAGGCAGACAATGTTCTCTTAATCTGCCACGCTCTCACGGGGAGCAGTGACGTGGAGGATTGGTGGAAACCTTTGATCGGCCGAGGCAAGGCTGTCGATACAAGCCGGTTCTTTGTCATTTGCTTCAATTCCCTCGGGTCGCCGTACGGCTCCGCATCACCACTCAGTACAGACCCGACGACTGGGAAGCCTTACGGACCAACCTTCCCGGATACAACTTTCAGAGACGATGTCAGGATACAGAAGATTGTTCTCGACGCGCTTGGGGTCAAACAGATTGCATCGGTCATCGGTGGATCGATGGGCGGCATGATTGCCCTCGAGTGGGCTTTGTGTACCCCTCCAGGTTACGTGAAGACGGTGATCCCTATATCGACCTCAGCATATCAAACAGCGTGGGGGATCTCCTGGAACACGTCACAAATACGATGCATCCAGGCCGATTCACAATTTCGCGGCGGATACTACGCTCCTCATCCTCAAAGTCAGCCCGTGCAGGGCTTGGGGGCCGCCAGGATGATCGGGATGCTCACCTACCGATCGTACACTTCTTTCGAAGCACGGTTTGGTCGACGCAAGTCGGGACCAAAACGGCCGTCGCAGTCTTTCTCAAGGCCCATGACCTCCATCCCCTCTCCACCGCCCGAGGCGAGAGACGACATCCCCGAGACAACGGCGTCGAAAACCGAGGCGCAGGAGTTCGGCCCGACTACAATATATTCCGCGCAAAGCTACATGCAATACCAGGCCGACAAGTTTCTGAAGCGCTTCGATGCCAATTGCTACATCCACCTTTTGCGGAAGATGGATTCTCACGATATTACAAGAGGGAGGAGCCCAACCATGCCCTTGCCGTCCGAGGAGCACCCCAGCGTCAAGAGCGTTGCCGCCGTTCTGGCGACGTGTACAGCACCGGCACTGGTGGTGAGCATAGATTCAGACCTGCTGTTTCCGGCCGAGCAGCAGACGATCCTGGCCAATTCGCTACCTCGAGCAAAACTCATGAAGCTCGACTCGTCCGACGGACACGACGGCTTTCTGCTGGAAATGTCCGCCATGGAAGAATCGATCAGTGCCTTCCTTCGGGACCACTGCACCGGCATCTTCGAAGCTCCTGCTCTCGAAGGCGGTGAAGACGAAAACGAAGACGTTGTAACGAATAGTGTGTTTGGCGAGTTGGATTCTCAGTTTTGAGGATGGTGTATTCTGCGAGGTGCTTGATAGATTATTTCTCCTTTGATGTTAAATTAAATGCCAAAAGAATGCTATTCATTGTCCCAACAGCTCTGCCCTTGCGTCCGCTATCCTCTCTTCAGGTTAATTTGTACCATGACCAATTCGTGGCATTCAAGCTCGAGAAACTCGACTGTTTCGGGGTCGAATATGACGAACTTGCATTCCAAGGCCATTGGTCAATTCGGGACTAATCCACCGGGAGTTTGAGGGTGGATTATGTCGAGGTAGTGAGATTGTCGGCCGGAAGAAGGTCAATCGCCGTCGGAGCGTTGTCCTGGTCTTATCTAACTTGCCATGTCACCTTTCGGCGACTGCTTATTCCAGCCCTGGTGTCCTGGCTCCTGAGGCACCTATCTCCGCCATGCGTCGGGCACGGCCTTCAGGGAAGAATATTATATCTATAATCTGTATAATATTGTCTGGTTGCGGTTCTTTCTGATGTGGCGTTTGTATCAATTCCAATCTTTGCGGTGTTGTATTGTACAAAACTACAAAAGGCAAGGAGAAACAATATGATTGCACGAACAGAGGAATATCGACCATGGCTCGTCCAGAAATATGGCGGCACCAGTGTTGGCAAGCTGCTGGACACAATTACAGAGTCTATCATTCCACAATACCGGCAAGACTACAACGTCGCAGTTGTTTGTTCGGCGCGTTCTAGCGCAAGCAAGTCAGCCGGTACAACGAATCTCCTCTTAAGGGCCCTAGCTTGTGCCGTCTCAGAGGAGGCGAGAGGAGCCGATTTCGACGAGGTTGTTGATGTTATCCAAAGTGAACATCTGTTGGTTGCAGAATCCCTGCCCAGCGACGGTGCTCTCCAATCCGCCTCAAAGCTCATTCAGCAGCTGCGACAGAACATTGTCGAAGAATGCGAGGCCTTGAGAAAATTCTTACGGGCCACTCGGGTCATTGGTGAAGCCTCCGACAGAACGCAAGATAGGGTGCTTGGTGTTGGAGAAAAGCTTTCCTGCTTGGTGGTTGCGGCCGCGTTGTCACTCAGAGGCGTGGAAGCAGAGATGGTGAACCTGGAAAACATTGTCCAAGTTGCGGACAAGCGTTCGACTCGTGAACAGCAAGCAGCCTACAAGCAAAACCCTATTCTATTCCTTCAGGGACTTCGAGACGCTGTCAGAGACGCAATCCTCCAGTGCTCTGCGTCGGGGAAAGTGCCAGTCGTTACGGGGTTTTTCGGCTCCATGCCACATTCGCTACTCCATACCGTCGGCCGTGGATATTCAGACTTGTGTGCTGCGCTGTGTGCGGTCTCATTAGACGCTGAGGAGCTCCAAATATGGAAGGAGGTCGCTGGTATCTTCACAGCCGACCCTACGAAAGTATCAACAGCCAGAGTCCTGCCCATGATCACCCTGGAGGAGGCGGTCGAGTTGACATATTACGGCAGTGAGGTGATCCACCCTCTGACGATGTCGCTTCTAAACAAGGAAGACATCAACCTGCGCTTGAAGAACGTGAAGGATCCTGCCGGCGCCGGCACTGTGGTCTACTCGACAACGCCTGGCTCGAGTCCCGTGCAGACACCCAGTTCTACGGAGATGGAGATCAGCCGGTCATTATTCATGACTTCGAATGGATACTACGGCAAAGACCAGGCTAAACGAGTGCCTACCGCCATTACAACGAAGGATTCAATCACTCTCGTCAACATCACTTCGAACGGCAAGCTGCCTCCACAAGCATTCCTTGGTCAGGTTATCGGGATTCTTGGACAGCATCAGCTCTCCGTCGACCTAGCGAGCAGCAGCCGTCAGTCACTCAGCCTAGCGGTATCGGCCTATGGATTGGTGAATGTCTCTGACGCGATCGATCAAGCCCTCCCCGACCTCGAAGAATTTGGCACAGCAACCATTGTGCCGAAAATGTCCATCATCTCGGTGGTCGGCCATAAAATGAGAAACATGGTCGGAATCGCAGCGGAAATCTTCTCGGCTTTGGCAAGTGCTCGCATCAATATCCGTCTGATTTCGCAAGGAGCGAGCGAGATCAACATATCGTTCGTCGTCAGGACGCAAGATGCGTTACTGGCGATGGAGGTCATCCACTCGCAAGTCATGCAAATTCCTGGACACGTGGAGCGCGAGATTTCGCTCATAACAGGTGAGAAATACACATTGTCGCTGCCTCCTCTAGCATACTGATCTCATCACTAGGTCCATGGCTTTACTGAACACGGTGTATATGTTTCTCTTCAGCGTGCATTTGGGGATAGGCTTGGGTCTCTACTGCAATCACATTTTCTAGATGCCAGATAGAGATAGAACGAATCATCATGAATGTGTATATCAGAGAATTGACAACCTGTATACCTCTACCCTCAATAATAGTCGTCTTATTCGTAACTAGAATACTCGGTGCTTTCTTCGTCTCCGCCCCAGTAGAGCCTAATTCCTCTATTCATGTGATTCGCGGGGTCGATATGTGACAACTCCTTTTCAAATGGGCACAAAAGAACCTCTACCACACAGAGTCGTCTCTGAGCAACAGGGCACGCTCGATGTCTTCTGATGTCCCTCTTTTCCTTCACCAGGGGATGTTTACAGAATGCCGCGGCCACTTTGCTAGGGAAACTTAGCCGTCCGGTATAGTGGATGGCCACGGAAATCTGACGGCCCCCAGGTTGCCGGGGTTTGCTTTTGATAAGCGGCATATGCCACACAACTTTAAGGGGCCAATCAACAAACACAGTCCGGCTTCGGCCTTTGCATAGGAGACTGACTGCATACTGCAGGCGTGCATCTGCGTCCCGCTAATCAGACAGTAAACATTCGTTAATTAGAGCTCAATGGCTATGCACACTATCACGCATGCGTGGATGAGCACATTCTCCTTTCCTGGCCTCACCAGACTCCGTCTCCCCGGTCTTTGTCGAGATAAGCAGGGGGCCGCTATCTTCATTCGTAGCAAAGGCCGCGCGATGCAGTATACGTATCGACTAGATCGGCAGCGTGAGAGTTGTATGATGGGCATACACTATATCAAGACTGACTCCTACCGTGAATAGGACTGAGTAGCTCTCCATCTTCAACATTCAACGTGCCTCAATCAATCCTTTGGTTTCCTTTCTCTCACCACCAGCTTCATTGCCCTTTTTCTTACCTCACAAGGACACAGACAGCAAGGAAAAATGGTTTCCGGACATTTGGGCGAAGTGAGCAAGGCTCCAGAGTACGAGACCGTCGCTCTGCACGGTGGACAACAGCCCGATCCCATCAACGGCTCAAGAGCTGTGCCCCTGTACCAAACATGCGCGTACAACTTCACCGACGCCTCGGATGGTGCAAGTAAGTTTGCGTGGTCAAAGGATGGCTACGTGTATACCCGAATGGGCAACCCCACCAACACGGTCTTCGAGACCAGGATGGCGATGCTCGAGGGAGGCGTGGGCGCCGTGGCGACTGCCAGCGGCCATGCCGCCCAGTTCATGGCCATCACCTCCGTATGCGAGCCTGGTCACAACTTCATCAGCACCATGAACCTCTACGGCGGCACACACAATCAGTTCCGAGTCTACATGAAGAAGTTCAACATCAATTGCAAGTTCATGCAGGGACAAGACCCGCAAGAGATCAAGAAACTGGTCGACGACAACACCAGAGCCGTGTACATTGAGACCATCGGAAATCCCCAATTCAACGTCCCCAATATCAAGGCCATCGCTGACGTCTGCCACGAGGCGGGTATCCCACTGATCGTGGACAACACCTTCGGCATGGGCGGATATCTTGCACAGCCGATCAAGCAAGGCGCCGACATCGTCACTGCCTCGTGCACCAAATGGATCGGCGGCCATGGGACGTCGATGGGCGGGATCGTGATTGACGGAGGCCACTTTGACTGGTCTGCCTCTGGCAAGTTCCCCGGCTTCACCGAGCCGTCAGAGGGTTACCACGGCATGCGGTTTTGGGAGACGTATGGCTACAAGGCCCTGGCAGCCAAGCTCCGCATGGACGCCATGAGAGACCTGGGCCCCTGCATGTCGCCCTTCAACGCCTGGCTCTTCCTGCAGGGCCTCGAGTCCCTTCCAGTCCGCGCCGACCGCCACGTCTCGAACACGCTTGCGTTTGCACAGTGGCTGGAGAAGCACCCCTGTGTCGCGTGGGTCAACTACCCCGGTCTCAAATCCCACCCCGACTACGAGCTCGCGCAGCGGGTGCTGCCCAAGGGAGCCGGAGCCGTCCTCACCTTCGGCGTGGCGGGCAACATCGACGAGGTCGAAGCCGTCGTCAACAACCTCAAGCTCTGCTCCCATCTGGCCAACGTCGGCGACGCGAAGACCCTGATCATCCACCCCTGGCGGACCACCCACCAGCAGATCCCCGACCAGGAGAAGATCAAGGGAGGCGTCACGCCCGACATGATCCGCATCAGCCTCGGCTTGGAGCACATCAACGACATCATCCACGACTTCGAGCAGGCCTTCAAGGCCGCGGGTCTCAAAGGGGCCAAGGACTGGGTGCCGACGTGGAAGAAAGGAATGGAGGGCGAGGAGTGGTCCAAGGGCACATTATACGCACCGAAGCCCAATGGTGTCAAGACGGAGGTGGTGACGAGTGTTTGAGGCGGAGATGATCGCGCAACCCTGGCTCGAAGAAGGCCCGAGACAAAATGCAGTCGCCTGCTCCGAGATTTGTTGGCTTGATTGAGGACGAAACTTTTATGATTTTAGGCGCTCTAGATGAATGTGTACGAAAATCCCGAATTAATTGCTGAATTACATCGACGACTCGGTGCGACGGTTGGTTATATTCCGTCGTTGACATAATCCGATTGTGATCTCCAGGCACCGTCCCAGGCTTTGTGGAGGTTGACCAAACCTCTCCATTGTCTGAAACCTGGGCTAGGAGGTTTCGCGGTGTCCTGGTGATCCGACAGTTCGTACATACTTACTGCAACTCGAGTACAGCGTCATCGACACTCTCAGACTTTCTCTGCGGGCTCAAGGAATTCAGGACCCTCGAGTTGTACATGGCAAAAGCTGACCAACGGACCGTTCGGAACGCCTCTTTGGCCCCTTTGCCCTGCGCCACGCATATTCTGATTGAATCCATTGCACCACCAAGGGAGCCAGATGGATTGGCCTCGTATAGGAAATCGATCGCGCCAATCACAGGTTCTCCGATCCTTCCGCTCCCGCAATCCTCCCTGTCTGGGGTAATTAACTCACCTTGGGAAGTATAAGAGCAAACCGAGACACACACTCGCTAAGGCATCTCTGGCCTATGCGACCAACACCGCTTCAAAAGGAAGTAAGCAATGGCCCAGGTCAAGACCCTCCGGAACATATATGGGAGGGGCCACGAGAACCGCATCTCCCCCAAGGACACGGCCATCAAGGGCCCTAATATCATCGCGATCAAAGCAATCATCAAAGGGCTCATCCTCGTCCAGCTGACCTTTTTTCTCCTCTTCTGCTACATCTTTGGCACACTGTATGTCTCAAACTCGCACGTCCACAATCTGAGCGTTGTGTTCGTCGACTATGACCAGGGTCTCGTCGGGCAGTCCGTGTGGACGGCGTACAACCAGCTCAAGGGCGACGACTTCCCGACCCTGGACCTGCGGAGCGCGTCAGAGCATCCCACGCCGGAGTCGATCCGGCGCAGCGTCTGCAAGACGGACTTCTGGGCTGGCTTCTACGTCTCGGCCGGCGCATCCGAGCGCCTCGCTACGGCCTTGGGTGGAGGAGAGGCGGCGCTGAGGTACGACCCGGCAGACGTGATGGCATACGTTTGGAACGAGGCGCGGTGGCCCACGACGGTGGAAAGCTATCTCGCGTCCAACTTGGTCAAGCTCTCAACCGCTGCTCAGGGGGCGTACCACTCCATCAACGGCACCAGCGCCATCCGGGCTCTGAATATGTCTTCCCCACAGGCGGTTGCGGCGTTGTACAACCCTTGGCAAGTCCAAAGCATCAACATCCAGACCACGAACCAGGGGCCACGCACTGTCTACAACACCATTGTCGTGGTCCTCATCATCATCAAGCAGTTCTTCTTCTTACTGCTCATCAATGGCGTCTGCAGCACCTTCAAGCTGTACCTCCGCCTCAAACCGCACCACCTTGTCTTCCGCCGTCTCCTGGGCAGCTCCATCTCCACGTTTCTCGGCAGCCTGCTACTCACGGGCGCCATCTGGGCGTTCCGCGCCAACTGGGCCGTCAACGGCAACCAGTTCGTGCTGACGTGGATGACGTACTGGCTCTACGAGGAGATCAACTTCTTCTTCATCGACGCGGCGACGGCGTGGGTCCCGGCCCCGTTCATGCCGAGCGTGCTGGTCACCTGGGTCATCATGAACGTCTCGTCGACCCTGCAGCCGCTCGAGCTCGGCGCGGGCTTCTTCCGGTGGATGTACGCGCTGCCCGCGCACGAAATGTACGAGACCCTCGTCGACATCTGGTCCGGCGGGTGCAACCCCCAGCTGTACCGCGCCCTGCCCATCCTCTTCTCGTGGTGGATCGTCTTCACGCCGCTGGCCATGCTCGGCGTCCTCCGGCGGTGCCACTTCGCGGCCATTGACTTCGACAAGGAGGAGGCCGCCTTCCAGCAGCGGTTCCAGGAAGCCAAGGACTTTGAGAGGAAGCGCGACCGGCAGCGCGGGGCGGAGGGCGCGGCGGAGAAAGAACCCATCGACCAAGAGGACGACGTCGAGCTGGCCAATATTTTGCGGAAGCAGGAGACCGAAATGAGGTCGCTGTATACCTCCGAAAGCCGATCCAGGTATGGGCCTGGTATCGTGGCGCCAGGGGCGGAGCGTATTACCTAGGTAAATAGCCAAGGATGAGTGACCACCAGGCCTGGCGTGGTCCAGTGGACGAGTTCAGTGATCAGGCTACATATGGAATTGATTGAATGGGTATTCAATCAGCGAGAATCCCAAGCTTGACTCTTGAAACTTTTTGACCAGATGGACTCTACATCTCGGTCGACGCTCTCATGAAGTCGCTATCTTGGCCCCTGTGACCACGAGTATGGATCGCTCAACGATCTCCTCTCAAGTGGAAAGGTCTTGATTTGTTGCGGGACAGAGTCAGTATCTGCGTCGGCCGTCAACTTCGTCCAAGAGAGCGTCCATCAGATCCGAGATGGCCAAAGCGGGCCCTTGCGTACAGCAGACCTAGTATCCTCTTGATCTTAGGACTGCGCGTGTCAGCTTCTCTGGGATCGGAGATTGTTCGTGACCCGTGATGGTGCTGCCAGGCTGGGACTTGATGGAATGTGCATCGTCGACGACTTGTGTTTGTTTTTGCTGAGGTGGTAGTATCCCCTTGTGATCAGACCCTCACGAAATTCATGAGGCTGGTTTGTCTCACATCGTGTGCTAGACCGCCTTGCTGAAGGCAAGTATGATGAGGACGATGGTATGCCTGAGATGCAGCCGCGTAAGTCTATGTGACCTTGATCTGTGCTGGTAGATATTGCAAAATGGGAGATCGTTCCACGAACCCTAGCTATTCGCACGATGAGATAGAACACGCTTAGACGTCGCTCTGTTTCGCTCGGAGACTGGGCCGACGATTGAATCCATTGTACCTCTGAGAACCCTTGTGATGGGTGTGTAGACTCGAGCCAGATTGATGAAGTCAGCTAAAGGCAAGACGGTCTCGTTGTCCATCACTGCAACTATACCACTGGACAGGCATTCCCTCTGATTGAACCGCTGGTCGAATAGAGAGCATGCCAGAGTCGAGACATCGGTGTAATAACTATGAGACTAGAGGGAAAACTCCATGCGATATAGGTTGTAGATGTGGAAACAATACTCACGGATCGTAACCGTAATTTCGAATACTCGTAATGGTGAGACCAGACCTCGTCAGACACGCTGACAAGATGATCCATTCTTACCTAGTACACGCGAACTGTATTCGTACGAGGATGAACGCCGCCAGGCCGTCATCCCGCTCGACGACATGCCGATAAGCGTTGCAGCGCTAAGGGGAAGACGAGAAGCGCCAGAAACCCAATGGGATGCGCGTCGATGCAACCACCTCGTAAACCACCTGCTTGGAAGGGGATGCCGTCCCGTGCTACCAAGAGATGCTTGTCAGAATGGATCTCATCTTCAAGTATGACACGAAGGGATCTGGCGTTTATCCACGGTGATCTCGAATGTCAGAAAGCAACATGCCATTCATTAGATGTCTCGCTGCGACCCAATAACATCGTCACTGCCCCTGCGCTCATGGTTATTGCCAGTATAATCATCAATGCCATTCGCAAGACCAACCAAACCCCATAACCATCGCAAAACCTCAATCCTCCATCTTGACGTCCTGCTTGGCCGAATTCCCCAGGTTCTTCAACAGATAACTCCTCTTGAAGTAGGTGTTCGGGTGTACAATCGTCTCCAGCTCAGCGGGACCCCATATACCCTCGTCCTTGACCTTCTTGATTTCCTGCTTGTGGGCCCACTCAAACACACGGTTACAGGCAATATGGAACCTCTTCTTCTCCACGTCGTCCTTGACACCTCTCAAGACTTCTCGATCATGAACTCCCGTGGCTTGGAGCATGGCCGTGAGATTGTCCACGCTGAAATGTCTGTAGGGACAGCCATGGGCTTCACCGGTACCAGGGGGATGTTCCGTAAGTATTTTCTGACATGAGTACGGCGAATATCCTCGCCCACGACGATTCGCGTCGCCGCCTACGTCGCCATAGGCGTGGCGGACATTATAGCGGTATTCCTTGTTGAATTGGTCATCAGTGATGAGTTTGAACGCCTGCCTCCAGAAGATGAGACAGTCCTCCAGATTGAGCCCAATTCCCTTAAGGAAAAGCGTGTACTGCAGCCGGCCAAAGTGCTTCAGATGGCTATTTTTCCGGAGCGTATTGTGCAGGTGTTTCATACAAAGGGGGAAGTGCTGTGAGAGGTTGTCGATGTTGGCCGCAGTGATGGCAGCGCCGGCGAGAGAAGAGTCCGATTCGGAGAATCCGGCGTCGGGAGTAGCAAAGTTTTTGGAAAGGTGGTCCAGGATGGGAGATAGACGGTCATCTTCATCGAGTCTCGGCAGATTGCGGGCGGTGAGCTCGAGACCCTTCTCTAGGCGGCTTGTGAACTCGGTGAGCACCATGCTGGTCTGTTCACGCATCGGAACATATGCTTTGCTTTTCCGTACAAGGACTGTGCGATGCTCGACTAATTCTGGCACACGGGTCCAATCCACTTTGAACCAGTTCTCGCCTTCGAGCCGTCGGAGACCAGGTGTGGCGGATAGAAGTTGCTCGCCCAATGCTCTTTTTTCTTCCTCTTGGACCACTTCCCAGTTCATGTTCAAGCTTTCGACGAAAGCTTGACGTTCACGTGTGTCATCTGACTGGAAGCGAAGCCGGAACAGCATGGTTTCGACCCTGGCAAAGCGTCTGCGGAGGTCTTCTGTTCTTGAAAACGCAAGTCTGAGAATGTAGTGGGAGTAATGGTCCTTCCGCCGTTGATTCTTCAGTTTTTGGTCCACAATACCACCTGCTGCCGCCGAATTGGAGGACAGGGGGAGGTATTTTTTGAGCAATGGTTCAAGGTGCGCTGATGTCTCTTCGGCCGATTTGTTTCTGAACGAGCAAGCCTCAATCTCCGCAAGTACTGGTGTCTGGTCAGTGGTAACCCTGTCTGCTGGATTCTTGCTGACATACTCCTCAACCTGTCGATAGCCCAAGTCTCGAATTCTTCCAGGCTGATTTCCTGGGTGGGAGGAACATCGTAGCACGACAGTCGGTAGGGATAGTCGTTCTCTTTGTAGGATGCGGTTGCAAACTGAGTCTTCTTGTGGTCGATGCGTTTCCGCTTTGGGTCGAACCGTGGCTCTGAGCGCATCATTTTGTCCTCTTGTTGGGTAGTCAAGATTTACAAAAGTTGATGTTGGAGGATCGGAACAATATGCGCGGGGGGGGAGACGCGTCGAGGCTCGCGGATTTCGATTTCACGCGTCGCGAGGCTGCACATGGCGTTAGGCTTGCGGGGCCCTCGGAACGGAAAATCTTTCATACTTGAATATTCCCGGTCCGTGCCTGCCAGCAACAGACATTTCGGGATGACTGAGCAGCCCTTCGTCCAGCCAGCGCCGACATCTTTGACTTGTTACAACGGAGTCTTGACAGAAACATCCTGAGTCGCACAATTCCGTGGTTCAAGTGCTACATACACAGGTAGGTACTTTGTACATACCTGCATCCTTGATTGCTCGGCTCCGCGGCACCAGAATGGGCGAGCGGAAACTTCAACTCCTAAATCCTTATCGGCGCAGTGCGTCCCGAGACTTGAAATTCAATGGGCGTTTCCCCACGATGCTAACTATTGATTCTTCGGCTTACTCAACCATTTCCAGGCCACCATCTCGGGTGCTTCATTTACCTAGTTCGGCTTCTCCTCTTCCTCGAAGCTGCGATCCTCTTTTCTTTTTGTTCTCTTCTCTTGGGAGGTACATTGTCCTGGTATCTCAGCGGCGTCGAATCCGGCCTTCCCTTCCTCCAGTCTCTTGCGATAGCAGCTCGTGCATTCTCCCAGGGCGACATGACGGGCACTTGATACGGGCGGCACTGCCCTAAGAGGTGCGCCCCGAGTCACGCGCCTGTCTCTTCTCCGTTCAGATTACAATGACTTTCGCAACTGCCACCCGGAAGCTCAAACGAGCCGCGAGGATCATTCTAGTGGGCGCTCCAGGTGTTGGAAAGGGCACTCAATCTGAGAGGTTGATGAAACGATTCCCACAGCTATGTTCCATTGCGACCGGAGATCTACTGCGCGACAACGTGAAAAGACAGACTGCGCTGGGTAGCTATTTACCCTGCGTTGGTTCTAATATACTGCTGCTAATCAAACGGTTGCAGGCCAACAAGCCGATGCGTACATGAAAGCCGGTGGCCTTGTGCCAGACCCCCTAATCCTGAATCTCATCCTGAACGAACTCACCTCGAGAGAGTGGCTTGAGACATCCGACTCCAATGAGAATATAATCGCAGCTCTCTCGAGAGGAAATGGTTCTGCCTCTGCGGTCGTGCACGCGTCCAACTCACCCGACACCTCGTTTATCCTTGATGGCTTCCCTCGTACCGCGACCCAAGCCAGAGCCCTGTCGCACCTGCTACCCATAAACCTGGTATTCCAGCTCGTCACGCCTGTCGATATCATACTGTCTCGCATGGCCAACCGGTGGATACACGCCGCATCCGGGAGAGTGTACAATGTGGGATTCAATGACCCGAAGGTTCCCGGCAAGGACGACGTTACAGGGGAGCCTTTGATGCAAAGAGATGACGACAGTGAGGCCACGTGGAGGAGGCGACTTGCAAAGTTTGAGGAGACAAGCCAGAGTTTGCTAGATTTCTACCGAGACAAGGACCAAAGCCTGGTGGTTAAAGTGCAGGGCAACAGCAGCGACGAGATCACGCCTCAGATCTTTGCAGAAGTTGAGGGGCGATTTGGATGAGAAAATAGAATAGAATTTCGACTCTCGCAAGAGAAAAACTTCTGTAACCTCGACTGTGATTTTCCAGACCCCATGGAGATCAAGATGATCTCTAAGCCCCGGATGCCCAGCCAGAGGTCATACAAGAATCAATCTGCGCTCGACGCGAAAACAACCTCAGCATGGGAAGATGCCCGAGACTGGCGATGTAAGTAATGCATTTTGTTGTCGGCGGGTTTAGATGAAGAAGGAAAAGGGAAATGTAAACGAAGGAAACAGGAGGATATTTTTGGTGCAGTGCGAGGCTCGAGCTCTGTCCTTGGCGTGTTTGCGCCCACTCCCGATTCACGGGACTTCAGTGCTCGGTAGTGATGAGGATTTCTTGACCTCTAGACATCTCCCTCGTATAACCCAACGCTCGGGAACAGAGCACCTTTCTCTCTCGTGCCTCTGCGTGACACGATTAGCCGCCAGCAGATTGTACGCCAACTGCAACATGTCCTCGCTTCTACCTGAGCTATCAAATCATAGCGATCATCAGTCCCACTCGGAGAAAGCTGTCAAGAGTCACATGGATGCGGTGGTGTCTGATCTCTATCTCTCTGAAGTTTCGACTTTCGCTTGGCTCGTATAGAGGTCCAAAGTCATAGAGCGACAAGAACTCCAGCACCCAGTAACTCTGCCTCCTAGACTCGTGACAAATGAACTCGGAGACTTGGGTTGCCGCTCGACTTTGCTCCTCCGCACCAGGCTGCTCTTGTCTGAGACCATGGTGACACCAAGTTACTAACACGACCGGGCTTGCCGACAACATGCAGCACCCATCCGCACCCTGGTTGCAGGTGTCCGCAGGGTGCTACAAGCCCCTTGCACAGAATCTGTCGAATTCCACCTTGCGCCATTACCCTGGTTCCAATCGGAAGGAGCATGGGCCGACCGAAGAGGCATACGGCAGACTTGACAGCGTCTGAGATTTTCGTGATTTGGGGAGGACAGCAGTCGGTCAAAGATGGCATCAAAGACATCCGTGTGACATGCAATGAAATGTGGCTTTTCCTTCCTTGCTTTTTTCTTCCCTTTGGCTACGCCAATCCTAGGGGAGGAGAGATGGCGGTCCACGTTTTGCCCCTAGCTTTCCCCAGAAGGCGGTTCATCCCCCGCCGAGCATCGTGGCTCAAGACAGACACACTTTGCCCTAATTTTGTAGCATGCCATGGCACCTATAGACAGGGTGTTTTTTCTTTTCCCCCCTTGTCGCCTGGCGGCGGTGGACATGGCCCGCCTGTTTTCCGCCTGGATTCGTTCTTCGTTGATGGCCTCTTTTCTTCTGCATTGTCACGCCGCGAGGCAAGAATGTGCTGGTGACCAAGTGAGCAAATCGCATAGCTGACTGGACTCTGGCGTTTTTGAATGGGAAGCTCCGGCTCCATTTGGGCACATCACGATTCTCGATCGTCCCTCTGATGCTCATATTAGCATCCCTTGGCCTCCACTGAGTCCTCCACTTGGCTCATTCGGTGCCCGCTTCATCGTCATCACTAAGCCCGAAAGGCATGGGGGTGGCACAAAGGGCGCCTGAGGGAATGCAGCTGGGCGCGAGCCAGGCTGCGGTAGCCCAGCCGTAGTCCGGTACAAGAACCAATGAAGCCGACATTTATGACCGTGACACATCCAGCTGCGGGCGACTGACACACACCAGACTCGCTCCGCCCCCCAAGGCTGCTGAGGCCCTTCAGGTCTTGAGGCCAGTCACAGGCCGCCAGGGGGCATCCCGCCGACCAGGGAGGGGCATCGCGCGCCCCATTTTCGCAAGCCACGCCCACCCTTTGCGACGGGCTGGCGTCTACGAGGGCAAAAACGAAAGAATCATGGTTGACGGTCCGTAAGGATGGGTAGATGCGGCCGGCATGAGGCGTGGGCAAAAAAATTCTGTTGCTTGCTCAGATCCTGCAGGGTGAGAATAGAAGTTCACGCCGTCTGAGCTTCGAGGGAAGTTGTAGTGAGATCTACAGTGCACATGGAAGAATCACTTTCACTTCTTCATTGACACGGGGGGCGAAAGTACCTCCAATCCGGATATCAAGCGGACCGTTTAGCATCACTTAGTTCACCCTCTCCATTTACACTTCCCTCTCCGCTGGGCTCCATACCTGCTCCATCTCCAAAAAAACAACATCACAATCCTGGCCGATCCGCCGCCCGCCCTCGTCCTCGTGTTCGCAGCCCAGAGATCAAAGATCTCCCGACGACTTGTTCCCTCGACGTGTCCTTTCTCTGCCTATATCGTCCTTTCCCCTTGCATCCCACAACTAGCGGACCTTACCAATACCTGATACCTGGCGTCAACGAGCACGGACCCAAAGCTGGTCTCATCGAGTTCCTCCCTTGCATATTTCACCTCTAGATCCCCCAAGTTGTGGACGTTTTCTGCAACACCTTTCCATCCATGATTGGGCAGAGATTGGCGCGCAGGAGTAAATCTGGAGGAACACAATGAGCATCGGGGATGGGAACAAGAGCAGGCCCAGCTGCCTTCTTTCATCTTCAAGTGATCTGAAGTTGTCGAGACGGCCTCCCACTGCATTCGAGGCAGGCTGATTAGTGCTTTCCGCTACCGCAGTCTTACCGTCGCCGGAAAAAGAGAATAATTACCACTTCTCTCATCGGAGCTCACGGCGTCGAGTCTTTCGGAAACGATGCTTACGGCACCTCAACGTTACGTGAATATGATGGATCCCATCAGAGATCCGAACATCTATCAACGCCCGCCAATTGGTGCGGCTCCTCGACAATATGCCATTCCCGCTAACTCGACTATTCTTGGACATGGACGTTCACGATCTACAGGACTCAGCTATGCAGAACATGAGATGATTAGACACCGGAAGACACCTAATGGCGGGAGGTTGTATGAGCCAGACACAGCTGCATTGGACAAGAGCGTGCAAATACCTGCGTCGAAGCACCTCATCCTCGCTTCTTCACCCGAATTTCAGCATCCTACCCCTCCCTTTACCAATTCATCACCCTGGAACGAAACGAAACGTCCTCAGCGGTCAGAACGGTTCGATGGATCAGATAGGGGAAGAGATGGAAGACAAGAAATGCATTCTCAGCCCTACAGGCCCTCTAAACCGTTATCATATCGCCCAGCTTGGGATTTTCCTGGCGGACTTGATTCAATGCTCAACCAGACACTCCCACTACAGCCTACACAGAGGTACTATGTCCAGCCTGGCTCGAACATCCCCACCGTTCTTCCCGCTACCCTTCAATCCCAATTTGGACCGACCGCGTCAGCTGGCCAGGAGTTGTATGGACCATATTGGCCAGATGGGACGTACAATCCCTATCGTCCTGCTGCCATTCGAGACAGCCGTTTCTTTCCACGTGCTCCGGCCGAGAGGTTTCCCTTAGACCATCACTTTGAGCACTTTCATCCCCTTCGGAAACATGGCAGGCTGCCGGTTGCACCGAACGACAGTTACCTGCAAAACATGGCCCAGCAAATGTTAGGTACACCCATGGGATTGACTGAGTCGCCTTCGTCGAAATGGAATCTTCACCAAAACACGTACCATGGCCCACAGAACCCCTACGCTCATCTATATCCATTACGTGACCGCCCAATGGCAGATTCGGTGGCCTCTGTGACTGGACCAACACTGGTATCTCTCATGCCTGGACCACGCTCGGAGCGCATTGCCTTTAGAGATAAGACTTTCGCCTGGGCCAACAAAATCTATATGGATCTTCTCCAGACAATCAGATGCACTACCAAGGAACAGCGCTCGGGCACCCATAATGCTTCGGGGATGAGGCCTGCACTGAAGCCTGCTATTTTTCCGAAGCCGCCCATCAGATCTGGATCACACTTCCAAATTGAATCGACGGACCGACCACCATCCCAGCGGCGGGATTCTTCTAATTCGTATCTGAATACAGGCACCGAACAGTCAACGTACGACATTCCATCGCGACCACAGACCGCCATATACAGACCGCCTAAAGCGTTGACTACGCAAGATTTTCAGTCTTTTCCGAGCCACCCCGAGTCCAAAAATATACCTCGTCAACCATATGAAGCAGGACAACAATTGCAAGAGATAAGGCAGGTCAGCGCCAGGATCAACAATTTCCCACAGATACCCTCTTTCGAATCGGCAGTCTCTGCACTCCAAACTATGGAACTGCTTTGTCAGGAAGCTGATGCTCCCTGGGTGGATGGCATGTTGCTGGCAGGTTGTTTGGCTTACGGCCTGGGCAACTACGTGAAAGCTGAGGAATGGTACAGGGCAGTTTTGCGACAAGACCCTGGCCATATTGAAGCCATGTCCAACCTTGCAGCAACCTGTCACGCCCTCCATCGCCGCGAAGATGCGCTGAAATATTGGTCAGACGCTGTCAGCTTACGACCGAGCTACTTTGAGGCCGTGGAGCATCTGATCGGGCTGCTGTGTGCGAGCCACAGAGCGAGAGAGGCTGTCAGTGTGATCGAATACGTGGAGAACACGCTTCGGATCCGGGGCGACGATCCTCAAAGCTCTTGGGCCGAATTAAGTGATGCAGAAAGCGATACCAAAAGCCACGCTTCTAGCATCAGCACAGTCGCTTCGTACGACAATGCCCAGTATGACTACGATCCCGATTGCAGCCAGAATATCTCAACGGGTTCCGAATCTCAGCCTCCTGGCTATGGTACTAGCGGCTATGCCATTTCCGGGGCAGACAACGGCCGGATGCTGGCTCTTGTGCATGCCAAGGGAAATATGTTATATGCCCTAGGCCAAAACCACGCTGCGGCTGTGGCATTCGAGGACGCCGTCCTAATCTCCACAGGTCAGAGGAAACAAGGGATCAGGGGTCTGATCGATGATATTCTGACGGCCTGTCTATGTACCGTCCGCGACCGTGAATATGTCCGCGCAAAGCTCGAGAGTAAGGAACCTATTTTGCTGGCACCCGAGCGCGCCGAAGCCACTGCCAGGCACATGTTTCCACCCGAGGGCAATTTACCTGGTCTAGAACATGTTTCGCCGTCCTTTGCTGTCCAAGCCGGAATCTCCACCACTAGCAACTCCCTCCTTTCGCTCGCCAAAATCTATCAGGATGGCATGTCCAATGCGACAGAGATTGGAAGCCTGAAATCTCCGACGACAAGGGAGATCCTGGCATTGTACTACTTATCACTATCTCTACAGCGGAGTCCCTCGACAGCGAACAATGTGGGAATTCTCCTCGCCGGTGTTCAGCAAAGCGTGCATCCCGATCATCTGGCCGATTCGAACTTTACCCAAATCTCTAATATACCAGGGGTTGTTGCCGGCACCGGGGTGTCATTGGCATTGATGTACTACAACTATGGCCTCAATATCGATCAGAAGCACGCCCACTTATTCACAAACTTGGGTAGTCTGCTGAAGGATATCGGGCAACTTGGCGCTGCTATCAAAATGTACGAACGGGCCGTCGCCTGCGATGGCAGTTTCGACATTGCGCTGGCCAACCTCGCAAACGCCGTCAAAGACCAAGGCCGCGTGGCTGATGCCATTGCCTATTACAGGCGCGCAGTAGCAGCCAACCCCGACTTCGCCGAAGCTGTGTGTGGGCTGGCTACGGCCTTGAACTCGGTATGCAGTTGGGATGGCCGGGGAGGCATATATACCAGTGACATCGTGCGGGATAGTCTGCATGTGGACGAGAGAGGAATGAAGCAACAACCGTCCCGGCCGTACGGGTGGATTAACCGAGTGGTGGAGATCGTCAAGAAACAGCTCAAGGAAGGGGAAACTTGGGGATGTGGAACATTGAACCCGGCAGTCATTCACTCGTTGGCGATGCAATTGACCTTGCACAAGCAATCCTCTCGGGACAACGGGCGAAGTCAGACACTGGAAACTGTCCAACAAGCCTTGCGATACTGGTCTGGACAGAGATGGGAAGGATCTAGGATCGTGCGACTTGTTGAACGCGCAATCCGTCAGATCGGGTGGCAGTGGTATCAGGATCGTTATAAACGCCGAAAGGAATACCCGGTTCGAAAATATGCCAGACCCTATCTTCCTAACTCGCTGTCACCACCCTCGGCGCCAACAGTCCTTCCTTTCCATACATTCACAGCACCCCTCTCCGCCAAACAAGTCCGGCAGATCTCACAGAGAAATGCTCTCCGTATCTCTGTCTGCACTCTTCGATCTGCGTGGCTTCCAGCCACCGTGTTTCCTCCACCGTCGCCTCCAAATCCCTGCCTGAACGTGGGGTATGTCAGCTCGGACTTCAACAATCACCCTTTGGCGCATTTGATGCAATCAGTCTTCGGTCTGCATGATCCGTCGCGAGTGAGAGCGATATGCTACGCAACAACTGCCTCTGATGGCTCCATCCACCGGCAACAGATCGAACGTGAAGCACCAGTCTTCCATGACGCGTCGTCGTGGAGTGTGGAACGACTGGTCAACCAAATTGTGGAAGACAACGTCCACATCTTGGTCAATCTCAATGGATATACTCGAGGTGCACGAAATGAAGTGTTTGCCGCACGCCCTGCGCCTATCCACATGTCTTTCATGGGCTTTGCTGGCACCCTGGGAGCCGAATGGTGCGACTACGTATTTGCTGACACAATATCCGTGCCGCCAGACACACTCTCGCCATGGCGCCGCAATGTGGATATTGAGGATCGACTCCGGACGGACTCGTTGGTGGAGGACGTCGAAGATTGGGTGTACTCGGAAAACGTCATCTTCGCCCGCAACACGTTCTTTTGCGTCGACCACAAGCAAAGCGCGCCCGACGCAGACAAGGGTCCTCCAAACACCAAAGATCCCACTAAACGTGAGGCGGCTTGGGAACGCGAACAAGACAAGCGCTGGAAACTGAGGAAGGAGCTTTTCCCAAACCTTTCTGACTCGGCCGTGATTTTGGGCAACTTCAATCAGCTGTACAAAATTGATCCAGCCACGTTCGACATGTATCTCCAGATTCTCCGGGCGGTTCCCAACGCAATCCTGTGGCTATTGCGTTTCCCGGACTTGGGGGAGCAGAACCTCAAACGCTACGCAGAGAAATGGGCTGGCAAGCAAGTCGCAGAACGCATCGTTTTTACCGACGTGGCGGCCAAAGGGACGCACATCACACGCGCCTCTGTCGTCGACCTCTTCCTCGACACACCGGAGTGCAACGCTCATACCACTGCTGCCGACACGGTGTGGTCCGGCACGCCCATAGTCACGTGGGGGAAATGGAAATATAAGATGTGCAGTCGTATGGCTGGGAGCATTGTGGCTAGTGCACTACCAGAGGGCCGCGAAGGTGATGAGGCAAGGAGGGATCTACTCGTCCAAAGCGAGAAGCAATATATTGACACGGCGATTGATCTCGCACTGGACCTCAAATACACTTCGTCCGAGTCTAATGGACAGAGGATTGGGCGTGGGAGGGGGAGATTGGTGGATTTGCGGCGCATGTTGTGGGAAGGGCGTTGGACGAGTCGGTTATTCGATACGAAGCGATGGGTGAGGGATCTGGAAATGGCATATTGGTCAGCTTGGAACAAGTGGGAGAAAGGCGAAGGTGGTGACATATGGTTATGAGGAGAGCAACGAACGGGACATACAAGGCCGAGTTGGGGGGTTGTGCCTTTATGCTTGAGAGATTTCAAGGTGCATTTTCATGCAAGGATGAGCAAGCGAGCGAGTTAACAAGGGACGATAACCAGGGACGATGCTCGTGGGCATACGAGCTGGCGCGTTGTGACGGGACGATTCTATGATTGCAACAAACAACCGGGCGGGAAAAGTTGACCTCCACGCGAAGGACATGTATGGGTGTTGAGGATCAGACACACTATGGGATTTTTACTCCCTTTGGGAGTTGTGTTAGGGAGGACAGGGCTGGATGGAGGATCGTCCAAGCCTACGGGACATGAAGATACTTTTGACGACCTTTACGAAATGAGAAAGACCGGCTTGAAGGTGCTTTGTGGCACTCGGCTTGCTGGAGTCCTGGGCAGGCTTGCTTGCTTGCTTGCTTGCTTGCCAGCCATGTTTTATCTGGCGCATATTATTTTGCTGGATCGTGTCTTTTGGATGGTCGTTGTCATTGTTCGCTGTGTCGCGGTGTGGGCATCTATCCACGGGGTTTCTTCCGCTTTGTGTGATGTGATGATGGCACTATCCTGACAGTGATCTTCACCTTGCTCTTGTTCTTGTTCTGATTATCGATAACGATGTCGATGTCGATGTCAATGTCGATGTTGATGTTGATGTTGATATTCATACCCATATAGACAACATTCAACGGCCTCCTTCCCTTCCCTTCCCTTCCCTTGCTCCCTCGCCTATTACTTATTGTATATACCCCCTCCCCCCTTTCATTCCATCCCGTTCGCTAAACTAAACCCCCAGGACCTTTCCATGGCTCTCTCTCTCTCTCTCTCTCTATACGGCCGTCTCTGGTTCTAGTCTGTTATCGCCAACTCCTCATCTATCGTGTGACGTGGCCTTTTTCCTCAGCTTTGGTGTTCTGACACTCAGAATCCGATCCGAACTTAACCTTCGTTACAAGGAGGAAAGGGCTAATATAATAAGAAGAAGGGAGCGAGCGAGCGAGAGAGGGAGGGAGAATAGAAGGGGTGGGGGACGGGAATTGACAGTTGAAGAAGGAGTTAGTACGGTAGGCGGACTGTGAGTAGAAGGAGGAGGAGAATAGGAAGGAAGAAAGAAACAAGGTAGGGAGATAATAGGAAGATAACAGGAAGGAAGAAGGGGGAAAGAGAGGGAAGTAGGGACGGAAAGAAAGAGGGCAATGTAATGAAAAGCCTCGATGGAAACCGTGTAGACAAGCTGTTCTTAGTATCGAACGCGTTTCTCCCTTGTGTGGGCGATACATATGGTTTGATATTGACTATAGGGGTGTAAAGAAGTAGAGAGACAGGTATGTTGGAATAGTATCTGTGTGGCTGCGTCGCTGTCACCCGTCCATATCATATGTTATAATCTTCTCTCCTCTCTCACATGAACACCATGAACACCGTCAGCAATGCGGTCACCTCTGTACTTACTAGATGAGATGCTTGATGGATTTTCTGACCCTCCATTCTCCTTTCGTTGGCATTTCCTGGGCCCCAGTTACTTACTTCCCACGATCCCTTTTGCAAATCTTCAACGAATCCCTCTTTCCCTGGACATGTATACCTGCAAGGTAATATTCCTACTGTGCCCATCGGTCTCAAACCCAGGTTTTTTTTTTGGTTCTTGAAAGTGCTTCTTTCTCACCCCCCTCGTACTCGATTGTTCTTTTGCTTCCTGTCATGTCCTCTTCCATAGTTATTTTATCGCGACAACTTCGAGGCTCTAAAGAAACATGTCTCTCTTGGTGACGGAAGCGGGTCCCTTTCTCACATACGATAGAGGTGCTTGGGGCGAGGAAGTAACGGCACGCAACGAGTCTGCGAGACGTGCTAATCGGACTGGACAGAGAGGGTAGCTATTCTCGCGCTTCCGGGGTTGACGATTCAAAGAAAGAGAGGAGCGCAGAGGAGAAGGGAAAAAGCGGGAGGACTGTTGTTCTGGGCAGCTGCTTGACTGCTCGCCGCCTCCTTTTCGAGTGGTAGGATGGCTGTGGTTTAACGGATGAGCAAATCGAATCGGGCGCAAAGCTGTGAGGAAGATCAGCCTGTGCCTTGTCGTCGTGGAACAGGCCGACAGGCAGCGTCTCGGTCTGGTAAAAGCAGATCATGGGAAATGGTGACCGAGTGGTTACACGCTCATCGTGGGTAGTAATCTCAGACAGGTTTCTCGTTGTCTGAAGAACTAGATGTCGTAGCCATCTTGCTCAATCGATATATGAAGCCTATGGACAATTTCTGGGCCAAGCTCTGCGGCGGATATTGTGCTTTTTGAGACAGGATATGGATGCACAGATCTAGGCTCGTCAATGCCCAGGAATGGTCTACCATCCCAGCTCTTTCTGTGTATGAAAAGGGCGAGGAACGATTGCGGATCAACGCTGGAGAAAATACGGCGAGATTGTAAACTCAGTGGGAGGACGAAGCGCTGGAGGTGAAGACCGGGGCGAGAGCGCATAGGCAATGATGAGTATTTGCTTTAAACAGACAAGGCGAGAGAGAACCTCGATTCAACATCATGCCAAATCACGGAGCTTCTCAACGCCCTTCTAGTGCTGGTAAGCTGGGTGGTCTGTGGAACGCGTGGAAAAGGGAGCTTGGACAACAAATACCAGGTCCTCCTCCCCAGACGTTGCCCTTATTCATCGTCGTCATGCCTGCTGCGGCTTTCTCTGCATGGGCTGCAGCGTCTTGTTTGGCAAGATATCCACGTACTCTTTTTGACTGAGCCCAGCGAGATACGCACTCTATGGTGCTCACCTTGTGTTGAGGGGATTATGTGAAAGAAGAGAGTGGATGAGGAGGCCCTACTCTAGAGAATGACCAGTACATTGACAGTACGCTGGGCTCCCTAGGAATCTCGCGCAAATGCGCTGGAAAACACGCAAGAGGGATGGGGGGGGGAAGGACCGGGAAAGGCGAGCAGGGAGGGATAGAACGAGAGTGTTTTGGGTCTACCTGCCCAAAGGTCGCGAAACGAGAGACAAACAATAGCTGAGCAGCCGGGCATCCTGGATGGCCTGCTCGGTTTGTTGCCCTACCGACAGTTTTGGCAGGTCCTGGAAAGAACACGCGGTTCCGCTGAATCCCTCCACCCTCCCCCCCCTCCCTCGTCGCCGACGGCCAGGTCTGGAAGCGGTGATGCAGGATCTTTCACACCTCTGAGGCGCCTGCTCAGCGAATCGGCGCTGCAAGCCCGGGGTATGATGGATATGTGGTGATCACGGAACAGCAAGGAGATGTCTCGGACACGAGTCGCAACTCGATGCTCGTCGAAGTCCAACCCCAGCGGCCCAGGGATCCATTCCATCCCAGCCCGTCGCCTCTGGGCGGGGCCTACCTGCTGGGGACTTGTCCCTTTGTGAGGCAATGCTCTTCCTCGCCGTAGCAACCATGTCCAGCGAAGGTTGATTCAATGCCGTTGAACCTGCTCGGGTGCAACCACAAGCCAGAGCGTTGGATTATTTCAGCTGTCAGTGTGCCAGCAGTGGATCAGAAAAGACGCAACGGGCAATATCGTGTTGGCCTCTCACAAGACGACGAAGCCAACGGGCTTGGATGCCTCCGGACGTCGTCCATTATTGCGTAGCCTCATACCCACCGTTGCTGGCGGGCAGCCAACGGTGGTGGCAAACTGCAATTTCCATGCACTGTACCTTTGAGGACACATAGTTTGTTGACGACTTGCCACATACGACCTGAATTCTTGCTTTTCGAGCCTCTCAGGTCGATTATTGAACGACATTGATCCAAGGGGGGGCAACAAATAGCGCCAGAGGTCTTGCATCTGCCCTGGTTCAGCTGAAGGATCTGCAAGGTGCCGGATTCAGCTTAAGGCGATGCATGTGTGCGCATATCCGAGGACCGAATGGGAAGACCACCAGGTCAGAAGATCGACCGATCTGAAGCTACGTCCGGCTTCATCAAGCGGTCAGTCGATGGAATGGAAGCAGACCGTCGAGGGCCACCAGAATCCCCTGGTCTTGTGTTGAGAGGTTGAGGTTCAACGCTTAGCGGTGCCCTCTTCAGTTGCAATGCTCCAGAATATGCTTTTACGCTGCCCTTCGGCCTGCACATTCCACCAAGAAAAACAGGCTTTTAAGTGGAGATATAATTAGAGAGCAATGATACTGACAATGGCAAGCTCCGCGAGAGCGCGGAAAAGGCAATGGAGTACCTAACTAGCTTGCTAAAAGGGGTCCGGACGGACCTGGAGGGTGTATTGGGGGGCATCCTTGAGTGAGCAAGACTCGTAAAACTGCACCTGCGCGCGGATCGCTGTTGCTGTGCAAACACCTTTTTTGGCGACGAGGTATTCCCCGTCATAGCAACCTTGTCGTGGGTTGAATCTGCGCGCAATTGAGGTGCTTCTTCACAAGGGGAAGGGGGATCAACATTGTCCAAGGAGCAACTCGTCAACGGGTCGAAGATGGGGCGACACGACTCTTCACACAGGCAAGAGTCAAGATTCCAGTTCGTTCTATGTAGAGATAGTCGAGTTGATACCCCAGGCGATTGACTTCTTCGGATGCCGGAGAGCAGTGGGACCTTCAATGCAGGGGAGAACGTCCTGTCTGAGCTTCACAATGCACATCCCAAGGGATCGTCGCAAAGAGGGCGCAAGACAGAGAGGCCTCGAACAACAGTCCATTGCGCCAACAGCGGCCTGGGATCAGAGAGTCGTTGCAAAACATCTGCTGGTGGTGGGGATGATACTTGCCGCTCATGTTGGGCCTTCGCTGACTGGTTGACGATCTGGAGAGCATCCTACAAGGTGCAATGGCTGGTACCCCAAAGCCCTACAGGTGTTGGGCATACCCAGGTACTGTGCCTGTCAGAGCGGGTGATCGATGGTTCTAACCCACTGAGACCCCTCCATGCCCCCCCCCCCCCCCCCCAAAAAGCCCGTCACTCTAGGGAGGTGGGAAGTCTTCCTCCTAGGCTCTTACCCCCCTCCCCTCCCTTCCAATGGGCCATGGTAGGCGCCCGGGTTGCGTGAGACTGAGGAAGAACAGAGTTTAGGCAAGAGAAAGCGGAAAAGGAAAGTATCGCCATCCACTAGGCTGCGTGACGGCACGGTAAGTCCCACAGTTTGGCATCCATCGGACCTCCCACCTCTGCGTCGGGCGAATGAGTTCCGCCCAACGGGCGAGAGAGAGAGATAGAAGGGAGAAGGCCATTGCTGTCAGCGAGGACTAATGGTGGGCAACGTTAGGTAGGCAGGAAAGAGACAGGCGGTGGACTGGTGTGGTACGAGTGGGCAGCGAGATGTGCCCCGTTGCTGGCGATTCCCGCTTCTGGACATCCGAAGAAGCTGTAAGGTTCTGTAGGCAACTTCCTCGTACGAGCCGGTGTGGTTGGTTTTGCATTCCAACCACCAGACTACTGCTTCATACGAACAGAATCCGCAAACCAGCCGGTTGGTAGGTAAACCCTTGTACAACACGGACAAATTGAGATCTTGACTGAAGGCGAGCACTGTTGAATCTTGGTTATGGACAACTGATGGCTGTAAGGCAGTCTAGGTCTGTGAAAACCAAGGTCACACAGCGTCTGAGGCTGGTTGGTGGTCAACCGGTACCAATCGGACATGTATCTCCACGCATGAGACGATGAATGGGGAATACATTATAGGGCCTGTGATGTGATGTGATGGTAACGTGCAAGCATGCGCTCCCGAAAGTCAACACTGGCAGCAGCAGGAGCAGCAGGAGCAGCAGTAGCAGCACAAGTGGCTCTGGCTTCTCGTTGTCCTGTCGTCAATTCTTGCCGCTGCCGTGAGCCGAAGTTGAAAGGAGCCCTGCCAGAAGCCATTGGACCGCTAATCCAGTTCAAGGGGAACCCCCAATAACACAAGGCGCCGATAGACTCGTCACCAGTCGTTGTTCGGCGTGCACCTTTTGCAGTAATGTTGAGACTGCCGAAATGGGTTGACTAGAATAGATAGATAGTCCACCGCCCACCGCCGACAGCCCACAGCCTGCCTCTTGCCCGAGTCCACTGTCGCCACCAAGAAGGATCATTAGAGCTCGAACCGGGGAAATTTCAATGACAAGCACCGAGTACGGAGTACGACGACACGAGGATGATGGGAACAGCCATCGGTTTGGAGGGAAGTGCAAGCTCTGCCGAGTTTGGGGGGGACAGGGCGGGTGTGGCTTAGGGGACAAGGGAATGGGCTCCCAGAGGTCGGTCTTTGCATTTCTACCTCGTAGCATATGCCCCCGGGAGTGGAGAGTCAAGGTTGGAGCCGGTGCCCAAGGACGCAGCTTCGCTTCCGCCGTGCATTGGAGGCTTTAGCGGACTGATGGAGATTTCACTCGGCCTCGGATAAAGCAACAAGAGTCCAGCAGGCTTGTACAGCTTCAACCGTTTGTGACGACGGTGGTTCTGAAAATACTTACAAGCTCAGCAGTTGGCGAATCGGCTTCTGCATATTGCTCGTACTTGTAAGGACACCAGTCTGTGACTAGCAGAGAATCTGGTGGGCTTGGAAAAGCCATCTCTCAAGGTAAGGGCCGGGGCAAGCAACCGCCTAGGTACCTACCGGGCGAGGGCTGGCAGCATCAAGGGCAGCGGTTCTAGTCCCAACAAGCACCACGCCAAAGGAGGGTTATCGGTTGAACGGCCCCAATAACCACAAGGCCCATTGCGCCACGGCGACACCTGGCGCTGTGAGAGGCGAAAGCAGCTGGTCCGAGCTCGTTGGGGGCGCAAAAGGCCACCGAAGGTTCCGTAGAAGCTAGGATGAACCACACGAGATCAAGGTCTCACACTGACACATGCTTCAACCAGGATTTTGCCAGACGGGCCCTCGTCATAGCGATTATGGTGGGCATTCATCGTCCCGCTTCATGGACGGGTCAAGCCCCTTGATAGCCACCTGGTAGCCATCGAAGGCTGCGCTTACGTGAAATTCCCAACGGCTCGAGAAATGTGCCCGGGTCACCTTGTAGAGCTAGACAAGGGCATACTGCACCGATGCTGGACACATGACCCTTGATTTCATGCAACGGCGAAGGCGCGTGCATAGTCTGCCTTCCAGCCAGAGGGGAGAAGGGGGCAGCAGATCGACCAGCGTTGATCAACCCCGGCACTCTGCAGGGACAGGCTTGGTCTTGCACTCCTTTCTTTCTGCATCATTGCCTTTTAGCGATCTCGCTGTCAACTCGTGGCAGATGCCCATCATTTTCTGCTTGAGACACAAGAACGAGCTCGCTTACTTGCAGTGTGCAGATCCGCCCCCGACTTAGGGACACTCGCCAGACGGGATATCCGGGTCTCAAGGGGTTGTGCAAGGCTGGCAAAGATGGGCCACTGCAACTCTGACATTTGCTTCAAGAAGAAAAGATGTGACGGATCTGCAATGTGATGAGATGCAACATTCTTCCTTGCTTGATGTCGCGACCATAGATCCTGCCCCCCCTGGAAGTTGCCATTGGCTTTTGTTTTTCTAACCTTGACGTCGTATCTTGCAAGCGATGGACCCTCGCACTAATTGATGCTCCTCAAGGGCCGTCAGTACACAGACTCGTATACAGATTTATGTCTTTATTTGTGGCGTTTTGTCACTCCGTTCTCCCTAGTCGGATTCCAGCCAGGAGAGAATTGTTCGGCGGCGGATTTGCTGCTATTCCTTTTCGCGGTTGACTGTTTCAAGCCATGTGGCGTCTCAGGAGCCTATGAAACTCGCTTGTGGGCGTTCTTTTCGGGTAGTGGGTGGCATGGCCGTCACTGGCTGTGCAGGCCATGATTCCAGACGAGTCCGGGGTCTGCAAACAGGCCAGTCAATCGTGATCGCAGCCCCATGGAACGCCTCGCTTCAGAGGGTACGAAGCGAAAACCAACTTTCCAAAGATCGCCGATCGCTACCCTGTTCTCCCGCCCAAGGAGACAAACTTAGACGATGGAGATGTCTTTTCCGGGACCGAGTTGTATATACGTGCCATTTCGAATAGCAATCTTGTTCCCTTAGGACACTGATCACTGTGTACACTGCATCCAAGGGGTCAGCATCGGCCAGCTAAGATCTCAATGGGTACTGATCGTCGCCTCGTGGAAAGTCTAGTCCTGGACTTGTTGAGGTTGCGAGGCCGAGTCAGCGATAGCGCAGATCGTGCTCGAAAACCATACTCCATCCCGTAATTTCGTCAGCAAAGGGGACAATCTCTCCTGTCTTCGAGAATGGCAGTGGTCATCCTGACCTCCTGCGTCCTCGGCATTCAGGCGAGACTCGTTTGACGTATGGATCATCGTGTCGATTTGAGGCCCGCTCGTGGTTGATTGCGAGGTTGGATGACACCTCCTATCGACAGTCGAAATGTACCACGGTGCATGTAGCTACCTACACCGCTGCACCTAGCAAGTCACCTACTCCGTATCAGAGCCTGTACAAGCCATCCTTCCACCCCACCGCCCTCCGCCCACTGTTGTGTCTCTGACGAACAGGGACATTTCCGAGCCGTGGCTTAAAACACCAATTTATTTTCCGTTGGCCCAAAAGCCCAATCCCTAGGTCGGGCTGGACGGAACCAAAGCCTTCAGCTAAGGCATAGAAATTTGGCGGCCGTGACAACTCTCCGAAGACTGGGGACAGGGCGGGAAAGGAACCACCAGAACAGCCAGGGAGCTTTCGTCATCCGGAAAGAAGGGTTGAAAAAAAAAAAAAAAAACCAGGGCCGCCACAGCAGCTTATGGGTCGCACTCCTAGCTCCAGGGTATTTCCACTGATCTACCAACGGTCTCTAGAAAGAGACGGGTCGAGGGACACTTGTGAACGCTGCAAGTTACATCATGGAGTCCGCATAGCCAAGCTGCACCTCTCAAGCCCCTTGGAACTTGATCTGGGAGTGCCTGTGGAGAGAGAGGGTCCTCGTTTTCAGCAACCACTGAGATCCAGATGCTACCCAGTCGACCGAGGAGATGTCAGCAGGGAAAGGAGGACTCGCCAGGCTAGCAGGAAAGGAGAAAGTACCCAGGTACCGTAGTGGCATGTCGCTTCAACGTCCGCCGAAGAGCCTTGATCAGGCCGGACGTGAACTGGGGCAGCTTCGCCCTTCTGCTGCCGTCAGGTGCGTAGATTGGTGGGCTGGAGCCTTGGCCGGCACAACAACCATCGACAACTGCTAGCGGGCAAACAAGCGAACAGGCCCTGGCCGCAGCAAGGCCATCTCGCCGCCAGCAGGTGGAGGGAAACAACCCCCCCAGCAGCATCGTAGGCAGGCCAGGTGAGCCGAAGAGGCAGCAGGCGTAGAGTTCAACGCTTGACCTGGGGTCAGCTCCAATTGTCCGCTACGGGGACCAACTGCTGAAGCCCGATCGGCGACCCCAAGTGGCCCTGGTAGGCTTTTTGTCCTGGTGGCTGTTGCCCAGGAGGGCTAGCCGTGGCCGTTCAGCGGTCAAGTTGACAGTGCGCGCGTCTGATCTCCCTCTAGCCTCCTCCCCTGTCGACCTTCTCGCTTGTTTGGCCTGCTAGACCGAGATATCTGGACTCTAGTGCTGCTTGGCGATCTCTCAAATCTTCTCGCTGGGTCCCTGCCGTGACACCATCCCTGCCGGGCCAGGTGATTGGCTGCTGGCTGGCGTCAGTCCTTTGCAGACCAAGTTGCAGCTTTGGTGATGGGGAAAAACGATAGTGTTGCTGCCACTGTGATCCTGGTGACGCGACACGGCATCCGGTGGACCAGGGTCTTTTCGACCACCTCAGCTTCGATGGGATGGATCATGCACTCGGGGCGAGTCTCGTTGGTCGACAGCCTGCCCCATTGGCATTGCCAGGTTCCCCGTCGGGAAGATCGAACGACTGGTGTGCATCGCCACCAAAGGCTTCATTCAGTGCCCACCTTTTTCGGAGTGAAGGGACATGATTGCCCAGAAACAAAGATACGGCGCCATGGGATGCATGCAGGAAACGTTCGACAACGGTCTGGCCAGCGGGTGGTAACTGCGAGTTCGACTCGTCATGGGCAACTGCACTCGAGGTGCTCCGAGAACGTCGTCTTGGATCATACGATTACAGGCAGCGACAGGACCAAAGTTATTTTATCAATAGAAACATCTCACACAGGCAACGGGAGACGAGGTCGGTCCATACCAGAGACAATGTACGTAAAAGCCACAATTAAACAATAGATTCTGTCTTTTCTGGATCCGCCCGCAGTACAGTATTTGTGGGCCGTTCCAGCTTTGGATCAATCCTGCCAGCCCCAGCTATGTACGAGTAACAGCCTGTCCACCCAGTGCCCATCCAGTACCCAGTACCCAGTACCCATCAAGGTCTGCTCCCAAACAAGAAGAAGAAAAATAAGAAAGAACATACCAGCACCAGTGAGTTCGCCCTGCAACCTGTTTCCTGGAAGTCCAACTAGAACATCCGTTGTAGAATCAATACAACTCGTTCCCAAATGCTGGGGCTCCCGTCCCGCCCGTAAAGAGATCATCTCGTCAAAACTCAGCCCGACATTAAACCAATACAATAGAGTAGATTTTCTTGTTAACATAAACCCAAAACACCCGACCGACCACCTCCCTTGCCAATTTGGGGTATCGTAGAGTCTTGCCACTCATGAAACTCGAAAGTTAGTGCCAGATGGCTAACTTGCCGCCGCCGTGTTGTTACAATTGGTCACTTGAGACCAGACCGAATGGAGTAGATGTGTTGTTAGCAGACTCGATACTGTGCCGAGTGTTCCCAGCTTAGGCGTCTGGGGTCCGCCGACATCGACATGATTTACTCGAGAAGCCGTGCCACGTTCATCCGAGTGTCCTTCTCGGTCGGTGAAGTAGCCTTGCGGCCGGATGGACTCGGGCTGTACCGCTCCGTGGTATTCAGGCTGGAGCGGTGGGTTGCAGCTTGCTGGGGCGATGGTGGGCGCGGCGAGACTGGGACAACAGTGACTTCAGGGATCACCGAATCTGCTCTTTCCGCGGATCGATATGCTCGCAAATCCTCCTGTGCTCGCCCCTTCCAAGAACCGTCGATCTCGGCATCAGGATAGTTGCCTGTGCTGTTTCTGCGGTGCATCTCCGGCCACAAGTCGAGAGACGGCAATTTCCCTACAGTCCCTCCAGGACGAGGGGACGTAACCGTCTTGGGCGAGATAGAACAATTCGACTGGTTGTCTGATACGAGCGACGGCGCTTGCTGGGGAAACGACCCTTGAGAGGCTTCTGTGGCCGCGGGAGATGGAACAGGGGCTTCAGTCCAGTTGAGAGGCGGCAACTGGCACTCTAGTCGACTGGGAGACCAGTTTTGGAACCCCAGAAGAGGTTTCCCTCCTGGACTGGGTAAATTGGCAGAAGCCGAGTGAGGTTGCAGAGGGCTCAGAATTGGCTGGTCACACCCTGGGTATAAAAGAGATCGGCAGTCTGTCTGTACGGAAAGTTGGCGCCCATCTGGCCGTGGGAGAAGATCGTATCGACGTTCTGGTCGCATGCCTAGGGTGCTTGAAGGGCTGATTTCGGGCCTGTGAAAGGGATCCGAGACAGAAAATGGTGGAAGAGCCAGCTGGTCTGGTAGATAAAGCTGCTTCAAGGGCAGAGACGATGCCGATGCAAGAATGGGTTGCGCCCGGTATCCCACCATTTTCGCCGCAGCACCATGTGGTCCTGTGTTTCTTTTTCGGCGATTCATGCTACCATTCCACCAGTTCTTGACCGCATTGTCGCTGCGGTTGCCCAGTCGTCGTGCAATTTCAGCCCATCGCTTTCCCATGTCGCGAACTAGTTGCTCGATGACTTCGCCCTCTTCTGCCGAAATAGGGTCGTGGTTCAGAGAAGGTTTCAGATTTTGATGATATCGTTCTCGACACTGTTTGGGGGACCGATGCTGCATGTGCTCAGAGATACGAACCCAGTTGTTTGGCCCCTGTGTTCTGACGAGATGCAATAGAGTAGCATCTTCTTCAGGTAACCAAGGGCCTCGTCGGCCGGATCGAGACATGTTGAAAGAATGGTTGCGCGGGCGGCGGTCAGCGACGTACTACTCTCCTCAAGAGAATGCACACAAGGTCGGAGAAATTCTCTCTCCCAGAGGCGAAAAGCAGTCGTTATAGGAGGCGAATATGTAGAGACGGCCTCCAGTGCCTGACTTGATCTGAGTTCTGAGCCAGTGGGGGTGGGCGTGAACGGTCCGTTGGAACCCTCAACCTAATATCCACAACTAAAGTCCCCAGGAGTAACGGACAGGAAAGAAGTTCTGCATTCAACAGTTTGTTTGGAAGCGACGGTTGTGTATAGGATTGTGAAAGGGCGAGTGCGAATGGTCGAGTAGAAAGCGGAAGAACAGGCTTTCTGAAGGAAGTCGAGAAAAGGAAGATCGGCTCAGAGGCAATAATTCAAAGATGTTTGGGATGTTCAATGATGATCCAATAGACGGTCAAGGTTACGGGTGATTCACCCCTCCGGTCCGCGCTTGACTTGAGAAATGATCCGAGCCCAAATCGAGTCTTGTGTGAGTTGGAAACGCAGCAAAGTTGCGGCTCGGTGGTCTAAAGAGATCAAAGGGGTCGAATTCTGGTCTTGGAGACCTGCTGTTATTCGATGTTTGTAGCATACGGATAGAAGTCGAGTGGTCCGTAGGAGGGGAATAAGGCAAAGAGGCGCTGGACGCACGAGCTAGCATCGCGCCATGGATGGCGAGTTGAGAACCCTTGACGTCCTCTTTCGGAAGCCCGGCTGGTTCTTTGTGGACGCAGTGAGAAGCAAGAGCCCAAGTTGGGGGACCCACGGCCGTACTTCCCGGATCACTCCTGAGTGAACTCAAAAGGGATATGGGAAAAAGTCAAGGATATGGAGCAGCGTTCTTCGGCTAAGCCTGCCAACTCACGTACCCAGGCCAAAGTCCGCACCCAGCACAAGAGGAACGGAAAGCCCCAGGGGACAGGCCCTCAGCGCCAGCCCAACGCCGCGATCGCAGGGAAGCGCTAGCCGTTCTTGTCCCATGGATCCATTTTGTTCGCCTTGTCGAAGCTCAGATGGGGCGTGGTGAAGGGCAGGAAAGGAAGGGCAGCGTAAGAGTCCGCTTAAAGTCGACCCAAAACGCCCAAAACTCCACCAGATCGATCTGGAGACATGGGTGCCCCCAGGCCTATTCAACAAGGCCTTACCAGGACAAGCAAGAAGGTAGGGCGTCTTGACAAATTCACCCTCCCAACACGGCAGGGTGGAGGTTTGCAGAGTTCGCGCTTCATGTTTCTATTGCATGCATAACGCGCGGAAACTCTCTTCACACTTTGCGTCGATCTCTGAATGTTTTCAGCAGCATTGAGATGAGTCTCCCTAGAAACCTGGCTTTGTCTGCGACCGAACACTGAGGGGCAAACCTGTAGATCAGGGCAATACAGCTCCATTCTGGCCCGGCGGCAAGTCCCGAGGGTTGTATTTGTCCAACAACAAAGCTGAAAGCGGGCCCCTGGGAGGGGAGGGGAGGGGGGGACAATGTCGAGACACGGACACTTGATTTTTGGGTAGAGTTAATGCGGCGTCGTTGGGTCCCCTCGCCAGCGGAAATGGACTCTGACCCCCCTGATCGGTGATGATGATGGCGGGTTGGCCCAAGAACCATCAACAAGCGATGTCGTCAAATCACCGTTTGCTGAGATGATGGAGGAAGAAGCTGCAAGCAGTATAGTGGCATGTCAAGGCCTTGATCGAGACCTCAGAGCGAGGTGCCTTCTGAGTGGTCCGAGGATTGGCCTTCACGTCAAACATTTGAGCAACTAAAATTGCGAGAGCCACGGCTTGCAGCCGGAGCGTTTTGACCGTTGTGGCCCCTGCGAGGCCCGAGCGGTCGATTGGAGCAGCATCCTGGCTGCAGCTAGCATTGGCGAACAGCGAGCCCAATGACCGGTGAGAGACAGGGATCGCGATCGCGTCCCGGAATCTGGCGCGCGCGGAATCCAGCGACTTTGGACGGTGGGAACCTCCAGCAGGCTGAGACGGCTAGCGGCGACTCGAGACGAACGCCACATTCATTAGCACATCCCCAAACACACAGTCGACAGAGCTCCTCCCACTGCCCACGGGCAGCTCTGAGTTTGTGCCAACTTTGGCTCGGGCAGATCATCGACTCCGCCAGGGTGCCGTCCTGCCTGTCAGATCGAGTTGCAGCTTCAAAGAGACCCCCCTGTTGTGTGATGGACCCCTCCCCGCCTTTGATTCCATTATGAAATACAACCGTGTGAAGGTGCTGGGCGCGCCCGGCTCTTTTTCAGCTCGTACCGTCAACACTAAACGGCCTCTAGAGTGGCCACGATGCTTGGAGGGCGTCTCGCGGGGTATTTACGGCATCCCACGTTCAGCTCGTCTTGGATCTTTTGCCAATTGGGGCTCGGTGGGAAATGGCCGGCCGAGTTGAGGGAGGCTCCGAATCGGTGGACAGACACTCTACCCCCTGCATCCTTGTCAACAGAGGGGTTCGTCAAGTCCCGCGTTCAAGGCAATAGTACCGAGTATAGCGGCAGTCTTTGGCGAGGGGCAGATGCAGTGTGTAAAGTCTGAAGAAGTCCGGAGGGACTTGAGAACTTCGGATGCGGTAGCCGGACTTTGATGGAGGGGGAGGCGAATACGAGCCGTCAAGCGACGGGGAAACGCTGAGAGGTGGCAGGGATGGATCAAGGTCTCCATTATTGCAATGGAATCAAGGTTCAGCTGATGCTGCAGCATCCAGGGCGAAAGTTGTCCGTTGTCAAGAAAGAGGGGGAGAGAGAGAGAGGAGGGGGAGGGGAGGGAGGCAAGATTCACGGGCCCCTCGACCGAGAAAGTGAAACTCTGATGAACTTGAAACTATCCCGCAGCACACAATGGGAAGATGCTTTTCTCTGATCCCCTGACTCTGGCCGTTTCTGTCTATTCTTGAGTTTGGGCAATGAATATCTATTTCCCGTTCCGACTGTAATGCTCCAGATCAATAAAGAATAATTGTCTCCTGTGTCCTCGCCGTCCCCTTTCTCCTATTACTTTACACTCTCGAGGTCCGATGAGGGAGTTTCTCTCTGCTACATACCCGTGGTATAGTTCCTCCTGGGTCTCGGAGAAGAAGGGCGCCAACACGATGCGGGATCCAACCTGGGCTGGCTGGTACAAGGACGGCCTCCATCTGTTCCTTTTCCCCAATGCGTGCAGCATCCCCCAGACACGCGGTCCAAGCAACGGGACGTGGTTTCTTTTTCCCTGCCAACCCCGGCGACGACGGGCTCTCATGCCACCAGCTTGCCTCGTCCTCGCGTCGTCTTCCTCTTTCTTGGGTTCTATTCTTTCAGCTGAACGGGTGGCAAGCACTTCCACCGCGTCCAGCACGGCGATACCGGGGTTCTAGAGCTCGCCCTCGGCTACCAAACCGCGAACTACCCCAGAATCTTTCTCAACCAAATTACCCAACTCGGTATTTTGTTGGACATCACCACCTCAGCTCCCAAAGACTCCACCCCTGGAGCAGTGATTAATTTGCCACTTGTCGACGGATTGACGCAACGCATCAGTAGTGGCTTGTGAGCTCCGTGACAGAATCGCCTGCCTCCTTCCCGTACTTCACCCGTTGCTCGTGGGTTGTTATCACAACCCGTCGTCTACCCACCGAGGAGGAGGAGCCCGAGCGAGCAGGTCGCCGATGAGAAGAACTCAAAAAAGACGCGCCATCAAACTTCACGTCAAGAAACTCCTTGGACTCCATCTTCCGTCAATAATGTTGGCTTTTCAGCGCGCAGCAAAGCCTCCGGTTGCCACCGCAGCAACAACCTCGCCCCTGGGAGACGGACTCAGCAACACTTTCTTCCGGTTCACGCATTTGGAAAGTACTCTCGTAGGTTCATGGATGATCGTGATCTATCCTAAGAGCAAGTCAAAGCCAGTGCTGGCTTGAGTAGTCGTAGTAACGGGGATGTTCCAACGTGAGCTGCCCTCATCTCCCATCTCCCTTCTCGCATGGCAGAACGTCACGTCGTTATGACCTATACGAGGGCTCTTAGAACTCCAGCAGGCACTTCCTTCCTATGCAATATTCACAAATTCTCGCTTCTTTCCTCTGGTCATGCCAGCAGCTGCCCCATCACCCTCCCGCCATGTCTCTTCATCGACGTACTCTGTTTCCCCAGCGACTTCTCTCACTCTCCGCCCCAACACTCTCAGTCCCGCGAGGTTAAACCCAAGTTCCCCTTTCTGCCTCATCAGCGTCCTTCTCAGCTTGCTCCTCACCTCCTCCAACATCCCTTTCATCGCTCTTGAACTCACAATCTGTCTTTGATGCGTCTTCAGCATAAACAACAATATCCGACAAGTCAAGGGGATGGCCCGGCCTTCTTCAGCCCAGAGCGCGAGGAATGTGAAGAGTGCGGGAATCTGAGAGAATGACAGGACGAGGAGGGCATCTTGGAGAGACGCCGAGGGGATCTTTTGGAAGGTGCTGAGCACGTAAGTTGATGCCGACATATTGCTGTTAGCAAGGAAGATCGGATTCCGCTGCGGAGGTGCAGTTTTGGGATTTGTTCTTCTTGCTTTGTCGTAGATTCGCATTGTTTCGAGATCTTCCACGCCGATTTCCAGAGCTTCCGCGATTTTCTCGCCAGCCATCAACGTTTGAGCGGTCTGCTTGCCGGCAGGGCCTGCTTCGACACTGTCCGTGTTCCCCTCACCGTCGACCTCGTTCGCATCATTGTCCAGGGATGTCAGGAGTGTGTTCTCGTACATGTCCTCGAGTTCCTTTTCTCTTTCTTCCTCCAAGAAAATCTGCTCATCTGTCTGTTGCCATATGCGGATGCTCTTATCGTGACTCGCCGTCACAACAAACTCCCCGGAATGCGCAACTGCCATGGCCCAAATCTCCCCCTGGTGACCCTCCAGCTTTTGGATCTGCTCAAACTTATCTGCATCATAATATTTAATCACCTTATCCTTGCTGGCCGAGAAGAAGTGATGGCCGTTGCCTTCATCGTTATTGGGGATAAATTTCACGGCGAGGATACTATCTTGGTGGGCAAAAAATGCCTTGTGACAGTCGCCAAAGTCGAGGCCCCAAACGCGGACATTCTTGTCAGCGCTTGACGTGACGATAAGTTTGCTATCGTAACTGATGTCCATCGCTAGAACGGGGAGTTTGTGGCCGTAGAGAGTAAGGAACAGTTTGAGCGTGTCGGTGAAGAAGACCTTGACAGTGTTGTCGAGTGTGCTGACGGCGAGAAGTCTTTCATCAGGGGAGAAACAGATGGTCAGAATGTCGTCGCTGACTTTAAGCGTCCGGGTATGGACGAGGGTGAGTTTTGCGCTTTTCCGCGTGGTGCCCAGCACTTCTTCCTGAATGACTTTGAACTGCCAGAATTTGGCACTTTTGTCTGCAGACCCTGTGAGGAGAGATTTGCCATCCGGGCTGACTTGAAGAGACCAGATGTCTCGGTCGTGCGCATTGATAGTATCCAGCAGCGTAGATGCGGCGATATCAAATACTTCAAGCGTCCCCTCTCGAGTCCCCACAACAACGATCTTGTCACCCGGCAGAAATGCCACGCAAAGAGCGTGACCACAATCTAGGGTTCGCAAACAAGTCTGTGTTCGTGTGTTCCATATCTTCAAGCTGCCCTGGGAGGCGGTGGCCAGCATTCTGTCATCCGAGCTGACTGCGACGCAGCGAATGTCTGTACGATGGCCCGGCATGTCCACGGTGAGCGCACGCTGATACTCTGGGGCTTCAGTGGATTTCTTCTTGTCTGAAGCCGCCACTTCGAACAGCTCAAGTTGATTGTTTGAAGTGGCCACCAGGACCCGGATTGACTTGCCGGACTTCCCCCCAGCCCAGTCCATGGATCTGACTTTGCCCCCCGTACGTACAAGAACGTAAGGCACAAATATGTCCGCAGCTGTTGCGTTGGAGATGTCTGTCGGGTCTTCAACGTTGTCGGCGACATCAACGCCTGAGTCGGCATCCGTTGCTCCCTCCTTCTCTTTCCTCCTTTTCCTCTTCCGTGCGAGGCTTTTTCTTAGTTCCGTTTCTGAACGAATCCGCAGTATCTCGACGGCTTTGTCGGAGCCGTGCACGGCAACCAAGTCGCGTTTTGGGTGGAATGTGATCCCTAATGGCCGATCGCGGCCGTGCCGGTACAGTGTTCCCTGCTCCTGCAGGATATTTTGTCCACCTTGGATGTTCATGCCAACGCTCTCCTTCAAGACGGCTTCGTTAATGGACCACACTTTCAACTCGCCGTCGTTGCCGGCGGTGATGCACCCGCTGCCATCCCTCGTGAGTCCGAGAGCCCAACATTCTCCGTTCGTTTGTGTCACATGCGTCTCGATACAGTGCTGGGTGGACAAGTCCCACAGTTTAATCAGAGCATCTTTGCTGGTAGATAGAAGGGAATCATGGGATGCAGAGTCACCGTCGAGCGCGTCCCGAGCGTCGCCAGCGGTGAGGAAATTGAGCGAAGTAATTTGGTCCTTGTGACCACGGAGACGATACAATCCCACCTCGGCGACCAAGTCCCAGAGGATGATATCAGTATCCTTTGACCCGCTGGCCAGACGAACTCCAGAATGATCAAATATGAGTTGTGTGATCGCTCTCCTGTGTCCATTAAAAGTGATTATCACCGTTGCTGTTCTCGAGTCCCAAATTCGAATTTTGCCATCATCGTAGCCCACAGCGAACACATCAGGGTCAACCTGACTTCGGCAGATGACGGTAACGGCGGCATTATTGTCCTCGACGTTCCACTCCCCAACTTTTTCCGACTTTTTTAGATCCCATACTAGGACTGCCTCGTTGGCGCCAGCATAGGCACGACCGGCGCCACCTCTGCTCGCAGCGTCCTCATGCTCGGATGTTGGGTCCCAGACGACGTTCGCGGAGGCTGTACAGATCTGGCCAAAGGTCTTGCTGTGCTCGAATTTGCTGAATACGTCAGTATTACTCTGTCCAACTACAGGATTTCCTTTTCACTTACAGATATGACTTGACCATTGCGGGGGGATTTGGCGGCGCAAAGTCGAGTGATGCCGACAACTTTTTTTTTATTGAAATGCGGAGAAATTTCGCGGCAACCAGTGCAAAAATGCCAAGATGAGCCAAAGCCGTTAGCGCTCAAATGACATCTTCTTTCTCTTATAGGACGCGAGATTAACACGGTATAGGGCTGCACATAAAACGCGTAGATCGCAACTACCTGTCTATATTCCTATTGCAACACCATAAAGACCAACCATTGCAACTACCTCAAACCGCCTATTTTCAACGATCTCCTGGGCCAGAATGCCTCGCAATCAAGATCGCGCCACTCGTAACGAGTATCGAATCGATCCGAGCCTCCCAGGCGAGAAGGGTCAACGCGTTCAATGCCGCCATTGCGATGCTATTATGGTTGCGAATACCACTCGCCAGCGCCAACACCTAGTAAATTGCGATCTTTTCCAAGCAGTCCTGCCTACTCGTTCGCTCAGTGCACAAGCTCGGTTTCAACCGCCGCAGAAGCGGCCTCGTACCGAGTCTCTAGTACAATCGACCCTCGACATGGGCCTCTCCAAGGAGCAGAACGAACATATCTCTCGCCTAGCCGCGCGCATGAGCGTCGACTGTAACCTACCGATCACGATCTTTGAACAACCCTACTGGGCCGCCTTGATCCGCGCTCTCAATCTTTGGTGACTTCTGCGGGAGTGTGGAGCAGCGATCGCGCTGTCTTTGATTTCGCCCCTTTACTCTCAATCCTTGATTTTGAAGCCTCCTAGTAGACCCGTGACAGAGTGAGAGGACTTGGATCATGGAAGGCGTGAGCCGAGCTAGTCTGCATCGTGGCACAATACACAGGGAAATGGTATAAGAAACCCCAGCCGAATAGCCTCGTAGCCTTGCGACACTCCGTCCGAAAGGGGTATATGCTCCACCGGACTCTTGGCGTCTTGGCCACTGTGACTGCGCCCTTTTTCGAAGCGCAGTCGATGAAACAGCATCACGGCTCTCAAGACAGCATCTGCCGGGCTCAGGGTAGTATTTTGCCAACGGCTAGCATAGGAAGAGAGGTTTGATGCATCTCGGAAAGGGCCGCGATATCCAGAAGTAATACACACCGCTTCCTTGTCGTGGGCGGAGCACTCGGTACCAGTCCGGGTGACAAAGCGTCAAAGACAGGACAAATATAAGGCTCAATTGGGGTATTTTTGACTGCTACCAGGCTGCAGTAACAAAGGCCTCGTTAAATGGGGCCGTTGCTGGGGTCACGCCATCAGATGGGACTCGGTGGCATGAGCGAAGGAATAATATTAGTCTTGGAAATGGCGATATAAAAGCCGGACGGAGTGGCTTCTCCGCGGCCACGTTAAATTTCTCCCCTCCTCCCCTCGTCCACTTTTGCAAGCAACTCAACTCAGTACACACCGCGACAGCTCTCTGTCTATGTTGGCCCTACAAGACAAATGGCCAAACAACAATCAATGATGAGAACTTGTAAAAAAGCACAGTCAGCATCGAGTCAACATGTCTGTCTCGACACTGCGTGCGCTCACTGACCCGTCGCTGCATCACCATGCCCGCGGAGTTCTGTCCATCTCACTACCAACCTCCTACTGTAGCCTCTTTTTTGCGGCCGATTCTCAAGGTGGGACGTGGTCTGACAGGTCGCCTGTCGTTGTTTACGTACTCGATTGTCTTCGTCCCCATGGAGTGTGTGAAGTGAAGAAGCGTCGACGATGGTTATATAAACGCTTGAGTCTGTTCTGACTGCTTGCAGGAGAATCAACGCACCCATCTCGCCTCCCCCCACCAACCAACAACAATCCTGATCGTTGAACATAGAGCCAAACCAAGATGCTGACCTCCACTCAAGTCCCTGCACCACTACGCGGCGATGAGCCAGATGTTGACACAGTCGAGCCGTCTTTGTCTCCGCCAGCGCAAAAGCCCGAGCTGAGCCCCGAGCACCAGAAGATCGTCAAGTCGACTGCGCCCGTGCTGGCCGAACATGGCGTTGCCATCACCTCGCACTTTTACAAACGCATGCTGTCCAACCATCCGGAACTGCGCAACATCTTCAACTCGGCACACCAGAGCACGGGGACGCAACCTGCCGCTCTCGCCCATGCGGTGTGGGCATATGCCGCCAACATCGACAACTTGGGCGCCTTGACCAGTGCCGTTTCCCGCATCGCCCACAAACATGTCAGTCTCGGGGTCACGCCCGACCAATACCCCATTGTCGGGGAGAACCTGCTTGCCTCCATCCAGGAGGTGCTGGGCGACGCCATCACCCAACCGATCTTGGACGCCTGGGCCGCCGCGTATCAGCAACTTGCCGACATCTTCATCGGCGTGGAGCGTAGCCTGTACGAGGGCGCCGAACACAGCCCCGGCGGCTGGACCGGGTGGCGCCGGCTCAGGGTGGCGCGCAAGGTCGTCGAGAGCGACGAGATTGTCTCGTTCTACCTGGAGCCCGTGGACGGGGGCCCGCTGCCGACGTTCACGCCGGGCCAGTACATCTCGGTGCGGGTCTTCCTGCCGGAGCTGGGTGTGTACCAGCCGCGCCAGTACAGCCTCTCGGACACGGACGACGGCAAACACTTCCGCATCTCGGTCAAGAGGGACGCGGGCCAAGGGGGCCCCGCGGCGCCGCCGGGCCGCGTGTCCAACGTTCTGCACGAGCAGCTGCCCGCGGGCGCCGAGCTGGACGTCAGCAACCCGCTTGGCGACTTCACCCTCGATGTCGCCTCGGACGAGCCCGTGGTGCTGATCAGCGGCGGCGTGGGCCTCACGCCCATGCTGTCCATGCTGGGCACGCTGGTCGAGCGCGCGCCGACGCGGCCCGTCGTCTTCGTCCACGCGGTCCGCAACGCCAAGGTTCACGCCATGAAGGACTACCTGGCCCGCGTCGTCCGGGACAACCCCCAGGTGTCCAAGGCCGTCTTCTACGAGGAGACCGAGGCCGCGGACCGTCCGGGCGTCGACTACGATTTTGTCGGCCGCATCGTCCTCGCCGACATCAAGGACAAGGTCCTTCTGCCCAACGCGAGCTACTACCTGTGCGGCCCCATCCCGTTCATGCGTCTCCAGCAAAAGGCCCTCGAGGACCTCGGAGTCCCTCCTGAGCGGATCCATTCTGAAGTGTTTGGTTCGGGCGTCGTTTAGCTAGACAGCTCGGTGTCGATTTGGTCCTTGTCGAATAAAAATACTACAACGATACAGCATATCATGGGAACAGGTGCGAGGCGTCGGAAGATGGGGTCGATTAGACCTTGTTGTAAATCTAGATGATCATATAAAATACATTTTTTTTATCACAGTTTCTTCGTCGGACTTTATATCTCGATCCCACTTTCGAGCTTCGACGTACTGATCCTTCTATTTACCAATGTAGGTACCCAGCGAGCAAGGACCTGGCTAGTTTGTCACCTCAGGAACGGTATAGCTTATCAATAGGTGTGGAGGATGTGGTAGCTCCAGCAATGCCATCCAGTCGAGGCCATCCTGACAGGTCGGTACGTGTCCTGCGGCTGGGTTACGCATGTCCGAGTCATTGCGATGGCAAGGGAAATCCGAGGAGCTGTCCCACATGGTACAGGTCATCTCCTCTCCACCACTGTTTCTTTAAAGTGAAACAGTTTGGGCGAGAACAGGACCTCCCCGTGGCTAGGCCTGCCATCAACGATGAGTGCGCCTTGCAGTGTCAATAGTAAGTTTGAGTGGGATTGCACATATGGACGCCCACGCGGAAGCCCATATAGATTGAAAGTGGCAACCAGCTCATTGCCACCTTTGAACATCATTATGCAGCTTTGCGGCGGGTCAAAGGCTCGATCATCGGGAAGAAATGAGATGCCCATGGCTGGAACACCCCCAACAAGGCCAAAAGGCGTCTCGCGGACAAAGGTGGACTATCACGACAGCCTCGCGCGTATGATGGGACCCCTGAAATTCGTTGTCTTCCCCTGGAGCTTTCCACGTTTACATGGACACCGACTCCAGGAGATGGGGCATTTGGGTTCTCTCTTCGCGACATCAGATATTAAAAAAAATTAACGTTTATCCTACCCATATTTCAAGTCTTTTGATATAATCTACCTCCCGATATCTCCTTCTCAAAGGCAATCGCACCGTCCAGGCCCATCACTAGATGGAGATTATGTCGGTCAGCACTCGAATTTTCCACGCCCGGTGGGATGAGTCGCCATGGGGCCAAGGACTCGAGGGAAATTGACCAACCTTGGAAGAACTCCCTTGGACCCATTCCCTGCGCCGTCTCGACGTCGGTGCCCTGGGTGATAACGGCGCCGTACGCCTTCCGCAGTGCGTGGACCGCCGACACGGCCCCGGCCAGAGGATGCCATGTGATCTTGAAGCCCATCTCGAGGGCTTCCTTGTTGGTGAAATTGGGCGTGGCCCCGTTGGTCGGCAGGTTCAACACCATCGGCAGCAAGGGGCCCAGCTCCCGCGTGACCTTCACAGCGTCTTCTCGGGACAATGGCGCCTCGACGAATCCGATGTCCGCGCCGGAGGCCCGGGCGATCTTGATCCGTTCGATGGCTTCGTCGAGGCCGTGTGTTTGGAGCGAGTCCGTTCGGGCGATGATCAAGGGAGCCGACGGCCGACTGGACCTGGCAGCTGCGGCCGCCCGGATTCTCTGCGCCCATTCTTCGCGCGAGACGACCTCTTTGCCTCCGAGATGCCCACACCGCTTGGGCCTTTGAGCAAAGGTTAGATATATACATTTTTGTCCTCTGAGAGCCGCATCATCGAGCCATCACACTGGTTTTGGTGCTTGAACTTACATTACCTGGTCCTCGATATGAAATGCGGCAGCCCCAGCTCGCTCATACATCTGTACTGTCCGCGCGATGTTGAGTGCCGAGCCAAACCCCGTGTCTGCGTCTGCAATGACGGGAGTGTCTCCGGCGATGGAGGTCAGCGTGAATAGCGTCGAGATGAACATATCCTGCGTCGCAATGCCCAAGTCCGCTGAGAAAACCCTTGCATTTTAGTCCACGGCATTTTCGCTTCGGGGTTTCTGGTTGATAGCACCTACGCTGCCCTAACCGACTGGCCGCCGTAGCAGCACCGGACATGTATAATGCGGGGGGGTTTGTCTCAAGAGCGACTCGGCCCGATATACCTATTCCACAAAAGAAGTCTAAGCGACATGATCTGAATAAAATGATAGGCGTGGAGATGCCCCATACCGTCGAACACGCCCAGGGACACCGTCAGGAAGTTGGGATCTTTCAACTGAGCACGGAGACGCTCGGCTCCGCTGGCATAACGAGTCTTGCTACCTGTAGAGTCCATGGCGATGATGGCATGAAGGAGTGAGATGGCGCACGGCAATTAACTACATGTCGGGGTCGAGCGAGGTCTTGGTGTTATATACCTCTTGCGGGTCAATTTAGCCGCTTTAGCCTTTGAATCCTGCGCAAAAACAGCCCCTCCCTGGTTGCACTACCCTCACTCTCCAGGCCACGAAGAAAACGACGGCCTCCGGCAGGCAGAGATCTGGTGGATATTGGGATGACTAACATATGCCTGTCAAGTGGTATCTGGTGCCCCGGCTATGGCTATGAGCAGCCGGCCCTTCTAGTATGGGTACTACGCAATCTCAGTCGACAATACCCGAGGCCCATCCGGCTTTCAGATGCTGGATAGCGTCCCCTTCCTCTACGACGTCGGCGTATTTTGCATCTAGGTCGAATAGATTCGCACTTTGGATTTCAGGTGTTCGATCACCGCATGCACTTCCCACGACCTGGGAGGCAGTTAGTTCGGATCCATGCAGAAGATGGACGGGCTGCACGCTCACCATGGGTCGGAAGCCGTGTTGCATGGCGTCCAACGTGGTTGCTCTCACGCATCCAGAAGTGCTCACTCCACATATCACCAGTGTGTCGATTTTGAGGCACTAGAACAGCGTCAGGCTGGGGCTGCATTCGAAAGCGAAGGGAAACCATAAAACATACTTGTAGCTCCGACGCCAACGAAGTCCCAAAGAATGCCGAGGCATATTTCTTCACCACAACCACGTCGCCTCGCTGCGGTGCGAGTCCGTCGACACAGTCGGCCAAACCTCTCGGATCGCCGTTCAGCCAGACGTCCAGCAGTTTCGCCTTGTGCCAGAACAATCCCGCATCCGCCATGTCCGGCCTTGAATACTCAATCTGGCTCCAGATGACGGGGACTCCGCCCGCTCGCGCCGCCGCGAGCAGACGCCGCATGGACTCTGGCGAGGCTGCGCCCGCGGGGTTCGATAAGAGCGACAACGGCGAGCTTTCATCAAAGTACGCTTTGCATACGTCGATGAGAATGAGTGCCGGTCGTGAACCCCACCCCATCCGATTGGAGAAGCCTGACCGTCGATACGAGTCTGATGCAGGGTGCATGGCTGCTGAAGACATTCTTCCCTGCGTCGAGTGTCGATGGTGACCGATGAGATTGCTGGCTGCCACAGATCTAAATGCATGCTTCACCTTCGCACACGTTTGGCTGCCCCATACATAAGATGATCTTGGCCTCGGCGGTGTTGCGGGCCATGTCTGCCCCTCTCGGGATTAGCATGGTGGCATGCTCCCTCTGACTGGTTTGAGTCTCCGGCAAACTCAGCCTTCTATCTCTTGCCGGCCGGACTGATAGGAGATCTGGAGTCACTGAACACTTTTGCTGCTGGTGGTTCGCCCATCTCGAAGGAAATGCCAATGAACCTTCTCAAAACAATGCCTAGGCTCAAGATCATGCGCCTTTGTGTGCTGGACCATAAACGTAGCGGGGGTGGCAGGTTTCTCATTTGAAACTGCAGTAACGTCCAAAATTAGGTGGTCTGCTGTTCCCGTTGAGGAGAAAGGATTCTATCGAACATGGCCCCGTCTGGTCACCACGACAGCGCCGAGAGCAGCACCAGGATCGTCTATCAACCTCTTGATCCCCAGTTACGGCAATCCCTGGACCCAGAATACGTGGCGTTCCACGATGAGTATATTCAGTACATTGAGCCCGACGATGTCCGCGAATGGGACCCGGAGCAGACACGCTCACGACGACTGCCAGGGAACTCTGAACCGGTTCCAGTGCTGCAGAAGGACATTCAGAGGCCGAATTTCCCCGTCCGGGCCTTCTGGCCGCATGGGTCGCGTCCAGCGCTGGGTTGGCCGGTATTGGTCTGGTTCCACGGTGGCGGATGGGCCGTGGGAAGCATTGACAGCGAGAATGATTTTTGCTCGAGGATTTGTAGAGGTACGGAGAAATTTAAAATTCTTTTTCCCCCCCACGTCGAGGATCCTTGGATGGGCTACTCGCCGCACAAGTTTCGCTGACGGACCTGATATGCATGGCCAGACACGCCCTGCGTGGTTGTGACGGTCGGGTACAGACTTGCCCCAGAACATCCGTATCCTGCCGCCGTGGAGGACGCCGTGGAGGCGCTCGTTTGGGTGCATAGCAAGGAAGGAAGCAGGACATTGGGCATAGACGCGACTCGGATTGCCATCGGGGGCACCTCTGCGTACGTTGCAAACCATTCTCGCGTTGGAGATATCGCAGGCAGTGTTGGACCGAGCTAATGCTAATTTCTTGGGGGAAGAGGCGGAAATCTGTCGGTGGTGGCCTCCCTCAAGGCTTCGCTGCTTCCAGAACCCATTCCCATCATCTTCCAGATCCTCCTTGTTCCCGTCGTGGACAATACGGCGACGGTGGAGACCGTTTGGGCCTCGAGAGCAAAAGCTCCCTGGCTGACGCCTGCTCGGATGCTGTGGTATCGCCGAATGTATCTGCCCCTTCCGGGGACGGCGTCAAATTGGGATGCCTCGCCAAATCGCGCCCCGGAGGATCTTCTGGCCAAGATGCCAAAAACGTGGTTCGGAATCGCAGACCAGGACTTGCTGGCTCCTGAGGCCCGGGAGTTCGCAACCCATCTGCGACGGGTGGGCGTGGCTGTGGAAGTTGCCGAGTATGAGGGAATGACCCATACTATCCTCGCCATGAACGGTAAGTTGTGCCTGTTACTCTCGAGTAATGTCACTGAATTGGTTGGTTGGTTGATTCTCTTGGTACCGAGGCTAATCCTGTCTATAGCGATATTTTCGAAAGGAAAGCAGCTCATCATTGATGCCGGGGACGCTCTGAGAGTCGCCTTTGCCCGGACCAGCTAAAACACAAGCAATGGGGGCTTTTTATTTCCTGGCCCTCGATATAGAATTGGCTCAAGCTATCTAGAGCATATACGAGACCATGATACGGAAAGGGTCTAATGCACCTGGTCCGACCACTCTTCGAGCAGTTGTCTTGCCCTTTCCGAACGTAACTTCATCACACAACCGAAAGAATCGGGAACACTAGAGAACAAGTTCGTCAGAAGAGGGCTTGTGGGTGGAGCAGGACAACTTACTTGGATAGTCCATCCGTGAAACTGACGGATGGTGCAATTTCATTCCCATCTGACCCGACCGCAGGGCACATGTCAACGGTAGCAAGCAAAGTGGCGACCATGATATAGACCCCTGCCATGGCGAGCCACTGACCAGGGCAAACTCTTCGGCCGAATCCGAACGATCCCTCGGGCAATGGCTCCCCTCTTCCCCCCTGGTCTGTCGGTGTATAGCGATCCGGATTGAACGCGTCAGGATCACTGTAGACTCGCTCGTCGTGGGTCATTGCGTATGCGTTTGCAAAAACCACGCTGCCCTTGGGGATGAGCATGCCTTTGTAAATGTCATCTTCCAGCGTCGCATGCGGCACCCCCAGGGGGGACAAGGGACACCATCGTGTGGTTTCTTGGAGAATCTGCTCAATGTAGGGGAGGTTTTCCCGGTCCTCGAACCCAGGAAGGCGGTCTGTCCCGACCACGGCGTCTATTTCTGCCCTGGCCTTCCTTTGGATTTCTGGGTGGAGGAGCAGGTTGAGAATGCAGACCATGATGGTGGACCATGATGTGTTTGCACCCGCAATGGATATCGCACCAGCGGCACCCTTGATATCGGCGATCGTGGCCTCGTTAACCTTGCCCGATTTCTCATTCTCCAGGTATCTTTCGAGATGTGTTCGCATGAAGGATGGAAGCGCGGCCTGTCGATTTCGGATCTCGGCTTCCGTCGCCTCCCAGGGCGCATCGTGCAACTTTTGGATGTATGCCTTGGAGACCCGGGCGTGTTCCAACACGTTCAACTTCAGCAGCCAGGTGGGAAGATACCTCAATGCAGGGAAGAAATCCACGACCGAGGCCCCCGGGACGCCACCTTTGCCTGTGGCTTCTTCCGCGTCGAGCACCATCTTGACGTAGGGGTCATCTTTCTGCGAGACGCCTAGACCGAAGCCAATGCGCAAAACAACCGCGGTGGCGTACTTCCGGAGCAACGACTCCCAGTCTGGAGGATTGGCCAGGATCTCCTTGACCGCCAGGCGGGCCTCTTGTTCTTGAATCGGGCGATAGCTCTTGCACGCGGATTGCGTGAAGGAGCTTTGCATCAATTTTCGGTGCAGCTTGAATCTCTTTCCCCATCGAAGAAAAGTGAGCGTGATACCCCATCCCATGCTAAGTGGTTGTTAGAGCTCATGAGGAGCGAAGGGCGTCGGAGGCGGATAACTCACACTTCGAACAGCACAAATCGAGGGCGGTCATTGTAGTTCGGCCCCCTCTTGTCCAGCAGATCATGACAAGCCTCGACACTGTTCAGGACGATAATTGGGCGACCGAGAACGTTGAAATAAAGAACGTCAGATCCTGGGTGCCCGGTCGTCAGTGACTGCCCCTTCCCCTCAGACGTGCAAACTCGTTATTATTAGATAGCCGTACCGTAATCCTTTCCCCATTGTGTATATTGGTACTCAGGATGAGACTTCGGGATGATGCGCAAATGTCCTATGATGGGTTCCCCTTTCGGTCCGGGAGGTAATGGCGCCTTCGATCTCGCGCGGAGCTTTTGATAGTAGAGCAGTCCCGCAAACAGAATGCCGAATGCAATTGCAATCCTGATCACCGGTGGCGACGGGCTCATCGTTGCTACCACACCCATTGTCCAGATCGTGATCCCTTAGGGCGTGAGCGACTGAATGTGATGGGACTAGAGAGCATTCCGTGTGTCGACTGATGGAGTCATATATCATCGGCACAGCAGCTAGACTCTAGACTGCAATTGGGAGTATCAAAACCCAAAGCTGTGCCGCAGAACATTCTGAACAACCAATGTTTCTTGTTACGTCAAGAACGGAATGAAGCATCGTTACTCATGCACGAAGTCTGTCGGACTATTCACCATGCTCTGGTCAATGGTCATTGAACTTCGATGGTGCGACCGTGCCGGTTGATAAGTTGCCGGCCGGCCTGCCGGAGGTGGTATCAGTGGATCGTCCAACCAAAGCCGCTCTAGATGTAGCGCTGTAGTAGCATAGTACGAGTGTTACAGTATGTCCACCCGGTGCCGGGACATTCAAGTCGGACAAGGTGGCGAATTCTAGCCTCGCAAGGGACTGCAATGTGCCACGGGGGAGTGGAGGAAGCTTTTGAAGCTCAATCGACAACTCAAGCTCAAAATCTAACTCGTAGAATCTTCCAAGTCAAAGTCGGATCACGACACATGTCCTGGTTTCTTGGGCCGGTATTCATTTTTGAAGGTTGTGGGCAACAATGATCACGGCCATTGAGTCAACAATTTCATATGGGGCGACAGCGACGTCCTCCTTCACAATAGTGCCCACGGAGTGCGACCCGTATGCCTACCAGAGTGGATGGGGCAACAGATTTGCATGCGAGGCTCTACCAGGGACATTGCCTCAAGGCCGCAATACACCACAACGGTGCAAGTATGACCTTTTCTCCGAGCAACTGAATGGCACACCATTTGTCTCTGCGCGGGCGTCGCAGCTCCACGCATGGTTTTATCGAATTCGACCATCTGTGGCACATGGCCCTCTGAGAAAGTCGCCGTTGAATGGGAAATTGGAGGCCAGATTTTCAGCCTCCAACACAAATACCCAATACATTCCCCAGGATCACTCGTGGGGGCAATTCTTGCTCCCTTCGGCCGCGGACTCTGTTGATTTTGTCCAGGGGCTCCGGACAGTCGGTGGCCACGGGGATGCCATGACCAAAGACGGACTCGCGGTTCACGTATACACCGCAAACCGGTCGATGGAGAAGACGGCCTTCTGCAACAATGACGGTGACTTTCTCATCCTACCCCAGGAAGGGCGGCTGGACATTCAAACCGAATTTGGCAACATGATGGTCCGTCCGGGAGAGCTCGCCGTTATTCCAGCGGGCATCCGATTCCGAGTCAGACTTCCCGACCACACCGCACGAGGCTATATCCAAGAGATATTCGGGTCTCATTACGAACTACCGGAGCTTGGGCCGGTTGGATCGAACGGCATGGCGATGCCCCGAGACTTCGAATACCCCTTGGCCAGTTTTGATGTCGACCAGACGGCATGGACCATCATATGCAAACTCGCGGGTCAGCTGTACGAATATGAACAGGATCACACGCCGTTCGATGTGGTCGCGTGGCACGGCAACTATGCACCATACAAGTACGCGATGGAAAAGTTCATCAACACGGCGACGGTGGACCGAGAACAAAGTGATCCATCGATATACTGTGTTTTGATGGCGAAATCCAGGACTCCGGGACTCGCGCTTACCGAATTGCTGGTTTTCACCCCCAGATGGAGTGTGCCGAGCAACACCTTCCGGCCGCCTTACTACCATCGCAATGTCTGCACCGAATTGATGGGAATGATTTACGGGACATGGCACGGATCGTCCACGGTATTGGAACCAGGCGGGCTCACCTATGAACCTTCCCTGATGCCGCATGGCGAGTCTTACGAGAGATGGGCCGAAGCGACCAGCGGAGTGCTCGAGCCTGAGCGTGTGAATGAGGGTGCAATGGGTACGTTTCCCTCTCCTTTCAGGATATCGCCTTTGCGAATTCGAGCTGACCTCAATCCTAGCTTTCATGCTTCATATCCCGGGGCATATTTCATTGACAAACTGGGCCCTCGAGAGCAGCGGCACCCTCCACGGTATGGCCCCTTTCCGCATTGTGGAAACACATGAGCTTATGGTCTTTTCCAGCGATACAAGCAGACCTCTGGACTGGGTTTGATGGAGGCTTCATGGAGCATACGGAGCAAGTGGACCAAGAATTGGCCGCATGTGGTCTTCCGGGACTGGCGAAGCCCAGTACAGGCCACGCTGCTCCCCCAAAAGCACCTTGACTTTATTATCGACGATGAGCTCCATGGACGGTGACGAGGATACCAGCATTTTTCGGAACTAGACTAGAGTTCAATACTGGTTCAAATTCAAGCATGTCTCAGAATCCACCGATAAGCTGCTAGCCATAAAGGGAGAGTTCTGCACGACTTAATATTGGTCGTCAATCCGGTGTAGATATACCTCAGTGATCGAGTGCTGTTGTGATCACATCCCGTTCGGTTATCAACGAGTGGGGAGGAACGCTTAACTAGGCCAGCGACCACGAACCCCCTTAGCCCCGGGGCTCTGAGGCGCTCGAGCTCCAGGGGACCTTGGGACTCAACTAGTTAACTACGCCCCTAGCCCCTCTTAACGTCTTAACCTACTTAGGCGGCCTTATCTGCCTCGTAATCCCCTACTACCTCTCCCTACCATTCACCGGTGTCCAGATTACTTGGATACATGAGCAGGAAATGGAACCTGCTCTTTACTCCGTTCTAATCAACCTACTCTAACGTGTCAACAGACACGACGGTTAGACCGCTTCCTGATGCCACTCTTATCTGCTACAGGATAACTACAAATGGACCATCACTGGGTATACTGCTTGGTGTTTTGAGACATGGACTATCCATTGTCCTTCCCACCAAATCCATCCGACAGGCGGCCGAAATTCCGAAGGGCTGCCATTGCCTGCCGACGATGTCGTCGTCTTCGTGTCAAGTGCCGACATAATGATGCTCGGCCCCCATGCGAATCATGTAGCCAGACCGGTCACGAATGTGTCTTTCCGCAACGAGGAGAACCGGATTTCGATCGTGCTTACCGGCATGACCGCAGACGCAACAAACAGCCGGGAACGCCTGCGCGGCCAGCGGAATCAGATTCACAAACACATCCCCCCCAAGTCAGTACCATCGACAGGGAAGGTTCGTCCCCAACAACCGAGCCTCAAAATGAGGCTGAAGATCTTATGTCGCTCGGGCCGTTTGAGCTCCAGGACTCAAGTGGTAGCCTCTCTGGTTCGCAAGCGGGATGGAATCTCTTGCCCCCTTTCGAAGAGGTTGTGGAAGCCTGCCACATATTCATCCGGTCTTATTTTCAACTGGGGTTTCTGCCAAAGACTAGTTTCTTCGAACGACTTCACAAACAGAGAGAGACGATCAGCGTGTTTCTGCTTCTCAGTATTCTCAGCATCTCGGCAAGATTCACTCCCAGTCTCGTCCGACGCTATGGTAATGGCCAAAATGCAACGAATATCTTCCTAAAAAGAGCGGCGACCTTGACGCTCGACTACATGTACAAGCCAACCTTGGAGGCCATCCAGAGCTTCTTCCTTATCAGCCTGGCGGAATGGGGCAAAGGGGAGAAAGATCGAAGTTCGACGCACATGGGGATTGCGGTCCGCATGGCAGGAACACTACGTCTGCACAGAGAGGAGACCTACCTGCTACCAGAAAATGCGACCGCTGACGAAATTGTGGAATCAGAAGTGGCTCGAAGGACATTCTGGATGTTGGAAAACCATGACAATTTGCATTCTGGGTATAACTCGCCCGTTCCATTTGCCCTCGACGACATTACTGCCTTGTTACCTTGCGAAGAGCAAGAGTTTGCGTTCGGAACGGTCTCCACCGAGCGTGCTGCTTTGATGGGGACAGCGGCAGCGTTGAACAATGATAAACTCACCAAATCGCCTTCGAGATCGCTCTTCGCCACCTTGATTCAATGCCACAACATCTGGGGCCAGATCGCACGTCGGGTGGCACGAAACGAAATCAATTCACAACACGGGCGAGGCCTAATGGCAAATCCAGCAGTCAGCGTGGACGAACATCTCCGACTCATGACGCTTCTCAGAGACTTCGAGGATCATCTTCCAACCAAACATCGCTGGTCGATCTGGAATCTCCGTGGCTTCAAGGCGGAGAAGCTCGACCTTGCCTACCTCTCGGTGGTCACCATGATCAGGCTGAGCAATATCATCCTTCGAAGAACTCCCGTGAGTGGCGCCGGCACGATAGGAATGTCCCATGGCTGTCCGAACATAAGCCTCCCCACAACACAGTGCCCGACGTTGGACGGAGAATCGAATATCACGGAAGAGCTATTCGACAATTTGGTCGTGTTGAATGAGCAGATTGATGCCTTCTTCTCTCTTCGCTCACGCAAACAAGGATTTCCTGCTTTCATCATTTATTGCGTGTACATCTGCGGGACCCTTGCAAGCCATCTACAGAAGCAGAAAGACTTTTGTGAGTCTCGAGACCACGCAGCATCACGCGCCGAGGAGATTTTGGCGAGCTCGACGCGGCTCTTGGGAGACCTTCAAGACGCATGGCCCATGACAAAGCGCTGGAGCGATGCTTTGCTGAATGCATACCAAGGTCAAGGGGCCTCTCGCCCTGTTCAGCCGAATGGAGAGCAGCAAGCGGACGACAGCTCTGCGGTGCGTGTCAGCCGACCGCCCGTAAATGACAAGACGGTGACTGGCAACCGCAACGCCACGTCTCAGGGAGGCTTGCCAGGGATTCTGGAAGAATTCCACGCCAACGACTGGAACATGCCCGAGCCGTCAGACACCGACGTGATGGACCTGATGCTCGAAGACCCCTGGCACCATGAATACTCCAGCGGTATCTTCATGGATAACCTGGACGCGGGGTTGGCTTTCAATCTATGGCCTAGCGGGGATCTTTGGCAGAACTGAAAAAAAAAAGGGCATGACGGCAATATTGCTCAGTGTAGTATGGAGTAATCATAATAATTTCGCAGTTAATTTGTCCCTCCTCCTCCTCATCTTCCCGTCCTCTTCTTCTCGATCGTCCTCAGTGGCCAGTACAAGACAATGGAAAGAACAAAACACAGGTAAATCCCCACGTCTCCACCGATCCCACCGAATGACTTCGCAATGGGGCCGACGAACCAGGTCTGATCCATGCCGAGGAGAGCACCCACGAGATAGCCCGCGACCAAAGTCACCACGGCCGCGATCCCCAGCGGCAACGCCTTGGGGCTGTCCCAGAGGTCCAGGTCGTATCCGTCGCGCCGGCGGAACCACTGGTCCTCGAGAAAGACAATGACGGCGAAACAGACGCTCCAGTACCCCAAGAGGCTGCAAAAGTTGCTCAGGATGGTCGAGAGGCTGTCGTGCCCGGCGAGAGCGAGGATCAGGGCCGCCAGCATGGCCAAGAATGACCAGATCAACCGCGGAATCGCGTGGAAATGGTCGCCCACGAGTTGGGCCGCCAGGCCGGCCGAGTAGTTGCCCGCGACGATCGAGCCGAGCACGGTGAACGTCGAGATGACCAGGGCAAAGCGCGACCAGCCGCGGGGGTGGTAGATTTCCCCCATCACCCCGCCCAAGCCGTGCGCCTCGAAAATCTCCAGCCACGGCTCGTATGTGAATATGGCGTTGCCGACACAGGCGCCGATCGTGAGGGCGAAGATCGTCGAGAGGGACAAGCCGGCGTATGTCAGGGCAAAGATCTTCCAGCGCGGCGTGGTCGTGCGGTAGTTGCAGTAATAGTCGGCCGTGGTCGAGCACCATGCCGCCGCGTAGGCGAAGCTGATGGCCAGAAAGGTCAGAAAGGCCGCCGACAGTTCCAGCCCCGACCATGAAGACGGGGTCTCGGGGCTGATCCGAGGGGCCGCCTGGCCGACGAGGACGCACTCCAGCACAAAGGCCGCGATCCACATGTACTTCTCGAAGGTGTGGATGATGCCGAAGCCGCCCACGGAGACCAGATAGCCAATCACGCATACAATCACACAGCCCACGTTGATCGACATGCTGAAATTCGAGACCGCACTGAGTAACTGTCCCGCCGTGACGACCGACACGACGCCAAACCCAACATTGACAATGATATTGATGATGGCACAGAGTTTGGCGCCCCAGAAGCCGAAGGAGTACCGCGCGGCACCAATGGCACGTAACCCGAGCTGTTGATTCCCGAGTGAGCTTCCGCAGTTTTATCCAATGCTGCAGAGGAGGGATCACAACGTACCTTGGGTCCGAGGGTTGCACAGTAAGCGGGGAAGAAAGAACCCAGCAAGCTGCCGACCACAATGGCCGCCACCGACAACTGGAGCGATAAACCAAACTCTGGCCCAAGCACGCCCACGGGGAGAGTGGCGACATGTCCATTGAACGAGAACCACAAGAAGAAAGCGTTGATCAGGGACGGCGGCCGCCTCTTGTCCTCGGGGATCCGGTCGATCCCTTGCGTCTCGACGCCGACGAGCTCGTCCAACTTCTCCTCGAGTTTGCCCAAGTACCTGAACAGGGCGACGTTGTTCCGGATCTGCTGCGCTCGGTTGACCGGCTCCAGGAAGACTTCCTGGACCGGGGAAGTGGACTGCTCGAGAACCTCGGTTTTGGTGCTGGCCACCATGGTCTTGCTGGCCACCTCACAGTCGGATTGAACGTCGGTGCTCGCCATGGGTGTGAAGAGGGGTTTGCCTCAAATTCAGCAAGGTAGGATACCAGTCTGGCACGTTCAAGCCCGGACTGACTCAGAGACCCTCTATATAGATGGAGAAAGTTCGCCGGGGCGGTCGTATCTCTCTGCCACTGATTGTTGCCGGCTTGGCGAAGCAAAGCAGGATGTTAAGTCGTTATCATAGGTAGCCCTTGATATGCTTTTGTACCCCAGATTGTGCTGATCCAATCTGACGAGCCAGAGCAGTTGTATTACAGATAGGCGGAATACTAGGCCAAGGGCTTAGTAGCGGTCGCCATCCCACCTTTTATCTTTGCCAGGTGTAGGTCCCAGCCCTCGAAATCTGGGGAGGTGGATCGCTGGTAGGGACAAAAAAAATTCAAAGAGTCCCAAACGGGACCGGCAACCTTGCCGGGAGATTCTAGTGCGAACTATTATCTATACAAGGCCCACAGCCAATGACCTGTCGTGCCTATCCGTCCCCTGTCCCTATCAGTGCAATCGTTGGTTACCCGAGGAAAACCCCATGAACTCCCAAGTGCTGCCGGAGGCCAAGATAAGAAGTATTGCCATCTCCAGATTTCCCCTTTTTGTGTTGTTATTCGGCAAAAGGCGACCCGAGCAGGAATGCCCATATATACCCTACCTAGTTATACACTTGGTGTCAGAAATCTGCAAGATCACCCTTCTTACCCTCGAAAAAGGCCCCGAAGAACATGGAGTTCCCTATAATCAGCGTGGCAAACATCCATTCGGATTTCGACACCGTCAGTAAACAGCTTTTCGATGCCGCTTGCAAGTGGGGATTTTTCATCATCACCGACCATGGCATCACCAAGGCAGACGAGGTGTCGGAGCTGGTGAGTTGGGAACCCCTACCCTCCTTTTGTGCACACCTGATAGGAAATTGCAGTCGCGTGCATTTTTCGACTTGCCCATGGATGTCAAGACTGAGAAGATGGTGGACAACTCCGCCATTGGGTACGATGGCGGCAAGAAACTCACTTCGTATGTGCCCCCCCTCGGACGCTTTTGTCTCTATGCCATATCGCTCAACCGCAAGTCAGATTCGCAGCTTCAGAGGCCATTCTTTTTGGAACCCCGGCGGGCGGGGTCCTCGGCTCGAACAATCTCGGCGCTTGGTGGGATGAGAGCAAACGGCAAACCGTCGAGGCGTTCAAGGCCGAGTGCTACGACCTGACCATCACCATGATGTCGGGCTTTGCCGTGTGCATGGGCCTAGACCGGGACTACTTCACGCGGATCCACGGGCACCAGGCGCCGGGTCACACGCTCCGATCGATCAAGTATCCCAAGTTCGACAGCCGCCCCCAGGAGGGCCAACTTCCTCGCCTCTCGTCGCACACGGACTGGGGCAGTCTGACGTTTGTCTTCACCAAACAAGCCGGGCTCGAGATCCAAGATCCCCAAGATCGGTGGTTCCACGTTCCTGTCGTCCCAGAGGGCATCGTGGTCAATATTGGCGACGCGTTGTCCTTGTGGACGGGACGAACCCTGAAATCTACCCTGCATAGGATCACTTGGGAGAATCTTCCCCCAGACCAAGATCGGTACAGCATGGCGTACTTCTCCCAGCCGAATAACAGTGAGACCTTCCCCTCTTCCTTCCTTCCCGCCTTTTATCCAACCTTGCAAACAAACATCACTAACCGTTTCCCAGGCGCGCAACTCAACTCCCTCAGTAAATCGGGAGAAATCGTACCGATCCCCCTTACGTACGGCGATTACTACAAAGTCCGCTACCACTTGACCTACGGGGCGCACACCGACAGCAAAACGGGCGAAAAGATCCTCGAGGACATTGACCCGGCCATGGCCCAGGCTGTCCATGACTTGGGTGTCGCAGACGCCGGTAGTCTGAGGTCAAATACCCTAGTGGCTGTATGAGAATGACCAAGCCCTGGACTATGTATATGCCCGTCACTTGCCAAAAATCTGTTCGAGGGTGCTGCCCTGTACCGTGTTCTCTGAGGTAATGCTGTATGATATAGTAAAGGCGATAGTTAGGGGTAAATCAAGGCGGCTGTCGAATCTAGTATTTCCTTTCCATCACCGCTAAATACAGTTCCCCCTCCTTAATGTCCTGTGTTTATAAGAAAACCTCTTTGTGGGGAATCACGTTCTTATAGACTAGGAGTCTTCTGGTCCTGCTAAAAGTGTCTAATAACTGTCTGATTGCTTGCCTGAGAAAGAAGAAAAAAGAAAGAAAGGTACTCATTTCACCGCGCCGTTTATGCTCCTGGGCCTATCTAACTTTAGTGGCGAGTTCTACTTTCGAAGGGAGAGTAGGAGAGTAGAAGAGTAGAAGGATCCTGCGCGGATCGGGGTCCGTGGAGGTGAGTATGGTCAAGTAGAAAGGGGAGCGGCAGGTGAGCAGAGTTTAAAAGCGGCGCCTGGCGATTGAGGCGGAGTTGAGCTGCGGCGTGAATTTAGGTACCCACGTACCTTTGCGTCTATTGCCAAGGAATTCCGCCGCTGACATCGACGTCTCCCCGCAGTCCCTTCTTTCCACCCGTCGCAGCTTCGAAACAGGCACAAGCGCACTGACTGCACCGATATCCCGGAACAATTTGAGCACGGCACCAAGACTTCCCTCTCCCTCTTCTTGCTGCCGGCCAGCAGCCCACCCCTGCTCTTGCGATGCTCCTCCTCGACTACCAGAATGTCCTCATACAATCCCTCCTGACCGAACGCTTCTCCGGCGCCCCTCCGACCTCAATTGACCAGGTCGTCTCGGACTTTGACGGCGTCGCATTCCACATCTCTACCCCTACGAGCAAAACGCAGATACTCATCTCCCTCTCCATCAAATGCTACCGCGAGTTGTTGCAGTATGGCGCCGAGCAGGTCCTGCAGAGAGAGTATGGGAACTACATCACGAACACGGAGGCGGGCTATGACTTCAGCATTTTGGTCGATCTCGACAATCTGCCGCCGACGGCGGAGGAGAAGGAGGAGCTGGTGAGGAGGATCAGTCTGCTCAAGAGGAACGTCATGGCGGCGCCCTTTGAGAAGGCGTTTGACGAGTTCGCCCAATTGGCCGAAGAAGCGAGCAAGTATACGTCTGAATCCGCCCCGCAGGGCGTCAAGGAAGGGGGCGAGGTGATGGCGATCCATTACCGTGAGGAAGAAGCCATCTATATCAAGGCCAGCCACGATCGGGTCACGGTCATATTCTCGACCATGTTCACGGATGCCGTGGATAGGATCTTCGCAAAGGTGTTCTTGCAGGAGTTTGTGGACGCCCGACGGAGAGCCATCCAGAACGCGCCGCAGGTGCTGTTCCGGAGCGATCCGCCACTGGAGCTGCAGGGCTTGAGGGAAGTTGGGAAGACGGGCGAGAAGGGTGAAATGGGCTTCATCACATTCGGTATGCCACCTAGTCCCCGCGGGCCTTCTGCGATGTAGGGACCCTTCCAAGGACCCAAGGCTGACCCATCTTCAGTATTGTTCCCTCGACACCTCACCCGACAGCGCCGGGACGAGGTCATCTCCCACATCCAGACCTTCCGCGACTATTTCCACTACCACATCAAAGCCTCCAAGGCGTACATCCACTCAAGAATGAGACGTCGAACCGCAGATTTCTTGCAGGGTAAGCCTGAGCCAAAAGTCGGTTTGATATTGCGGGCTTTCGGAACTGACATTCGTCCTTTTAGTTCTCAATCGTGCAAGACCGGAAACCGAAGAACGCGAGAGGAAGACAGCTAGTGGTCGGACGTTCAGAGTGCAAGGGTAAAACTCTTTCAAGCCTACGACCGGGGGTATGACATGACGCCGGATGAGTATGATCGGAAAATTGGCCTTCAGACGGCATTCCTTGAACTAGATCATATCTAGACTTTTTGGCATCCAAAAGGCCTTGCAGGCCATTTGCACATCCGTACCTCCTGACTTGCTACTACTCTTGATATGTTTCGTGCGACTTGCTATACAGTAGTCATGACGCTAGCATTGGAATACCACGCCAACATGGGGTTCTCTCCATTCCGGACCTCCGTCTCTTCCACCATCGCCCAGCTCTCCAAAAACTGCCTGTGGCTCGACACTCTCGTCAACTTCCCCGTTATCGCCCTGTAGATATCCTCCATCATGGTGAAGTCCGTCGGGAAGAAGATGTCAAAATACCCTTGGTGCACAAAGGGGGTGGACACCTGCACGTTGCGCCGCTGATAGCGCGTCTGCACGACGGGGGCGTTGAGGCCCGGAACGGCGTCCGGGAGGTAGTTGAAGTCGGACAGCACGAGTCGGTGGGCAGGGAAGTATTGGTTGAGGATGTCAAAGAACTCGAGGAGCCGAGTCGGGATGTACTCCGGCTTGGTCAGGTTTGGCGATAAGGGGAGGGCATGCCGGAGTTGGCGCAGGAGTCGGGGATATTGGGTGACTGGGGTGATGAAGGGAGAGCGGGCAGCGATTTCCCTCACCCGGAGATATCGCAGAGCCAGAGCGTCGAGGTGGCGGTCGTAGAACTCAAAGAATTCTCCGTCTTCGTCAATGAGGACGCTACCCTGTAACGGCTGTTCCGTCTCGGGATCGTAGCGCACGCAGTCGTGGGCAAAGTTGTCGATGACTTCGAGGGCGAGGAAGAAGCAAGGTGAGTGGATGTACTCCTTCCAGTCGAAGACCGATCGATGGAGGATCTGGACGTGGTCCAGGTGTTCCGCTGCGTAGGGCGACCTTCGCAGACTGGTCAACTGTAACTCGGCCAGCGCGGAGGATATCTCAATAATCTTGAACTGCGTCCGACTGTAGACTTCCGGCTCGTATTCGTAGATGTAGTCCAATATATTTCGCATCAGGGTCCCGTTGCCCGCGCCCATCTCGTATATGATCAAATCATGGTATGGGAACAAGGTCATTTTGTAGTTTGTGACCAAATACCTTGCAATCGCTTCGCCATAATACGGCCGGAATAGTTCGGTGGGCGTGTGCCAAAGTTGTCGCGTCTCGTCCGGCTCGATCTCATCCAGGGCATTTTCAAACTCAATATAGCTGAGGTCCACCAGGCGATTGAACTCCGCGCCGTCCTTGATGGAGGCAAAATCAAAGGGTTTTCCCGCATTGAAGATTGTCGCATGCTTGGTAAAGTAGCCGTAGTTGGGGTTGTACAGGCTGTCTGCTTCCTGTCAGTGGAGGCATTTAGAGAGCCAGCTTGATCCTCACCATCGATGAATTCTCTCGTCAGCATCTTGACTCGCCGCGGCCGCTGAGTCCTATGCCGCAGATCCTGTGCCGTGACTCTGGGGTATTCCTTGAGCTGCCTTGACATGTCCTTGGGAAAGGCATCAATTCTCTGCTGCCACGCGCTGCCTCCTCCCGCATCATCTTGCTTGCGGCGAAGGACATATGTTCGATGCTGTTGAAACGAGGGGCTTGGACGTGGAAGGGATGTTCGTGTGCGAGTGCATTGCAGTCGAAGGCAATTCCGCGAGGGTCTCGTGAACAGCTGCTGAAAGATGCGGGCGACGGCCGGCGAGTCCATTAGAGGCTCCAACCCAGGGATGCAGAGCGAAGATGGTGCTGAACAGGTAGATAGATCCCCAGGCGCCGCTGACCGAGACCGGGGCTGAACAGAAACACAACCAGAGCCCGGTCAATGGAAACCACAGCAAATGCGGAGTAGTTTCTAAAGATCTGTTTGGGGCAAAGTCGATTTGCTACTGTGGACCATTTGGACACAGGAGCTTTCAGTACGGAGAGGAACTGATACACAATCTCCCATCACAAATGCACTCCTGCCAGTTGATCTCTGTACCTCGAGATGTGAACATTTGCATCACGACAAGAAGTGGGAGGAAATTACCGGTGACTTGCCACAGGCGACAGTTCTTGAGCAGAACGCTGTATCCTCAGTGCCCAAGCGACCAAAGGCATACTTGTATCTACAGAACAAATTTTACGGCCTCATCAATTCAGAGCACTATTATGCAATGGACAGACCGTCCCTTGGTAATAGGCATTGCTTCCGGCCTCGCCATTGCTATCATCGTTGATCAACTCCGTCAATTCTATCACAGTTACAGCCCGCCTTTCAAGTGCCAGCGGCGGCCTTCCCTCAAATTCTTGGTTGACGAGACCATAAACTCGGAGGGAGTGAACCAGATATCTCCTCCACCCATCGGCACCGGCATCGAATCGACTATAGGGTCCACGCCCCTTATTGTCATTCCCTCCCTTTCAAGCTTTACGGGCTGCACAATTCTCGCCAAATGCGAACACCTCAACGGTGCTGGTGGCTCACCCAAGGATCGGGTCGCGCTGTCAATCCTCACCCGAGCGGAAAGTCAGGGCCTCCTTACGCCTCATAGTGGTGACACCGTCTACGAAGGAACAGTTGGGTCAACAGGGATATCTCTAGCAACTTTATGTCGCGCAAAAGGCTATCTTGCCCACATTTGCATGCCGAACGACCAATCTCATGAAAAGTCCAACCTCCTGTTAAAGCTCGGTGCGGTTGTGGAGAGAGTTCCCCCCGCGCCAATTGTAGACCAGGAGCATTTCGTCAACCGTGCGCGCAATCTTGCACGAGAACACACGGAAAATCCGGACAAGAGAGGCAGGGGATACTTTGCCAACCAGTTTGAAACAGAGGCGAATTGGCGGGCGCATTACGAAGGCACAGGTCCAGAGATTTATGTTCAATGCCAGGGCACTATCGATGCGTTTGCCGCAGGCGCAGGGACTGGAGGAACGATTTCAGGTGTGGCCACCTATCTTAAAGAAAAGCTACCAGACGTTCGAGTTGTCCTTGCAGACCCTCACGGTTCGGGTCTGTATAACAAAATCAAACATGGTGTCATGTTTCACTCGCTGGAGAAAGAGGGGACAAGGAGAAGAGATCAGGTCGATACGATTGTGGAAGGAATTGGTTTGACTCGCTCAACGCTCAATTTCGAGCAGGGGAGAGAGTTGATTGACGATGCCGTCAAAGTGAGCGATCAGCAGGCGATGAATATGGCGAGGCTGTTGGTCGAGAGGGATGGCATCTTTGTGGGGAGTAGCAGCGCAGTCAATTGTAAGATCTTCCCTGTCCCGCACCATGTGTCTTGCTCAGCTGATTGATCCCCAACACGAAGGTGTCGCTGCTTTACAAACGGCTCTCAAACTAGGGCCTGGTCATACAGTCGTCACGATTCTGTGTGACTCTGGCATGCGCCACCTCTCCAAGTTCTGGGCTCGCATAGGTGAGATTGGAGGGGAGGCACGCACGACCGTCGAGGATATCCTTGAAGGCAGAAAGCTGGACTGAAGCAAGCTCCCTCCAACTTTTTCATCTTCAACCAAACAGCTCGTCGTCGGAATCAGGCTCCACTTTGACAAATATAGGATCCAGCAGCAAATCTCCCTGCTCACCATGTTCCGTTTGGTTTTCGTCAGATCTCAGTGGCGAGGTCCTTGGCCGCGCTGTTGATGCGGTAGGTCTTTTTCCACCCGAACTCCAGAGCCTTGTCAGCCAAGTTTCAGCCAACTTGTTCGCGATCTCGGTGGCGTGGCGATGTTCAAAATGGGACGAAAGCGTACCAATGTCTCGTCTTGAGTCTTGACAGAGTTCCTCCAAGATGCTCAGTTCCTGCGCCGACCATTCCCTTGAATCGTCGCTGGAAAGACCAGACGGTGTTCGGTATCGGTCGTAGACGTCGTTGAGAGCGAGTCCAGTCTTATGAGTTCGAAGGGCTCGGCACTCCGCGATTTCATCGAAGGTCAATCCTGCACCCTCGCGCAATTCAACCAATGTCTTATAATCGGAAAGGATTAATCTCGGCAGACGCCGCGGCCGAGTGCTGTATGACACATAACCAAGGATGTACTCCAGGTCATGCACCTCGTCGTCATCTATGTCGCCCTTGTCATAATCCTTTGCCAATTTGGCCCAATGTTTGAAGACACCTGCCCTGGAAGACCACTGGCGAGAGCAATAAAAACAGGATCCTTTTCTCATCTGCACGACCTGGTCGTCGTCTTGAGTTTTCTTGTCGGGTTCTCTTTTCGTCTCTTCTTCGCTATCGATGCTCACTTCTTCATCCTGCCGATCAGAAAACCCCTCTTGAAGCGGATCCGCCGACTCGGCTCTGGCACGTCGCCTCACGGCGGCTTGACGCACGACTCTCTTGGATGACCGGTGTCTAACCGGCTTCCAGAGAGACTCGGCAGCATCCGAAGAGGTAGTTGGCCGACCTGGTGAACTAGATATCGGGACCAATTGCGTCTTGGGCTTCGAAGCAGAGGTGGGTAGCACCGGAGGAACGAGATCTGTGGGGAGACGCCAGGCCGGCTCGATATGGGCTTGAGTAGCAAGCTTTCTAGCTCTTTGTATAATTGCCATCACCTCTGGACCGAGGCTAGGACCAAACTTCTCAAGGATAGCCTTGTCGCCTACTTCAGCATCGAGAGTTTCGAAATCGAGTGGCGAATCTGTGGTCTTCGGATTGGGGAAGTCTTCCAGTTGGACTTGGAATAGAGAATCGGGACTCGTTGATCTTTCCGCCGGTTGCGCCCCTCCAAAAAGGGAGTCATCGTCGGAGTCGATCAGGCGAGACTGGACAGTGTTTTGGCTTTCTCTTGAACCAGGAGGAGCAACGTACGATGCGCGAGCAACAAGGGGTACAAATAGTTCGTCGTCGCTGTCCACTGATTCCATTCCCTGGTTGTCATCTGCTAGTGCAGCATTCTCCGCGATTTCCTCGATACTCATGATGACTTCGTCTGCGCCCTCGTTGAAATACTCGTTTGTACCGTCTTGAACCTGAGTCATTGCTTTTAGCAACGATTTCCCTTTTGCAGTGTATGCGCCTCCTGGGTCCGTCTCATTTTCCATCGACTGCACATGACCATTGTTCACGACTATGGACATAGAATCCATGTCAATCTCGTCACCAACGCCGGAAAAGTCGTGAGAATACTTTTCAAAGATCGATTCAAACCGCGACTTCAGTAAAAGGTCATTTCTTAACCGTCTGGTGTCCAGATCCTCATCAAGGCTCGGGTCGGAGGGTCGGCTGGCGAATATGGAGAGGCGCGGCCTCTTACGAAATGGCTCCTCCATCATAAGAATATGTGGTGATGTCGAAACGAGATGGTTAGAGCAGGCATGGAAAGCGGACAATGGTGGTGTTGGAGGGGCACTGCGCCGATGAACCAAATGGATATGAATTTCCGCAGGCGCGTCGCGCGTTTTGTATGCAGCCTGCAACGTCATTCTGCACTTTAATTTATTCCATTCTCACTCACACCCATGCATTCGTCTACATGATTGCCACAGAGACTAACAGCAGAAATGTATTGCCAGAAATGTCGACAACCTGTTCGCTTCGATAGCTCGCTCGAGAACATCAATCCGGCGTCCTTTGACCTGCTCGTTGGTCCGTTTCCCTCCTGCTGCTTCTCTCCTGCCCACTACTGACTATCACCCAGCATCCACAGGCAAGTCGCAGCTGAACAATGTGAACTCCACCATTTCTCGCATGAATTACCCGCAAGAGAGAAAGGAACTCTATGACCGCGTCTCCCTCCAAGCAAACTCTCCGATCTACAAGAGATCTATCGCCGCGCCAAAAGATGAGGCACTTCTTTCTCGTCGGCCTGAGCAACCAAACGGCAACCCTGACATGTCGTTCATTGAAATCACACAGTCACAAGTTGCTCTGACAGACAAGGAACATCAAAACCGAAAAATACAAAGCCCGAGTACAAGGACAAACGGCTCTGACCCTGCTCCGATGAAAGACACCCGGATGTCCGCCAGGAAGAATCAGGTTGAAGACCTTTTTGCCATCCTCTCTTCACATTCAGACATCGATCATCCTATGTGTCAGGAATGTACTTCCATGATGCTGTCGCAATATGCCACACGCCTGAGTAGTGCGAACAGGGAAAGAGACGCCTACGCTGGTTTTCTCAAATCAACCCAAAATCTCTCCTCTGAAGTTCGGCGCTCATCGGATGCTAAACGGGTTGGAGGGACCATTTACGAGCAACTGGAATCTACCGAAGCTGAAATCAGAAAAGTGGACGTAGAGATTGCAGCTTTAGAGGAGCAGCTGCAACACGAGGAACTGGAGCAACAGGCGTACTGGAATTCGCGCAACTCAATCGATGACAATCTCTACAACACCACCACACATTTATCATTTCTGAAAGAGAAACAAACCCATGACTTCCGCCAGCTTGAGTGCCTGCAGCGCACGAATGTATACAACGACACCTTTTGCATTGGCCATGACGGCTACTTTGGAACGATAAACGGCCTCCGCCTGGGCCGTCTGCCAAATCAAAATGTCGACTGGTCTGAGATCAATGCCGCATGGGGTCAAACTTTGTTGCTCCTGGCCACTGTTGCGGAAAGACTGAAGTTTACATTCCAGGGTTATCGTCTGCGACCTCAAGGCAGCACCTCTCGCATAGAAAAGCTTGAGTACCCCCAGCAACCTCCCGACTTGCAGAGACAACAAGCAACGGGCCGCGACGGAGGTCTGCGTTCAGCTGCCGCAAACCCTGAACCAAAGATCACTCCTCTCGACTTATTCAGTAGCGGCGATATGGCCATCGGACGCCTCCTGAACCATCGTCGGTTTGACAGTGGCATGGTGGCATTTCTCGACTGCTTAGGGCAGCTGGGGAAATACGTCGAGAGGACTTCCAGCGTCGACATCAATCCAAAACCATCAGTACGGAACGCAACCCTAAGGAACACACCGTCCAAAAGAGTGTTACCATATGCAATACAGGGTGATAAAATTGGGGACGTTTCGATCAAGTTGGGGGTCGGTTTTCATCAGGATGAAAACTTCACCAAAGCTTGTAAATATGCCTTGACTTGTTGCAAGTTCCTCCTGGCTCATGTCAGCAACCTCGAAAGTCAGAAGGAAGCTTGATCATTGTACGACAACCACCACGAAGAACACATGGCCGGCCGCGGTTGGGGATAAAGAACCATGACTCGGCATGAATGAGTCGGTATCAAAGCAGCTCTTGGCCTCAAGTTTTCGACGTGAAGAACTCGACATCGAAACAAGCATTCAAAGAAGCCTTTCAGCAACCAGAACGCACACATTGCAGCTCGTGGTGCCCTATATCCGCAGGAGACAGTTCAAGCCGGGAAGCTTCACTTGGACAGGCGGGAGACTAGCCATTTCGAGTCCGTCAAAGCAGACTCGTGATAGGTCGCAGCAGCTGTGCATCATGGTAACGAGAATACGGTCGTTAGGGTGCGATTGGAGACCCTTCATCACCTAACAACTGACTAATAGGCGTGACAGATGGGGTAGTAGTTCGAAAAGAAGCAGCGACGTCCAGTTTCAGTCCGGGACGGCATCGCATTTGATTTGAGGCATTGGTGGCATGGCTGCATTAGTTGAGTAATCGGCTGCTTCTCTGCATCAGGTAAGCCACAGGGTCTTTGACACCAAAAACACCGCATCGCCCAATCTCAGAATGGATGGTTACAGCATCCATCCTGAATTTGCGGCCGTTACCACCTTGAGCCGTTTCACCCAGAGGGCTTTGGCGACTCAGGCTGAGCAGCAAAATGAATTGCTTCCACCCCGCTCGTTCGTATAGAATGCGAATACCGTCCTCTTCAACCCGTGGGCAACACCATCCCTCCAGCTTTGCCCTTCCCTCATACCGCAATCTCCAGCCACGCCACCATTACTTCTAAGGTGGTTCTATTCCTGCCAGTCTTTACTCTTCTCGCCGAATGATTCTTCTGTGTTTGCCATGGCGCAGATTACCCATTCTACTGTCCGCGAGCTTCGCTTTGTCGCTGTCAGCGGCCAGAAATCCCATCCGACGACAGACAAGAAGGAGCGCAGCTCAGTGCGGGCTTTCGTCATGCGAGATTATCTGAGACAGAAGAGCGATCCCACATCGAAATTTACCCCTGCAAACGTGGGCGAGCGCATGACTTCCCACATATCTCGATTTCGATCCACCAGACCTTCTTCGACTGTGAAGCCCAGGAAGCGAAGAACGGTAGCAACTCGTGATCGCGGATCGGGTGGAAAGCCTAGGAGTCAGCGGACGCTTGTCCCAGCACTTCCTGCATCGAACGAGGAACGTTCGCGGAACTCACGGCTGCACGATCTGGACGCGTTGGATCCTTTCGGTACGCTGGATGTTGATCTCAAAGAATCGCAAACCCAAAGTCTCCTTCAATACTACCAAACTTCTTTCTGGGCCAACTCGTTTGCCTGCAATCCCGAGGCGAGGTGGATATCTGTTGCACTAATGGACCCGGCAATCATCCACGCGACACTGAGTTTAGTAGCTATCCACAGAAGAGACCGTTTCTCTATTGATCTGTCCAAGGTCTACTTCAAGCACCGGGGCGAAGCCATGCAGATTGTTGCACGGAGACTGAACAATCTGCAAGAATCTCTGAGTGATGAAACGATTGGTGCAGTGGCGCTTCTCTCGAGTTCCGACAACCACTTTGAATGGCCGTCGGAAGCTCAAACAACCCATTCACAGGGCTTAGGGCATTTGATTTCCATCCGTGGTGGCATGGAGACTTTGGATTCGAACAGACATATCCAGAGGGTGGTAGGATGGGCGGACTTGCTGCAGTCCGCCATGCATGGTACAAAACTTCGACTTCGCATGCCAGCTGTGGTGGAGGAAGCTTCAGCCGAAGGTCTGATTCCGGACAATGAGAACAAAGAGGAGCAAAAGACGTTGTCAGGCACTCTCTTGCAGGATCTACCTCAAGGCATAGGCGATATGCTGCGACAGCTCCGCATTTTGTCGTCCTTGAAGACAGTTTTGCTCCAGGATCGCGAACAACAATTATGCCGGACATTTAGCAACCTGCTCTGGAAACTCGAGTATTCTATACTAGATGTGCCACAGAGACCGGCGAGCGGCGCTGATCACAGTCAAGGGAGTGCCCTCACTCAGGAGAGGCTGATGGGAGATGTGGTGGGCATCGCCACGCTGATATTTTCATATCTGACCCTCCGGGACCTTGCTGCGCCTATTCTCTACCTCAGGCTGGGTGGTCGGCTGAGAGCGTCTGCATCCGCAATGATAACGCCTCGGCAAAGACCACAAAAGCACATTGAATTATCGGAAACCGAGGGTCAGCTCCTTGGTGATCAGTTTCTGGGCGACAGCCAGCTCGCTGTTCTCCTGTGGTCGTTTTATCTTGGCTGGCGTGGCTCCCAAAAGGACGTCAAGAACCGGACATGGTTTGCTGATCAAGTTGCGCAGCTTTGCTGGAGGCACGGAATCTTATCGTACGAGTCAATCAAGGGGAAGATCCAGAGCGTAATTCCCCAAGCGCGTACGTTGTTGGAGATTCAAGAGGACTTCTGGGACGAGGTAGAAGAAGTCATATGGTCGGAGATGATCTCTCTGCACTAGGACCATGAGAACACTCGATTTGTATATCAAGGATTGTGCCACAATATTACTTCGGGGGACTAGAAGCGTTCTAAAGTGAATCTTTAACTACTGAGCAAAGTGTTCAGACTTTGTCAGCACTTTATGCGCCCCTCCCCACACATCGCGCACCACCGTCTCCTCGCTCCACCCTTGGGGATTCATCGCGTCCATCGGTCGCGTGGTGGAATAGTGTCCAACTCGAATCCCAACCTGATTTAATCACCTCATATTGTAGCCTTTTTCTTTTGCCCCTCCCGTTCACAATGGCCCGAGGAAGACAACAGCCTGCCGAGCAGTCCGACTTTGAAAAGCAACGCCTAGCAAATATCGCCGAGCGCGACGCCCTCCTCAAAAAGTTAACCCAAGAGGCGCAGCAAGCGGGCCTCTATTCCAAACCGCCATCGGCCGGCACGCAACATGGCCAAAAGCGAGCCTCGAAGCCCAAGGGCCCACCTGCGAAGCGGGTGAAGAAGGAGCCCGTGGAAGTTCTGCCTCGTCGCACCTCCTCACGGCTGGCGGGGCTACAAGCAGACAGCGAAGTGGCGAAGCACAAAGCAGAGGTGGAATATGAACAGCAAAAGGAGGTCGAGAGGCAGAAGAGACAGCGCGTCACCGGCGACCTCAACTTCGCGGCGGCCGACGGAGCGAGTCTGATCGGGACAGATGTGATCCTCAAGGGCGTCGCCAAACCGTACGAGCGCACCTTTGACGAACAAGATATCCGGGAGACGACGGACAAGGACCTCAAGGCGCTCAGGGAGAGGATGAGCGGGCTGGGCCTGTGGGATCAATGGGAGCCGAACCGCATCAAGATCACGCCGGAGAGGATATACAGCATGGCGTTTCACCCGACAACTTCGAAACCCATTGTCTTCGCGGGCGACAAGTTCGGGTCCCTGGGGATCGTGGACGCGTCGCAGCGACCAGACACGGCCGTCAAGGAGGAAGACGCAGGCGACGAGGACGAGGATGAGGAAGAGACACGCCCTGATCCTCAAATCACGCATATAAAACCCCATACCCGCACCATAACCGCGATGCACAGTCACCCGTCCAAGCCGCAGACACTCTACACGTCCTCGTACGACTCTTCGATCCGGGCGACGGACCTCTCCAAATCCGTCGCCGTGGAGGTATACGGCCCCTCCAGTCGCGAAGACGACGAACCCATCTCGGGCGTAGACATGTCCGCCACCGATCCGCACACATTGTATTTTACGACTTTGAACGGCGCCTTCGGACGGCACGACACGCGCCAGCCGCCGTCTGCGTGCGAGTTGTTCCAGCTCTCCGAGAAGAAGATCGGCGGGTTCAGCTTGCACCCGCTGCTCCCGCACTACGTGGCCACGGCGTCCCTGGACCGCTACATGCGGCTGTGGGATCTGCGCAAAATCACCAAGAAGTTGCCCACGCTGGTGGGCGAGCATGAATCGAGACTGAGTGTGAGCCACGCGGCGTTCAATACAGCCGGGCAGGTGGCGACCACTAGTTACGACGACACGATCAAGATCCACTCATTTGGCGTCGGTAAGCATGCCAAAAAGGGGACGCAGGCGCTGGAGAGCATGAGTTCCTGGGCGGCAGGCTTTCATCTGGACGAAGAGGCAATGAAGCCGGAGGTCGTGGTGAGGCATAATAACCAGACGTGAGTTTTGCGATCTCTTAGACACGAACCTTGCTCCGTGCGGGCAATGGCAGTGACAGACTGACTTTATGCTTAACCCTACAGCGGCCGATGGACCACCATCCTCAAACCGCGGTGGCAGACTTATCCCGAAGACAACATCCAGAAGCTGGTCGTAGGCAACATGAATCGGTAAGGACGTCCTCACCCTGGCACTTCTGCCGCTTTCCTTTCCCATTGAATTTTCTCCTCCAGGCTGGAACTCGTCCTTTGGATTTCTTTTCTAACAACTCTCCTAGATTTGTCGACGTCTATGCCGCCAATGGGGACCAGCTCGCCCAACTTGGAGGCGAAGGCATCACTGCTGTTCCGGCCGTAGCTGTCTTCCACCCTTCCAAGGACTGGATTGCCGGAGGCACCTCGAGCGGGAAACTGTGTTTGTGGATGTAGATACTGGTATCTAACGATGGGCCACGTCCGGAGTACCATGGACTGACTCGCACGTAGATCCTTTCCAAGGGGGATGACTTGTACTCGGTCTTTCATCGGGCTTCTTCCTCTTTCATTTCCTTTCTGTTATCCCCAGTTGCTGTCGTACAACAGACCAACTGGCCCAGATCGCGGTGAACCACAGTCTCACAACACTTTCCGGCCCCTGGCACAACAACCCAAGGCTATGTGACCAGCCTTGTCCCTGTGGAATTTACGACGATGAAGCAGCAGTGCAAATAATCGGGAATGTGCTGTGACATTGTCCAGGACGGAACGATCCACAACGGAGGGAAAAAGGAGGGTAAATTGACTTGCTCGACTTTGATCTGTTGCATCAGGCTGTGTTTCCTACCTCCAGATCGTCTCCTCAATCTCATCCAAGGTTCCCCCTTTTTACCTTACCTGGGACGACTCAACCGATCTCAACTCTTGAACCAGTCTGAAGACCTTGGTCGTGTGTATGGACGGGAGAGGTTTGTTGTGCGGTTCTGGCGTCACGTCTTGGGGCACTTTGTTGGGTTAACGCATTGGACAACTTCCAGAATGGTTCGGGTGATTTCTTTTGGTTTCGTTTGGTTCAGGAGCAGCCCGACCGATCTTGACGCTAGTCGATGGCGTCACTCGGCGGCTTTATGTGGTGACTGCGTGACCGCGGGTGTGTCAGTGTTCCGACGATGCAAGAAGCCGCTGATCCGTCAATGTTGTTGAAACTTGTGGGAGGGACAGGAGACAGTCGGATTGTCTGTCTCAGCAGGTTCTAAGACAGGTGTGAGTGACAATGGCACGGATCTGAAAGGAACGCCTCACCACATTTTGACGAACCTGCGCTCATTATTCAGAGGACGAGGGTAAGCTGAGGGTGGTGGGCCTCTCTCCATACCCACCAAACTTGTACAGAGGCTTGAGAGGTACCGAGTCCCTCTCAAGACCAATCCGCGTGCTCTCACCTCATAGTTGGCGAGGGTGTCTTAGTTGGCGAGCCCAATCTCGGGTGGCCGTTGAGTGCGACCATCTGCTGTGTCCAATACCGATATGAGCCAAGGACCTAACGAGGTGTTTGTGGCAAATCTAGGTTAGCAAAGTTCATCCAGCAGGCAAATCTGGACGGCCCAAGCCTTCTCAAGCCTCCCAAGTCTGGCCTCCGGTGTCTTCAATGGTGGTGAGTGGCGTCAGCTGTGACTTTGCGCAGTCTGCACCTGTTGGCAGGACTAAGCGTTATTATTTGTAGGGCGGGATTCCCCTGCAGCGGACCTGCATCCATCCTCCCATCCATCCTCTCGTTGCCCGGTGCCGCCAATTCAATCGTCCCAGTCCGTTGGAGACCACAACAACAAATACACGGGGGGTTTGGTCGTTGAAGGCGTTGGGTTCGCTCGTTACTCGACGTCTTTTCTATTCCATGCGCAGAGTCGGATCCTCTCGTCGTCGTCGGGTCACACGGCACTAGAGTTGCGACAACTCGATCTTCCCATCCCGCCCTAATCCGTGCTCAAGAATTCTCCTTCACCAGCCTGCTTCTGCTTCGTCTTGAAGTCAACTCTCATCAAACAGAAGCCATGGCTCCCACTCACCGCTACGATCTTGTCAAAGACCAAGACCAGGACGATGTCAAGGACGAGCCCCAGCAGCCAACACCACCCACCTCTGTATCGTGGTGGAAGATTCTGCTCGGCATCCTCTGTCTTCTGGCCAGTGCTGGTGTAGGCGCGACGCTCGCCATTGTGCTTGGTCCCTTTCCCAAGGAGTCCAGCGCCGCCGCCGCCGCCGGCAGCAGTGCAGCACCCGCTATCATCAGCGCATCCAGCACCACCTCATCCGCTGCAGACCTCCCACTTCCCACGAGACCCGTCGATTCTGTGGAGGAGAAAGTCGAGGACGGTGACGTTCTGGACGGCCAGATCCTCGAGTGCGGATACAGCCCCGAGGAAGCGCGCGCCAATGGCTGTGTGTACGACGTGATGATGCAGGACTGGGTCCCAGAACCCTGCTACGACGCCGTGCTGACGGAACGGTACCTGGCCCAGGGAAACTGGACGTGGTACGCCGACGCCGAGGGCAAAGTGATCCTCTCAGATGAGGAAATGCGCAAGGGCGAACACGGCTCGGCCTGGATGTCGTCGAGCTACCACCAAGCGCACTGCATCTTCTCGTGGGACAAGACCGTCCGTGCCCTGCGCAACAACCGACCAATCAGCCAGGAACTGTTGTCCTACGACCACGTCCTTCACTGCAGCCACCAGACCCTGAATGGCGTCGAGGTGGATGACAGCATTGGCGTACGCGCACCCACGAATTATGCCAAGTGTGCGCTGTATGATACCTGGAAGTACAATTGGATCCCAGACAGACATTCTTCCACCACAGATTAATTTGTTTTGATATATATACCAATCTTGCGAAGCGTTTTATGGCAGAATTACAATTTCAGACCTTTTACCGCAGAATTTCCCGCCGCTTCATTTTCTTTTGTTGTCATGTCCCCTGAGGGCGGAAATCCCTAGAGAACACTTGGTGGCATTCATGCACCGTTCGAGGTGCAAGTGCCCGCCTTTTCCCTTGAAAGTCTTTCCAGATCGCGGCTTTTGGAGTGAATAGCCGTCCGGTCGCACATCTAGTGGGTGGGTATATTCTGTTCCGTTCGCCATCTTGTTGTTTTGCGCGCTTTTTCCTCCCGCCAGAAAAAAACAAAAAACAAAAAACAAAAAACAAAAACAAAAGCACCAGACCCCACCGCTGTGTATACAACTCAATCACGACTCTTCAAACAGGTCATACAGCCCCATAGTCTGCGCATCATCAAGTTCCAGTCCTAGGCTGGCCGCCACGTCCTGCCTCAATTTGGCCGTCCCGCGCCGCGGATCTGGCGCCACCGCGCACCTCAGGAACGAGACGCCCCGGCGCACCAAGCTCGTCACGACGCTGCATTGAGGGCCGCTTCCCGGGTCACCAGCACCAGCATCAGCACCAGCATCAGCCAGCGACGATTGAGCATTCTGGGCGCAGGACGGGCACGCGGGATCCGCGCAGATCCAGGTCTTCCAGAAGGCGCAGTTGATCAACTCCGCGCCGTGCAAGAGGTACGCGGACCGGAGGACGCGATCATCGTCATCACTATCACCATCCCTAACAAACCTCCTGGTTTGAGCAGGCTTGTACTGGGATATGAAGCCTTCTATGATGGCGTTGACGGCCGATAGGTGGCCCCTGGCGTACCCTGGCGGGTGTGTATGAGCAGCGACGCGCAACAGCTCGAGGTGGGCGAGGAACTGGCTCACGTCGCCGTTGACGCCGCGCCCGCTGATGCTCGCGAATTCCCAGTCGATGATGCCCACGCCGACGTCCACATCATCCACATCCGTGTCCACATTTGGTTCACCGGTCGCGACCCCTAGGTCGACTAACACCGCGCCAGTCCAACAATCGCCGAGGACGACGCATTGTTCCTCCAGAGGAGTCGGGCGGAGAAAGTCTGCCTCTACCGCTGCGAAGAGGGTCTCGGCTTCTGCTTCGTTGAGGAGAGAAGGGAACTTGAGCAGGTGGGCTCGGATCGGCTTGATGACGTGGTCGTGAATGGCAGTCTTCATCTCTGGCAGCGACGGGAATGTATCTCGCGGTCGTTGCTGCTGACCGTCACCTTGGGTGTGGAGTGCTCCAAGGACAGAATGGACGCTGCTGGGTCTGTGCAAGCATGCAAAGAACGTGCCCAACTTCTCGCCTATCCTTCGATACCTCGCGATCTCGTGAGCGTCAAGCGTATGGCCAAGGCAAGGGGATGACGGCGGCGGCTGCCACGCTGTAGCTGCGCCCGCCGCGTCCGGCGTAAACCCACCCAGCTCGATGAAGACTTTCGAGAGGTCGGGCAGTGGTCCCAAGTCGGAGAGGACGAGGACGTGGTCGGTCGGATCGTGAAGGAGCAGTCTGGGAACCGTGACTCCCGACGCCGCCGCTACATGATGCAGCACTCCTATGGTCGAGAGTGACAGACTGCTTGATCCGTCCTCTCCCCCAACCTGAGTGCCAGGGAGAAATAACGCCAACGACGCTGCTTCGACTTCCTGCGACCGCAACATGGTTAAATCCGCAGACCGTAGACTTTGCCATGCGCACGCGCGCCATTCATTAGGTAGATATGTACCTACCTGACGGCCCTGCGACATGGGCGCACTCTCGCCCACGCCGGCAATAAACGGCGGCGCATGCTTCAAGACCAGCGACCCATAGCCCGGGAACCTGCCTTGCCCGCAATCTAACCCGGCAGCACTGCCTCTCGACCCCAACGTCGCCGACGGGGTCTTAGCTGGTGCTGTGCTCATGGGACTCGCAAAGCGCGCTTTGCTCGCCCGGGCAGTCACGTTGACCACCCCGCCAGCGAGTTTCTCCACGCGGTAGACGTACGCGGGATCGAGACGGCGTAGGTACGCGGCGAAATCAAAGTCCATGGATTCCGGGGTTTCGTTTTTTTCTTCTCCGAATGGGGAGAGTAAACGGAGACGAGAAACCGAGGGATGGTTGAAGAGGAGGAGGAGGTAAACAGTGAGAATGAAGAAGAGGAACAATGACGAGGAGGAGTGGCTTCCCTCTTAGATTTCGTGGGAATTTTGGGAATGAATACGAAGGGTTGACCCTGCTGGCTCTTGATCTTTCTGGTGTACATAGCAGAAAAAGGAGCCTGCGCAACACGTATTACTCCATCCTCTACACAACCCGAGACCGAAGACGCCTCCCAACACAACGGTTCGGTCAAAACTCCATCTCGTAGTCCAAATCGCCCGGCCTGTCCATGACTTCGAAGGGGGCGTCCTGCATATCCAAATCCACCATGTCGTGCGGACCACCAATGATGATGTCCCGATTCGCTCCCTCCAACGAGCCTTGCAGCCTCCCGATCTCCCGCTCCGCCATGCGTCCAGCCTCCTCGAGCGCGCGGAGGACACTTCCCAGCATCTCCTCCAGCTTCAGGTCCCGGAGCACCTTCTCGTACCGCCTCATCTTGGCCGGGTCCCATTCCTCCTCGACCCGGTCGGGGCCGCGGAAGGAGTCCTCGGGCCGCAACTCGACGTCCTTCCACTTGTTGCGGAACTCCTTGGCCACCCCGATGTACTCTCTGACGGGGCCGGTGCCGAGGATCGCGTGGAGCGGGGTCGCCGGGTGGTCGAGGGCGGCGAGCACGTTGGCGTGGAAGCGGTGCGCCGCGCCCTGGAAGGACAGCGAGTCGCCGATGATGGGTTGCGAGGCTGCTATCCCACTACCACCACCCACTCGTGCCTTTAAGGAAGCCGTACCACCACCACCATCATCATCCTCCGTCCTCGTCGAAGCTGCTGCTGCCACCGCGGAAGCGGTGATCACAATCCCCCAAACGCCGAGGAGGCAGACAAGTCCCCGCTCCAGCAGGGCGTAGAACTCGTAGAAGTCGATCTTGAACTGCCGTTCCGCGTCGACCGGGTCGATGATCAAGTCGTACGGTCCCAGCGTCGCCCGAGGCCCCGCGGCCCATTCTGCATCAAGAACCCCGTTCGGTTGCGCGTGGCTATTGGAGCTGCCGTGGTGCCGCTGGCTCTGGTGCTCTTGGGCCAGACTGAGCGCGCGATGGGACCAGTGCGTCAGACTGTTGGCTTTCCAGGCCAGGCGCCGAAACAGCCTGCGGAAACGCTGCAGTTCAGCCTGTCGCGCGAGATATCTTCGTTGCGTAAAGCTGGCTGGTTTCGACGACGGCGCGGAAGTCGGTAAGAGTGGTTGCGATGGTGGTGGTAGTGGGTGTTGTTGCGGCGGTTGCAATGAGCTCAATGAGGCTTTATCCAGGGCACGGGGCGAGGCCGCTCTTCGCGTCCAGGCCGGGATCTGCGTTTCTCGCTCGCGACGTACATCGGGACTCGCCCACTTCGAAGCTGTCAGGTCGAGATTCTGCATGGCGTTCCAAGGTGGCTGCGGGAGAGGAAATCATGTTCCATCATTTGGTCAAGAGGACACTGTTTCACCGTGGCTCTAGAAGTGGCGGGGGATGGACCGATGCCTCAACTTCACGCTCTCTTTCTGTATCGCCGACAAAAGAGAGCAAAGAGGGGCATAGTCTGACGAGAAATAGTACAGAGACATGATTCACTATTGACTCAACGGTAGTTATAAGGTAATTTATTCTGTCCTTGGGCATAATAGCATCCTTATCCTTATTAACAATATTAGCTCTTTTTGATCTGGCAGCCACCTCGTCGCTATCCAGAGTAAGCATCTTTCTAGGTCAGACTGTGCTGCTTATTTCTTGCAGCGGTTACCCTCCTGCCAATATTAAGATGAAGATTGGAATGGGTGTATTAACGTAGTGCGCATCCATCATTGACTGCATAAAGCCTGATTCCAGTCGTCCAATCGCCGTGTCAACAGGAGCGTATGCCATAACCCGATGCCAACAACATTCGTGTGCTACCGATCCCATACCAATGAATAGAGCCCGTTCCCCCAATCAATTGATGTGCTGATTCAATGACTCGTACCCTCCCTCGTCCCTCTCCCTTGCTGTTCCCTCCTACCCCCCTGGCTGACCCGGCCGGTGATGTCTTGCCATGTCGCATCGAACCTTCTGCCTGTGCTTGCCAATAGGCCTTCCTCTTCTTCCTCGAGCTCATCTTCCTCCGCGTCCGGATCTGATAGCTTCGGTGTACGGAACAGGAGAACAACGAAGCCGAGCAGGAAAATCCCCAGAAAGACGAACTGGGCCCAGAAATCGACAACACCGAAGAAGGGAAAGTTGACCGTCACTCGATTGAGGAACGTCGACACCACAGAGGGAGTGCACACATTCTTGGCGGCAGGGTTGTCGGTTGACTCTGTGCATGGTACAATGTGCTGGGGGTGATCAGTACAGTCGGGTTGCTCCCCAGGGTGCTTGAGGGGGTGGTCGCAGAACGTCTGAGGGCCAAAAGTGGCGTATTGTGGAGCCACCATCATCGCTATTGAGTAGTTGATAGCCAGTGTCATGAGAGTGAGCATGACAGTGGCGACCAACAATGCTTGTGGCGATGTGTGAGCTTTCCGGATTCTGAAGATGGTGATCCACAAGACGCGGATACCAATGGTCGCGATGCCGAGGATGCTCGCACTGAAAAAAAGCATCACGATCAGCATGAAGATGACATAGTCGATGGGGAACACTTTGGCGGACATGACCAGGATCCAGTTGACCGGTTGGAAGATGTTGATGTGTGCGAGCAGATAGCCGCAGTGCTGTTTGCAGATCGAGTTCTTGGCCTTGTCAATGCCCGTAATCAGCATGCTGGCGAAGATCAACAGCACAATGATCACCAGCAAAAGTCCAAGAATGAGCTTGATAGGCCGCAGAATGGCGCCCAGCTTGATCCAAATCTTCCAGAAAATATTCTGATCTTTCCCCGAGGATTCTTCGGCGAGCCGTTGGTGACGACGAAGAGTGCGCTCTTCGCGGACAAGCGCGTCAAGTTCTCTTTGATCTTTGGAGGACAGGCCATCAGGATTGCCTTGAGCGCGGCCCTCCAGCTGTCTCTGCCTTTCGAGATTGCTTTCCAACTGAGACGCGGTGGATTCGCTTAACGCCGGTGCCGAGATACTAGGCGCGGACTTGATCAGTGTGAGAGGGAGAAGCGCGAGGCCTGCTGCAGTATAGAAGCAGTAGATCAGGACGCCAATCGTGATCAAAAGGCCCAGCGCAAAGGTCAAGGCGCGTTCTCCGTGGTTTTCGGCCAGCAATTTCTTGAAAAAGTCGAGGTCGAAATGAGCTCCCTCTCGGTGACGGGCGACGGGGACGAAGAAGCCTACGAGGAAAAGGGCGACGCAAAGGAAGACGAAGGCCAGAGTGTATTTGGAAGCAGCCCAGAATCTGGAGCCGAATGTTTGCGTACCCTCCTCTTGGGCGATTTCGTCATATTCTTCATACCAGAAGTAGGTAAACGGAATGACGAGCAGACACAAAAGCGCATCGAGCGAGTATAGAAGATAGTAGACGATCCGGAGGGTAAGCGTGATGTTGTCGACCTTCTCTTGGTTTGCCCAATCCTTCCGTCTGCCTAGCTTTGAGCTTGTGGTACTAGAGACCAGCGCGACATCGACCGGAAGGAGGAGGACGGTTGCCAGGAGACATGTGATGGTGAAGATGCAGACCGTGGTGACGAACATAGACCGGTCCCGATGTGTCTGGTAGAGGTAGACGAAGAGACAAGCGACGGAGAGGAGGATGACTATGGCAATGGCATAGACGACCCAGATCAAGGTGATTTGGATGTAACCCGCCGCGGCCATGTTCGAGAAACCTGGTTCCTCGAGCCCAGTCATTGTCAATGGGGAGAGCTGCATGGTGATGGTCTTGACTACTTCAATTGAGTGGTGGGCTGTTCGCAATGGCACAGCGTCTGCATCTCAGGCCAGCTGGATGACTCCAAGTGATGCGAAGGTAAGAGAAATGGTGCAGTGCGGCAGTCAGGCGCAATTGTGACCTCAGGGTGGGAGAAGGTCGTGGTAGCGCAGCTTGAGCGTCGCCTGATGGAAGATGCAAGTCCGTCGTCATAGCTGCCCACTTTGTGTTTGTCTTTCTGAATCCGGACTAGTGCAATACTAGTAGCCCGTCACGTGCACGGCCAAAATATCAAACCCAAGTCGTTGACTTGGCCCCTTCATGCTCTCCGTCCACTCTGTAAGATATGTCAATCTCTACAATCCTCCCTCGATCTGACTATTCTCGGTGATGCGGCTACAAAAAAAGCGCCTGGAAAAGCCCATGGAGATGCCAGGAAGATATTAGTGCTGCTGGCACTCATCCGATCATCTGTCACCCTCCGTTCTCCAACCTCCACCTCAGAATGCAGTGCTACTCCGAGCTCATCCCTCCTTCTGGCGTCACCCACGCCCTCTCCCTCCCATTCACTTCACCCAATGCCGACAACCTGATCATCGCACGGACATCCTTGCTTCAAGTCTTCCAATGCGAGCCCGTCAATGCCGGTCAGGAAACGAGACTTGTCTTGATCGCCGAATACAACTTGGCAGGGACAGTCACCTCGTTAGGCAAAGTCCAGATTGCCGACTCGAAAAGTGGAGGGGACGTCGTCCTCATTGCTCTTCGTGATGCGAAGCTGAGCCTTGTCGAATGGGACCCCGAGTTGCATAGCATATCTACTCTGTCAATACATTTCTACGAGCATCATGATCTCCAGTCTGCTCCGTGGCAACCTGATCTCGCTGAATGTGTCAGTCATCTGACGATTGACCCATCAAGTAGATGTGCCGCCTTCAATTTCGGCGTCAGTAATCTTGCCATTATCCCTTTCCACCAAGCCGGAGACGATCTGGCTATGGACGACTTGGATGACCTCGATGGGGAAGACAGGGAAAAGTCTGTACAGACAGAACAAGCTGATGGGCATGTTCATGGGCCCACAGCGCCTTACAGCCCATCATTTGTTCTGCCTATGACCGTTCTTGATCCTGGCTTGCTGCACCCTGTGGACATTGCTTTCCTCCATGAGTATCGCGACCCTACCATTGGTATACTTTACTCTACCGCTGCCCGCTCCTCCAATATGAGTCCAGAACGGCGGGATGTCACAATCTATGCGGTCTATGCCTTGGACCTTGACCAAAAGGCATCAACCACTTTGCAATCTGTTCAGAAGCTTCCCAATGACCTCTATCGGATCATTGCTCTTCCTTTACCAGTCAGCGGCGCTTTACTGGTTGGTGGCAACGAGTTGATCCATATCGACCAAGGAGGCAAATCCAGCGCTATGGCCGTGAATGAGCTGGCGAGAGAGGCATCTGCCTTTCCCATGGCTGACCACTCCGAGGCCCGTCTGAAGTTGGAAGGCTGTCAGGTCGAGCACTTGGGAAATGCAAATGGTGACATGCTGATCATTTTGAGGTCTGGAGAACTTGCTCTCTTGACGTTCCGAATGGACGGTCGTTCGGTCTCTGGGATGACGCTTCGTCGACTCGGCGACGCACAAATGCAAAGTCTGTTCATGGGAGCAGCGTCTTGCACGACCAATCTCGGAATGAATCGGCTCTTCATTGGGAGCGAGGAGGCCGATTCAGTCTTACTTGCGACGGAGAAGAAGGTCCCTCAATTGAAGCGAATACGCTCCCGAGCGCAGATACAGGCCAATGAAGTTGAGCCCCAGGACGATGACGATGAAGAAGATGGTTATGATGACGATGATGACCTCTACGCCGAAATCATTGACGGACACAATGGCCATTCCTCGAGCGAGCTAAGCGGCCAGAGCTTTCGAGCGGTCGATCGGCTTGCATGTTTAGCACCAATCAACGACATTGCCTTGGGGAATCTGGGCAAGCGAAAACGCGATGATGCCGATGAACCAGACCGACCTGATTCAGCAGAGCGGGAACTTGTCTGTGCATATGGTCGAGGCAATGCCGGTGGGATCGCCTTTATCCGTCGACAGCTGGAGCCAAAGGTAACGCAACGAATAAAGTACGACGATGCCATTGGACTCTGGTGTTTCAATTCTGGTAGAAAGAATCAGAATGAGACTGACAAGCATGTGGACTCTGGATTCGACAACCTCATTCTGGTCTCGCAAGTGACTCTGGACGGCGCCGGGAAGTCTTCGTTGTTTTCACTGGCAGACGAAAATCTGGTCCCGATCGCAGATACGGACTTTGATGAGTCTGCTGGCTCTACCATATCTGTCTTCAAGCTGGAAATGACTAATCACACAATCCAAGTACTTCCTACAGAAGTCCGTGTGTATGATGCCAATTTCGGACTCTCCCAGATATTTCCTGTCGTGGATGAAGAAGAGGGCCAGACAGCCAGAGCGGTGAAGGCCACTTTCGCCGAGCCGTATCTCATCCTTGTCAGAGATGATGGAAACATGACCTTACTCAAAGCCGATAGAGCCGGCGAACTGGATGAGGTTGAGCTTTCCACCACTCTCAAGAACAATTCTGTCCTGTCAGCCTCGCTCTATCATGATACTAGCGATTTCTTCCAGACATCGAGATTTTATGAGAGTGCTGGAGCGTCACGAGGGCCGGTTCTGGCGCTGTTGACATCTGAAGGGCACTTTTGCCTACTGTCACTGCCAAACACCGCCCTTGAGGTGTTTCAATGTGATAGCCTGCCGTTCCTTCCCACTTATCTAATGCAAGGCCTACAATTGCCGAAGCATTGGAGGAACAAGGACGATTTGGCCGAAACCCTCCTCGTCGACCTGGGAGACGCAACTGAAAGTCGACCATACTTGATCGCTCGCAACACGACGGGAGATGTCATTCTTTATGAGCCCTTCGCAGATCCGACGGTGGTGGGAAGCTTCAAGTTCAAGAAAGTCTCGACCAAGCCAGCCGAAGCGCCTGAAGATCAAATTGAGGAAGAAGGGGAAGAAACCTCACTGCGGCCGATGCAAGTCATCAAGAATCTCGCTGGCCACGCTTCAGTGTTCATCCCTGGCTTGCGCCCGATGCTTATTCTACGCAACGCTTCCACAATGCCTCACATTTACGAGCTGGGGTTGCAAAATATCAGGTCAATGAGTGCGATCCACGTTGAAAGCTGCCGCAATGGCTTCGTGTTCATCGACGAGTCCGATCATCTCTGCTTCTCTCAGCTTCCTTCATCACTCATGCTGGGGCAATCAGACTGGATCATCAAGCGCATCCCGTTGGGACAAGATGTCGCCTCTCTTACCTACTTTGGACCTACAGATTCCTATGTCCTTGCCACAAACCACACGGTGGACTTCCAGCTTCCCCAAGACGATGAATGGCATCCGGAATGGCAAAATGAAGCCACGACCTTCTTCCCCACCACGCTGCAATCTACGCTGAAGCTCCTGAGCTCGAAAACTCATCGGATCATCAGCCAGTATCATTTTGACCATTCTGAAAGGATTCTGGCTGTGAAAACGCTCAATCTCGAAGTTTCCGAGGAAACGCACGAACGCAAGGATCTGATCGTCGTGGGCACGGCTCTGGTGAAGGGAGAGAATGTCACCACGCGAGGGAACTTGTATATCTTCGACGTGGTGGACGTCGTTCCCGAGCCAGATGTGCCTGAAACCGATCTCAAGCTCAAGCTCATCACAAGAGAAGATGTGCGTGGTGCCGTCTCGGCAATCTCGGGGGTGGGATCACAAGGGTTCCTCCTGGCCGCGCAGGGCCAGAAATGCATGGTCCGAGGACTGAAGGAGGACATGTCCATTCTGCCGGTCGCGTTCTTGGACATGCGGTATTACGTGCACGTGGCGAAGGAACTTCCAGGGACGGGTCTGTGCATTTTGGGAGACGGCTTTTCGGGATTGTGGTTGGTAGGGTACTCGGAAGAACCGTACAAGTTGCAGATCCTGGGCCGCGACTTCGAAAACCCGGCTGTGCTCGCCGCCGAGTTCTTGCCGGACGGGAAACAGCTATATATCGTCTCCTCGGACGAGGACGGCACGTTGAGGGTGTTGCAGTATGACCCGGAAAACCCAAAGACAGAGCGAGGGACCAAGCTGCTGTTGAGAAGCACGTTTCACAGCGGAGCGGTCCCGACGACCATGACATTGATAGCGTCGTCGGCGCCAAACAATTCTCGTGGCAGCAATGACGAGATGGACCTCGAGGACAGCAACAACGACAGCAACAACAACAGCAACCAGCCGCAGCCAGCTCAGATCCTCATCACCACGCAATCCGGGTCGATCGCTCTCCTCACCCCTCTCCGTGAGAGCACGTACCGCCGCCTCTCGACCTTGCAGAACACCCTGGTCGCCACCCTCGACCACCAGCCTGCGAGCCTCAACCCACGGGCATATCGCCAGGTGGAGACCGACGGCATTGGTGGCCGCGGGGTCATCGACGGCGACCTGGCGAGGAGGTGGTGGGAGACGAGCACCCAGCAGCGTGTCAACAGCGCCGACAAAGCGGGCGGGAGCATCTGGGAACTCCGGGCTGATCTGGCCATGCTCACTGGTGCTAATCTTGGGTTGTGACTGTAGAGAAGACGCGGATTGGGTTCAGGGGTAGTAGGGAGGAAGGACGGCGGGCGGAGAGGTGTCGGATGGTGTCCTCGGTGGAATTTCAGCCTCGTACCCCCTAAGATGGTGGCTGCTTGAGACGAACGAGCGAACGACAGACATGGAGGCCATGGGAAAGTAGGATTTAGCTCCATTGGGCATACCGAAAGACATTGCTTTATCTGCATTTCCTTTTTCTTCGCTTCCAAGTCCAACACCCCTCGGGAATGTCGGTCCGTAGGGAATCGTGTCAAGAGTATTTATGTGTCTGTACCGGGATATGATGCATCGCAGACTGCGCATTGCAGTCAGTATGGAGCACATATTTCGACGGATTGACTGACTGACCGAGCAACCGCCAACTGAGTTCGAAGCTCCTGACCATCCCTGAACAAGACGGACTCGGCATCGGACATTGGACATTGGACATTAGACATTGCGCATTGGACCTTGTTAGACACCAGACAGGCACAAGTTATATCACACCACAGGACCCAAGACGGCCAGCAAGCCATAAAGACGCAAGAGAAGTGTGAGACGGTCACCGGCAACGGCCGCGCCACAGGCGAAGATCAGATGATGTCGAGGTGGAACTTTGGACTAATCAAAATCGTCAGGCTTCAGCCGAGTCTCGATCCCCCAGTTTCTCCACCAAAGAAAGAGAACATCCTTCATCACGACAGATGAGAGACCATCGTGCGCCTCGTTATCCCATGAGAAGGTAGGTGCGTGTCCCAAGGTGGATTACACAGGGAATGCAGAGGAGAGCGCCGGTGGTCCTCAGCAATGGCCTTGATCGTCTCAAACACAAGTGAGTGGGCGTAGGACCAAGCATCCTGCAAAGGGACGTGGTGTGATGGTGTGGCTATTCACCAAAGGCACAATTTATGTCGAGCCCTCGGCCAGATTGTACGCTTCTCTCTTCCTCTCTCTTTCTCTCTTCTTCGCCTCATGCTCTCTACCATCTCACATTCCTACCAAACACCTTCTACGGATGTGTCCTGCTCTCTGAGCGTGCCGCTTGACATTCCACCGCCCGAGGGATATCTGACCAAGACTCGCTCCAACTTCATCGTGTCAACGACAACCACATCATGGAGTTCAGCGTGGGCACCGCATCCTCTAGCACGAGGCGAATCGGGGTCATGACCAGCGGCGGGGATTCGCAGGGCATGAACGGGGTGGTCCGGGCGGTCGTGCGCATGTCGATCCACATGGGATGCGAGGCCTACGCCATCCTCGAGGGGTACGACGGCCTCGTGCGCGGCGGGGACGCGATCAAGCGCATGTACTGGGACGACGTCCGGGGCTACCTCTCGCTGGGGGGCACGTTGATCGGCACGAAACGGTGCCGCGAGTTCTTCGAACGCGCCGGCCGGCTGAGGGCCGCGAGGAACATGATCCTCAAGGGCATCTCGGGCCTGATCGTCTGCGGCGGCGACGGCAGCCTGACGGGCGCCGACCGGTTCCGGGCCGAGTGGCCCAGCCTGCTGGACGAGCTGGTGCAGACGCAGCAGCTCGCGCCCGACCAGATCACGCCCTACCGGCACCTCAACATCTGCGGGCTGGTCGGGTCGATCGACAACGACTTCTCCGGCACGGACGCGACGATCGGGTGCTACTCGTCGCTGGAGCGGATCTGCGAGATGGTCGACGCCGTCTTCGACACGGCGGCGTCGCACATGCGCGGCTTCGTCATCGAGGTCATGGGCCGCCACTGCGGCTGGCTGGCGCTGATGGCCGCGATCGCCACGGGTGCCGACTACGTCTTCATCCCCGAGAAGCCGCCCGGCAGCGACTGGGAGGAGGAGATGTGCGAGATCGTCACCAGCCACCGCGGCCGGGGGAAGCGGCGCACCATCGTTATCATCTCCGAGGGCGCCCAGGACGTCGAGCTCAACCGCATCACCGCCGACCAGGTCGTCCAGGCCCTGACCGAGAAGCTCGACCTCGACACCCGCAAGACCGTGCTGGGCCACATCCAGCGCGGCGGCATGCCCTCGTACTACGACCGCTGGCTCGCCACCCTCCAGGGCGTCGAGGCCGTCAAGGCCCTCCTGGAGGCCACCCCGGACACGCCCTCGCCCGTTGTCACGGTGCGCGAGAACAAGATCCTGCGCTCCGACCTGCAGGAGTGCGTGCGCCTGACCAAGTCCGCGGGCGCGGCCGTCCAGGACAAGGACTGGACCAAGGCCATGAAGCTCCGCGACGTCGAGTTCAAGGACTACTTTGACAGCTACAAGCTCACCACGTCCACCAGCGAGGAGAGGCCGCGTCTGCGACTGCCCCCGGAAAAGCACATGCGCATCGCCATCATCCACATTGGCGCCCCCGCGGCCGGCATGAATCCGGCCACTCGCGCCGCCGTGGCTTACTGCCTGTCTCGCGGGCACACCCCGCTGGCGATATACAATGGCTTTCCGGGACTACAGAGACACCACGACGATGAACCGGTGGGCTCGGTCCGAGAACTCAAGTGGATTGATGTCGACGGTTGGGTCAACCAAGGCGGCTCCGAGCTGGGCACCAACCGAAGTCTACCGAGCGAAGATCTCGCAAAGACGGCTTACTGCTTTGACCTGTACAAATTCGACGCCCTCTTCTTGATCGGCGGCTTCGAGGCTTTCACTTCCGCCAGCCAGATCAGGAACAACAGAGACAAGTATCCTTCTTTCCGCATTCCACTCCTGGTCCTGCCCGCCACCATCTCCAACAACGTCCCCGGGACCGAGTACTCGTTGGGCAGCGACACCTGCCTCAACACCCTGGTAGGATTCTGTGACGTGATCCGGCAGTCGGCGTCGGCCTCGCGGAGAAGAGTGTTTGTGGTCGAAACCCAGGGTGGCAAGTCTGGCTATCTGGCCACCATGACAGGTCTTGCCGTTGGTGCTTTAGCCGTTTACACGCCAGAGGATGGCATCAACATGCGCATGTTGTTACGGGACATCGACTTTATCCGTGAAGACTTCCAGGACGACAAGGGCGCCTCGCGGGCGGGGAAGATCATCCTCCGCAACGAGCGCGCAAGTCAAACTTACACCACACAGATGATCGCCGACGTGATCAATGTCGAGGCCCAAGGCAGATTCGACGCCCGCGCTGCAGTTCCCGCCCATTACCAACAGGGCATGAAGCCCTCGCCGATTGACCGCATCCGGTCCTTCAAGTTGGCCATCAAGTGCATGCAGTTCCTCGAAGACAACTTCGCCGGCAAGAGCCAAGACGAAATCAATGCGAATCCTCTGAACGCGGCCATCATCGGTATCCAGGGATCGGAAGCCGTCTTCAGTCCCATGGGCAGCGACTACGGCTTGGAAGCGACCGAGACGGACTGGGCTTTACGTCGCCAGATCAACGAATATTGGCGGCCCATCAAGGACGTAATTGACATCCTCAGTGGTCGCCCAAACGACACAGGTGGCAATCCCTACGGCAAGCTGCCTGGATCCCCTGCAGAAGTGTTTAGATCTGTCGCCCCCAGCCGCGCGATCAGTCCTCTGCCACAAATTCTTTAGGCTGCTGCTCCCTCAGACGAGTTCCGGACGGCACCGATGCGGTGTACCGTGCAGGCTTTGCCTCTATCAGAGAGTATGAGGGTGCGAGTGATGTTGGAGTCAATGGCTCGTGACCTTGGTCCTTGTCGAAGGATCCATTGAAGCGTAGGGTAAAAGGTAACCGACAACCACGGTGGTAGCTTCGGCGTCGATTTTAAGTCATCCATGGGGGGACGATGGCAGGCACGGTAAATTGTAGGGATGAGGTAACAAGTTGTGCGTCTTGTCAAGGGGGAAACCAGACAATAATGGCAAACACCAAGAGCGAATGGTGGAAACAGATTGCTTCTCATGCTCAGGCGGCTCAAAGCTGGCCTGGAAGGTGCTTGCAGAGTAGCCAGTAGAGAAACAGGACTCGTTGTGAATGTGGCGAAGTGCAAAGTGCTTGTGCGATTGCTAACTAAGGCCAGAAATGCGTGTTCTGATGCTATCAGCAGAAAAGCAGATCCCACAATGCTCGTACGACCTGGCAGAAAGAGGATGATGAATGGACGACCCCATCTGCCGGCCCAAGGCGGAAAGCCCATCAGGCTGCACTCAAGGCTATGAAAAGCACCGATTAGCTAGAGCTGGCTCTTCATCGGAAACTAGACACCATCAATCGAGCAGCGCAACTGACAAAGAATGGTCGAGGCACTATCCGCACGCAGTCCACGACGTTCAAGGGGGACTATCGCCTCTCAGCAAGTCTTCGTCCGGCTCAAAAGGGGCATCCTGCGCCGCAAAATCCATCATGCTGTCGCTTGCATTGTCGTGTTCAAACAACCGGGCCTGCGCTCGATTTTTCTTGCCTTTCTTCTTCTTAGTGTTACTAACGGCTTGAGGTATCTCATCCTCCAACATTCCGGTAGGGCCTGTGGCCAAAGACGTACTCCCAGAGAAAACGGTCGTTTCTCGATAGATGATAGAGCCTTCGTCTACGGCGTGCTGGCTGCTGATGTTCTGTGCATATGAGAGAACCTGGTCGCCAAAAACCCACTTCTGCTGCGATATTGAACTGGGAGTCTCCGTGACAGGAGCCTGGCCAGACCTCGTAGTCGAATAGCCCTCAAGCCGAGTCTTTACCTTATCTGGAAATAGGGAAATGGTGACTCTTCGGTCGGAATGGAAAGGCTGGTACGGCGCATTGGTCTCGATTTCGGCTGAAGCGAGCGGGTGCGGCGTCCTCGAACCTCCGTCTCTGGTAGGTCGGACTTTCCAGAAGCTGAGCAGTGCAGAGCCCTCACTGCCGTCCCCGTGTACTTCATCTGGGCGATTTCTCGTGGGGAGATCTGCAGCGAGTTCCGCGGCCTTAGGGAGCTTTATTGCGACAGCCCTGCGTGCATCGAATACGGACACCGTCTCCATCTGACGATTCTCTCTAGGCTTTGTCATCCGTACGTAGTAATTCTTGATGTTGCTCTCGTCTAGAATGGATAATACTGGCTTCCCGTCACGCCGCAACCAACAGAAAATTCCCACCCGGGCTGGGATCTTCAGATGAAGCCTGCTCTGATTCGCGTGTCGTATACTGGTAACGGTCTCAGTAGCGGCACCCAGAGACTTGCTAAGTCCAGCCGCCACCGCCCTGCTACCGCTTTTGATTGTGGTTGTAGAGGCGAAACCGATCCCTGACGGGGCCATCCCAGCCATTCCACTGTTGATACTTGGTGCCCTCCCGCGAAGGCTTGCAAGCATCGGCTGTGTTCTACCTGCAATGCTCATAGCAGAGGCAAAGAACCCCCCGGGCGGGGCAGGATCATGTTCTGCCTTTACCTGGGAGGGGTCAACCGGCGCCGAAGTCGGCCGATGTTTTTTGGTGGGAGGTGGCGGCCATTGAAAGGCAGCTTTGGGCAAGTCAAAAAGGTGAATGGTTCGATTCTTCGTCAGAATGGCAAACCGGCAGCCTGTTGGGCCATCCCAAGCAACGTCAACGATGGAAGAAGGACTCAAGCGTTCGTAGCGTGCAATCTGCCGCACGCGTCCGCTTTCAGCAGAATTTGAAGTTGTTGAAACTCTGACATGTTTGATCTGCATCAGATCCCAGATGTACTGCACGTCACCTTTGCGATTGGCTGTCAAAATGCCGAGACCAGTTGGCATGAATGACAGAAAACTACAGCCTCCCGGTGGTTGGAAGGTGATCATTGGGCTGGATTCGGAGGTGGGTTTCCGGCCATGGTTGTCTTGGAGCAGCTTCAAGTCGATTATCGTGACTAGATCCGGGTCCTTAGACATGCCTTGCTGGTCAATAGCGTGAGTAGGCGGAAATTGTGCCAGACCGAGCTGGGGAGGGTAGACTGGGGGACTGGAGGATGGAGCGGCTTGCATGTTGGTGCTGGCCGTGTCCCTTTTCCAGTAACTCTGCCAGGTCTGCATGCCTTTTTCGCTGATCCATTTCGCGCCCCTTACCGCCTCCTGGGCGAATCCTTTGGCGACCTTACTGAGGAATGTGTCGACATCGGGAGACTCAACATCGCAGTTGGGCAAAGGTCGCGAAGGAGCCGTCCCAGCCGTAATATTGGAGTTTTTATTATGCACCACGTAATCACCCAAGATAGCCCCAATGGATCTTCGCGAGGGTGTGCTTGCAGGACAAAAAGAAAGCCATCGCCCGTTAAGACTGAGAATCGGGAGAGTCTGGCTATCTGGGCCACGACCGAGGTCGGCAGGTGAAACATCTGCATCCGATCCTGGGCCGTGAGAAGAGGAATCCCTCCGGTGAAGTTGAGGTTGTATCGTGGTCCAGTACTTGCCTAAACATTCAAATACCGCGGACTCCTTTCCTTGTCGAATGGAGAAGACAAACATTTCCCCGCTGTCGCCGGAAGCAACAACAAGAAAGTTGCCGCTCGAATAGACCTTCAGATTTGCTGCTGGACTAATGCTTGCAGGTACTCCGGGGAAGCTCTCCGTGAGCGTTTGCACTCTCAATAGCTCTGCGACCTGACAGCCTTTGCTCACCGAAAATATCACCACCTTCGTCTCGAAAGGGTTATGGTGACTACCAGGGAAGGGTCGGTCTTCTTGAGCAGGGGAACCAGATTGGGACTCACTCGGCCCAAAGATGGTGAGCGCGACTAGAGGCCTGTAGTCTGCGAACGGGGTTTCGCAAGTATTCCATGTAAGCAGCGAGGCATCAAGTATAGTACCTTGCACGCCGCTGAGCGCTCCCACATGTTCCATTTTCTCGCCATTGTAGCTAACAACATGCAATTCGCCGTCAACAGCAAGCAAAGCAGCCTCACGGAACTCGTTTCCTGAACCTGGAAGCCGACCGAACTTCAGTGGCACAGGTTCTGGCAGAGGCGTATGCGGAGGATGTAGGCCCAAGTCAACATCATGAGGCCCATAGAAATGCTGTTGAGGGAGATGAGGTGGGGCAGGCGGAGACCCATAGGCAGTCATGCCGTAGCCATAGGGCGATGTCGAGATTCTCGAGTGAGTCGGGAGCGGAGGTATAGCACTGCTGTAACTAACTGGCCGGGCCTTCCGCAATGGAGGAGAGATGGGAGGACTTCTGCTATTGAAGACGCCTCGGCTACTGAAGCCTGGCTCATAAGGGGGAGAGCCGCCTGTATTTAGACCAGGAATGGGTTCGATAGGTGGAGTTCTCCCATGGGCAGCGCTCCGGGCCCAGTTGTCTGCTGGGGGAGTGTGCTCATCAGACACCTTTTGGGAAGCATTCGCGTCGTTCAGGACGTCGAACGGACTGATCTTTCTGTTCGAAGGAAATGTTTGGGGCAGTTGGCCCAGGATGGAAGGAGGGTTTGAGGAAACAGGGGGTTGTTGAGATTGGCCCATTGACTCGACAGTCTTTTCGGCATGATCGAGGCTGGACAGCTGTTTGACAGCAGCATTCTTTGTCTTCCGCTTTCCTGCTTTTGAGGCGGGAGGATCTTGGTCTACCACGGTTTGAAAGCCTTCTCTTTCTGAATTCCTGGACTCGACGGAGGCTGGCTTGTTGGATGCTGGCATTCAAGATCTGGGGTGGGACACCGTGTGAGACCTTAGCTGACTACTCTGTCCGAGCAGCAAGGTTGAATCTGCAGGAAGAGGGATCAAATCCGCAGTACGTGTAAGGACGCTGTGCAGTTGCTCAGGACTGAATCGAGGGACCGGCGCGGGGTTATTCGACGCGTCGGTTGGAGAGAGTATAGGTGAGGAGTGGTGGTCTCGAGTGGCGATCAGCTTGTCACCAGCGGCACCAGCGGTTACGTATTTGGATTAAAGGAGGGACGGATGGGCAGTGTGCAACGAAGGACTTATAGGTATCTTGTCTTGTTCTTTGTCTGGCTCAGCAGAAGGAATGGTGGTAGTCAGAGTCAGTCAGGTGGCATCACTTATAAGTACCTTGGTGAGAGCAGCTACGTACAGAGGCCCTCAGCAATCAAGTAGTTGAGTCAGGAGGCCTCACAGGTGAACTCTAGTGGCCTGCTTATCGGCAACGGGGCGCTGCGCGGGCGTCTGAATGGTCACTGAATCCCAAGCACCCGGGGCGGTCACTTGCAGCACCGTGCGGGGGAGACGTGCCCACTGTCCAGGGCCACGGGATGTGGCTGGGCGAGTCACGAGTCACCAAAATAGTAAAGGCTGTTGGCAGATTCCGGCCTCAGGGACGGTCGTCACACAGAGATCTTCCCACACTCCGACTCTGAGGCAGCCAGAAGATCAATTGTCCTCAACATCAATTCTCTTGGGTTCATAGATGCCTCCTTGAGCGATTCCATTCGCAGCCAGCTTTGGAGGAGATGTGGGAGGAACATCTCATCTCGTTAGACACTGCGCCTGACTCACATTCCAAACTCCTCCAATGCAGTCATTCATTTCTCCCCCAATCAGGACAACAACAGAGGGACGCCCCAAACAGAAGTTAAGACTGTAACAAGGCGCAATGTCATGTCTGAGTTGGCGGGCTAGACTGATTTTTCAGCCACAAAAATGCATCCTCCGGGCCGAGCAAAGAGTTTTTGTGAAAGGCTTCCATTTATCCAAGATATTGGCTCCATCGACGGCTCTTAGGTACATGATCCATTGTCGACTTTCAGGCATATGAATGAATGCAACCACCATCAAGTCCCGAACATCGAACGATGGTGCAGTCCACCCGACCCTTTACCGAGCGAAGGGGAAAGCTGCGTTCATTCAAAAACCGGCTACTCCTGTTGTACGGAGAGGTGAGTGTCAATGTCCGACTTGTCGATGTCAACAAGCCCATGATGGCTGTATAATTGCCAATAGCCTGAGGAATGGGTGTGAAATCCCTCTCTGCCTCCTGCTCTTTCATTTTGACTTCTTCGCCGCAGCGGCTCTCGCCTTTGCCGCCTTCTTTCTATTGCTTCTGATCATGACCATAGCGAGGAACGTCCCTACTACCGCCGACCCAAGTAGGGTGAGAATGACAGGGATTCGGATTGCCCAGACGCGAGGTGGGAACAGACTCTGAAGCGGATGGTCATCGTCCACAAAGGGCTGCAACAAAGCTTAGTCGGGAGCCTCATGTCTGTGGAAGGTACTGTACCATGAACAAGGTCCATAATGTGTAATATAAGAAGACTGTGGTCGCTACCACGAGCATTGCCATACCCACAAGTTTGTCCAGCTATTGTGCACAGGAGAACAATTAGTATGTCGATTGAACGAGCGGCCTGGCGGGGTGAGAAAATACCATCTCGTCACAATTTGCTTCTTGTTTGTAGATTCTGCCCTTGAGAGCTCAAATCTTACAAGAGAAGGCTTGTATAGTCGAGTTGAAATGTTTGACACGCGGACAGAATTGAACACGCAGTCGCGTTCTCGGAAAATGTCACTTCGCTGGATAGCCCAAAAAGGGAACGGCCCCGGAGGAGTTTTTCCGGTTCCGATTTTTGAAAATCAACTTTCGATTTGCCTGCCGCTGCCTTCGCCGCAAACCTCGAAACGAGATGTCTTCGCCTTCACCGACAAGGTGACTTTGAAGGTATGAAGTTAACAACCCTGTAGCCATCGATTCGGATCTCTGGTTTCATCACCATGGCGGACACCATGTTACTGTCGTCCGCCGTCCGCCTCCCCACCCCTCCTCCAGGTGGTTCCTATTCTCCCGGCCCTTCAGCACCCAGAAAGAGATCACCTCCGTCTCGGTCGCCGTCTCCTCGACGCCGCCGACCTGCGCCCATCGAAGACGGTGATGAGCGGAAACCAAAGGGGGCAGAACCAGAGCGTGAGATGGATGAGAGGGAGAGACAACTGCTCGCGAGGTTCAAGCCCAGAGAAGCAGATGAAGCAAGACGGAAACCCTTGACTGCGGAAGAAAAACAGGCGGCCGCAAAAGCAGAGTACGAGAAACTACTTACGATGCGATCGGGCGGCACCTATATACCTCCTGCGAAACTGCGTGCATTACAGTCACAGATTACCGACAAGTCGAGCAAGGAGTATCAGCGAATGGCTTGGGAGGCCTTGAAGAAATCAATCAACGGTCTCATCAACAAGGTCAATGTCTCCAACATCAAGCACATTGTCCCGGAACTGTTTGGCGAAAATCTGGTCCGCGGTCGAGGATTGTTTTGTCGGAGCATCATGAAGGCGCAGGCCGCTTCTCTACCTTTCACCCCCATCTATGCGGCGATGGCAGCAATTGTGAACACCAAACTCCCTCAAGTTGGAGAGCTACTCCTCAACCGGCTTGTTGTTCAATTTCGAAAGGCTTTCAAGCGCAACGACAAAGCAGTCTGCTTGTCTTCCACCACTTTCATCGCTCACCTGTGCAACCAACAAGTGGCGCATGAGACTCTCGCTGCACAGCTTCTTTTGCTGCTTCTGCACAAGCCAACTGATGACTCCGTGGAAATTGCGGTTGGTTTGACTCGGGAAGTGGGCCAACACTTGGAAGAGATGAGCCCACCTATCGCATTGGCTGTGTTTGATCAATTTCGGAGCATTTTACATGAAGCTGACATCGACAAACGAGTCCAATACATGATAGAAGTGCTGTTCCAGGTCAGGAAGGATCGATACAAGGACAATCCGGCCATTCGGGAGGAACTCGATCTCGTGGAGGAGGAAGACCAAATTACACACCAAGTCGATCTTGATGATGATATTGATGTTCAAGATTCATTGAACATCTTCAAGTACGACTCACAGTGGGAAGAACACGAAGAGGCGTATCGAAAATTGAAAGCCGAAATTCTCGGGGAAGAAAGTGGCGACGAGGAAGATGGTGACGAGAGTGGCTCGGATGAGAGTTCAGAGGATGAAGAGGCTGAACAAGAACGTGCCCTGGAAATCAAAGATCAAACGAACACAGACCTGGTCAATTTGCGAAGGACAATCTACCTAACCATCATGTCCAGCCTCGATTTCGAAGAAGCCTGTCACAAGCTGATGAAAATCCAACTCCCGGCGGGCCAGGAATCCGAGCTACCGTCCATGATCATTGAATGCTGTTCCCAGGAGAAGACATACTCGAAATTCTTTGGCCTCGTCGGTGAAAGGTTTGCCAAGCTTAATCGGCTTTGGACGGACTTGTTTGAACAGTCCTTTGCCCAATACTACGACACAATCCATCGCTACGAGACAAATCGGCTACGGAACATTGCTCGGTTCTTTGGACATCTTTTAGCTACCGATGCCATTGGCTGGCACGTGTTTTCCGTGGTCCATCTCAACGAAGAAGAGACAACTTCCAGCAGTCGTATCTTTATCAAGATACTGTTCCAGGATCTGGCGGAAGCTTTGGGTCTGCCTGAGCTTCAGAAGAGGATGAAGGACGATATTCTCCGGCCCAGCTTTTCAGGACTTTTCCCAACAGATACACCTCGCAACACACGGTTCGCCATCAACTACTTCACGTCCATCGGCATGGGCGCCCTCACGGAGGAAATGCGCGAACACCTCAAGAATTTACCGAAAGCTGAACCACCTGCCCTTCCGGCACCAAAGGATGATGTTTCGGACTCTGAAAGCGTCAGTTCATATTCAAGCTATTCTAGCTATACGACGAGCAGGTCATCCTCAAGAAGTCCGCCTCGACGAGCGGAGAGGAGGTCTCGGTCGTTAACTCCAGATGACCGGTTGACAGGGAAGACTCGCCGCCACCGTGTATCTGATTCACCATCAAGATCTCCACCTCCCCCTCGCGGTGCCAACAGAAGGGGAAGGAGCTACAGCTCGTCACTATCGCGCTCTCGCTCTCGTTCACCCGCACGACGGGTTGTACCGAGACGACGATCGCGCTCCTATTCCGTCTCTCGAAGCCCGTCACCAAAGCGAGGACGCGACACCGGCCCTCCGCGGGGACGAGCACGTACACGCTCAGGATCGTACAGTGGTTACTCTGGTGATTCTCGCTCGCCGCCTCCGCGTCGTCTTCCGGCTCGGCGCCAGGGCGGTTATTCGACGTCACGGTCCAGATCCCGCTCTCCACCACCACGCCAAGCCAGTCCTGCAGTGCATCCATCTCGTCAGCGCAACTTCTCACCTCCAAGACGTAAATCCAGATCACGTACACCACCGCGGTTCAGCCGTCGGCCAGCACCCAGAAGGAGCCCAAGCCGCAGTCTGTCGCGCTCGCCGTCGCGGTCCCCCCCGCCGAAGCGTAAAGCCGACAGATATTCGCCGAGCAGGAGCAGGAGTCGAAGTTTGACCCCGCCACGACGGAGAGCACCTCCCCCAAGGAGAAGGAATTCGTCTAGTATCAGCGGACGATCAGCGTCTAGGTCGAGGTCTCCATTACCTGCGCGAGGGATCCAAAACAAAGGAGGAAGGAGACGATGGTCACCGAGCCCGAGCCCGAACAGACGAGGTGGCGACGGCAGAGCGAGGGCTGCGGATTTTGACTAGTCCTGACCGACCGTTCATGGATGTTGGGCGGAATGGGTTGGCTTGGTATATTGGAAAGGGACGGAATGTGTGCGAGGAACCCAACCGTGGCTGGTATTTGGTTGTAGGACGAACATGATCCCAAAGCAAAAGAATACGTCAACACAAGCCCAGCTTTTTGCAGGAGTGGGAGGTTGTGTCTCTTCTCAGCATAGCGGCGATAGCAGCAGTGACAGCGAAAGCGATAGCGGTTTTTCACAATCAGGTCTCGTTCCAGGTCAATTCACCCACAGAAATCATTGCGGAGTCGTACGCATGACCAGGTATCCATACATAGGTACTACTAGGTAGTAATGAGCAGCTCAAGACGCCGTTTTTATTTCATGGTTGCAAATCGGTTTGGTATCGTTAGTCATATCCATACCTACGTATCGTATGAAGCAGCTCGGCTCCGGCTCCAATTCAATCCGGTTGCATGGATACAGCAGGTGTCGTCGATGTCCAAGCCTGGAGTCGCCTCCGTGAGGACCATACCATCCGTGTCATTCTGTGTTATACCATGCCGCGTTGCACCATGTACCATGCCCATTCCACGCCACGCCATGCCATCCCATGCCCTGTCACGATGCTGGCGAAACAGAGATGGCTCCCGTATCCCTGAGCCTTGCACCTCTGCGTCTTTTCCTTCCCAAACAAGGCCCGGACCAAGAACACAAGGCAGGATGAGAATAGAAAGAAGGGTATATAGCCCAGGAATGCCCCCAAGTCTTGTAGCGCCCAGGTAGTTTTGCATGATCTGCGTGACTTCCCGACTTTGGAAACGTCTGAATATTGATGGAGAGGTTCTGTCTTGTCCTGACGCCAATCGACCTCCCAACCACCAACCGCCAACCAGGGCCAGCCAGCGACATCGTCTCCGTTACTCCCAACGCCTTCATGCTCGTCATGTTGTTGTCGTAGTCATTTCATACCGTGTCGTCGTCGTAAGCGAATCGTACATCCCTCAAGCCTCTGCCCCGGCCGTTGCCTTTGTAGCCGCTCCAGCCGTCGGGCCCGCGGACGCCCATGCTCTGGCAGAACTGCTCGTCGCCCTGAGGTCTCTCGTTCTTGTTGTTCCCCGTCAACATGCTCTGCAGGCTCATGCAGACGGACTCGACGGACTGCACGGGCGACCACCCGGCCGAGCCCAGCAGGTCGAGACAGATGATGCCGTTGGAGTAGATGTGAGGGTGGATCGGGATGGGGCGGCCGGCAAAGGGGGTCTGGGATTGTGCCTGCTGTTGCGGTATCGCGGGGTCGGTTGCGGCGGGTGGCACCTTGATGAAGACGACTTCGGGCGCTTCTGTGAAAATTTCAGGTATCCCATGTCAGTCCAAACGCTGTCCTTCTTCTGCGTGCTATGTTTTCATTCTCTTTTCTTCATCTCCGAGGTTGGCACGTACCAATGGGGTAGGACTCCGAGAATAGGAAACTGAGGCGGAAGACTTGGTTCATGTACAGAGGATTCGCGTCCAGGACTCGTATGTCGACCAGCCATTCTCGGAAGTCGTCTGCTTTGACCAGCTCGATGCCGGGAGGGAGTTTTTGTTTCGCCTAGACGTGATACCACGGGTCAGAACGGGTGTTTGGGAGATCGGGAGGCCAGCAGAGGCAGGACGAGGCCGGCTCATCGAGGGTGTTCGGACGAGAAACCCTTCGGTGTAGTTTGGGGTGGCATGTGACTATTACCTTGACCAGTTCCTGCGACGTAGGGGGAAGTGGTTAGTCCGTACTCTGAAAGACAGCTAGGTCTGCAGACCGGGAGTCACTTACCTTCCCTAGTCTCTTCGCTGCGAACATTGTGGGAGGCAAACGGTGTGGGCTGGTAGGAAACTTGGTTTGGGCGGCACAGGCACCTCAGAGTGCGGGAACGAGGCTGAACCGGTCGAGCTGAAGGCTTTGTTGGGAACGCAGGTCGAGATACTATGTATTTGTAACAGGTGACGTGGGGCAGGGGTGGCCAAAGGGCCGGAAAGTGGAAAAGCAAGATATATTTTCTCCCAAACTCCTCTTCGTTTGTAGCAGGCGGTGTATGTATCATGTATGTTTGTGAGGTACAGTGATTTTGGAGACGAAGCCAACGGGCAGGGGCACGCAACGCTGGCACCATCGGAGAAATGTCATCGAACGAGTCACCGTCACCGTCACCGTCACCCCCGCAGCTGCGGCCGTCAACCCCCACCATTTCAGCCTCGTCTACAACCACCTGAGTTCGATACTAACCAAGGTTGGTCAATACAACTTCTCTACAATCATTACTGCGCAAGAATGTGACAAACAATTGCATTACAATGGTGACAATTTTTGATTCCACTCCTCGCTCAACCTATGGAAGCTCCTACATATCTGGGTATATAAAGTGACACATCCGAATACAGCACAACCACACAAGACCATCGGGGGTGACTAGGCTCGCATGCAGCACAATCACTGCTGCCCTTCAGCGCTAGCCTTGGCCGTCTCCTTTTCTCCAGTAACGCTCTCAGACTGCGGAGTAGATGATCCAGCGGGTGCAACACCCTGGGTGATCTGAGCGTTGATCTGAGCAATCGAGCTGCGACGCACCGAGGCTTCATCTTGGAACAACGACCACTCGCCAATGAGCTCGTCGGAGAACTGGTCGAGATCCAGACCGATAATTTCCACCTCATCCGTCACTCTCAGGTGCAAGCCGGGAATGTATTTCAGGATAGTGAGCATGATGACCGAGAGAGTGAAGGACCAGCCGGCAATGGCGGCGATTTCGGCGAGTTGCTTAGCAACCTGCACGCCGTGGCCATCGATGGCTCCTTGAGCGATGGTGACGCCGTCGAGAGACGAGACAGAAGCAGAAGCGAAGATACCGGTGAGGAATGCTCCGCACATGCCACCGATTCCGTGCAATTTGCTGTGAATATTTTGTCAGTGGCAGGTCAACAACAGTCACAGATACAGTGGGTACTCACAAGACTTCCAAGCCATCATCAATGTGAAGCCACTCGTTGACGGGCTCGAACAGGTTGACTACAATGGCGGTGATGAAACCAATGGCAGCTCCACACCAGACAGACACATAACCAGCCGCAGGTGTAATACCAACAAGACCAGCAATCACACCCTCACAAGCGCCAATGACGGAGAATTTGCGGTGCTTGATGTAGTCCATCAGGACCCAACCAGCGACACCAGTTGACGCAGCCAAGTTGGTGTTCCAGATGGCCATCATGGCGCGAATGCTGGCATTCAGAGCTGAACCGCCGTTGAAGCCAAACCATCCGAACCAAATGAGGGTGGTTCCGAGGAAAACAATGGTGACGTTGTGGGGCTTGTAGACGTGCTTCTCGCCATATCGGCTTCGTTTGCCGAGGACAAGGGCGTAGGCCAACCCGGCAGTACCGCTGGAGATGTGGACAGGGCCACCACCAGCGAAGTCAAGAGCACCGAAGGTGAACAGCCAGCCGTTGGCATTCCAGGTCCAGTAGGAAATCGGGCAGTAGCACAGGGTGGCCCAGCAAAAGCCGAAGATGATAGACGGAAGGACACGGCCACGCTCGAACGAGCCGCCGACAACGATCATGGTCGCGCAGGCGCAGAACATCAACTCATAGAAGGCGAAGACAATGTCGGGGATGACAGCGGAACCCCAGGACGGCGCGGCCATGACCTAGAATCACAAGGTAAGTCTTTTGCCGTGGGAGTTTTGCGGGTCCTTTTTGCGGGCATTTCTTACGTTGATCATTCCAAAGTTCTTCAAATCGCCAATGAAAGGCCCGCCAGTTCGAGAAAAGGCGAGGGAGAAGCCCCAAAAGGCCCATTGAAAGGAGCAAACAGCCATAACCGTCAGGGATTGGAACACCATGGCCAAGGCCGACTTCCTGCGCGTCATACCACCGTAGAGCAGACCGATACCGGGGACAATCACGAAGACGAGACATCCCATGATGACCTGGTAGACGTAGTGGTACTCGAGGCCGGTGTAAGGCAGGTTGACGTCTATCACCTGCGGATTGCCTCCGTTGGCCATGCTGGAGTTGAACTCCGGCTGGGGGCTGAGGTTAGCACAGAGACCTCAGAGAGAGGATCGAGGAGCAACGTACGGCGACCGGGACTGCAACTGACGCCATGGTCGTAGACTCAGAGACAATGTTGGAAGTCGAATCTGGAGAGGATCACCCTGCGGGACAAGAGAGTCTTGATGGAGAGAAGAGTTGTGGAGACGCAGCAGGACAAGACCTACTATATACCTGGAGAGTCTCTCACCGGATATCGGAAGCAGAGTCCACCATGGCGAGAATGCGCGTGGCAAATTTTTCGTCGCCAGACCACCTCCACGCTAGATCCCACAGTTCACAGGTCTCCATTGCTCTTGTGGTGTTGTCAAATGTGCTATGTTTGACCTCGAAGCGAGAGGCACGAGAATTTTTTCTGTTCATTCTGGATCCCTTAGACACGGGAGGCGTGCGGACCTTTCCTCGAAGGGGACAGGGCAGCCGACTTGATAGTGGTGGTCCTGAGGCTAGGCCTGGTTGATAGAGATAGATGGAGGGCCGAGATTGGCTGGGAGCAAAGACGATGCAAATAGCTGGATCAAATGGGTTCGTATGGCCCCCTGAATACGCCTCGTGGTTGACTGCCCGGGTGCCGCTGAGGTTGCGAGATTGTAAGATTAGCGAGCCTTGCTGGCCTTGCTCTTATCAGTGGAGCCTCGCCAAGACATGTGCCAAGCCTCATATCTCTGCGGCACGGGCCAATGACACGGGGCACGTCGGGATAAGCAGGACAAGATGCTGAGGTTGAAGCGGCTTCTCATCTTGTCAACAACTTTCTTCTGTCTTCGCCCTGTGGAGCCTGCAATCCTTGAGGCTTGAGCACGGCTTGAGCACAGCTTCGGGCTGCCATGACGGCCAAACAACGACCTCAAACGCCCTGAACGGCCCCTCCAGAAGCCCACCGTCCGACGCCGGAGAGAGGATCTCCTCCCCACGGCCGTCCTCCTCCTCCCTTCCCCCCTTCTGCACCACACACGGCCCGGCAGTCGAATCTCGCTTGTTGCATGCTGTTAATCAAGTTAAAGGCACGCCGACCGTCTTGGTATTAGGACAGACAGTCCTTGGTGAAGAGTCCGTCCTGGAGACTTCCGGTGTGTGGTGTCACGAGAACAGATGAGCAATTACAATCACTCTCGTTGGCTTCAGATACGGCAGGAATGTGTCTGAGGGGAGATGCTTGGACGTCTGTTGGCATGGAGAGGAATCGCTCCCTTGGATCGATCGAACCTGCTTTTGCGGCTACCTGATTGGGCTTTGGGCCATTTCTCGAACTCCGAGCTGTGAAAAATTTCTATCCTCACCACCTTTATCAGTCATGCTATGTGCTTACGCGAGCCGACACTGTCGACTGAAGCCCTCGGGGAGCTTGATGCACGATAAGCATGTCCAATCTCAAAGCCAGATGAGTTCCTGCAGAAATTTTCTTCTTCGTGTCTTTATGTCAATAGACGACACGGCTCGGAATGCTTAACTTGGCCAGAGGGCTTGACTTGGCTCATGTCGATCGACGTTTTGCGGAGGTCGATGCGCGTTCCAGGCCTGGTGAAAAGATTCTTCGGGTTGTCGGCACAGTAAACTTACCCGTTGATATCTTACGGGGTCACGGATACGGCGGGTGGTGTGGGAGGACAGAGCGTCTCAAATATGAACCTCCACAGGTCGATGGGCGACAGCCTATGTACGCACAGGGCTCGGCCTTGATCGATCAGACGCCTACGTGTCCAGAATATTGGCGAGCAGAGAACGTTCGCCAGCCAGAAGGGTTTGGAAGGTCTACATTTCACACCCAACCGTCCTCCAGGGGATGTTGCGAGTACCGCCTGCCTTTTGGTAGCTGGTGATGGGTCCATGAATATGTAAGTCTAGACTGGGGAAGTTCCCCCTTAGCTCAACCAGGTACAAAGTACGGGTACAGCCACTGTCGAGGTGCGTTTGAGCCCCCCTCCCTCCCGCTAAGCATGCCATGACAAGAATAGCCTTCACACTGGATAGTCATTGGGTACTAGTTACGAGCAAGCCTCTAAGAAAGCGCGTACCTAAGCTCCAGAAGAAAACATGATCCCTGGTTCTTTGGGGAAGGCTAAGAACCTCCGGAGTATTTCTCCCTGAAAGCAGAACCTGGTCTAGGTTCGCAGTTCGCCTAAACGCTCGAAGCGCAGACCTCTTCAGGACAGCCAAGAGTTTCTGGTGATTGCGATCAATTCGAAGACCGACACATCGATGCTAGGCCGATGGGTCTGACGGCAAGCAAGCAGTTCAACTGATTTTCCACCACTACTTGATCCTTCATACAGATAGGCAAGATACCAACGCCATATCCGGGATCGTGCAGCGCCACTGCCTGGGCACCCGGCGTGTGGCGCCGCCAATCAGCCGACGATTCTCTTCGTTATGTCGCGTGCCCAGCAGAATGGAAAATTCACCAGCTTCACCAGCTGATATTGCCCAACATTTCTCAAAACATTTGCGTTGTTAACTGTGACCTAACAGCACCACCGACGGCACAGAGCAGGATCATGCAGAGAGGTCTGGGTTATTATTATCAAAACCGGAGCGCACCCAAAGAACTGCCCCGGTTCTAGTCTAGTCATACATCCGAGACCTCGTTCCATCTGATAGTGGCCTCCATCATGACGGATCAACCTCGACGCCATGGTTGGACCAACGTATCAGCCAGGAGATGGCGTCGGTCTTCGGTCCCTGATAACAGCACATATTATTATGCGCAACAGCAAATTGCCTTCTCGGCGTGCTGGTCAAAGCAAGGACGTCATCTTTGCTTTGTTGGTTCGTTTGATTCGTTCAGCGAATTGTCATCGTCTGGTTTGTGACAAGCGGTCATAGGTCGCGAAGAAGTTGTGATTGGAGTATGGAGACAGCATCCTCGAGTGCTGTACAACTCAGCTGTCCTCGCCTCAAGCCTTTGTTACCGGCTTCTTTGTGTCTTGTTTTTTGCTATATTTTCCCCAGCCTAGGGCTCGTGGACTATGCGGAAGCGTGTCAGTGACCTCGCCATGCACACAGAGTTGGCAATCTCAATACTTACATTCTAGACCAAGAATCTTCATAGACCTCCCTGTCGACCTCAGCTTTGTCGATCAGACGTTGCAGCGAGGCCGGCAGACGAGGCTTTTTGAGTATTGATCGCTTGCTGCCTTGTTCTTTGCTGGGCTTCTCTGGCTGGTTGACTTGTTTCGAAGCCTGTGGACCTGGACTATTATAGTAGCCTGTGTTAGTATGTGGATCCATATACAAGGGAGAGGCAATTATCAGCGCCACTTACATCCGACTCCAGGGATCCTCGTACAGGTCTCTCTCCTTCTCCGCCTTGTCAACGAGGTCTTGCAGTGGTGCTGGCAGGCTGGAGTCTGACATCGACCTGCGAGGGGCGGATGAGCTTTCTGAACTGATGGGATTCATGAGGATGTGTTTGTGTTTGTTTATTGTCTTTCTGAGAAGATGTGTTTGTTTGCTGGATGCTTTGGGGTCATTCCACTCTCGAACGGTGGCCAAACCGCAAAGGTCTGGGTGTATCTTTATACACCCTCCCCATGGGGTGCGCATCCTAGGGGTCCAGCATTGCACGCATTAATTCCCGCGTCGACACAGCCAATCAGCTCCCGCGATGCCGCCCCGGCGCAAACTCGGCGTCGTTGTCGTCATGCGCAGCACCATCAACGTCGACATCATCGACATCATCGTGCAGCGGAATCGAGATGCGAGAATCGTCCGACAAACCTCCGCCAGTTATTAGGTGATGGCCGCAACTGGTTACTCAGCAAATGCATCCACCTCCCAATCGAGGCATTGTACATACACACGCAAGAGGACGGACACTCACATCTCATACTCATACTTGTCCAGCTTCAAAGAGCCGGGAACTTGTTTTGACGCAAAACTCTCTCCGTCCCGTCAAGGTTGTTGACGGCGTGCAGGCAAAATGGTTTGAAATCACCCTCTATGCACTCTCGTCTCGAACCCGAACCTTTCCTTCTACATCACTGATCGGCCTGGTATCTTCACCATTGCGAAGATAATAGCATCCTGCCTCTCTCTGGGGACAACCAACCCTTGAAATGTGGACTCCCCTCGAGATAGACGAGGACGACGAGGAACTCTTGACGGAGCGCAGCACTTTTATCTATTGAGATATACTCATTCACAGTCCTGGGTTTTCACAGTGGCTGGCACAAGATGGAGGGGGTACCCGAGTCTACATCAGAGAACCACTACGAATACAACATGTTCCCCCTCGATGCCAATCCTGCACAAAGGCCCCCTGACTCGTCGACAGCCCGATGCCCACCTGCCTTACACCTCTAGTCTTCTTCACGCGCTTCTCCAATCTTGTCTTGTTTTCATCGTTATCCCGGCCCGCCCCAGACTCTCTGGCTTCATGGTCGCTAACCCTGGCGCACACGATCGCACCAATATTGCCACGGCCGTGACGAGGGGTATCACCAGAAACACCAAACCTATCTTCCAGTTGCTGTGCAGCGTGATCCCACAGCCTGGCCGGGCCTTGTGATGAACAGTAAGTTCTTTCTACTGCATCCGTGCCTGTAAACCAGCGATGCATACACAATATCCTCGTGTACGAGGCAATCGACAAAGCAGGTTATTTTCTTTTTTTGGAAGCTAGGTATATGCTCAGAAGCACCACATATGCCTAGACACCTATCTACGAAACGTAAATGAGGAGGTAGAGTACCTCCCAACCAGTCCGCGATCTTATGATTGACCAAGGGCGCGCCGTAGGAAGGCAGTCGCTCGGACGAGGAATCCCTCGTCGCAAAGCCGGGCAGTACAACTACTCGGGCCAATTGATGGCTTTGATCAGATCTCGATGGGTTTTTCTATTCGCGCGAAAAACGTCAAAGGTAGGTGGCATGCACAGTTCTCCGACCCTGCATGGCCTCCCTCCACGCCTCAGCGTCGAATGCGCGCTCGGCGTAGGCGCGCACTCTGTCCTGCAGCATGCCCTGCCGCCCGACGTCCATCAAACGCGCGACGAACGGCACGACGTGGGCGTCGAGAGCGGTCGGGTCCGCAGTGCCAAAGATCCAGGGCGACCCGCTCCCCTCGACCGCGGCCCCGGCCAAGAGGGTGTCGATCTGCGACAGGAAGGAAGATGCTTTGGATTCCTGCTCCGCCACGGCTTCCTTGGTAAGTGCCGGTGCTCGGGTCGCGCGAACCCTGTAGCGAGAGGTGAAACGTCAGTTCTTGCGCCACAGGGCTGCCTAGAATGAAAACGGTGGCCCCGAAAGGGATGGACGTCTTGCTTCTTCATCTTCTTCTTGACTTACACCTCGAGCTTGAACTCCAGAGCCTGGCGCCACCGAGGCGAGATGGTCGGGTCGGATAGCAGCTTCAGCACCGAGTTCTCCATGTCTGCCGCGCGCTGAGGCTTGTGGGTGTAGGTGAGAGAAAAGTAGTTGATGTCGTGGAGCTCCGCCATGAGACGCTGGATCTGCGGTGAGAGGTGCGGTGGACAGAGGCTGGGGAAACGTTGGGCGAGAAAATATGTAATGTCGACGCTTTCGGTCAGGGGCTTCTTCAGCGCTTTGGATGAACTGGGTCCCAGCAGGACCGGAACCTGGAGCGGCTCTGGTGAGCGTTTGGCCTCCCTTAGGGGGGAGGGAAGACGTACTGTTCCTCGCGCGTTGACTTCGCAAAGATAGTATTCCGTCAACTGTCCGCCTTGTTGGATGTTGACCGGTCTTTCCTCAATGCTCAACTGCTGGCCTTGAAGACGTCTCGTCAGGGCAATGGTATACCGGACCATCACGGAGCAGATCGAGTAGTCGTTGTAGAACAGGGTGTATACCTCCTCCATTTTCCTGGTTCGCGTGGAGTTTTGAGGGTTGAGGATGTCTCTGGAGACACAAGACCTGACCCGAAAAAAATCACCTTTCTAGATGTCCCCTGGCCCAAATGTTATACACTAAAAAGTCAATCTTGGCTCCCAAGCGCGGGGAGCTGCTCGTCAGTATTCCCCTCTGGCTCTCCCTCTCACGCTCTGGCTGGACCTACTGTAAATACTTCGGCCTTATTGAGAGTCCGAGCTGGATCGATTCATCCTCGTTCCGCCGTCCGCAGAGGCATGGCCCGGGGGGACATCGGAGCCCTGGAGGTCAGAGATCTCACGTCACGCCTGATTCTAATGCTGATGCTGAATGGCGCGCCTCAAGAATTCGAGGGCTTCTTTCCCCGGATTTGTGGAGTTTGTCAAGCTGTGTCGGGACGGGAGTACGTCGGCTTCCCCGTCCGCCGGAGCTGAGATTGGGATAAAGAATGAGTGGGAGTACGAAACTCCGCACGCAAGCGAAAGAGCGAAAAGAGCGAGGCTCGTACGGCTGACGGCGGACGGCGCTGAGCCAGAAGGACCATTCCAAGAGGAGGACATATACAAAATGGGGGGTGCACTTGTGGCATTCTCTCTGATGGGGGGGGGATATTGGGCTATCACCTCGCCAGCCATTCTTCAAGCTGCACTCATCATGGAGTCAATCACCAAGACCGCGGTTGACTTCTGCGTGGACCATCTGCGGATCACATTGCTGGTCGCTCTCCTGGTGAACACCGTCCCTGAAGTCGTCGCGGTGGATGTTTTCAGGAAACTGACGACAACAACAACCCTAGGTCGCATACATTGTATACGCCGTCCTGGTCGACCCCCTCCGCCACATCCCTGGCCCGCTGCTCGCCCGCCACCTGCCCGGCTGGCTAGCCATCCAGGCTTTCAGGGGACAGACCGAAGCGGCCGTCCTCGACGCCCACCGCACGTACGGCGACGTCGTGCGGATCGGGCCCCGCACCGTGGTGGCAGGCAGCGCCGAGGCGGTGCGCAAGGTGCTCGGCTACGGCGACCACTACCTGGACAAGTCGCCCGACTACGACGCGCTGGTGGTGCACACGCCGTCCATCTTCAGCGAGACGGACCGCACGGCGCACGCACGCAAGCGCCGCATCGCGGCCCACACGTACAGCATGCAGAGCCTGACCAGGATGGAACACGTCGTGGCCACCAACCTCGACGTGTTCCTCGGCCAGATGGACCGGTGCGCCGCGCGGGCCCAGCCCATGGACGCCGCCGTGTGGTTCAAGTTCTACGCCTTCGACGTCATCGGCGACCTCGCGTTCGGCAGGGGCTTCGGCATGCTCCAGCGCGGCGTCGTCGACGACTTTGTCCGCTGCATCTCGGACGGGGTCGAGTTTACGTTTGTGGTGAGAGGCTCGCGCGGCCACGTTCCTTCTCCCCGGAAAAGATTGCTGAATCATTTCGGGGGGTCTTAGAGGTTTCTCTTGCCGTCGTTCTTGAGGCCGCTGTGCCAGCTCCTCGTGGAGTATCTGCCCTTCTCCCTGTTCAGGGAGCTCAAGAGCGGATTCGCGTACGTGAAAAAGGCAAGTGGCATTCGTTGTCAAGAGAGGGCATCCTAGAGCCAAAGTTTTACTGATCTGTCCTCTGAAAAGGAAACAACGAGACTGGTCCAAGACCGATGGATCAAAAGAGACGGTGTCGCCGCTCAGCGTGGCGACATCCTGGGCGCCCTCATGGAAGCCAGAGACCCGGCCACCAACGAACGGCTCGAGTTCGCAGAGCTGGCCACCAACGCGTCGACCAACATGTAAGTCACGATAGCTTTGTGGACCAGCGAGGCGAGGGTTGCAAAAGTTGAAGACTGTATGTGCTGACCGGGAGTGTCGATCTGTAGCATCGCCGGCTCCGACACGGTCACCATCTCGCTCACCGCCATTGTCTACCACCTCCTCCGGAACCCAGACCGCGCTGCGCAACTGACCGCGGAGGTTCGAGGCAGTTCGCTAGGCGACGCCCCTCTGTACCGAGACATTCAGAGACTCCCGTACCTGGACGCCTGCATCAAGGAAGGCATGCGTCTCACCACGCCCTTTGCCGGACCCCTGCCTCGCCTCTCACCGTCGCAAGGGGGCCTCGACATTGGAGGCACGCACATCCCGCCGGGGACAGTGGTCAACGTCATGCAGTGCCAGATCCACAACGACGGGCGCATCTTCCACGACCCCGAGTCCTTCACGCCGGAGCGCTGGCTGGTGAGCAGCGACAGTGGCAAGGAGCTGGACAAGTACTTTCTCGGAGTTGAGTGAAATCATTTCCCTTATCACCTCCTGTGGCCAGATTGTTTCTTTGCGAGTTGGGTACATGCCGACTGACGTCTCCCGTTGGTGCGCGAAAACAGTTCAGCACCGGTCCCCGCTCGTGCATCGGCAAGAACATTGCCCTTCTCGAGATGAAGTTGCTGCTCTACTCCTTCTTCCGGCGGTACGATCTCTCCCTCCTGGACCCCGGCGCCGAGCTGCGATGCCGTCGATATCTCGTCACCAAGCCACTCAGCTCGGTGCTGGTCAGGGTTCAAAGCGCGGGAGTTGGATCCGAACAGGCCGCCGGTAACAGGGCGGAGGCCTCGGTCAGCTAGATACGTATCTTACATGTATCCGGGGTGTTGGATAGGGATGCCTTATAGGGGCCCTGGGTTGGTCCGGCCAAGGTGCGAAGCTGTCTGTCGGGGATGTGCTTCGTCCAAGTGTTCAAAGATCCCCCAAACACTACTGTGTGTCTAGTTAAGCAATCACGCCGGTCAAAGGCAGGAATGGGGCAAAAGGGAAAACGGTGTGGATGATGTCAGTGTTACTACATCTGACGAGGTAACATGTTTATTTCTGGGAAAGTATCTTAGATCAACGAAGCCATGAACAAATATCGATCAGTCAAGCAAGTGTAATGCTGAAATGCAAAGGTATGTCTGTCGAGCAATCATGTCAACATCTCATCACAGTCACCACCACTCACCACCGTCATGACGCGCTGCTCTCATCCTTCTCAAACGTCAGATCCAACCCGTCCAAGTCCCCCTTGGCCCGCCACTCCCTCAACAGGTTCAGGAAGGCCGGGGCGCCGCCGCCGTAGCTGGCATTCTTGGCGGCCGACGGATTTGGCGTGCCCTCGTTGTTGTAGTAGCCCGGGGTGCAGCCGGAGAGGAACTCGGCGCGCAGCTTGGCCATGTCGAGGATCGTCTTGATCCAGTCCTCCTCGGCCTGGACGGTGGGCTCGACGGTGCGGACACCGCGCTTCTGGCACTCGGCGATCACGTACGCCAGGTGCTCGGCCTGCTCACCCGTGACGTGCAGGAAGTTGGGCGACAGCGCCGCCTGCACGATCTGCACCCAGAAGCAGTTGGGGAAGTCGCGCGTCGTCCAGCCGTGCAGCGTGCGCGACCCGTCCTTCCAGCACTCGGTGATGGTCTTGCCGTGGCGGCCGGTCACCTCCATGTTGGACCGGTGGCTCCACTCGGTCGCCAGCTCGAAGCCCGTCGCGTAGATGAGCATGTCCAGCTCGTATAGTTGGCCGTTGGCCACTACGCCCGTCTCCGTGATGGCCTCGACGCCCTGGCCCGCCGTGTCGATTAGGTGCACGTTGGGCCGGTTGAACGCGTCTAGATATTCGTCGTGGAAGCACGGGCGCTTGCACAGCTGGTTGTACCACGGCTTCAACGCCGCCGCCGTCACGGGGTCCTTGACCACCTCGTCGCAGCGCGCCCGCACAGACTCCATCTTCTCGTAGTCTGCGATCTGGCGCTGCGCCGCAGCCTTTTCCGGGTTCGCCGGCTCGTTGCCCACAGTCGGCTGCCAACGTGCGAGGAGTTTGTGCAAGATGTCTGTCCAGCCGTCCTTGACCAGGTCGACGGGCGCGATGCCGCCGTTGACAATGATATTAAAATTGTCCATACGCTCCTTTTGCCAGCCTGGCTTAAGCGAGGCCGCCCACTCAGGGTCGGTCGGTCGGTTTCCCCGGACGTCGATGGACGATGGCGTCCGTTGGAAGACGTAGACCTCCTTGGCCCATTTCCCCAGATGAGGCACGATTTGGACGGCAGTCGCACCGGTGCCGATGATGCCTACCCGTTTGTCCGAGAGCTTGTGGAGGTTACCTGTTGTGTCACCGCCGGTGTAGTTATAGTCCCATCTAGATGAATGGAAAGCGTGGCCTTTGAACGACTCTATTCCCGGGAGGCCAGGTAGCTTTGGTCGATGTAGCGGCCCAGCAGCTGGAATAACATACTTTGCCCGGACGGTATCGCCCCAGTTGGTCTTTGCCGTCCACAGTGCCGTCTTCTCATCCCACTCGAGACCATGCGTCTCGGTCTGGAAGAGTGCCTTTTCGTACAAGCCCCAGCGACGACCGATCATTTCGGCGTGCTTCAGGAGTTCATTAGCCCTGGCATACTTCTCGGTTGGCATATAGTTGAGCTCTTCGAGAAGAGGCATGTAAATGTACGATTCAATGTCGCATTGGGCACCAGGATACCGGTTCCAATACCTATTGACGTGTCAGGAGCAGTTTGCTCTGAGCCACATGGGGACAAGCTTGCAGCCTTGGACTTACCAGGTCCCTCCAAAGTCACCTGCTTTCTCAATGATCCGTAAGTTGGTGACACCAGCCTCAATCAGCCGAACGGCTACGAGTTGAGCACCATATCCGCCACCGATAATAATAACATCAACTTGCTCGTCAACTGGGTCTCGCTTGAAGCCGGGCTCTACCCATGGATCCTTGAGGTAATGGGCGAAAGGGCCGTCGTGCTCGACCAGCCGATATTGGTTGATACCACCTTTCGCTTGGCCGTACTTTAGCCGTTTATCACGCTCCTCCATGTACTTGCGCTTCAGCGCGTCAGGGTCGAAAGGGAGGTCATTGGGTTTAGACGCCAATGAAATATCGGATTCGAGCGTCTTCTTTGGTGGCTTTGGACCCAGGAGATCAGACGGGACAAGAACCTCGACTTTGGCCATTTTCAACCGACCACTGCCTTTGAAGGTTTTTGTAGACTATTTATGATTGCGTCGGAAACAAAAGATCCTCTTGCTGGTGCGACCGTCGCAGTCAACAATGGCAAAGCAGTCTTTCGTTCTATCTGCAAGTTGTCAATTCTGGCCTCTCTAGTATGATAGAGGCGTAGACAGAAGATTCGTTCTTCAGGGTAAAATATATGTGATCTGCTTGTTGACTCTCGGGCCCGAGCTGTGTTACCGCATCAAGCCGAAGAGGCTGGAAGTATAAGAACCCAGCGTGAGACAACAGTGTAGATTCGCAGAACAAACCGCGGAGGATTGGCGGTTATCCCAATGTCCCCCGCATTTTGTCTTTCGGGTTGCAGAACCCATCCAGCTACCGAGGTCTGCAAAGTGTAAATGCGGAATGCGTTGCGAAACGAGCACGCCTTGGGATCTTGTGATGTTGTGAACCGAACATGGAAGCTGTGTTGCCCTCGCACTGGTTACCCAAAACGTCCTGCCTCGGTAGTGTTGGATTGGATACGAAACGAGGACAACAACGCAACAATCCACGGCCATTTGCTTCTGCGGGGTCTCGCCACTGCTGGGAATTGCAATGCCATTGTTTCGGGCCCGAACGTTTCTCGTAGATGCCGTATAAGAAGAGCAAATAAGCAAGCAGCGGCAGCGGCAAGAAGTAGGCCCAGCAGTTCTCTTAAACCATCGAACCCCTGCACAACAGCAACATGGCTGCAAACGGCGATGCAGCGAGATCGTCTGCCCCTGTGGCGTACATCACTGGTGGAGCCAGCGGGATGGGGTTGGCCGTCGCTCAAGAGCTGGCTTCCAAAGGCTGGAACTTGACCATTGTCGATCTCAACGAAAAGTCGATATCATCCGTGGAAGCCGACTTTGACCCCAAGAGGACCAACTTTGTCAAGGCCGATGTGACAGACTATGTGGCGCAGGCGAAAGCCTTTGCGCAGACTTGGGACAAATGGCACCGACTGGATCTCGTGTTTGCGAACGCGGGTATTGGTGACAGAATGAACTTTCTGGCACCTGCCACCGAGTTCTTGCCCGAGCTGCCAGGCGTGCCCGCGAAGCCGAACGAGCTGGTTATCGATGTTTGCCTCAATGCCATGGTCTACAGTGCCTATTTGGCTCTGCACTTCTTCCGGCAGAATCCTTCTAAAGCGGGCAAGATAGTCTTCACGTCTTCCATGTGCGGGTAAGCAGTCGGTGTTTGGCATTCACGAGCCTGTTACGTCCCTTGGGCTTTCCGTTTCCTTTGTATCAGTTCAGTGCAAGCACTTACCGATGCGATCTCCAGGTTGTATCCAGGAGACAGCATCCCGCTGTACACGGCAGCCAAACATGGGATCGTTGGCTTGACCCGAGCTCTGGCCAAACGCTTGGGAATCCTCGGCGAGCCGATCACAGTGAACTGCATCTGTCCCGGGCTTGTCGACACGGGCCTGACGCCGGTGCTGATGGCTGTTGCTCCACCTGAATACGTGACACCAAAGTCGACCATTGTGCGAGCAGTCATGGGGTTTGTCGACGACGACTCTCTGACGGGTCAAGCAGCGGAGTGCAGCGTCGACAAGATCCATTACAGGAAACAGCCCGACTGGGGAGACGAGGGATCCGAGTACATTATGACGAACAAGCTGGAGGCGGCTCTGAAGAAGCGAGCTGCGCAGACAGAATAGGTCATGATGGATGATGTTGTGATAAAGGTCAAGAAACATTCGACCATCTTCACCGCCTGGCGATTGCTTGTTGTCTGTCTGACGTCATTGCTCGTTGCTCAGCGACGCGTCCCTAGCGACGACGCGACGCGGCGCGTCTTTCTCTATCAAAGCGTCTATAGACGACCGAGTAAATAACTGCTCCCAATGCTGCTGTGACGGATTTTTGTAGCGCAGATGCTATCCTCCAGGACCTCACGGTTGTCATAGGTCGTACGCAGAGAACCCTTTTCCCGCCCTGACAGCCACCCCAGGGAGTAATTGTCCTCAGTATTAGGTTCCCACTACAAGCTGGCCTAGCGCCCTTCTTCGGCAATGCATGCATCGGTTCCATTCGGCAGCTCATCAGGATGGTCGACTCTACCTAGGTTATGTCGCCATTTACCGAGCAAAGCAGTGGACGGCCTTGGCATTGCATGTATGTTGACGAGTCAGGAAATGCGACCTGCAGGAATTGTGTTGTGTCAGAGAGTGTCGAGTCTTATGACAGTGATGGTGATCGCGATCTATCTCGCTTGGACTCACGGTGTAATAGATTTGGTGCCGAAGGGAGAGGAAAGGGGCTCGGCACCTTGATGATGGGATATACTACGGTCCCTTTTCCAGTCGCTCCTGGTCATCTATTCGGTGAACCCGGCAACTCTGGAGCCAACTTTGTCAATCCAGTTACATAACGGGGGTACGCATAGGAGCGATAAACGTTCGTTCAAAGCGACGGTCCCAAAGACGGAGAATCAAACTACTCGTCATCTTCCCACCGATGACTATCTAGAGTTCGTCATCCGTCTGTCGTGCGGCCCGGCAAGGAAACCTGCCTCAGGAAAGGGCCAGATTGAGTGTAGGAGGGGCAGAGTCGTCTCACGAGGTGCCGCTGGCTGCGTTTTGATATTAGATGTTCGTTGGCATCGACGTTGGTGACGGATGGGCGAGCTCTGCGTCCTGTCGAGGGAATACCTCAATGGACGCCGCGGTTGAACGAAGCTCCCCATGGGTGTGATCCGGCCGCAATATATTGCTAATGGCTGGCTGCGAAGACCGCAGTCATCAAGACCTGCTTTTCGCTTCGCCACCGCATCTCCATAGGTTGGTGCTTTTGAAACCCCGACATTGTATTGCAGGTACGTAACAATATAATCAGGTCAGCGTCGGCCCAGGTCTTCTCCTTAACCCTGAGTGCCGACGGTATCAAAGCTCCCCTCCATTATTCAAGATTTCGCAGAGTCTTTTGAGAGAAACGGGGAGTTCTTACAAGGTTGTCCTGTCGTCCTACCGCCCACCACGCGACCAGGGCTTCTCGCCCGAAAGGTGGCTGGGCCAGACCCCAGACGCATGTGACCGGCTCGCACTTGGGTTTCCCGCCAGGCCGTTGGGACTTTGCTTGTGCCAATAACACATCAATGCCCCTTACACCATCAATAAACAAACCACAGTTGAGTTCGAACCCTCACTCTTCGAACCACTTACAGCGCTCTCCCACCCCTGGGTTCCCGCATTCCAGCCCGCCTCACGATGTGGGACACGCCGTATTTTTCGGGGCGGTTTGCGGGGGGTGGGAGTTTGCGGTAAGGCTGTATGCAGTGGACATTTAAAAGGCATCGATCGCATGGCGAACCGCTTGGAGCTGGGGAAGGAATGAAGGATATGAGTTGACTGGAACTTGCACAGCCCGGAGTATTCCCTACCACCTACCTGGCTTCGCGATGGATTTCTTCGCCGGGATCTTCTATTTGGGCGTGGCCCTGTCCCTCGCGTATTGCGTCCATTGCATTCGGATAGCGTTCCGCCCGGGCCTTCGAAAGCTGCCGGGTCCGCTGTCTGCTCGATTCTCCCGCCTATACCGTTTGTCTCTGGTCGCGGGAGGCAAAGCTCCCGAAGCATACAGGAGGGCCCATGAAGAGTACGGACCGATTGTGCGCGTGGGCCCGAACCATGTGTCGGTCGCAGACCCGTCGGAGATCCCTCAGATCTACGGGATTGGGAGCAAGTTTGTCAAGGTTCTCCTGATTCGTCAGACTCAACAACAATGGGTTATATCGCTAAGACAGTGCAGACCGAGTTCTACAACACAATGAGCCCCTCGTACCAGGGGAAACCCATGCCGAGCGTCTTCACCGAGCGCGATCCCATCGCCCACCGAAACTTGAAGAGGCCCGTCGCGCAGTTGTTCGGCATGACCAACATGCGAAACTACGAGCCGTACGCGGACGAGTGCACGGGCATCTTCATCGACGCCATGCGCGATCTGGAGGGCCAGCCGATCGACCTGTCCGCCTGGGTCCAGTGGTACGCCTTTGATGTCATTGCCAGCATGACGTTCCAGCGACGCTTCGGGTTTCTGGAGGAGCGCCGCGACGTCAACAACATGATTGGAGACCTGTGAGTTGGCCCTTCGCCGTACAGAAATTGTCGGTTCTCTAGTGCCAGAGTCAAACGGTGCCGTTCTGAGACGGGGGCTGACTCGTGATTCTCAGTGACGGGGGTCTGCACTACGTCAAGATCATAGGCCAATATCCCGAATTGCATCCGTGGCTGCTGGGGAACAGAAACGTGGTGCGAGCCTTGGGGTGGCTGTTCCCCCAAATCCCCGATCCGTTGTACAGATTCCTAAAGGTGATTGGGTTCCATCAACCAACGGCTGTGCCTCGCAATACTGACGAAGAGTCGGCGCCAGATCACCGAGGAGGAGATTGCAAGGTACGACACCAAGGGCGGCAAGGCCGGGCGGACAGACTTCCTCGCCCAGCTGAGGGACAAGGAAGCCAAGGATGGAAAGATCCCGTTCAGGGACATGATGAACCACCTGTCCAACAACATCGTTGAGTCAACCCACGGCGCCCCCCCCGCGCAGAGAGGTTTGGATTCCGCTGACTTTCAGGAAACAGATTGCCGGCTCCGACACCACGGCGGTGTCGTTGCGCGCCTGCTTCTACTACCTCATCAAGACGCCTCGGGCGTACGCGAAGCTCGTCGCAGAGATCGACGAAGCCGAGAAGAACGCGCAGCTGTCGCCCTACATCTCATACGAGGAGTGTCTGAAACTTCCGTACCTGTACGTCAAAACGGCCAACCCCCATTTTTTTGGTTTGGGTCTGTCTGTTTCCGATCAGATCGCTAAAGTTCTCTCCTAGACAAGCGGTCATGAAAGAGGCCATGCGCTTACACCCGGGCGTCGCGCTGCCTCTGGAGAGGTACGTGCCGCCCGAAGGCGCCACGATCTGCGGCGTCCATCTCCCCGGCGGCACCAACGTCAGCATCACGGCGCCCGTCGTCCACATGGACCCGGCCGTCTACGGGCGCGACGTGGAAGCATTCCGGCCTGAACGGTGGCTCGAGGCGTCGCCGGAGCAGCTGAAGCTGATGGACCGGAGCTTTCTCGCGGTATTGATTATTCCTTCTTTCTTTCTTTTCCTTGTTTCTCTCCTCCCAAGGGGCGTGATTATTACCTTTCTCCTTCTCGCCTCTTTTCTTCCTTCCCTACCGCACTCACAACTTACCGCTTTGCTGTAAGACTTACTGACGGATATTCCATTGTGCTCCTTCAGTTCGGGGCCGGAGCCCGCACGTGCATTGGCAAAAACATCTCCATCCTCGAGATGGGCAAGTTCATCCCGCAGATCCTGCGCCACTTCGACATGCAGTGGGCGTCGAGCGCCCCGGAGTGGAAGACGGAGGCAGTCTGGTTCTGGAAACAGTCCGGCGTCATCGTCCGACTCAAGTGGCGAGGGAAATACTGAGAAAAAATAAACCACCGGGGATAGACGGTTGTCCCGAGCTTTTTTCTGGAGGAGGAGAGCTATTATTGCAACGCAACGGGGCAATCCCTGCACGAGGTATGAGCGGCCGAACCAGACTCTAGACTGCGCTATCCCCAGGTTCTCGTCCGGGCTGGACTCCTCTCCGTCTACCGAACGGTCTCGCTGGGTGCGAAGGCACGGAGACATGAGGAGCTAGGCCTTGTCTCTTGAGGTACACAGGACCAAATTGGAGTAGCATGCACAGCGAATTATCTATATGCCCCCTAATCACAGGCATTCCACACCTGCTTACCAGACGAATACTCGCACGATAAAGCATACTGCTCCACCTTAGTCTCTACCTACGCGAGAACTAGAGGGTCACCTCCAGAGACGTACTCCGCACATGGCACATGGTTGTTATTCAACTCAACGGCACGTTCCCACTCGATGCATGCGCACTTTGCGTCCTACTGTCCTGAAAAGGTTAGGGAGAGGGGAAAAGGGGGAGCGTTATTCAATAACAATCCTAGTGTTGGAGGCAGCACGAGCACTAAGTTCAAAGTTCTAGACACAGACTATCCTGTAGTCTGCCATGCGTCTGCAGAATCAAGCCCCGCACAAGCCGCTCAGAGTGGGTGCATTTGGCGCGTCCTTGTTGCTCTGAAACCAAAGTGTGCGGAGGAGAGGACCCCAGTGGTTCGAGAGAAGACGGTTCCGGTCCCAATGCTCACATATGCAGATTGAAGGAAGGATTCATATGAAATTGATGCTGGGTTAGCCCGATCTGAGCAAGTTGTCGATCCCAGCCCGGAGATGTGATTCCTTTTCCTTGCGTCTCGGTCAGCGTAAGGACAAATCCTGTGCGTTCCCCGAGTAAATTCCAGCTCAGCATGCCCAGGCACAAGGGGGGCCGATGGAGCGATGAGACATACCGTTGCGCGAATTACCTCAATGGGCAACTTTCAAACAAGGATTGAGCGAAACCCAGGCAGACGACTGCTAGAGCGGGGAGTTCTGAGGTCGTGGCTTTACTGGTGGGTGCATAAGAACTAGGGACACTCTTGTGGATAGAGATAAAGACTATCCTTCGCATGGCTAGAAGTTGCAATCCTTTCCAGCCTGGGGCAAGATAAATGCTCGGGGTGGAGCAGCGCCAGGATGTCTGGCCAGCAATGTTGGAGCCCAGACGAACCGCTTCAGAGGCAGAATTTTCGACCTCTCACGATTTCGACCTGAGACAAAGAAGTCTAAGCCGCCAGGCCTCGAAGTTTTCCATCGGGGAACTCGCCCTGGCACTACTCTAGCACCGAGTACGTACCACTCGTACCTAGGGTCTGGGCGGCCAAAATCCAATTGTGCCGCGGATCCTTTTGGGTGGACAGGATGGCCAGCTTTCGCTGCCTTGCATTCGTCCGTTGGCTGTCCGGAGCAGACGGCGAGGACGGCTTGCAAAGATCGGGCCAAAACGCCACTGATCTTGTTGAAGAGCGTGACAACCCTGGCAACGTGGAAGCCAGCGAACAGCATTGGGAATCCTCCTCCACAGATCAGTGGGGTGTTCCATGCTCTGTAGAGAATGGTTTGGAATTGACTTTTGTTAGCTCAGGCACAGTTGACGACGGGTCGGTGGATCATGGCCATCACCAGGATAGTTCGAGGTCTGTGTTCCATGCAGGAAAGGTAGTCTAATACTGGTAGTCGGTCTGTTGGAATTCATGTTCCGTATATAGGCCGCCACACAATATCCAGCAAGGCTAGTATTCATACTGTGGTGATACCGGTGCTCTAGACCTCTCAATAGGCTCGTGATGAATTCTGCGGAACCTCCGGAGCGTTGAGCATCGTATTGCGGAAAGTTGCCTGGGCCGTGCACAGAATCTTCAGGACATCCACCCCAGTTGGTCATGGCGAACAAGGAATCTCGTATCCGGCTGCAGATTTGGTGCGAGAATGTTGCCAGCTGAACAGGTCCCCTCTGGAGCGGCTTGTTTCGCTTGAATTCTGCTGCCCCTTGAAACCAGCAAATCGAAGAGGCGCAATCGAGCTCTAGTCAAGCGCGGTGGCTTTGGCTCCCGCGCGGCCTGTACGTAAAATACGGGCTGCCGAATCCGCCCTGAATATTAACGTGAAGAATTGGTCATAGCCAGTCCTATCTTCTTGCACAAAAACACCATCTCCTTGGTGGAAGGCTGGAGGGGTCAGGGGCCGGGTGCCCTTGAGCTCGTCTCCCTCGTGGACTAGTTTATCACCAAGTCCGTTGTGGCTTGCAGGAGCTGCAGGCCGACTAGCCCCAGTTGCAGACCCCAAAATCTGCCAACCACGTTTTGACGTCTGGAGTAGAGTACCTGCGTGGCTTCCTCTGGCCCTGCCGAGCCTGTCAGTTCATCTGGTGGCATCCCGCAGCCCCGACAGTTGACAGATCCTGACTTACGAATCAGATCAATATGAATCCTCCTTGTCAGGAGGCAATCGACGATCCTTCATCAACGATTGAAGCGAGCCCAACCAGACGAGGCTAGTATTGCATCAAAGTCCGAGCAGGTAACATCCCTGGCCGTGCCAAAAGTGGAAAAGATGTAGCGGTAGCTGGGAAGGGGAGGATATTGTGGCTAGTTGCCTCAGGAATCGTCTCGGGGCAAGCTGTAAGTTCAAGGATCTACCGGCCTTGTTCAGGAGCCCTAGTGGGACAGGAGTCTCTGTACTACGTGGTACAGTGGTACATTCCAAGAATGGTATTGGCTTGGACAATGCATGGGATTGTTGTACCAGGAACCTGCCGCCGCCGCCGCCATCAGTAGTTCGTATGGGAAGTGGATGAGGGCTTCCCGCGTCGAATGTTCTCGTCCGCCTTGACCTTTCGATTCGAAGAGGGGGAAAATGGGAAATAAAGGCGGGCGAACTCATCCTGAACCCATAGATCCGCTCCTTCCTACCCAAACTTTTATCAACCTCGAGCTCTTCGCCGTTGAATGTTCTGTTTCTAACCGGCAGGGGTATACCTGTCCAGTCTGAGATCCAAAGACTCACCCTGCCACTCTCACCCTCTCGACAATGGCGCCCAGAAAGGGGAAGGAGTCCCTTTTGGACCTCTGTGGCCGGGCAACCACCTTGGGAAACAGCGTGTCGGTGCGCATGCTGGAGTATCTCAGCACCGTCAAGGAGCCCCCGCATGGCTTCCGTGAGCTGGCGACCAATTTCCTCGACATTTGTCGAGTCCTTTGCTCCATCGAAGCAGGACTGACCGAAGCCTCGAGGGGGCACAGCCAGTTCCCCAGTGACATGCAACAGGAACTCGACAAAAAGTTTCGTCAGGCCAATGATGACTTTATCGTCTTGAACCAGATGCTCGTCAAGTTCCTCGAGTACGAGAAGAAAGGAAGCTTGGGCAAGCTCAGGAAAGGATGGCACATGATGTTCGCCGATACGGACATTCACAAGATGAAGGACTCGCTCGCCAGGAGCCGCGATGCGCTGGGCATGAGTGCAATGGTGTTCAGATGGTACCTGGGCGACGCAAAGGCGGATGCCTCTGTTGGCATAGGATATACGGGTCTTGCAGCTGTCCTCGAGCGCATGAACCCCAGCATCAATCCCAGCATCAGGCACACTCCGTCGACCACCGTGAAGCCTGCCCTTCATGCTCCTCTTTCGGAAGCACCCGATCTTCTGCCACCGCTCCCGTCCATTCCATTGACGGAGAGAACGTCAGAGTCCAACTTCCTCTCCCGGCTAAGCGAGGATCCAGATACCTTGACCGCGATCCCTCAGAGACAAAGCTTCAGCAGGCCCGCGCCCAGTACCAGGTCCAGCAAACTCACCGTCAATTCCGCCACCAGGGAAAGGGAACAGCAAATGATGAGCAGTGAGAGTTCGCGAACCGAGGTTGCCGTGGAAGATCATGTCTCTGTCAAAACGGCGGATTCATTTGCCCAGATTGAGGACATGATCCACGAGATCGGACTGGACAAGCACTCTTCTCCCACTGCTCGCGTGAAAGCCGACCCTGCCACAGTCCCAAGATGGACACCTAAACAAATGTCTGGGGCCAACTCCGCCGCCCTGAAATCGTCCTTGTTGAATGCCGTCCAGCAGCAGAAGCACAAGATGATTGAACAACTACTGGACTGCGGCGTGCCTCCCGAGGGCGACAACGGAGTCAACCTTCTCCGAGAGGCAGTTCTTCATCAAGACGTTGAGACAGTCCGGCTTTTACTCCTCTTTGGAGCCGATCCCAATGGCCTCGACAAGATCAAGTTCAGTCCCCTTTTGTCCGCGACAGAGCTGTCGTTCCTCGAAGCCGCAAAGTTGCTGCTGAAATATGGAGCAGATCCTAATCTTCCCGCCGGTCCAGAGGGGGAATGTCCCCTCGCCATGGCCGTCGTGGAGAACAAGCTCGAGTTTCTGCAGCTCTATCTCACGTACGGAGGAGACACCAACCTCAACACCGCTGATGGCAACACTCTGCTCATCAAGGCTATAAACAAAACGAATCCGAAGAAGTTGGTAGAGCTTCTTGTCGACTATGGGAGCGACGTGAATGGGAAAAATGGCGAGGGCGAGACGCCCCTTTTCACAGCAGTCCAGTCGAGAAGAGTGGACATCATGATCTTTCTCTTGGACCACGGAGCCGACCCCAACATGCCTGGTCCTAAGCACCTTTTGTGGCCTTCGACCTACCAGCCAAAAGCACTGCAGCTGCTGCTATCTCGAGGAGCAGATTACAAAAAGTGCCCCGGGGTTCTGGAACTCGCCACAAGTATCAACAATCTGGAGTCGGTAACGACCCTGCTCAAAGCCGGTGTCGATCCCAATGCTAAGAAGGACGGGGTTTATACACCACTCTGTTCTGCCATTCGTGACAACCGAGGCGAACTTGTCTCGCTCCTCCTGGCCAATGGAGCGGATCCAAATCTGACGGCGTCGGAGTACCCAGCCTTCAAGTGCGTGACCCACGACCGCACGCATCTACTTCCACAGCTTGTTGCTGCAGGCGCGAACCTGCACAAACCCAAGGGCATCATCGAGAAAGCCGTTGCTCACAACAACAAGGACGCGCTCATGTACTTACTTGACCAGCACGTCAGCCCCAATGACAGAAGCGCTGAAGGCTACACACCTCTGACTACGGCAATCCGTGACGAGAGACTTGACTTTGTCGACATACTACTGGCCAACGGTGCAGACCCTGGCATCCGAGGTCAGGACTGGCCTATCTGTATGGCTGTGAAAAGACCCGAAATTCTGCGCAAGCTCCTTCCTTCCCTTTCCAATCCAAGAGCAGTTAAAGGGGTCCTGGAAATGGCCGTGGTTGCCAACCAGCTCGAGAGTATCAAGTTGTTGCTGAAAGCGGGTGTCAATGTCGAGGACAAGAACGGAGGTGTTTTCTCTCCTCTGACAACTGCTATTCGGGAGGACAGAAGAGAGATTGTTCGCTACCTGCTCGACGAAGCTGGTGCCGATGTCAACGCCCCCGGCGAGCATCTGCCCATCATCAAGGCTATCCGGAGGTTCCGCAACGGCGATACCGAGATCATTGAAATGTTGCTCGCGCGAGGGGCCGATATCAATCTCATGTACCGGGGCTGGAACGCAGTGCTCCAGGCGGTGGAAAATGGAGACGCTAAGACGTTGAAGCTTCTCGTCGAGCGAGGTGGTGGCGTCGACCTGGAAGCTAAAGACGAGTCGGGGAGGACAGTGATGGATATTGTGAACGGGCGGGGGTGGGATGAGGCTGTGACCATCTTGGTGGGTGGAGGAAGCCCGTAAAGTGATGTGTATGGATGATGGGATGAGGGACTCTCGGACTCACTGAACGGCATTCGGGAGGTAATTTCCTTTTTGCGCGCCTCGTTGAGGCAGTGTACCAGTATATCCATTTCCTTTGTGACGATGGAGAGGCTCTTTGTGCGTTGTTGTACCACAGTCAATCAATTCATAGGCGAAGATTGCCGTCGAGGGAAGATTGTGATTTCCCGAGCGAAGCCAAGTGTCCAGGGTCCAGACAAGGAGGCTGCGCCTCTTCCTGTGACTTGTATTTCTCTTGCCTTTCTCGCATGCCAGTGTTGGTCGCGTGGACCTCCTTGTCCTCCCACCCCCCCTTTTTCGCCGGCTGGCGGACTGACCGAGGCTGATTTGGCTAGCAACGCATCTGGGCGTGGACTGGCTGGCTGGCTGGCTGGCTGGCTGGCGACGGAGTACCATGATTCATGCAGACGAACCGCATCACCTTTGATGAGCTATGTTTGATAGGCGAAATTTGACGCATCCTGGGACTGGCCCCCAGCAAGCGACCCCCGGACTCGCGCACTGGAATTCGCCCATCGGCAGCGGGGAGATTGATGGGTACCTACCTCGTACTACCTGCTACCCAGGTGGGAGGACGAGTGCTCGGGACGTACAGTAGTACTCGTAGTAGTGCCTGTTCAGGGGGGCCAGTGCGAGTCGAGTACGAGGTACTTGGGTGGTCCAGTCTCTCAGGATGGGCACCGTCGTTTGGCCTGCCCAGTTAGCTGGTTACGAGTAGCTTGGTGGTACAAGTACAAGGGCCTTTCTACAAGTAGTTGCCTAGGTACCTCGCGAGCTAGGTCTTTCTCAGGGAGGAGGAGCTTGCCTACCTCGCTACCCAGCCAGCCACCGAGACTGTGGAGGGACTTGCAACCCTGCCACCTGCCCAAATACGGACTGCTCGTAACGATTACCTGGCAAGCCTACTGCACTCGTTCGTTGCTCGCATGCGGGGACTTCTCCGTCTCGCTAACCCAAGGGCTCTTCAAGCCCTCGAACTTTTCCTCCCCCCTGGTGTCGATCCGGGGGCCACTAGGACTGGCGCCGCGCCGTCACCGCCGATCGGCGATTGAGGCCTTTTAGGTAAGATTTGAAGATTTGAAAAAAACCCTGGGGGCTGTCTCCGCGTGGGCAGGGAAAGCAAATTCCGTCCGTGGTCATGATGTAAACGATCTAGAGACATGACGTTTCCCGTCGAACAGGAACAGGCTCTTTCATGACGCAGGATTGATGTTTTGTGGCAAAGGTAAGAAGCGACGTAGGTAGAAGGAACGGTAAAAGTAAAGAAAAGGGGGGAGAGAGACTCAAATGTGTGATCTTCAACATTTGGCAGAGCTATTGACACTGAACAAGGGCCATCACTGTGATTGTTGTCGTAGACTCAAAAGTTCCAAAATACGTCTCGACCACCATGTCGCCCCGAAGTTGTGCAATCCAGGCGGTCAAGCCCGCCCTGAGACCAATCCAATCCCTCCAGACGGGATCCAGACAGTCCAGAAGAGCCTACGTGTCTGCACGTCCTGATGTCCCGGGCACCTACAACAGCAGAGTACCAATGTAAGGTCCGCGTCCAGCCTGAATGCAATTACCACAACCATGTGTCTATACACATACATTTCTTTGGACGAGTATTGACACGATGGGCCCCCCCCAAAATGCAGTATCGCCGTCGGAAGCGTCTTGGCCTTTGTGCCCTTCTATTACCTTTTCCACAGCACCAAGCCCGCCGCGTCCGGGCAGGCGGAGATGACGGAGGCGAGAAGGCAAGGGGATCCGTCGAACGAGTATCGGGATCCAAGAGATAGTCCGGTCAAAACGTTGGAGCAGAAGAAGGCGAAGGAGGGCAACCTGGTTATGAGCATGTACATGGGTGGGCAAAATCGATATGAAAACGATGTTCTATATAGGAGCATCATGGTGAATGCAACAATTTCCTTGAAGAACAGGATATGTTCTCTATACTGTTGTTGGGCTTGATGTGTTTCACAGCACATGGGTCTTTGTACGTGACTATCCTCCGTGCCTGTTGTAGAGATGCAACGCAAAGCTCTGGCGAAGTCCTACCAAGCCTGCCTCACTGCCCAGTTACCATCCAGTGGCTCGTCTTGTTCGTAAGGCCGAGGCCCCCCCTGCACTGCCCCTTTCTGGTGCCTGCCTGCAGCCGCAGATATACAGCATCAGGTCGCCGTCTTTGACGTCTGGAGTCCCATACCATGCACTCTCTGCTGATGCAAACATGTTCTCAAGCACGAGAATCCTAACACCTGGCAAGGTCCCCTAGGGCGGCACTCTGAGCCTCTTCGAGCACATGCCCTCGTCATACCGAGTCACCCCCGTTCTCCGTCGGGCTGCGTGCTTCATCCCGGGTCGACGTGAGTCCGAACGACTGATGCGTCATCCAGCGACTAAGACTGGATCATGGTTGGTGGCTCGACCTAGAGGGCAACGGAAATCGAAAAGGGCTTCAGCCAATACATTGGACAATGGGTGTTGTCCACCAAGGCTGATGTTGTCAGCTTTAAAACTGGGCCTTGTGCCTGACTTACATGGCTTTGAAGTAATACAAAACCCCATCACGTGTTGACCCTCCAGAATTTCCTTCGGCTGCAACTAACAGCATGTAGGGCTATCACTATGTTTATATTGCTATACTGGAAAGAAACGAGCTGAAAAGTGCTTCCGAGGACCGAACGACGTGAAACTATTCGGAATTGCCCGGCTGGGACAAATCGCAAGTCAGGGCGAGTTGTAGACGATTCCCGGACATCCAGCTGCTCTCGAACGGAGTTCTGCGAAAGAAGGAAAGACATCAGCCCATTCACCGGCAATACCCCTTCCTTGAAATCAGAAAAAGATCGACTCGCAGTGCTTGGGTCAGGCTACCCAGAAGGAACCCCCGGTGTTGACCATACTCTTGAATATATCGCCAACCCCACGTCCTCAGCCACGAATCAGCAATAAAGGTGACTGGTGTATCGCGTCTCACGAGCCATGAGTACGATCGGAGTTCAACTTGTGTACAATCAATCCCATCCCCCTGCATGAATCGCTACAAGCCTCCGCGGAAAGGAGTCAATAAGGTCCACTCCTTTAAGAGCTTAGTCAGGGAGACGATGGAGCAGTATAAGACGCGGGGAACCTGCTCATGTGCTTTGCTCTTCATCCAATCATCGCAGGTCGACGAGAGGGTTGCTGTGTCCTGACTCCCGCATATGGGCCAACCGAGTAACAACGAATGTCAAAGGTAAGACGTCCCCTTCTCCCGACGTCGATCAGAACAGGCCCCTTCCCTCGTACAACCCATGATCGTCGCCTCAAGCCATTGCTCGCACCTGATGTGGACTCTCAACCTCCTCCCAGGCTCATAATGGCTCAATCTGGGATGTCCAGCCTGAGAACAGAACAGGGAACAAGCTTCCATCGTCTTATGTAAGGCCCCATGGAATCACGGAACACTGTGAGAGTGGGCTGTCGACCCCTAACGTACGACCTTGGATCTTTCTCGTCCCTCAAGGCGAGTCTGACCACTACACGGGACCTCTGCGAATGAGCCCGGCAAGATATAATATAAGGTACGTCAAAGAACCTCTTCAAAGGCGAGACTCGTTTTCCACCGGCACAGTTGTCGTGAAACATCCAGTCTTGACCGTTTCGACCATGCTCTTTTCGTTGTCTTTCTCGCTCTGGTCTGTTGCCATTTTCCTGCTGGCGACGGCTCTCTTCAGATACCGACGGCTGTGCTCCATTCCGGGGCCTCTCCTGGCATCATTCACGGACCTCTGGAGGTTTTCTGTCACACAGTATGGAGGGTTCTCACACACACTCAAAGAACTCCATAATCAGTACGGGCCGTTGGTGCGAATTGGTCCCAACACCGTGAGCGTCTCCGACCCTGCCGCGGTTCCTATGATCCATTCGATGCACGGGGAGTTCAGAAAGGTATGCAAGGTGCCCACCCCTGCCAGCCTGCTTCGACTGACGCCCATCCGTGATGTCAAGGCCCAGTCTTATACGACTTTGAGAGCCCTTGTGAACGGGAGAGTCCTCGGCACGGTGATTGATATTTTAGACGAGGACGAAGTGTCGGCTCTCAAGCGGGCAGTCGGAAGCGCCTTCGCAGCCAAGAATCTGCTGGATTATGAGCCCGATGTAGACCATGCTCTCGAGACACTCGTGCAGGTCCTTCGCAAGTCCCGAACGGCGACACTGTTTGACGTTATGCAGCAATTCCAAGTCGACTTTCTCCTGAAGGCGGCCTTCAGCAAACAGACGGATTATCTGGAAACCGGACGATCCGTCGCCCCGGTCTCGGCCTATGCGAGACTGGTACATTGGGGCCGTTGGCAAAGCGTGCCCGCGCTCGAGAAGCTCCTTTTCAAGTCTCCGCTCTGTTGGACATGGTACAGCAGACAGACCGCAAAACCCCAGGCGTGGACGGCCATGGCCATCGAAGAGTTCAACAAGCGAAAGTACAAAGCGGATGAGGGGTTTGTGAGTGATGCCAGTGAAAAGCCTGATCTCATGGCCAAATACCTGGACGGACGCAATCGGCACAAGGACCGCGTCTCAGACGAAACCATCCTGAGGATGATCTCGAGCACCATTGCCGCTGGCTTTGACACTTCGGCCTTCACCATGACCGCCATCCTCTACTACCTGGTCAAGTATCCCGGGGCAATGAAGAAGCTGCGCTCCGAGATCGACGAGGCGCTCAACGCAGGACGACTGTCCCCCCAGCCACGATTCGTCGAGACAGACAGGCTGGACTATCTCGGCGCCGTCATCAAAGAGACCATGCGCATGCAGCCCTTCGTCCGAGTCCCGCTGGAAAGAGAGGTTCCTCCGGAGGGGGCCGAGATCGCTGGGACGTTCCTCCCGGGCGGTACCATAGTGGGCGTGTCTGTCTGGAATGCGCATTTCGACCGCACCGTCTTTGGGAAGGACGCCGACGAGTTTAGACCCGATCGTTGGCTGGAGCCTGACCACCAGCGCCGACTCATGATGGAGAGGACCGTGCTCGGATTCGGAGCCGGCAAACGCGTCTGCATTGGCAGACACATTGCCGAGCTGGAGATGAAGAAGGTGATCCCGAGAATCCTGCTCGAGTTCGATGTGAGTATCAAAAGTCCACACCAACTTCACTGCCTCGCTCCCTCCATCCATCCCGTCTTCCCCAATCCTTTCCTTGCCTTGCACGTAGATGGACCATCCATGCTGAGAGGTCGCCTTCCTTCGCTGACTGTGGCATTCTGAACTAGATCTCCCTCGAGGACCCAACCTACCGTCTCGAGCCGGTCGACAAGTGGACCAACTTCCCGAAACCGTTCTCCCTCATCTGCCAGGACAGAGCTTGATTCAAACCATACGGGGACCGGAGTCTGGAGTTCGGGGTTTGCAGTCCTCGTTCTAAGATCCTGCAGAACAATGTGAAAGGCTTGGCTTCGCCGTTAGGTGGGATGCAATACCGCGAACGAGCGACCGTGTCGTACATGGCTTGGGGCTATCCCGCTGGGTCAATCGCGAGTTGAACGATGATAGTGTCATCACACTTACTCCGTGCTTATGTTGAAGGACATAATTACATAGGCTCCATAGCGCCTGAAGGTAAAAGTAATCAAATAGCTAATAATAAAACCTCGCAGAGGAGGGCTTTGTTCAAGTATTTCATGCCCTAGACGCAGACGCAATACAGCCAGGCACTCCCTCTTCATTAAAAAGGGTGTCCAGTCTCATCACTGAACGACAATACCTCTGGCCTTGGCTTTCCGTGTATTGTCGACAGTTGGGGGGGTAATTCGGCCCGCTGGACTGGATTAGATGAGTTGAGATGAGATGAGATTCAAACACAGAGAGCTAGCTAGCTAGCTCACTAATGATACAGGGAATTCTTCTTCTCTTGGAGACACATGGCGTGAATTTCCGCCCGGGCGTATTGCGTGCACGCAGTAGTGAACTCCAATAATGCGCCCGTGTCTTTCCTCCGTGACTCATGTGCCGTCGCACGTCTTCTCGCCAACTTGATCCTCCGCGCACTCGGCCGGAGCGGCGTGCTCAACCGCCTTAGTCAAGTCCTCCAGGAAACGCCATCTGGCCCGGCGCGCACAGTCCTTCTTCTTCCAGTCGCGCAGGGTCCCGCGCGGGAACCAGTCGACGCCGACGCTCTCGTGCAGCAGGCTGGCGTCGTGGGCGACGACGACGAAGACGTGGTCCGCGGCGTCGAACTCCTGCAGCACGCCCACGATCTCCTGCGCCCGCGCCGGGTCGTGCGCGACGCCGGCGTGGATGTGGTAGAAGGGCTCGGTGCCCCGGCCGCGCGGGTGGATCGTCTCGAAGATGTGGCCCGGGCAGCCGACGCCCGGCGGGTGTTTGGCCGCGTAGGGCGTCGGGCGGACCGTCTTGGGCAGCGGGAGGTACGCGGTCGGTCGGAGCTCGGCGCCGTGATGGGCTGCGTCCGCGCCCATCAGGACGAAGGTGTCTTCTTCCTCCGCGTCGCCGCCGTCCCGTGTGGTGGTGGTGGTGGTGGTGGTGGTGGTGGACGACGACGACGTCACGCGCGCGAGCCCGCACATGTGCCCGACCGCGTGGCCCGGCGCGTCGAGGAGATAGAAGGACCCGTCGCCGAAGTAGTCGATGGCGCGGAAGCGGCCGATCTGGACGGTCTCCGAGTTGTCGAAGTCGACGACCTTCAGCTCGCGGCCCGCAAAGTCCGCGGCCAGGAGCGGCGACTGTTCGTTCTCCGGGTACGCCGGCAGGAACACCTCCTGGACGCCCGGGCCGACCACCAGCGCCGTACTCCCGGGAAACGTGCTCGGGTCGCCCGTGTGGTCGTAGTGCCAGTGGCTCCAGACGATGGCCTCGACAGCGCCGCCGGCGACGTCGACGCCGCCCTCCTGCAGGATCTGCGCGACCGAGTCCTTCTCGACCTCGATCTTCCAGCCCGGCTGGGTCACCAGGCCCCGCACCGCGGGCGGGAGGCGCTGCCAGTCCTTCCTGCACCCGAGGTCGAACAGCAGTTTCCGGCCCGTGGACACCTGTTCGACGAGGAACGAGAAGGACGGCACCTGGAGGATCTCGTGCCCAAACTGGGTCGGCCCCATGAAGACCTCCACAGGCACGTCGAGGCGGGAGGTCGTGTCGATGATTTGGACTTTGGCCGCTGCACCGGGCGGGATGTGCAGCACGGGAGCCGGTTTGGGCGGATAGAGGAGCGCCTCGTTCTCGTTCGCGTCGGTCGAAGTCATCCTGATGGATCCCAAGTATTCACGGCCACAGGTGAGAGGAGGGGATGCCTTTCGTGTCTGCTGCCAGAGTGACGGTCGGTGGTAGAGCCATCTCACTGCTTTATAGAGCCCAAGACAAGAGGTATTTGGCAGGTCATGGTGACACTAGGGATCTGACAAGTCGGTATTTTGAGTCCCCGGTTGAAGCCCTCGCCGAATCGACCCAAGAAAGCCATCGTGCCCATTGCCAGTATTGCGGCAATAGCTATTGTTAGGGGGCTGGATTTGGGCACAGGATGAGAAAACGAAGGATGACCACCGCCTCGAGGTTGACAAAATATGCTTTGCACCATTACCACTCTCGAAATACGACACCAGGAGAAAATCAATTCTCGGATCATTCAGCGGTAGGGGAAACTGGCAGTTATTGCGCCCGACCGAGCCCGGTCCAAGATCCTGGGCTGGAGATATGCCAGAAATTGCCTAATTGGGAGAATTTCGCTGTTTATCTCCGGGTCTCAAGACGGGTCCTCGATCATGGCAATGGCAATGGCACGGATTTCTCTCCTGCGTTAAATAGATTGATGACGAGAAGCCAGTAGATGCCACGTCGATGTAACCCACACCGACATAATCTGTCAATCTCGCGCACGTCTTATTGAACTTGTCGACATCAGAGAAACACTTCGAAGAGGAGCATTTGCTCACTGCCATGTCGAGGGTTCGTTCCCAATATTCCAGTTTTGTGCCGTCCAGCTGAGCCCGTGAGGTTCCATGTCGATGTCTTTTCTCCTTCGGCGGAGCTGGGGCTTTGAGCATGCAGGCAAGTATTGTTCCTAGTATGGACACTGACGCGAGCCATTGTCGGGCACCATATCGTACCTAACCTGTCGCCGGTGTCGCTTGAGTTCAAATATCGTGGCCGCTCCTGATCAAATGCCCTACCAGCACCCGTGGTTATGGAAAAATCGGCCTCCTGCTTCCCGGTTTGGTTCTGATCATGGTGTCTTGGACGACCGCCGACTATCACCTTGTGTGGTTGAGGAAGGACGTGACAACAGTGCTGGCACAAAGTTGGAACCGTGGGGCTCGACGACATCGCAATCCAGGAAGCCGTCAAGAATCAAGCGAATGGCCTCCCAGGAGGACAAGTTCATCTGCGCAACCAGAAGGGAAAACTGGTCGCTGAACCAGCTCTCATCGCATCGCCGAATGCCCAGGTGGTCATGCTCTGCTTGCGCCCCGACGTAAAGAGCCCACAGTCGTGCGTTGGCGTATTTCATCGATCCGGTAAACTCCACCACCAATTGCTCTTTCTCCAGAAGCTGCCTCGTCAGGGTTCGCAAAGGCTTCTTCGTTTGATAGATCTCCCGGCCGAGGAGAGTCTCGTCCCCAGCAATCAGGCGCGTCCAGTAGACCGCAGTCAACGCGAGGTAGGCGTTCTTCTTGTGGAGGTGCGATTGCGGGCCTTTCCCTTGCTTTGCCTCGTCGAGGCGGTCAAGCGCGTACTTCACGAGTCTCGTGTGCTTGACCAGATGGCTGGAACACCACCAGGTGAACACGGCGGGAGACAGGCCGTCCCCTCTTTCGGAACCGTGCCTCCAGACTGCAAGGCTTTCGCGCTCCTGAATGAACATGTCCACAAGAAACTCATCCTCAACGGAGGGATCCAGCGATGTCGAGAACGACAGCTGCATGGCCGGCAATTCCTTTCTGCCTTCTGCCCAAGGTGTCTTGAACACATCCGAAACCCAGCCGTCATAGTCTAGAACGGGCTTGCGCAGGAACATGCAGCAGGCGCAAGCTTCATTGTACATGAAGGATCGCAGAGACGTGATGTCGACTTGCCCCTGTTGACTCTCGTATTTCAATGCCCGAGACAGCATCGTTGCGTGGAGCCACGCCCCGTCGGCGTTTCCAGCTTGCGCCTCGGCCATATACAACGTGATGATGTGCCAGTAAGACGACCTCGACACAAATCCGGAGCCCTGCTGCATTTTCCGCAGTAGCATTGAGGTACTCTGAGATCGAAAACGTAAACTCTGGACGGCGAGCTCGGAATTGTCGGTGACATTGGACGCGACCTGGGCCCATCGTGCGAGGAATCCCAGCGCGCCACCCTTCTCATACAGCGAACGGACGACATCTCTCCAGTCATCCCTGGCGGCGTCGAGCGTTCTCCATCCATCCGACCCGGTGTGGTATTGTGACGGTATGACGATGTCCCGGTAAAATCTCAAAATATCGTTGACTCTCGGCGAGATGGGCACCGGATAAGCGTTGAAAGGATCAGAGTTCCCTTGAAACAACTTGACATCATACACCGCAAGCCCGGGGCTCCTCTCCGAGCTGGTCAGAGGCTCTGAACTGTAAGAAGTACATGACGAGGCGGGGGAACTGCTCTATGGAATGAATTAGTATGAGAGCCCCTGAAGCACGCCACGAATCTGTCCTCACTGACGACTCTGAGCGGTCCTCCTCGCTCTCCGAGGAATGCTCTCGAGAGCCGGATGTGGGTAGTTTCACGCTCTTTCTTAGCTTCAGGGCAGAATCGCGTCTCTGCCATGGTCGGTACCGTTGTTGGATGTGGCTGAAGACCCGTTGCCGGTGGGGCTGTGCTTTCATATTCAGCGCATCATGATTGACCCATAGGAGATCGGTCGGGTAGCCATGTTTGGATGTCGACGTTACGGCCATGGTGGAAGTTTCATTGTATGGACTGCCAGTGATTCGAAAGGCTTCATTCGGAAAGCATCAACTGTGGAGTTTGGGAGGTATGGCGGGGGCCCTATATCTGCTATGCTTCTAGCCAGGCACTCGCCAGAGATAGTCTTCTTCAAGAATTGTCGGAGGGAGATTCGCCTGGTAGGGCCCTGGTTAGAGGAGCTTTCTCGACGGTTACATCTCCTGACACGGTGGCTGACAAACCTAGGGGGTTCTCAGGATTGGTCTCGTCAGCGCGGTGATCCTTTCAACATGGGTGCGGAGGTTTCGGTAGCGTTGCCCTTGCGCGTGGACTCCAAGAATGTGGTTGAGGAGGTTGGAGGAGGGTTAAGCGGTGAGACCACCTCCATGTGGCTTTCCAAGGCCTCGAGGCGCTCTATCTGGCCCAGTTTGAGGATGCCTAGGCTCGGCTCCTCGTGTATGCTGAATAACAGATGATAACGACTGGCAGTTGGACCGTTACAATTGGCGGAGTAGTTTGCTCGAAATGACCAAGCAACACATCTCCAAGCAGGGGTCGGTTCCTCGATGCCGTTCTGTTGCATTTAAATGCAGCGTCGCGCTGGGAAGCCAGCCATTTCTCGCTTCACTGTTCGTGTTATGGAAATGCACCTTCTTACTTGAATGCTGAGCAGACGGCAGATCGTTCAGGACAAACCTATTGAGAATTGCTCTGGACAGCTGATTTGACTCCCACTTGGAGCTGGATGCATGTCTCTGACTTTGCGCACACGCTAGATGTTGTTCGACCTTACACAGGGAACGAGTAACCATGCGTTGAGGCCGGAGTATACCTAGATGGCGGAGATGGTGTTACTAGGGAAAACCCCCGCAATTAGGTGTCGGCTCTACTCCATCAAAAGCATTAGGTGCTCAGTCCACATACCGCCGTTCGAACTCAAAACCCAGGTCTCGTCTTCCGAAGATCAGATCGTGACTGAGATGGCTGGGACTGGAGCACCTTCAGGACAGCAAGGAACTTGGCTCACTAGAGAAATAGAGAGAAGTTCTAGTGGTTGGGTAGCACAGGGGATGTCGAAAGAGGCCTGACAGAAAATAGGATGCAGACCTGGGCGGCCCCAACAACACCTACCATCTGACGATGAAGGAGACTTTCTAGAAGATGGTGCAATATTCTCACGAAGTCCAGCAGAAGCTAATGGGCGGGATTGAGATCCGAGTAACGTGGAACGCAATAGTATGTGATGCTATGTATATAATCGCCCCATAGACGTATACTTCGTGAATCCCAGTTCTTTCCTTCTCTGTTGTAATGAGTGATACCTGCTCCACCATCGAGTGCGCAGATCCCTGTAAGAGTACATAACATGTCGTAGGCGCCATTACATCCGGAATGTCTCATACCACGGTCTTGCGCCGTGTGAAGACTCGTTTCAATTTGCTGCCTTTGGCTTCCGGCCGCTCGTCTGTGGCGTCTGCGCCCTGCGCAACGGAATTTTGTCTCGACAAGGTTGTCGCACTGCCGTTGTGCTCGGCGAGAGTGGGCAGTTGAGGAGCCACCGTTGCCCTCCTCTGGTCTCGAACACTCTTCTTCGCACCCCGAGTAGTCCCCTGTTTGATCAGGATGTCATCCAGAGTTTTGGTGCCGTAGAAGCCTTGTAGTTGTTCATCGGACTCGTAGAACATTTTTGATTGTGCCCATTCTTTGAGAGCATCAAGGTATGCTTGCTCGGATGGAAAGCCTCGGTAGCTCTGATCAGCGACAAGTGTATCGATGGATTGCGCCGAGAAAATGCTCGCAGGTCGCGAGGACGGTAACTGAGGGTTGCGGTCAAAGGCGGATCTTGGCTCCTTGACCGACATGACGGGAATACGTTTCAAGGATTCCGGGAGGCAGTCTTGGTCGATGAGTTGCCGAAGATAATCGTACGAATACCAACTTTGGATTTGGAAGATGTATATAAGGGCCAAGGCGAGGATGTGTTGAGCGACAAGAAGGGTTAAGAACTCGATGTGAGCGCTTTGGTCACACCATAACTAGCATCTGTTGGCAAGTCACTTGAGTTATGTATGTTTAGCCTTCGCCACTTCTTGCTCGATCGCCCTATTTTTCTTACCTACAAGTACAGGGTGCTCGCGAGCCTATTATCCGGATCTCCTACCCCTCGACCCCGCCTAGCGAAGCCCATAGGTAGGATGGTGATACCAGAAATAGGGGGCTCTCCATCGATTCGTGTAGGATGACCGGCCGTTTCCCAGGGATGGCCGGCTGGCTGCAGGGTGATGTCGACGAAACAAGATAAGACATAATGGGTGCCCAGAGATGCCAATGCTTGCCCGCAGAGAACCCACGTGTAGCATCTGGGGTTTAGCACATGACACAAAGCCATGCTGATTGCAAGCCGGATCCAGAGCCGCGCTCGTCCGGGACAAAAGAAAAGCTTCTCGGATAACACTAGCCTCAATGGTATTTGCAGCAGGGGTAGATGTGGTTTGCTGTACCATAGCGTACTCGTCCGCAGTATCGGCGTGGTACGACTGTCTTTATATCCGTCAAAATCGCGCCGCAAGGTATGTGAAACCTGAATAGACCAATTCTTGGAGAGCGCGATGTGCAACTCAATGGTGTCAATAGACTCAACCTGAACCCCGTTGAGCCTCTTGAGTATGTATATAAACCATCCAAAGACCGGCCTGGGGAGCAGGTCTGGACCGAGTGGAGCCTCAGTCTCGCTTCAGCCCGATTTTTCCAATGTTCCTTAAGCCCCAAAGACTCACTACAAGGGTGCTCGACGTCACAGCCAAGCAGAACCAGAAGGCTGCTCTGTATCCTTCCATCAGTGCCTTCGGTGCTTGTTTATCTGCATAATCTGACTGCATGGTGATACTTCCTGCGATAACAGCGGAGAGCGCAAGGCCGACGCTTTTACCGATTTGTGCGACAGTGTTGAAGACCCCGCCTGCCAATGCCTGTGTCTTCTCTGGAAAGGCGGCTGTGATGACTAGGTTGGAAACGGTAAAGAGAACGTCTGGTCCTATGGCATTTAACGTTATAGCTGGGAAAACGTACTCCCAATAAGACGCGCGGACTTTCATGATGGCAACGAGGAGAGGTGAGATACTGGAGATCGCCATGGTGAAGATGACCGCCCAATCTGCGCGAACTTTGTGCACCGCCAGGCCCATGAGAATATTGGTGGCAATACCAGAAGCCGGAGCTGGTAAGAAACGCAGAGAGGTCTGAGTGGCGCTGAGCTGTTGGATATCCTGGAAGAAGAAGGTAAGAAGGGTTTCGGTTGCATTAAATGCTCCCCAAGCCAAAAAGACGTCGACACAAACGCTCGTGAAGATCCTATTGCGCCACAGCGAATTCGGGATGATTGCTGGACGGTTGAGCTTCTCCTGTCGACCAACCCACCAGATGAATGCCGGTATTAACGCAACCGCCGTTGACAAGCATGCTATGTTTGTAGGTGACTTGATGCTTGAAACATTGCCGGTCAAGACACTATCGTCGCTTAGCTCGGCACTTCAACATGGGGCGGTATGCGAATACTTACGCAAAAACGTACGAGAGGAGACCCAGCGCGGTGCTGAGGATCAAGGCCCCCGGCCAGTCAATCTCTGTTGCCAGTCTCCTGACTGACAGCCGCGTTGGCTGTGCCGATTTTGGCAGACCGATAACAGCCAGAGCAAAAAGGACAGCATTGATGGCAGCGGCGATATAGAAACCCGCCCGCCACCCGGGTCCATCGGTCAAGATGCCCCCCACGACCAGGCCAATTGAGAAGCCTACAGGCTGACCAGCGCCCATCATTGCAAACGCAAAATTGCGACGGCGCCCGTGGGGGAAATACGACGTGATGAGACTCACGGCGGAGGGCAGACAGAAGGCGATCGCGACGCCAGCAAGTGCGCGGAAGAAGAGCAGCTCCAAACTGTTCTGGGCCAGTCCACATGCCAGGGTGAGCGCGCATTGAAGTAGACAACCCAGCAGATACATGAAGCGGTTGCCCACCACGTCGGCGACAGCTCCTGAAAGAATCAGCGAGCAACCACACGTTAGAGCATAGATTGACGAAGGCCTTTGATATACAGTTAGTCATTGACGGTGTAACTACTTGGCAGACAGGAGGATACCATAGAAGAACAGAATCTGAAAGGTGCAGGTCTTTTGCCAATGTTGGTAGAATAACGGTTATCAGACCCGCAAGCAGACTGCTGATACCTGTAACGCCCGTCACAGACACAAATACTACCGCAGTAGAGCCCTTCCGTAATGCAGGCTGCTCCAGTGCGGTTTCAGCGATTCTTTGAGACGCAATGCCATCGTCCTGGGTGATTGGTGGCGGTGGTGTAAGCAATGCCGAAGCTGGGGGTGTAAGTTCGATAATAGTTGTTTCAGACATTGTCTTGGTATGCTGGATGTCCTCCTTGGAGACCGTTTTTGGATCCAGTAGCAGAGGTTAGAGTTCGAGATCGTGTAATAACATTTTTGATACGTTTATAACAAGCCTCTCGCTCTGGGAACTGTCCGTCGAAGGGCGTATGCTCGATATTACCGTGATGTCACCTCACAGCCTTGCCTCTGGAGACAGTGGAGGAATAACATTGATCCGCGCGGACATGGCAGAGCCCTCCTTTTCTCTCTTCCTTGGGTTGTTTGCACTGTTTGGTAGGTTTGACAATCGATGCGCCCATCTCGTCGGCTCTCGTGATTGATGGAGATTCGGCAAACACCATCTTGCAAAGATCAGGTACAGAGCCACAAGGTTGCCCCCTTGAACACGCCACCCTGCATGCCCACCACTCACCGCCTCAGCACATCCGGCTCCCTACGAGTGTCTGCGCGTCAGTCCACCACCACCACCTCCCTGTGGTCCCTACCCGGAAGCTCCAGAGCCGCCTGCAGGCCCGAGTGATGCCACCACCACAGCGCCCAATAAAAACCCCTTGCAAGCCCACCTTGCCAATCAAAGAAATGGCTTCCGGAACAAACCACTAATCCAGGGTTCTTTCAGTTCGAGATTCAAATTGTTGGCCCAAGGATTTCTGGATTTCCTATCCTATTCTTTTTTACAACCAGTTCGTTGTTGACCTGTCACTCTTTCTTATCGCCTCTTCCACCTCGCTCTTTGTTGCTGGCGAGGTCGGTCGACTTACCCTTCCTCAAGATGTATGCTCCCTCGCAAAAATCCAGTAAACAAGCCCGAGATGCGATGAATTGGTTGGGCTAATACATCGATCTGCTGCAGGAATTCCACAACCTTCGCCGCACCCGTCACTTACACGGACTACTTCAACGATATCGCCGCCTACAATGTGCACCTGAACATCTTTGAAAAGCTTTGGGCAGCATGGTACGCATACATGCAGAACGATGTGTTGGCGACGGGTATCATGAGCTTCGCCATGCACGAACTGGTGTACTTTGGGAGGTGTGTGCCATTCATGATTATGGACAAGATTCCCTATTTCAGGAGATACAAGATCCAGGCGGTAAGTGGTCATATGCCTCATGGATTGGTGTCAACCTCTTCGGCTTGCTGACACGAGAGTGGTATAGAACAAAATGCCCACGCTTGCCGAACAATGGGCATGCGCCAAATTGGTCCTCCTCTCCCACTTTACCGTCGAACTCCCTCAAATCTGGCTCTTCCATCCAATGGCTCAATACTTCGGCTTGTCCACATCCGTTCCTTTTCCTCCCTGGTACACAATGGCCTGGCAGATCGCGTTGTTCTTTGTCCTTGAAGATGCATGGCACTATTGGTTCCACCGAGTCCTCCACCTGCCTCGACTTTACAAGATGATCCACAAGCTGCATCACCAGTACAGCGCACCGTTTGGCCTTGCCGCCGAGTACGCCTCGCCGCTGGAAACCATGATCCTCGCATTCGGCACTGTTGGGATCCCCATTGTTTTTTGCGCGCTAACCAAGAACCTCCATATCGTCACAATGTATCTGTGGATCGTGGGCCGACTTTTCCAAGCTATTGACGCGCACTCTGGCTATGAGTTTCCCTGGTCGCTACATCACTTCTTGCCTTTCTGGGCAGGAGCGGACCATCATGACGTGCATCATGAGAAATTCTTGGGAAATTATGCCAGTTCTTTCCGGTGGTGGGACGCAGCTTTGGGTACCGATATTGGGAGTTCTTCCGAAGGGGCGAAGAAGAAGGACAAGAAGGCTGTCGAAGGCAAGGACGAATAGGAATGTGATATCGGCCTTGAGGACCGGAAACCGTTAGAAGAAGCTTCGACCCGGCTTCGGTGTACATAATGCGGTCGATTCCATCTTGAAGAGCGAAGAGCGACGGAATAGAGAGATGCATAAAGTGGCGTTGGATTGCATAGAACGGGCAGGGCAACTGGATGGGTTCCTTATTCATGGATAGTGCCGAATGGCCAGCTCCTCTCAAGAATCAAACGATTATCGTTTCGCCTCTAATGCGACATCATGCTCGTTTTTCTGCTCTTTCTTGATGATCTTGACCGAGATTGTCTTTTGTCTCCTGCAGTCTCCTTCAGCCCTTCGAATGTTTACTGAGTTTGTCACAGCGAAGCAGAAGTTCGCCACCATTCTCGGTCTAGGGGGTAGAAGACTCTTGCGCGGAAGTTGTAGAAATTGGTTTCGCTGCATCGCAGGAGCAGCTTTCTAGGGCTTCTAAGATTTTCTGCCGGTTGAGGGCAATCATCCGCTCGCGGTGTGCGGCGACCAGTTTCTCGCCCTCAAATAGATCTTTCGCAACATCTGCGCTCACAGGCTCCGTGACGTCGAACGCATCCAGAACGGCGTTGATCTTGTGTGCCAGCCGGGTGTCTCGAACGCTCAGGCCGCGAGGACTGTGGGTTGTACATGTGATAGTCATGTATCTGTCTTCTTCTCCGCCAGATTTCCCACGGGTAATGTGTGGATGATGATTCATTTTCTCGGCCTCGACCATGATCAACTTTTCCACCTCTTCACACTCGCTGGCTGAAGAATGAGCCGTGTGTCGGTGTATAGCATCGCCGAGGGCATCGAGTTGCCATTGGGTCGTGCCAAATGACAGGCTTGATGAATGCTTCAAGGAGAGATTGGGTGTTTCTGGTGTCGAAAGTAACGAGGCAAGGGCGTTCGCAAGCTTGTCACGGTTTGCCTTTGGGGTAGCCGAAATCTTCTGCGTGATTGTCTCGCCGTTGTCCAGACGGAATGTGATGGTCTGGCGGTCCTCGGAGATTGTGATTGGATCACTCGGGGAAAGCGATAAGTTCCTTCGCGGAAATGAAGCATTCATCGAAGGACGGAGGACAGCCATCCCCCTGGGTGGAAGTTGCAATGTGTTCACATGGCAATAAGCTGAAGCATTGGCATGATAGCGGGCGAGACAGCTCCCTACATAGCGAACAAGCCGCATAGCTAGGGAAGCAAGCACAGGAGCTTTCAATGCAGGATTTGGAGCGAGTCGAAGTAAGTTCTTACGGCTTCGTCTTGGGGCGCAGGCCTGAGCGATCAGGCCTGCGATTCCCTGCCGAGCCCGGGCCTGACTACCGCTTCGGGAGCTTGTCGTCTTCAACATTATCTACCACCAGCCAAGCCTCTGGAAGAAAACAATGGTACAGTCTGACAGAGGATTGACGCCATCTCAGAATCAATAAGGATAACGATGCCGCTATTCCTAAGGACGGAATTAATATCTTTTGCAATGGTGGTCACCTTTGAGTCAACAGGGAATCACTTCTCTGTACCCGGTACCATTTCTCGTCAGACCTTGCCACTTAATTTTGACATCGGCTCGCAGCCTCCGTTGAGCAAGGATCATGGAGAACAATCAGCACCTTCATCCTCTTCATCCTTGCTGCTCTTCTGTCCATCGCGCGGTGACTGTGCATCTGCCACAGAACCGAAGTCGGACTGTTGACGAACAGCCACGGCCCATCTCCCCTTCAATCGGGCGCAGGTTTCATCTCGCCTTCTAGATGATTAGCCGCCTCGACACAAGGACCACTGGATGCGAAGAGACCACGTCCCAGGGACCCGGGATCAAACACCACCTTCCCCGGCCTTCTCCCGAGCTTAGGCTCAGATCCTGCCGACCACCAAGTGTTCTGCCTTGCTATAAATTGCTGAAACGCTTGTTGTTTGGCCCAAGCCTCGCGCACGGGCATTGGTGCGAACATCGCGCCTACTCAGCCCCCGCGCGATGGATTCGCTTGCGAAATGTTTACAGCCCACTGGTAAGCCTAATGCAGGTACGCAGAATGCCTCTGTGAGAGTATCTAATGGCAGCAAGGCGCCCAATGGGTGAGCTCTTTTCTAATGTACTTTTCTTCTCATATTTCTTCCGTTGTGTTTTGTGTTGCTTCGAGAGTTCAACAGGCTACTTCCCGGATCTTCTTTGGACCTACCGCATTTGCCAGTTCAAGAATTGCGCCGATTGGCTTAGTCAAACCTCGACTCATTGGGAAAGATACAGGGCGAGTCTCAGCGGACGAGAGAATGCGCAAGAGGGAACTGCTTGTTTCAGTTCTGACTGCCATTTGCGCCGTGAGAGCGATTCCATTACAGCCTCGAGATATATACAACCCTCTGGATCCTCTGAAAAGCGTCGCCAGCGAGCTGCTCGGCTTCACGACGGCAATATCTGCACTCGAGTCGTCGGCAAAGCAAACGCAAACTGCCCTCTCGGCTTCCTCAACACGTACAGCAGGTTCAGTGGCAGCTTCCGCTCAAGCAAGCACCGCACAGACCAATCTCGCATCTTCAGATGCAGCTGTGAGCACCATCAAAAGTGGGACAGGAACGGTAACGGTTACCGCCACGGATTCACAACTATCCACCGGAAGTGTCTCGGCGACGAATGCAGCTTCCAAGTCCGCCCTACACAGTGAAGCAACCACAACGTCCATAGGCGCCCTTTCGACTTCGCCGGGCTCGACAGGCGCACCTCTCGGCGTAATCCCTACTACAACTGAAAGCAGTGGATCGTCACAGACCGGTACAAGCACTGATCCCGGGTCAAGTTCAGGATCAGGAGGGAATTCAGGTTCAACATCAGCCGATTCAGCCGGTGGGTCAGGGCTGTCCCCAGGAGAGATTGCCGCAGCAGTCATTCTCCCTGTCCTGGCGTTGGCCGCCTTACTATTTCTTCTCTTCCGTTTCTGCAAACCACTCCGCGAAAGATACTCAGCTTGGCGTCAACAAAGACTAGAACGATCTGCGTACCGCCGTGCCCTCGACGACCCTGTTCTTTCCTTCGGCATGCATCAACAAAGCGGTCGAGGCCTAGATGGTTTGGGCATGGGTGAGGTGGAGCACTTGGTGCGTCCCTTGTCCTTTGGATTTCGGAATCCTCAGAGACAATATCCTAGAATCAAGAGGAAGCCGTTGAACTGGGACCCCGCACGGATCGGCGGCCAGGGAGCCTCGTCAATCGGAATGGCGGTACCAATGCCCATCGGACACCGCCCTAGGAGCCTGAGTGAGATATCGGAGGTGAGCGATATGAGCAGTGATGCTGGGGCGAGATATCAGGACGCGCGGTCGAACCAGCCATCGCCGGAAGGAATCATTTCATGATTGCCACTACTCTTTTCTTTTCACGTTTTCTTTTGCCCAGCGGCATCGTGTCTGATTATGATGAACAAGCAAGCGACGAATATTCTGTATATATTTCCCCCCTAAACTTTATCAAGCGGAAGACTGAGGACATACATCCGACCGTCCGGGCGTCCTGGAGCTTCGGCTGAAGCAGAACTCTGTACATACATATCAAAAGATTTCACTGTGCTTCTTGCACAAGACTCGATAGAGTAACGAGAACGCGAGGTGTCGCGAACTACCCGTATTCTTTTACCCTCACCCTCTTGAAACGTCTCAGTTACCCAGGTATTGAATCGTGAGGTGTCGATGTATAAGAGTACTCTCGCCCTGACGAATCTATTAAGAATAAGGCCTCTTAGGAGTAAGGGTCCGATCTATAGTAGTCGTTTTGGGCTCAGGACTGAGGAGTTTATCGTCGAACCAATGGCTGGCAGCGTGACACGAGCCTCTGGCTTTATTGGAGAACCGACCATCCATCGTCTCAAAACAATCTGGGCGAAATTAACGAAGGAAACAATGCCACGAAAAAACCATATACCAACCCTCTCCCACCTATCTACCGCCCAAACACGCCCATTGACGCTCAACAAGCCCGTAAACAGAGCACGAAGACACATCTACGCAGCATGGATGACATCGACCTCCCCGCCCTGCGGGACAAACTCATCGCCATCGCGTTGCAGGCAGGCTCCATGATCACATCCGCCTCGGCTTCCATGAACCGCAGCACGGGCAACCAGTCGAAGGCGGCGTCGACCAAGAAGAACTCGGCCGACCTGGTCACCGAGACGGACAAGGCCGTGGAGGACTTCATCTCCAGCACCCTGAAGCAGCAGTATCCCACGTTCAGCTTCATGGGCGAGGAGACGTACGTGCCGGGCAACAAGCTGGGGCCGGAGCCGACCTTCATCGTCGACCCGATCGACGGGACCACCAACTTCGTCCACGGCTGGCCCTACGTGAGCGTCAGCCTGGGGTTCGCCGTGGGCCGGGTGCCGACCGTGGGCGTCGTGTTCAACCCGTTCACGCGCAAGCTGTACCACGGGATCAAGGGCCAGGGCAGCTTTCTGCGGATCATGCGAGACGACGGAAAGGCCTCAGGGCACGGCGGCGATGAGGATGCCGAGACGAAGTTGCCGCTGCGCTACCCCAGCGGCGTGGCCGGGCTGGACGAGTGCGTCGTCGCCATCGAGTACGGCAGCGACCGCAGCGGGGCGAACTGGCGGACCAAGATCGACACGTGGGCGGCCCTGGGCGCCAGCAAGGACGAGGGCGGCGCCATGGTGCACTCGGCGCGCGCGCTGGGCTCCGCGGCCCTCAACCTGTGCGCCGTCGCCGAGGGCTCCATCGACGTCTACTGGGAGGGCGGCTGCTGGGCCTGGGACGTCTGCGCCGGCTGGGTCGTCCTCACCGAGGCCGGCGGCCGCGTCGTCGACGGCAACCCCGGGGCGTGGGACATCCCCGTCGACCACAGGAAGTATCTCGCCGTGCGGGCCGCCGAGACAGGGCAGACGGAGCTGGTGCAGGAGTTCTGGGGCTTCATCAAGGGGCGGATGGAGTACGAGCACTGAGTGAGCGAGAGTCGAATAGATCAATAATGGCCCAATCTCGGTTCAGCGACTTCTGGCATATAAGGCCAACTGGAAAGATAGTGGACGCGGTACGCGACCAAGAAGAAGACGACGACGACGACGATAGAACATAGACAAGAAATGTTTTGAATCCGGCAAACCAACATGCTCGGATATATGTGGCCGCCTGGAAATCTCTATCCTTTCCTTTCTGATTGCCCCGCTAATGTTACACTGGACGCTCTGCAGAGGGAAAAAAGGAGACCCGACATGAATACAGCATGGAACTCACTTCCATAACTTGCCCAGTGACACCTCCTTGTCATCATGCTTGTTGAGGACTTTGGCCGTTGCCAGGTCAAAATCTTCTTGCGTGACGTGGACTCTCCTCTCCCGCAACGCGAACATGCCTGCTTCTGTACATACGCCCTTGAGTTCGGCGCCGGAGCAACCGTTCATTTTCTCGGCAATCTTCGTCAGGTCAATTCCTCTGGTCAAGTTCATGCTCCGGGAGTGGATCCGCAGGATATCGGCTCTGGCCTCGACAGTCGGCGGCGGAAACTCGATCTTGCGATCGATGCGACCCGGTCGGAGGAGCGCAGGGTCCAAGATATCAAGTCGATTTGTTGCCATGATGACTTTGATGTTGTTGGTCGGTTCGAAGCCATCCAGCTGGTTCAGCAGTTCCAACATGGTGCGTTGTACCTCCGAGTCTCCACCGCTGCTCCCTTCCACACGGCTGGAGCCTATACTGTCGATTTCGTCCATGAAGATGATGCTGGGTGCGTGTTCTCTGGCCATGACGAAAAGTTCTCGCACCATCCTGCTCCCTTCACCAATGTATTTCTGTACCAGTTCCGATCCGGACACTCTGATGAATTTGCAGTCGGCATGATGAGCCACAGCTCGTGCTAAGAGTGTCTTGCCTGTTCCTGGCGGCCCGTAGAGAAGGACGCCTTTGGGTTGAGCAATCCCAAGAGATTCGAAAAGTTCCGGGTGGTTCAAACCCAACTCGATGACTTCCTTGATCTCCTTGATCTGTTGATCGAGTCCACCAATCATGTCATAAGTGCTGTCTGGAACCTTTTCGACCATCATCAAGGAAACTAGAGGATCGACGGATGAAGGGAGCATCTTTTCGAGTTTGTAAGAGTCGGAGAGAAGGGAGACTCGCTTTCCGACGGTCAATTTGGAGATGTCGACGCTGTCGGCGATATCGACAACTTGGCAGTTCGTCAGCCTGAGTTTAAAAACTGGCCACCTGTGGTCGAGACTTACCGTATTTTCCTTCGGGATGCACCTTGACCAGTACCTTCTTGGTGCCCATGACCTTGACGACCTCGCCTACGTAAGACCCGGGTTGTTGTAGCAAGCCCAGCTCTTCTCGTAGAAGTCGCACTCTTGAGTTATAGTCATTTCGTTGTGCTTCTAACCGGCGCAGGACGGCTTGGCCTTGAAGGATCTCAAGCTTGAGAGCTTCAATTTTGTTGTGGTAAAAGTTGTCGAGAGCCATGATGAGAGGCCGATAATGGGGGGTGTACGGAGTGACAGGAAGGGGATCGGTTCTATCTCAACTGCGAGGTCTCCGAACAAAGCAGTCAACAGACCTAGTCAACGAAGGACACTTGAGGGATGTTTGATGGCGACGATGACGGGTGGTGAAAAGAACGGACGGGATGATGGGACGCGACTGCGCTTGGGAGCCTGAGACGGCGGCTACTGGTGAGAAGCGCCTAACGCGGCTAAAGGACAGGCAAGAAACTCCGTTGCCACAGGGGGGGGGGGGGGCGCGCAGTCCATTACCGGCCGAGTTTAGGTGCAAGGACCCCTCCAGCACCATTCCTCTAGGCACTGACTTCGGCGTGCTCGGGACTTGACGGCTCTCCCGTCTGGGGCAGCTGACTCTAGCGGAGATCCGACCAGCTTTGGGCACCAGCTGCAGGCATCATCGGCCCACCAACTGCGCATCCATTTGCTTGTCGAAAAATCAAGACATTCCTATGAGCTCAGTCTGCAGCTGCTTCTCGCCATTCCCTTGCCTGCGACTTGCGGCTTGCTTTGGATCAAGGTTAGACGAGGTTCGTGTTCTCCAAGATTTTGGCAGTTCCTTCCAGCACCCCATCCTCTCCATTCCTACTCGCGGCCTCCACTGCTGGTTATAGCACGTGCGCCAATTGACGTGTCGTCCTGGCTCCTCGCCCCGACTCGTACTACACAATACCCCATATCGTTAAAAGCATCACTAACATGCCAACCAGTCACCATTCATAGACCGACTGCCTTTGCTCTGCTATCAATTATCTGATCCATTTCAGAGACCTTCGCTCGTTCCCGTTTCAGTTCCACATCGCGACATATCTGTGCTCCTCCGCCTGAGATAGATACCGTCATCAAACACATCAGATGATTTAAAGTCCTCGTGCCCATTTGATGCACCCACGTGCCCCGACCAGGCATCGACCCGCCTGACTGCCTGTTATTACGAGAGCTGTGCCGGATTCACAGTGCAGTCCTTGAAACCGCAGCCTTTGCCGAGTGATGGGAGCAACTGGAACAACTCAATGAGGGAAAAGTATCTCAGTCAGAATGTCATCCAGTGACTTACCCCAGAAGAACCCCGAAGATAGAGTTGGGCAAGATACTCAGTCCACACCCAGACCGCCTTCAATCGCAGGTTCTGGAGCAGCGGACTCGAGACCTCGGGAAGAGCCAACCGCAGCAGATACTACAATTCGGCGAGACTATGGTGAGGCCTGGCGGCTTTGAGTATAATGAAATTTCTTTCTAAGGCCGAACAGGAACCCTGAGCAGCGTTGTCCACGCCTCAAGCAGCCAAAGACCACGCAGCGGGCATCGAAATGAAGAGGCATCAGAGTCTTCGGGCGTCCCCCAATTGTCCCCCCAAGCTACGAGGCGCAAACCCCCTCCTGTGAGAAGAGTCTCGACCCGGAGACAACTACCTCACCGAGGCGAACAATTCTCGGTGGACGATGACCCTGACGAGGTCGAAGTCGACCGAGAGCTCCAAACAACACCAAGCACGCAGTCCTTTCCGACTATGACCCGATCACAATCTACCGTTCGTCGCCGAACTGCGGCCGCACCCCCGCAGTTACCGCGTGTTGATTCTGCAGAAGAGGAGGTCGAAGATGTGGTTCTACAGGAGCCTGCAGCAGCACCGCCAACTGAAGAAACCGATCCAGGTGAGGAAGAGGAGGAAGGACTCGAAGACTCTGAGGACGCGGACCTCAGTGATGCGGAGAGCTTCACCTTGAGAGATCGACAGTTGGCCATTAACGAAACGCATCCATTTGGCATCAGGATTTGGAAACCTGCGTTATACAAGAAATCCCGATCGGTGGAAAAGGGAGCAGAAGAAGATATCCATTCCTCACCCAGCCAGATTGTGAGCACCTGGTTGTGGTTCTTCAATTGCCTGTGGACTGTTCTGTTCGGCTGGTGGCTGAGCGTCGCAGCGCTATTCGGAGCCCTTGCCTGCTACTTATTTGCCTTTGACCCTAGTGCGGCCGCATACGGCGGAGTCTTCCTGGGTCTCGCTGGCTACCTTTTCTGGCCATTTGGAAAATTTGTGAGGCTCGAGCAAGACGAGAACTACGCGGAGGAAGACGAAGGCGAAGGTCGCAGCATCAGCGAGTACGAACGATGGCAGAGTGGAGATCTGGAGTATGGGCGGCTTATGTTTGGGCCCACTCTCACTCACACTGGATCCATCGTTGGCAGGCATCGAAACAGCATCGATTCTGCCAGTGAGAGCGACAGCCTCCTGGACCGAAGCGGAAGAGCGGACCGGCAAGAGACCAACGTGAGCGCCAAATCCAAGCGGCGACTGTTTGGTCGTGGGCAGTGGACCTTGGGCAGGGTCATCTTCTTCGTTTTCTTCTACTTCAACGTCGCCCCATTGATGTTACTGGTGTCGATGGTCTGTTGGCTGATGGTGTTCTGGATTCCCATGGGCCGGGTCACCTTGATTCTGTTCTATCACCTACGAAAACGACCGCTGGCCCTGACGTTCCACCGAGACGTCTCCCATGCTAGGAGCTCTACCAAGCCCTCGTCAATCCTCCTGTGTACTTACCGCGCCGTCGGGATCAAGTACTGGAAGTACACAGTCGATGGAACCAACATCTTCCTCATCAACTTTCTGGCCGTTGTTGTCTTTGTCATTTTTGACTACTTCATTCTCAAGATTGCCGCTGGGTTGAATATCTGGCTGACGAGTCCCGCACTCATGTTCGCGCTGGCCCTGATCTCCATCATCCCTCTGGCCTACTTCATCGGACAGGCAGTGGCGTCTATTTCGGCTCAGTCGTCCATGGGGATGGGAGCTGCAGTCAATGCCTTTTTCTCCACTATTGTCGAGGTATACCTGTACTGTGTCGCCCTTAACGAGGGGAAGGCCTCCCTGGTGGAGGGGAGCATCATTGGCAGCATCCTCGCCGGTATTCTTCTCCTCCCTGGGTTGTCGATGTGTTTTGGAGCCATAAAGAGAAAGACTCAACGCTTCAACGTCAAGTCGGCTGGGGCCACATCTACTATGTTGCTATTCGCTGTCATTGCAGCATTTGGCCCAACCCTGTTCTACAAGATATACGGAAGCCACGAGCTCATCTGTAGAGCGTGTACTGGAGAGGGTGTGGATGCTCCAGAGGATTGTCGGCAATGCTATTTTCGCCAGGTGCCAGCCGTCTCAGATGATTTCTTTCTGAAGGCTGTGCGACCATATTGCTGGATTGCTGCGGTATTTCTCTTTTCGTCCTACATTATAGGACTCTTGTTTACTCTGCGGACTCACGCTGCTATTATATGGAGCACCGAGCTGGATGAGAAGAAAGCTCAGCCTCCCACCGCTGATGTGAGTCCGTTGGACACCCGACATCAAAGCGTGGTCAACTCGCAGAACTTGCCCAGACCTGAAGGCTCCTATCTTCCTCGATCGGCTATCCGGGAGTCTCAGTTGTACAAAAGAATCTTGGGCCAGTCTCTGCGATCCGCAGGGCTTCCCGATGGCGATGCTAATACTGAACGTGAGCAATACAGTTCTCATGAAAGCACCTCGCACGTCTCGACCGTGGATCCTCACAACAAGAGTGATTTGCCTCATGTGGTACCGCCCAAGTCGAGTCACGGTTCTGAGGACATACGAAGCCCCCTTCTCCATCCTGTACTGCCCGGACTTTCTGAAGAAGACAATAACAATCTCGTTCGACAGGTTGCGGAGCTCGCCGCCACAGCAGCGACGATTGCCACTCGAGATGCAGTCAATCATCCTCGAACCGCATCGTATCTGGCAACTCATGCTTACAAGCAAGAAACTTCAAAAAACCTGAGACCATCAGTAGTTCGCAGAGACACTGCGACAGATGAGGGAAATGCAAACGCTGCGACTGAACAGGCTCCTGTGCCTGCTGTAGAAGGCGGTGGTCACGACGCCCCGAATTGGTCCAGGGCAAAATCATCCATCATCCTTTTGACAGCAACTGTTGCTTACGCTATCGTGGCTGAAATCCTAGTCGATACCGTGGATGTGGTGCTCGACTCGGTTGACATTGATGAGAAATTCCTGGGCATTACTTTGTTTGCGCTGGTACCCAACACGACGGAATTTTTGAACGGCATATCTTTTGCAATGAATGGGAATATTGCGCTCAGCATGGAGATTGGGTCAGCGTACGCACTGCAGGTGTGCATGCTTCAACTTCCGGCTTTGGTTCTGTTTTCGGCATTGCGTTGGCCCTTTATCGATCCGCAAAACCTCATCGACCACACCTTTAATCTCATCTTCCCACAATGGGACATGGTCACGATCATTCTTTGCGTCTTCCTGCTCAGTTACATGTCAGGGGAGGGGAAGAGCAACTATTTCAAAGGCAGCATCCTGGTCCTGACGTACCTTGTGGTAGTTCTAGGATTCTATTTCAGTGGCTTCACCACCCTGACCATCATGGGGGTGGATCCTAACGACACGTTGGCCATCATGTCAAGCATGGCGTGGCAACAAAATACACCAGGGACGATCCGACCCCCGAAGGTGGTCAGCGGGAGGGAGTTGTAATCGGTGCATTCAAGGCCCCCTTGTCCCGAGAACGTGGCGAGTTGGGTGTTGTGACTTGTCGGGTTTTGACGTGTATTCGAGCGATGGGACATTTCAATTCAGTGTCGGATGGTTATGCATATTGGTAGTTAGAAATTGGACAAAGGCATCGAGATCCTAACCATGAATAGGAGGACTTATTTAATGGCAACTGGCCCAATTTGTTGGTCATTCGTCGATCAAATCAGGACAACCGTTCCCTTTTCCTTTTACCATGCAGATTTATGATTTTTTCCCTGGAAGACGATCATTTTAGTAGAGAGGAAGAGAAACGACGGCGCCAGCTCAGCTGGCTGGGGGTGGTGTTGAGAGCACAAATTCTGGACATCATTCAATATGAGCCAGGCCGCTAAACAAGCCAGCAAGGCGTTAGAAGAGCACCGCCTCCAGAGACCTTCCCTCCTCTGATCGTCATGCTCGCTCCGATGACACTATGCAAAGTTGCTCCGATGACCTCCAAGCCCCGCCTTTTCGCTAGCCCTGTACTGTACTGGATTTGAGTTGAGATTGCATTCCCCTACTACCACCACCACCATCACCACCACCGAGACCTCCATTCCGATATTTCAACCCCCAAGCAAAACTTGACAACTTCGCCCCTGCCTTCGTCGTGGGTGCAGATTTCTCGGATGTTTGTGCCATGTCGCCATCCCGCTGCGGAAAAAAAAGGCCAACCGGTGTCGTCGTCGAAGCCAGTCAAACGAGGGATCGTAACCATAAAGAAGATCGTGACGTTTGAGGATTTGTGCCAAAACCACAGCCCTGACCGGAGAGGTAACCACGTCGTCGACGCTTATTTGAGCAGAAATGAGTGAGGTCCTGGAGGGATTGATAATTGAATTTGAGTGGTGATTATGAAAATATTGCCGGATCTTTTTTTCTGCGCGGGGTGGTTTGATAGCTGCTCTCGTGAACGATGTGGGGGTTTATGACGGATCTGCTGTACTTTCCACGAGGCTATCAGCTGTAAAAGTCGTGTCAGTCTCGATGTCGATAGCGCTGAACATTAGTAGAGCTCCCCCGTCCTCCTGCCTCCCCTGTGCATGCACCAATCGCACTGATCCGGTAATTTCGTCAGTAAAGTGGATTTCCATCGTAATCACCGCCTTTTTGGAACGAATGCACGTACAATACTTTCGTCGCAGCCCGTCCTGTGAATATAGCAATAGCTGGCTTTACAGCGCTTGCACGTTCTCGCCCACCGCCGCGTACAGTTTTCACACTGGCGCCCACAGTCCCAGCAGTCTCGCGTCACTGCTGCTTGGCCGGGTCTGAGTTGCACGGGATGTTCGTGCCGTTGATGACGCTGTAGAGGGAGAGGACACGATGAGACCATTAGCAAACGCATGTCAGTTAACGATGGAAGGACGACGACAGAGAGGGAGGGTCGATGGGTAGTTTAGGTATTTGCGGGCTGCAGGCGGTGGGAGCGTCCGGTTGGCGGCATACTCGCCTCGATGGCGGCTTGGGGATGAAACAATGACCCAATCTTGGTTCCGGAAAACCCTCCAGTCGATGGGGTCCAATTGGTGGTCTTCTCGTCCTTGATGCGTTCCTTGGTTATCCCGCAGCAACGCCACCTCTAGGCGCGACCATCCGTCTGCGAGCGCGGCAATTTTTAACACAAAGACCGTTAAATACCTTGAGAGGATCACTAGTAGAGGATGCCCCATTCGCAGTCTGATCTGCCCCTCGATCGGCTTCCGAGGTCCGTCTGATGCCTGCTGCACGCTCCAATTTTGCTAGATATTCGGATCTTTTCATCCGTTCGGGGTTGTAGCAGTCCGCACACCACCACTGATGACAACTGTCGCAGTGTCGATTCGCGAGGCACCAGGTGCAAGAAACGATGAGTCGCTGGGGAAGAACCCGGCCATCCTCGGCGAAGCGTAGTGGAGGTCGGACAGCATCAACCAGCTTTCCAGAGTGCGGTGGAGGCCACAGTAGTGGAAACTCGCGGAGATCGCTCTCGCCCCAGACAGGCGCACCGTGGGGACTTCGACCACAGCTTGAACATCCTGCTGGCCCGAGAGCCACACTCGCCAGCGGAGGGATACCGGGCTTGTTTTCCGTAAGGTAATCTCTAGACGCTGGATGAAGAACAGGGGCCATGTCAGCGTGCATGTGGGTACATAAAACAGCATCGAAACTGATTACGCCTTGGCATGTTTGCAATGTCTCCTCCCAGGAGGTTCGCGCGGCACGACCTTGAGCTATGACGAAGCCTGAATTCGCATACCATCGTCCCGAGGAGCGTGGCCTGGCTGCCTCATTCGTACTCGATTGGCCTTGGAACCGAGAGCTCTCGAATTCCACCCCGCCCATGGTGTCGAAATTGTAATGAAAGGCATGACTGAAGTCGACGTCATGTACCTGGCTGACTGACGGTGGAGGAGTGAAGATGTACAGCCCCTGTAGTCGAGGAGTCCCTTCAGGTCTACTTGGTCGGCATAGGTGGCAGAGAAGCTGTTGTAGCTTGTATTGATTGATGTTGAGACATCGCCGTATGCTGAGGAGACGAACATTGTATTCATTTCTGGTGACGATATCATTGATCAGATCAACGGTGACCGACGCCAGATCATCGAGGACCAAAGTCTGAACATTCTGAAGGACCTTCATCTTCCCCAGTCTCGCTAGGACGAAGCGGAGTGGACCGGCATAAAATTCATCCTCAGTCAGGTTCTCGTCCATTCGTTCCGCGCGCCAGGAATGGCCGCCGGAATCAATTCTCGTCAGGAGATTGGGAGGAACATATGCTCCTCGACACTTTGAAAGGTCAACATATCGGAAGACGCTTGCTGTGCGGAGGAATAGATCCCGCAGAGACCGGCATGTTCTGGCTAAGGCGAAGATGGTGGAGAGAGGCAGATATGGCAAGGTGTTGTCAAGGACGATGGAGTTGGACAGGACATCGAGCAGGGATGGCGGCAAGTTGTCTGAGAGAGCCTGGGACTCGATGGACATGGCAGGCACTTCGATCGACGGCATGCTAGTATTGCTCCGGGCAATGATGTTCAAAAGAGGAGCGTTCGGCCTGAAACTCAATCAGGTGCGGTGGTTAAAAGGAGGTCGGTTTTGGGGAGAGAGAAGGAGCGGTCAAAACACCAGCCACGATGATACGGTGGCAACAGCTGGCACGACGCGATGGGATAAGGGTGGATGTCGATAGGAGGATGGTTGATGAGAAGTAAATGCATGTCGGTGAGATGGTGGTGAGTCAAATATCCACTAAGCCGGATCCAGACGGCCGCGAGGACCACGTTGGGGGCGCTAACCATATTGGGACAGGACGTGGGATGTCCACGAGGCTGCGTTGAGACCGCCACATGCACCATGAGCGCAGACCCAGCGCACACAACGCAATATTAGAGGGATGCGAAGAGAGAAAAAATAGGGCCGGGTCCTGGTGTTATCCCGTTTAGGCTCATGCCCATGCTTCGTATTTCATTCATGTCTCGTATGTGCTAGCTCCGACCTCGACATTTGGTTTTGATTCCTACGTCCAGAAGCTCCCACCTCCACCCAAACACGACTCTGCAACAAACTTGTTGGACCATTGAAGCACTAAAGCGTGAATTGGCAAACAGTGCCGTGAAACCTGTTGCTAAAATACCTCGTAGTGGTGGCTGTAATCATTGTACCTTCTTCCCTTTGCTCGTCCCTAGGTCCATCAAGTCAATCATGGCTAGACCGACCCTCTCACACTCTGCCCAATTACGCTGCCGCATCCAAAACCTCTCGGATGAACTTTCCGCAGTGTTGGTCGTAGATGCACTCTGATTCCTTGCATCTTCTTCCAGACTCTGTCTCGTGATACTAGCGAATGCGTGCTCTCCGGTTTCGGTCACCAATGGGCTGTTAGGAGGCGAGGCGAGGGGTTTGACAGCGTGGCCCAGCCCAGCTTCCTCGAGGTACTTGCGACGGACCATGAAGCGTTCGCTGCGTTCCTTGCGCATGGCCGCAGAGTCGAGTTTGCTGATCGCTGTCCTGACCAACAGTCGCACCAACAGGAAGGTATGCTCAGAGACAAAGACGCTGAGCAGGAGTGCCCACAGTTTCATCGCATGAGGTCTGCCATCCGGCCCATGTCCGTCACCACCCGAAAACATGTAGACCAGCGCCGCAGAGGTGATGCTGCCAAGCCAGGCGAGGAACTCGAGACTATCGAGCCAAGGACCAATGGTATCTGCTCGGGCAGGATTGGGCCGTCGGCATTCGACCGTCAGTTTGAAGGTGTCTCCTCTCAACTCAATCCAATTATTGATAAAATAGGAGACTGGTGTGAGTGGCCATATCACACTGAAGAGCGAGAGGTAGCCGAACTGCATGCACATCTCCCGTAGGTCTGAGGTGACATCGTATTCTGGAAGAGCAGCCTCTTCGCGGACTCGAGTGAGGAATTCCTTCTCCTCGGGTGGATCGTGGTCCGCGACGGAAGGTGTGGTGCCGCCCTGCTTCTCCGCACGCTGGGATTTGATTTCCTTGAACTTCTTGGTTCCCCTCTGTGTGACGACTGGCATGACTGTCTCCATGGCGAAATTGACGACTTGGGCGGTGACGGCGAAATAGATCATCTGGTTGCGTAGGCGGTTGGGGTTGATGCTGAAGGCCGCCGGAGACGGGGTCTGAAGCTGCTTTTCGTCCTCGGCGAATGGTTTGACTGTCAAACCGAAGATATCCAGATAAGGCACCAAGAGGGAGGCGAAAGGGACATACACGAAAGAAGTTAAGAAGATGGCTGTGTACGAGGTGATAAAGTTGATGACGAAGACCTTGGAGATCATCGCCTTGTCATGGGCATCCTGGGTCTCGTAGTTTTCGTAGAACGTAAGCTTTTCGGCAAATCCAGTCAGGAAATTGCTGATAGTGGGGACGGCAAGGGTGAGGAGAATGGTGGGAAGGAAGACGAGGATGGACTTCAGAGGGCCGTCGTAGACTTCGGAGATGAAGATTTCAATGGCGTAGCAGGTGCAGATGACTGCCCCGAGTGCAACAACGCACAAGGCTGCTAGTGGGATCTGGAGGAGTTGTCTCTGGAGTCGCTTCATTGCGGGGAAGTACGCAACCTTTTCGCCCGTAACAGGGTCCGTGGTGACCTTTTCCGGTTCAAATTCTCTGCGTTTGTCCTCGATCAAAGAAACCCTCTTGACGTTCCATCGAATAGCCAATTCTCGTTCTTGACGTTTCCAGTATTCAACGAATATGACACACCACAGGCCATTGACAATTGCGTAGATAGGTGAGTAGCTGCCCAGGAGCACCCAGCAGGAGAAGCCGAAGGCAGCGGGGAAGATCATGAAGGAGAAGTAAGATTGCAGGAATGCATAGTAGTAGCCAATCTATCCTCACTAGTCAGCTCGCAAGTACATAGCAGAATCAGGGAGGAGACGGGCCTTTTCGCCGACGGTGTTGCGGATTTCGTCCAGATCATCGGGTGTTAGAAACGTCTTGCGTGTGAACTCGGTCAGCCATGCCTTGTTTTTGACGTGGTCGTGTAAGGGAAACACAGCTTCAACATTCTTCCATTCGCCGTGTTTTGGTGTGATGCCAGCTCCTCCTTCTTCACGTGGGCAGCATATCATGTGGTGAATGTGTCGATGACGCTCGGCAATGGTGAGAGGCTCGGAGGTAAGGGTCTGGGCTGCGTCATTGCTGGGTTGAAGTTGTCGAACTCCGTGTAACCAGTCTTTTATTCTCGACCGATATACCACGTCTGCAAATATCTTCTCGTCGGCAGCCTTGACAAAGACCAGGAGGGACGTTTCATCGCCGCGTCGTACTTCGGTGGTCAGCCCGGTCTCAGTGAGAGCTCGAATGAGCTTCTTGAACTGGGTGACGCCAGCTTCTTTGTCTGCCCAGTGTCAGTTTCAACACCTGTGGGGTAGAGAGTGTGGATTTAGCACCATCGTTGGGCACCCGGTAGCTAATGACATAGTCAACATCGAAGTTTGTCTGGAGCACCTTGGAAGCCATAATGGGAGCGAGACGGAGAGATGAGGAAAGTAGACGTAAGGGAACAGAGCGCGGGCTTGCCCCAGCAGGGAGTCTTCGACAGAGCGATACCTTATCAGAAAGCTATCTTTGCAGAAGAGTTGAATTGAGGAAACTTGGAAATCGAGTTGTACAGCCAGCCCCATGAACGGGAGGTTTGATCATCGGTTTGGGCGCGACGTCATCAGCATAGCAGATCTAGTGCTGGGCCAGACCATTCCTAAAATAGCTAGCATATCATTACCTCAGCATTCTCGTCAATCGACCAATCGGGCGGCTAGGATAGCCGCTAGCTCCATCAAGCAAAAGGTCAAAAGTGAGCCTCGGCATCAGGAAACACCAGTAAGTGTAGCCGCTTGCTAACCATTGATGGTACGCTTATCCACGGCCTGAGAAGGAGGACATCATCTCGGTCCTTTCTTTTAAATTAGCCCATCTCTCGTCTCGAGTCCAGAGTACTTCGGCACCTCTTTTTCTCGAGCAAGAACGAGCCACGTCTCTGTGGAAAGGAGCTCATAAGCAATCATGACCAACAAGACCGAAGCCACTAGATGGAACCAATCCTATACAGAGCCGGATCCAAACAACTATTCTGCATACCAACGAGAGATCTACAGCTCTTTGCAGGCTCCTACCTTCTCGACCAAGCCGTCCGAATGGGAATCTCTAGCTCGCTCCAAAGTTCCTGCGGCCAACTTCGGCTATGTTTATGGGTCAGCGAGCAGTGGTAAAACTCACACTGCCAACATTTCTGCGTTTGATCGGTACCGAATCCGGCCCCATATGCTAGTCAATGCCACTCGTCGCGATATGAGTGTCGAGCTATTCGGAACCAAGTATCGCAGTCCACTTCTGTTAGCCCCAGTTGGGGTCCAGAATATTATGCATGAGGATGCTGAAGAGGCGACCGCAAAAGCTTGTCAAAAAGTCGGTATACCTATGATTCTCTCCTCCGCTGCCACGAGAACCATCGAACAAGTGGCTGCGGCCAATGGCGCTGGATACCGTTGGTATCAACTTTACTGGCCGAGGCCTCAGTGGGAAGAAGTTACCGTTAGCCTGCTAAATAGAGCGAAAGCCAGCGGGTATAAGGTCCTTGTCGTCACATTGGACACCTTCAACCTAGCCTGGAGGCCAACCGATCTGGACACTGCATATCTGCCTTTTATCTGGGGTGACGGCTGTCAGATTGGACACTCTGACCCGGTGTTCAATCGCAGATATGAAGAAATCCAGAAGAACGACACAAGAGGCTACGGAGAGAAATTGGCCGAGCTTTGGGCGATGATGAAGAGACCGGGTTCCGTTTACGGGGCGGCGCGAGTGCTAACAAACGTGTCTCTATTGCAAAAGTCAAGGGCTTGGTTAGACGTCTTGAACTCTGGGACGTACAGGGAGTGGAAGCACTTGGAAATTCTAAAGAAGCTCTGGGACGGGCCAATTGTCCTCAAAGGGATCCAGACGGTGGACGACGCTCACAGAGCCATTGATTATGGAATGGATGGCATCATTGTGAGCAACCACGGAGGACGACAGTGTGATGGTGCTATCGCTTCCCTCGATGCTTTGGCCGAGATTGCCGCCGACGAAAGGGTTAAACGATCTAATCTGACTTTGATATTCGACAGTGGTATCCGTACTGGGAGTGACGTCCTAAAAGCATTAGCACTAGGCGCAAAGGCTGTTTGCATCGGCAGACCTTTCATGTATGGTCTTGCCATCGGGGGACAAGAAGGGGTAGAGCATGTCCTCAGGTGTTTGCTTGCTGACACTGATAATATGCTGGGGAATATGGGCAAGACCAGTGTGAAAGACCTCAGCCGACATGACTTACAGATCAGGTCAGAATCAAAGCTGTAGATAGGTTGATAGAAAAGCCTTCCTTTTCGGTCCTCCGGGATGAACAACAAAGCTCACGTCGATCACCAACATCTCAACTGGAGCAATCAGACGTTCTCGACCCGGCGCAGTGTCAGATCTGTCACAAGGCTGCCCAAGCCTTACGCTCCGAATCAGGGTATCGAGACCCTGATCAGCACGATGAACAAAAGAGATGCTTTGTACGAACGGCCGCCGCCCCTGGATCATTATGACTTCTATCATGCGATTTGTGTAGAGTGGCAGAACGGCATTGCTGAGCGCAGGGGTGCCGCCAGAGTGCCCAAAAGTGTATGGGAGCGGATCGCCGAGTTGGGGGTTGAGGTCAGGCTAGGATGAAAACGAAACTTCTGCATTTTTCGTGCAAGTATTGTGCGATTAATTTGGCAGTCCTGGCTGACCGTGCGAGCATGGTTGACTGCACTGAATTTTCACGTTCATCAGTGAAAGTATCGCTCATCGTCTGGTTGGGAGAAACTTCAACATCTCATCCCTGGAAGAAATGGCGCATCCAGCGCAACCCCAAATTCGACCTGAGAAGTCGCTCTAGCAGGACAACCATTTATTCATGCCTTCATTACTCCAAAATGATTAGACGGACCCTATGATTCTGGGGGCCAAACGGACAACACGTCGCCAAATTTTTACGTGAAGCCAACGCCAAACCAATGGTTTTCATTCCGCCTTTGCTCCAAGTTGCGCCCGACCGCAGTAGCGCTCATGTTTGACCAGCTAGGGAGCCCAACCCTTGAGGGCAGCAGCAGAAGAACTGGCCAGCAAGTCCGCTGCCTTCTGTCTCGACTGCTGGCCACGGGTTGCACAGAAGCTACCAGATTGAGCCTCATGCCCCGGCGCAGGCAATCCCCAGATTCCGTCCAATTCGTCGGTCTTTTGGCTGCTTGGGCGCGTGGCTACTTTCCATTGGTAAACATGTGCCTTGCTAACACCCTAAGGGGAGCAAAAGAACGACAGGCTGGTGCCGTACAGCAATTCAGGTATACATAGCCGCGAAGGGCCCCCTCAGCCTGAGTGCGAAGCCTGCTCTTATGCAGCCTTCAGCACAGAAATCCAGCCGAATGTCAATATATCTTCATCCAAGGAGCTGACTGCCGTTGTACTTCCTCCGAAATAACATGAGCAGACTTGGACAACCACTGAGCGAAAGCAAACAAGACGCGGTCGAGGATGAGGAGCCGGCAGGAGGTAAAGCAGACGTTTTTGTCGATTCGACCGCCATTGTCACCGACGGACAGGTCATACGCATCTTCTCGGTCTTGCAATCAAAGTCCCCAAAGCTGATCAAGGCATGGCTGTGGATTCTTGGGACGGCAATATTTTGTGGCTGGACCGCCTCTTTCGCCTACGTCGTCTTCGTCAGCCCCAGCCCGGTCTGGCGGTTCTACGACTTTTCGCCCAGAATCACGGTCGCCGTGGTCAACCTTGCCTCTCACGTCGCAGTATATCTGGCTGGCTGCATGGTCCAAGCGACATTTGACGCAGTTTGCTGGGCAGTGATATCTGGTCGAGAAGGTGCTCCACTCAGGACATTTCTGGTCACGAAACAAGATACGGGAATAGAAGCTCTGGCTTCGCTGCTCTGGACATATGGAGGACACCAGCTGTGGGGCATTTTCAGGTACCTTGCGGCAGATATAAATCCCTGCAGAGCTTTTGAACGACCTGACAATCCGGACAGGCTCGCTCTCATGGCCGGCGGCTGGGTCATCGGCCTGCCGCTTCTCAGTAAGTCGGCAACTCTTTCTATCTGACCTGACTGCATGGTAGCTGACACCTAAATCTCTTCAGGCGGCATATCGTATCGAGACGTCTTCTATCCCAGTAGAACGGTCCCTGTGGTCGGTGGGATCGCTCCTCTCCATGAGTCAGTCGTCGCACTGGAGAAGGCCAGCTACGGTGGCCAACAGCCAACTTTCCAAGAAGCAAGCATAAACACCATGCTCATCAGCTCGACCAACAGCATCCTCACCGACCCCAAGTTCGTTGCCAGCGTGGCTCCGATATCTCCACATTGCCAGGGGACTGATTGCAAGTCCTTGTTCCTGCCCGGCGGCTTAGAACTTGTCCTCAAGGCGGACGGGACGTCTCTGTTTGACGGGAAACAGCCGGACGACCCCGTCATCATTGTCCATGACGCTCCAGGTTACCAAATAGAATTCTCGTCCCAGGACTACACCTTCAATACCTCTGTGGACTGTCAAGTTTACGGCCTGCCCGTCTCAGCCCTTTATGCATGTGTAGCAGGTCGTAACAACACGATATTCAGTGGTCAGTGGAACACAGAGGGAGCAATTTTGAGCATTGCTAACACTCGACTAATGTGACAGGCTTCGCAACCTGTCCTTTCGACTTGATGAGCGCCGGCTCTTGTCAATCGGACGTGTCGTGGACAGAGCACCTGCAGGCCTCGGCCGCCATGAACATCTATCAACGAACATCGACGGTCGCCTACGATCGCTCCAACTTTTCGATCTTGAGCATCGAATCCCTGGGCCCCGCGAAGGCTGCTAGTGACGAAGACTCGGTGGCCGACTTGCAAAAGCTCTTCGCGATCATGTATCCTCAGTTGACCACCATCCTCGAGGACATTGAGACGTCCCTGGTAAAATTTGACTCGGGCCAAGCGTGGACAGACCTCGCCTACCTGGCCTCGGTGTACTGCATCCAGGCCGAGATCACCGCGGCCGAGCTGTTTCTCAACAACGGCTATCCAAGCTGGATCAACGGTCAGCGGGACATCTTGGAGGGCTTCCTGACGATCCCCGTCCAGTTCGGGACGCTCCTGCTGCAGCAGATCGACAAGTCGGTCCTCCTTAGCGACCTGACCACCACGGCGTCCTTCGCCCGCGTGTCCTTCCGCGTAAGGTCGGAGCCCTGGACCATCATCATGTTCGCCTCGGTCGTCTCTGGCCTTGTGGTCAGTGCTGTCCTGTGCCTGCTGTACGCTCACTGGGCGGCACGGCGAAAGCCCGCGCCTGAGCTCTCCCCGACGATTCGCACCGCCTTCAGGAACGGAAACCCCTTCGACGCGCCGGCCATAGACATTTGGCAATCACTGAGCGGCCTCTTCGGCTGTACTCGGAGGAAGTACTCCTCTGCGCTTCAAGACACAGCGTGCGCCCGGGACACTCGTGTCGTTGCACGGAAGATAACTGGTGATATTCTGATCGCTGTTGATCGAGAACAAGGTAAGGGTGATCAGGGGAATAATTGTGCGTCAGGCTGGGAGAAAACCGGTTCCCGGCCCGTCGGATCTCCGACCTGAAAGGAGATTTTGACTCACCACCACCGCTGAAATGGTGGCGAAAATCTCACCCAAAGGGTATCCTGATGTCCCAGATGAAGCTTGAGCCTGGAAGAGATAAGAGTACAGGGAATGGACGGGGTTGGTAGCCCATGTACTGTGTTGCAATCTGTGATATGGCCGGTGACGGTGGCGTATTTCGAGATGGGTTCCTAATTCATGGGCTTCGTTACCTGCATAACGAATTAGGCGGGGAGCAGAGACAAGAGAGGATCAAACGTTTTCTCATCTATTTTCCCTTTCAGAAACCCACAGTCTCGATCTGTACTTGATAGAGGACATTCTCGTCTTCTGACAAACCTTTGCAGGCAATTTACGCCAATTACTTCCTGAAGTTGATTTAGTGAATTCCACAGAGGGCGCTATTTCAGCCATACCCTCCACTCCAGCAGAGAATCCGATTGAAGCGACGTGACTCTTGTCTCCCCAGACGGTGATCCAAGCCGCGGGTTTTAGGAAAGGTTCCCTGTACCGCACCGTAGGTGGTTTGCCAATGGTCGGCAGTGATTCCCCGTACAAAAACTGCGCTATTTGGATGTCATTTTTATTTTTTGAAACCAACTCAGACTGTTCAAGTTAAGGGACTAGAAATGGCCTGCCCGACGACAATGAAGACAACCACTTTGCATCTACGATCAGAACGTAAAGTCTGCCTATCTGTCTAACCACGCACATTCGCTGATGTTCTTCTAGTTGGAAAGCCGCGCGAGCGCAGGTTAGTCTATCTCTTCGAGTCCGTCCGGGGCCTTCAAACACAGATCTAGGACTGTCCAAGTTGCATCGCCACCTGGCATTGCACTCAAGACGTTGCCTCAGCACGATTCAACCTCTTCATAGAGCAATTTGCTGACACTGGAGATAGAGCCGCCCTGACTCCCACCACCACAAAAGCCCTCATTACTGCAGGATACCAGGTTAATGTTGAGCGGAGCCCTCAAAGAATCTTCGATGACGAGGAATATGAGAAGGTTGGAGCCACATTAATACCAGAGAATACTTGGCGTGATGCCCCAAAGGACCACATCATCATTGGTCTCAAGGAGCTACCAGTCGAGACATGTGAGTCAATGGATTTATAAAGATATTGTTGATGGCAGCTGATGTCTCTGAAGTCCCCCTTGAGCATGTACATGTCCAATTCGCCCACTGTTATAAGCAACAGGCGGGATGGGAAAAGGTTCTTGCCAGATTTGTCCGAGGAAATGGTGTGCTCTTGGACCTCGAATTTTTGACCGACTCGAGCGGAAGGAGAGTAGCAGTATGTAATATGTCCTCTTTCAGCTATTCTGCCTGGATATCAAGTCTGAAATCTTATAGGCATTTGGGTATCACGCTGGGTTTTCTGGGTACGTCTACTTCATATCGTCTTTCCCCTGTCCAGGGTGCAATACTGCGTGGCACTCCACTGGGACAGTGTTTTGATACCCTTCGACTTCTTCAGGGAGTAATTACTAATCTCTTGGATTGAACAGTGCAGCTTTAGCAGTCATGAACTGGTAAATCACTCTATGGACTCCCAAACTTCCTTTTTTGACTTGCTGTGGGTGCCGAGAAGACTACCTGAGTTATATTGCAACAACAAAACAGTTCCCCGGCACCCCAAAGCTTCTTAAATAGCCAGGTCTGACCCGGAGCATTGTAGGGCATGGCAAATCAACCATCAGGACCGGCCACTTCCATCTGTGTCATCATATCCCAACGTCGATGCCTTGATTACCGACGTCAAGAAGGCTCTCGCACAAGGAGCTGAGAAGACCGGCAAGGCACCAAGAGTGCTTATCATTGGAGCTTTAGGGCGTTGTGGCAGTGGTGCAGTTGACCTATGCTCGAAAGCTGGTGTCCCAACTGAGAACGTCCTTCGGTGGGATATGGCAGAGACAGGTAATAAATCAGTCAGAGTGAAGTGAAATTGAAATAGCTAACAGACGCAATAGCAAAGGGTGGCCCCTTTCCAGAGATCGTTGAGAGCGACATCTTCATCAACTGCATTTACCTCAACAAGAAGATCCCCAACTTTGTCGATATGCCATCGCTCGATACACCGAGTCGCAAGCTGTCTGTCGTCTGTGACGTGTCCGCAGACACCACAAATCCAAATAACCCGATCCCTATCTACACAGTCGCAACCACATTCGATAAACCCACTGTTTCTGTCGAGGTCAAGGGCGAGCCGGTGCTTAGCGTTATTAGCATTGATCATTTGCCAAGTTTGTTGCCCAGAGAGGCAAGTGAGGCCTTCAGCAATGATCTGTTGCCCCATTTATTGGAGCTCAAGAATTGGAAAAGTAATCCTGTGTGGGCCCGCGCAGAGAACCTGATGCAAGAGAAGGCTTCCACTTTACCAAAGAGCGAGTTATAGACTAGAAGAGATGGGTTTTCGCTAGCGGATTCATCGATTGCGTCACAGTATCCTCACGTGCCTTCGGGGAAATTCTTGCCCACGCCATCCCAGAGAGCCGTCGGAAGTCCATGGATTCCTGGGAGACGAAGAAAGCCGATTTCGACGCTTGGTGCATATCGAGTAAAGGGAAGAATTGAGCTCTCCTTCATTCCACTGGACGCGCTTACCCTGGTCTTTGTCCTTCGTTTGATACAACACCATGAATTGCTGGAGACATTCGTGGTCTTGAGATAGCAATTGGTAAAGCAGCGAGCGAAAACGGCCCAGTTGGCTTCGCTCGAGCTCTCTGCCGCGTGCATTGAAGAAGGAACATGCGACACCAGTAGTCGCCAGGCTTTTCTTGCGTTGAGCAGAATGGAAGGCTGCCTTCATGAGGGTCGATTTGCCAGAGCCTGGCTTCTCCTTAACCCAAAGAAGTCCTCGATCGAGGCTCACATTTTGACGTTTTGGCCACGATTTGTAAGTAGAATGCGAAAGCAGCCATGAGCATGTTTCTTCAAGGGGTGCACTGATCGTTTATTGACGAGCGTCCATATTTACAAAACGGAGTGTTGCAAGCAGGCTAACAGCAGGCGTTAGGTTCAAGGAAGATAGGAGTGGGAAGGATACAGTACCTTTACTCGTGTCGAGATTCCGACGTCGAACTGCCTGTTTCACGATCCGAAATCGCCATTGTTTGATACACCCTGGTTCCTCCTCGTAGACGGACTGGACGATTGCGGATTATTTGGGAACAAAAATCACCTTTTGATGGCCATAGGCCTGATTCAGGATTTATCAAAAGTTCAGAACGTCAAAGTGATTGTTGCGAGTCGTCCTGAAGCGGCAATCGCAGAAAGCTTTGGCAGAGCACCTCTCTTGCGACTCCAAGATCTGACAGCCAACGATATTGAAGCCTACGTTCGGGCAAGTTTAGAAAATGTGTCTTATTTTCAGGACTCTCCCGGAGCTTTCGGACAGGGACTTGAAAGGCTTACTACTAAAATTGTTCGCAGAGCCGAAGGTGTTTTCCTTTGGGTCGTTCTTGTTGTCCACCCGATCCATCAGCTACTACTGGATGGTGAATCTGTGGCTACGCTCAATGAGCAATTGACCTCACTGCCAACAGATCTTGACGGCTTTTATGCTCAAATATTGTGGCAGCTTCGTTCGAGCTCAAGTTCTCGGGGTTTTTCCCTTGGTCTTCGCCTGCGAGGTGGATGTGGTTGAACTGGAGAGCGAGGCGAAGGTGCAACCCCTCCTCAGCACAACAGCCCTCTATTTTGCCCTCGTAATGACGACAACAGAAGTCATTGATGCCAGGATAAGGGTCGAAGGTCCAGAGACTGTTCGCCTCCGAGCAGTCGAAATGTCGAAAGTCCTGCATGAAGCGACTCAAGGTCTCATCATCCCGGAAGAGCGCAAAGGCGAGAATGGTGTAAATCTCGCGACATACTGTCGTTCGGAAATTGTCACCCTTCAATGTCCCTGCCAAAGCGATCAATGATAACAGCTCCTATTTTCATTGACCATTCTTCAAGTAGGAGAGCTATACCAGGAAGAACTTATTCCTGTAAGCGTTGACAAGCGAAGCTATAGTCCAACAATTAGAGTCACAGTCATAGTGACTGGTGCTTCTCCACTGTCGAGATGAATAAAAGTGCGTCCTTATGAGGTTGATGGTGAGGAGGCAAGGGCTATTATTGCATTCTTGTGCCTTTCCAGCTCCTCAACGCTCTTCCCATGACCAGGCTTGAGGCGGTTTCACGTTTCCTTTGGTTTTTTTTTTCTCTCTCTTCGCCCATCATTTTGCGAGGTCTTGCAGGCTGAACATAGCTCAATTTTGAGCCCTAGCTTGCAATTTTAAAAGCGAGTGTAATAGGAGAGAGAATGCGCAATCAGGCTGAAAATAATAGAATCTACCGGCAAGGCCTGGGTGCGGTGGGGCACCGACAAGTACTTATGAGTTAAACAGAACGCCCAGGAGGTAAGTTGTCTGGAAGATATATCGGCAGTGAAAAGAATTGATGTTGTCTAGGTAGCTAAACCCTCACTCAAAGCAGCCTTATCCCCTTCTTCAAGGATATAGCCAAATTGTTTGGCAATTAGGGTTTTCGTTATCAAGTAGGTAATCTCGGTGGCTAGGAGGAGGGTAACGGTGGGCAAATCCAACGTACAGAGTACAGACAGCGCTCAGGATTCCCCTCGCTTTAGACCATCCTTTGCTGGCTCGATCTCCTTGTTTATCACGCCGGGAGCAAAAGTCATCCTCTTATGTTGCTACTTGGGGCTCGCCCAATTAGCTACGCACTTAGCTTTCTACCAGAGCTCGACTTTTCAGCTACGCCACCATTTCAGCTAGCAGGGGTTTGTCTCGTTCCTCGCCAGGCCTAGAACCCTCACCCAAGAAATCCTAAGCTGGTTCTGTTTGTTTGGTGAAGCATCGAGGGCTGGACCAGAAGGGTTCTTTGCGGCCACATTCGCTACAGTCACTTCCTCGATCGCTGCCATCCCAAATCTGCCGACAGATCAACACCAAAACCTAAAGGCACCTATCCAGGGAATGCTTCAGAGAGACACCTCCAGCGAATGCTTCCAGACATCTTATCTCAATCACTTCGAGGTTCGGGTGCTCGTTTGAAGCTCTGTCCTTAGGCACACTATGTGCTGCAAGCTTCTTGGATATGGCTACACACGAAGATGTTGTGCGAACCGTGAACACGGGAGCTGAAAGTTCGCTCCCGTCCACATCCCTGTCAAGGGAAATCTGGTCAGTTCTGGTCGCTGCGCTTCATGCATGCTGGTATTGGCACCACCCCTGCTCACACACGCCCGTCAATCTCCTTGTCAGTCCAAAGTCTTCCTCAGGAGATGTTGGTCGGACGGACCACGTTCCGCTGAGTTGATGCGCTTTGGTTTTACTGTTCATGATGTGAGTTTTGCAGCCTCCCGCCATGGCGTCCCATCTTGAGACCCTTCGAGGCAGTTCCAAATATGCTTTCATACATAATTGGTGAAAGCTTAAGGGTGCTCGCCGTATGTCTGACAGGCAGGTCTGAGGGCTCGGCCCTTCATCCTTACAGGCTGAATCAATCCAGGCCTTCATTGCGAAATCTGCTTCTGATGCTGGAACGGGCTGTTTAGTAAAAAACTGATAAGGCGGACCCTGCCCGGCCAGCCTGACAGAATGGAGTGTCACCGCTCTCGATTCTATTCTATGCTACGCATTCGTGGTTCTATAATCTCGAAACCCGAAATATGGCACCCAGTGAAGCGGAACTCAACGCTGGAATCGTATTCGGCATCGGGGCCTTGAACAATGATGAGGTCCGACCAAGGCTGGACATCGACGTGATGATCGCCAAACAGCCGGACGCGTTCAATCTCTTCCTCCTCGCGCTCATGGATCTAAAGGCCGATACCTCGAAACTAGGCTACTTTTCTCTCGCGGGTAACCTCTTCCCTCAGCAGTCTTTACATTCAGCTCCGCTCTTCCTTGGCTAATTTCTTCGTCTCTCAGGAATCCATGGACTTCCCACGGCTCTCTGGGATGGCGTGGGCAAGAATTTCCCTGAAGGCACGGGAGGATACTGTGCACATGGAAGGCTCGTCTTCCCAACGTGGCACAGACCCTACCTGGCTCTTCTTGAGGTCCGAGACTCTTTAGGATGGTTTCGATTTTGGAGAAGGGGAGCCTGATGCGGGTCATAGCAAACCCTCTATCGCAAAATGCTGGCCATCGTCAAAGAATTCGACCGACCGTTCCAGTCCAGGTACCTCTCCGCGGCGAAGGCATTTCGGCTTCCCTACTGGGACTACTTTCGGCCCCGCGACGTCGACGCAAGGTTTCCGGGTATCAAGTTGGAAGGGAACCGGACGAGGCACGACTATGATTTCCGCATGCCCGACATCCTCAACGTGAAGGAAGTCATGGTCCGAGTGCCTCCTTACGACAAGTTGACGGTCCTGAGCAATCCGCTCTACAACTTCAAGTTCACGGACAAGCAGAACCTAGATAAGGATTTGGCCAGAGCTAGACTGAGGGTATGTATTTCTAATCTCTTTGGCCGAGGGATCTTTTCACGAGACTTTCAACCAAACTCATGCTCGCAGAATTACAACCCTAATCGAACCGTACGATACCCCAGGGACAAGGACTCCAAGTACCACAACGTGCAGCAATTGAGCGACGCTCTCAACAGCGGCCGCGAGGGCAGAGCCTCGATGATGCTCGACATCTTGAACCCAAGCTCCACTCGGTACCCGCGACTCGGGGATGTTGCGTCCGACTTGGTCCTGCGCGAAGGGGACATGACACAAGCAGGCCTGTCCAGAGCCACGTCTGGGATATTGCCCAGAGACGGGGGTGGGAGGCCCGCCAGCTACGGCTCAATTGAAGCCCTGCACGGTAACTACCACACTCTGGTCGGCGGCCCCAATGGCCACATGTCGAGTCCGTCCATCGCGGCGTTCGATCCTGTCTTCTGGCTTCATCACTGGTGAGCTCCCTCTCCGGTGCAAAACGAGTTCGCTTGCCGGCACTGAAACTCACTCTTTACTAGCAACGTCGACCGAATCTTCGCCATCTGGCAGGCTCTCCATCCAAAAGCCTGGTTCCCACCGTCGGGCCGGGACGCGAGAGGCCAGCGCCTGAAGCCGGAGAACGAAAAGGACTTGCTGCCGTTCTACAAGTTCATCTGCGAGCTGGGCCCGATATACTACGACTCCGACTGGTGCAGGGACATCGAGAGCTTTGGCTACACGTACCCGGACCTGGATCGTCTTCGCGACCCCAAGGTGATCTGGAGCAGAGTGTACCACAGGTATATCTGGAGCATCCGCAGCGCTTCAAGCCGCAGGTTCTCGACGCCGCCCTCGGACATGATGCCGCTCAACCTCAACCGAGCCCAGGTCTTTCAGTACCCCGACGCCCACAATTCGAGAACTTCGAGTACTTCAGAGTCTCCTTATTCCGTGACGACTCGGATCGTGTTCAAGCGAGTCTCCTCGTCGGACCCGGACACTCTGACGACGGAGCAGCTCGCCGCGCAGGATAGAGGGTACATGCCAGCTCCTAACAACGACATCGATCCATACTTCGACCGCGAGTGGTACATTGACAACGTCGTGAAAAGGTTCGTACCGTTGTCCGTCTTGTCTGAGCTTCCCCCTTGCGCTCTTTCGCTTCTTGACCTCATTTCGCCCTGGAAATCGAATGTGTCCTCGACTAACAAACCCCCCGCCCGTTGGTTAGAAACGCCCTGAACGGCCCCTTCACCATCTACTTCTTCCTCTGCCCCAGATCGAGATTCCCCGACGACCCGGCCGAGTACGCGGTCAGCCCCTATCTCGCGGGCATCAACCACATCTTCGCCGCGCCGCGCGAGGTCTGCGACAACTGCGGCCGACAAGACGCCGCGGGGGTCCTGGCGTCCGACACGGTCCCGATCACGCCCCTGCTCCTCGATTACGTGGGCAACGGGGCACTGGAGAGCATGCGGGCCGAGCACGTTCGGCCGTTCCTGGTGAAGTACCTGCGCTGGAGGGTTGTCTATGTAAGTCTGGCCGCGCGCGGTGACAGTTCTGGCAGCAACAGAGCGAAGTGTTGTTGAGGGTGGCTTACCTTGGGCATGCGGCTGATTCCATCGACTTTTTAGGCGGGAATTTCGAGGGCGGATCCGAGAGAACTGCCAAACTTCGAGGTCTCGGTCAGTGCGAAGATCATCTACGACGACGGGTCCGCCACGTATGAGGCCTATCCTGAGGTTATCGACGACATCATCTACAATGCTCGGTGAATGCTTGTTTCCTCGCTCGGGTTTCGCGTTGCAGCGTTCGGCTTGTCGTGACCACTTGTCTCAGCTGCAAGACGATACAATACCTCTACCGCCTTTACTATTAAATCGGTTGTGTAATTTGGTGGGTTCTCTGGGTCACAGTGGGCTGGCAGCCATATGTCTGAAGTTTCAGTCTGAAGAAGCCCCCGCCCTCCGATTCTGAAGCGTGTTGAAGCTTGTGATGGAGGATGTCATTCCAGGAAGAGCTTCGGTTGAGTTCTGGGTCTTTGATATGACAATGGTCATCAGAGCTGCTCTATCAGCTTACCTTGGCGGCAAGATACAGCATCAGACTCTGCTGCGCGTCAGGGCGACATGGCAACAAGCCAGGGAAGCGTACCGGCAGGGGTATCATTTGTGCATGGAAGTTTGGGGAAGAAACGTGTAAAAGCAACAGGACTGCATCCATGATGAATATACGGAAACGGTCGAGCCTAATGTAGCTTTGTATTCTACCAAGGGGCTTTCAGCCTTATCATTGTCATCTTGTGCCCTTGTGAAAGTCGTGATGGTACCTTTCTGCTGAGCACCTGAACAAGACCCTGAAGGTCTCATCCAAGTGAGTACGATCTAAGCATTGTTCTTCCCAAGTTTAACACTGCAACGACCTCATCTCTCAAGCCAGGTGTTGCGCGAGGCTCCCCACAAGACACCTATAGCAACAGTCTGAGTCGACATTGACCGTTTACCATTCCCAGGCGCCCAACAATGACATTCTTGCAGTGTCTATCAAACAATGTGCACCAGAAGGCCTCACTGGACAACCGCAATATGTCTGGTATACGCGAGGAGTCCGCGGACACATGCGGGTGCGGTCTCTTTGTTTAGCGTCTTAGAAAGCTTCATAAACAACATTGATTCTTTTGATGCCCTTGTCGCTCACAATCTCAAGACAAACACCATTGTCAAGCTGACTTTCCTTGACAACAAAGTCCTTTGTGCAAGCCCTGGGTGTAAATACCCGTAGTGTCCACCAGCAGTTACTCCAGTCCACCACCACGCAGCTTGTCGATCAGGATGACGGGCGCCCAAGAGATACCAGTCATCGTCGTCACGCCGCCTCCGGAGGATGGCCCGACGTCGACCGTCGGTATCCTGACGGCGCGGCACTGGGGGCTCTGGGCCAGAGGGGCTCTGCGAAAGTTAGACCGAACAAGTGCAAAGGGGCAGAACTACTCGACCAAGCCCGGCGACGACGTCGAGTTGGTCGAGTTGCCAGGTGTTGAGCCAACTGGCGGTAAGTTGTCAACCGATGCAGCTGCTGGACAACAGGCTGAAGGAAAATACAGACAAGTTGAAGCCCACGATAGACCTGCTGCGGCGGCTCCTCTCGAGAAACGAACCGCCAAAGGACACAAGAACACCAAAGAACCAGACCGACATCGAACTAAGGAAGTATCACACAAGCGGTTGATCAACATCGGCCTCGACCACGCAGCAATCTCAGAATCCGACAGGCTGATATTCTGCAAGAAGCATTCGGCAGTCCTGGAATCCATCAGGTTTCGTGGTGAGATGATGCATGCATTTGAGCAAGAATGCAAGCAGCCATGGTACAACGGTATCGAGCTTGAAGATGACCTCGCATCGCTTCTTCCGTCAACAAAGCACATTCGAATGAAGGCAGAGGAGCTGCTGAAGGATTTCGCCGAGAATCCAATCCCAGATATCAGAGACGTGCTCGAAGACAAGAGACAACGCAAGCCAAGTGTTTGCAAGGTGTGGCGTGAGATGCTGGAAACCCATGAAAGAGAATATGGAGAGACACCACTGTTTGAGCCCTTTGTGCTGGATGACTGGAAAGAAGATAGCTATCAGACCTGGGGGGAGATACTCGATGAGAAGTCCGGGGAGAATTAGCAGAGGTCGGAACGCTGTTGACCAGCGAGTATGGGAGGCATTCTGGCGGGACTCGTAGAAAAAGAGGATAAATGAGTGACTGCGACGATTTGGCTGTGTCACTCGATCAATATGCAACATTGCGTCATGAACTGGACGCGTCGAGTCGCGTCTTGCTTTGCCGTATTCCTTCTTCCCCTCGTCCCTCATTGACAAGCAATCCTTTCTCTCTTTACACAATTAACACAGGTTCAAATGGCGCCCTCTGCGGTGGAGATAGACACTCACGCTCCGCCTGGAGACGCTCTGGGTTTCCTGCGCGAAAATGCGAACGCCCTGAAAACCTCCACGAATGGAACCGCAACAATCCCAACTTCCGAACCGGCGCTCCAACCCGTCTCGACAAGGACAACACCTCATGAAGAATATCAATACCTCGACCTAATCCGAGATATCCTGTCCCGGGGCGAACATCGACCGGACCGAACAGGAACGGGTACGCTCTCGCTCTTTGCTCCTCCTCAGCTGCGCTTCAGCCTGTCACGACCCGATCCTGCTTTACCAACCGCCGACAGAATACCCATCCTTCCCCTCCTCACCACTAAACGCGTCTTTCTACGAGCCGTCACCACCGAGCTGCTGTGGTTCGTATCAGGCTGCACGACATCGAAGCCTCTCTCAGAAGCAGGCATCCACATCTGGGACGGGAACGGCTCGCGAGAATTCCTCGACAAGTTGGGATTCGTTGACCGCGAGGAAGGAGATCTCGGCCCTGTCTACGGATTTCAATGGCGCCATTTCGGAGCAGAGTACAAGGACTGCCATACAGACTACACGGGCAAAGGAGTGGACCAGATCAAAGAGGTGGTGCGAAAACTCAAGACCAATCCATACGACAGGCGGATCATTCTCAGTGCGTGGAATGTAGCGGACCTATCTAAGATGGCACTGCCGCCTTGCCACATGTTTGCGCAGTTTTATGTCAGTTATCCCGACGCGCCGCGCGGGGAAGCAGCCCTCAATCAACCCAGCAATGGGTCTGAGGAGACAAATGGGCAACAGCAGAAAGCCAAGGGCCATCTTTCTTGTGTTCTGTACCAGCGGTCCTGCGACATGGGACTCGGAGTGCCCTTCAACATCGCCTCATATGCGCTCCTCACGCACATGCTGGCTCACGCGTGCGATCTTGTGCCGGGAGAGCTGATCCACACCATGGGCGATGCGCATGTGTATCTTGATCATGTCGACGCCTTGAGAGAGCAACTTCTGCGTGAGCCACGTGAATTCCCGACCCTGAACATCAAGCGGGACGATAGGGGAAGTGGCGAAATGGACGGCTGGAAAGTTGAAGAGTTGGAAGTTGTAGGCTACAAACCACACGGCGGAATCAAGATGAAGATGAGTGTATGATTACGAGGAAACGGGAACGGGATCTGGAAGGTATTCAACATACGTTGGAAAGGAGCATTAGAAGACAAGGATTATGTATTTCGTATTTTGATGGGTGGTGAATAGATGTCGTCCATTGTCCAGACATCCAGGTATATTGGTTCTTTCCTCTGAGCCCAATTGAATATGTTTTGCTCATTATGCTATGACCTGCTCCGCGCTGGATCGCTCGTCATGCCCGCATCCCGGTGAACGCCGCCGCTATGCAACAACATGTGTAATTTTCACAGACAAAATTCTGGGAGTTGTAATTCACTTTGTATCCTCCTTGGGACCAACGCCTCTTAACAGCACCACCGTGTTCCCATTCCCCAGACACGCCCCGATCTTTTCGCTAAACTCCAACAACCTGCCGCCTTCGACGTGGTAGACCCGCAATCTCTGCTCCTCGGTCTCGACACGATTGTTCACGTTGGCGACCTGCAGTCTCTTGGCGGCGTCGTCCAGCATGCGGCCGACGGCCCACTCGGCGGAGAAGAACAGGTCGGCCTTGGGCAGCTTGGCCGTGGTGGAGGCGGCCTCGGCCTCGACGTGGAGGTACACGCGCTTCTCGGGCGGGAGCTTGTCGTCGCCCCTTGCGGTCCTCTTGAGGGCGTTGAGCGCGGCCATCTGCGCAGCCTTGCTCGACGGGCTGGGCTTGGGGGTCAGCGCCTCCTGCCGCTCCTTGCCCCAGGTCTTGAGCCGGCCGAACCCGATCCGCAGCTTCTCCTTGTTCGACTGCATGGCGACCTCGAGCGGCCGCGCCCCCAGCGGCGTCAGGTTCTTGCAGTCGTGGTCCTCCCGGAAGCGGTGCTTGAGGCAGTACGTCCGGTTGCACTGCGGGCAGTGCACGCCCAGGTTCTGCGAGGTGTTGACGAATGTCTTGCACGCCGTCTCGGCGCATTGCGTCGCGTTGCTGTGGTTCGGCTTGCCCTGGCCCGCGGCGTGGTTGTTGGCCAGGGAGGATCGCCCGACGCTGTTGCGCCGTCGGTTCTTGGCCCATTCGCCGGCGCGGGGGCACTTGTGGGCGGTCTCGCTGCGGTGGTCGAGGCAGTAGGTGTGCCGGCAGGAGTCGCACCGGAAGGGGAGGAAGTCGAGTTGGTGGCAGTAGGCGAATTCGCAGTGCGCGCCGATGGCTTCGACGTCTCGGTCCATGGCGGTATATGATGCCTCGGGGGGTGTGGTTGAGGCAGACATGGTGGGCGACGAGGAGCGGTTTAATAGGATGTTCCTGTGAGTAATCCGTGGCCTTCTTTGGCAGTGTGGTTCCGTCGCCACAGCGGCAGGCGGAGGAGGGACTCGTCACGGTCGCAGGGTGAGGCTGATGTAGTGGGAGAGGGATGAGGCTGGAAGATTCGGGACGCTGCTGCTGCGCCAACAATTCCCCGCGCCGAGGCTGAGTTCAGCCTCGCCTCCGCGTTTGTCAGCCTCGTGGCAAATATGCTTTCAACCAGCATGGCGATCTCTCCTTCGCCTCATCTTGGCTATTGCGTCTTCAACATGATTCTCCTGAGAAAAAGCTGCTGGAAAATGTATATACAGTGTCCTCTATACACATAGACGCGGTTTAAGACCGAGTACTCGTGATATATACCAGCATCCCCTCCCCTGGCAACATAAAGATTGAGTCGGCGTCAGTCCCAGACCAAAACGGCCTTGACGGTGGTGCCACTGTGTATGTCATGGGCGGCCTTCTCAATATCCTTGGCGCGATATGTCTTGATGAGCTGGTCGTAGGGAAACCTCCCTTCCTGATGCGCCGCCAATAGTCTTGGTAGAAACTCTTGAGGATAGCAATCTCCCTGGTTGCAGCCAACGTAGCTGCACCCTGCATTGACCATCTCAAACATGTTCAATGACGCTTCTGCTGATAGCTTGGGAGCACTGTCAGCTTGTACGGTGATTTGGGAGAATGGTGTGGACATACATCGCCAACGCCCACTGTTACGACCTTCCCTTTCCGTGCAGCACTGTGAATGAGTTCCTTAATCACCTCTGGCTTCCCTGTGGTGTCGATAGCACCATCCACGCCACGCCCGCCTGTGATATCTAGGAGGACTTTCATGAGTTCAGGTCGGACTTTGGAGTTGACACCGTGGGTTGCGCCGAATGAGCGGGCCAGTTCGAGCCTCGTAGGGACGATATCGATGGCGATGGTCTTCTTGGGTGGCGTTTCGAGCATCTTCAGAGCCATGATTGCCGATAGTCCCACGGCTCCAACACCTACAACAGCGACCGTCATCTCCGAAGCTGGCTCGACCACGTTTAGCATTGCTGGCCATGTCAGTGGGAATTCTGGTGGAGGCCATCGAAGCAGAAGTTACCTCCCGCGCCCGTCATGATTCCGCAGCCGAGAGCCGCGACCTGCTCAAAGGGCAAGTCCTTGTCAACCTTGACCAATCCATTTTGAGACACCAAGATATGCCTCGCAAAGCTGCTCTGTCCGAAGAAATGACTCGTGATCGGTCTCCCCGTACTGAGGCTCGAGAATACCTTGGACCCGTCCAGCCGCCCAATTCCAAAATTGTACTGAAACCACAAGTCGCAATAAGACGATTGCTTGCGCAGACAGTACTTGCACTCCCCACACGAGCTGAAGACGACCGTGACGTGATCCCCGTTCACGAATCTCGTGACGTTGGATCCCGTGCGCTCGACGACACCCGCGCCCTCGTGGCCCAGGACAGCCGGGAACAGCTCGGGCATGGTCTTCTCCTTGGCGAAGTTGAGGTCGGTGTGGCACACGCCGGTGGCCTTGATGCGGACAAGCACTTCATCCGCGCGGAGATTATCGTGAAGCTCGATCTGCTGGTATTGGAAGGGTGCGCCAGGTTTGGACACCACGATCGCGTCGGTGATCATGTCGATGGCGGGGATTTGGGGAACTCGCAAATCGGGTGCTCCTCGTTGCTTCTAGGTGGTCAAGTCATTGCATCTTCAAACACGCTCAAGTCAAGCTGCTTCAGGGGTTTTGGGGGCTGTTTATCTGAGCTTGGATCGAGATAAAAGTGCACGAATTGGTTCGTACGTTACATGTGAACAAACATTCGAGAGGTTCGTGCTGGGCTGTGCGGGGAACCAAGCAGCATCAGAGCATCAGAGCATTCGATCAGTCGAACCACAGACGCCGCAATCATGCGATGATCCACAGTCTTCTCACTCCAGTCTTTACTTGTGAAGGAAATACAGCAAGCTCCTTTGTAAATGGTAGGCCTTGTTTCCTGGTGCCAGTGCACGTCCAGCGGCGTTTCTTCCCACAGCCAACTATGCATGAGTGATGCCATTCGGGCTCATGCTTGTCTTCAGCTACACCTACGATAATATCAATCGATTGAATCTGGATTGAGGCAAATGAGATCCTTTCCCGCAATGGCCAGTGGCCAGCGCGCTTCGACCAATGCCTTCAGCTGCATTCTACCCCCCTTTGGTTGTCTGGAGGCAGCCAACAATCAACTATCCAGAGAGCTGTGGAACACTACCACTGTGACCTTTACTGCATCAAGGTCTCAGAAATTATTGCCAAAAGGCAATGAAATCGACTAAGATGGTCAGAGCCCTTCCGACAATCAGACAGTAGACCGCCAATGTCCATAGGAAAGAGCCTATCAGACTAAATGTCTCGAGCTATGTGGCGCGGCCTTCGCATAAACTCAGAATCCTCTGTGAGCCTTTCTATCTTTGCAATTGCGTTTGAGATATCGGGGTTTCCACCTTCCACCAATGTTTGGAGAGATTTCCGCAGGAGTTTTTTGGCATGGGCCTTCTGTATAAAGGTTTGAAAACGGAACGGAAGCCATCTCAAACCGGTTTCCTCCAGGAACATCACCAAAGCGTGATCGATGGTGTCTTTGTCCAGCCTTCCAGCACGAGCGAGGAGGCGCGTTGATTCGATCCAAAAATGCTCCTTCTCTGACCGTTTGCTGGGGAAAGTGACCTGTGATACGGACAACATTAACTGTGACACTGATTCGATCAAGGGCGAGGTTTCCTCCCCCGCGATCGCGGAGACCAAGTAATTTGGATCTGCAGACTTTTCGAGCAAACATTGAATCATCTTGTGATTCGGCCCTGTGTCGGTTTTCCGGGGACCCCGGGCAAGGTAATACATGCTGGAAGCTCCATACATAACAGCATCCATCAATAGAGGCCATTCACCACAGTAGGAGATCTCGGTAGTAGTGGTGTCAAAATGTGGGCGTCGAATGAGGCACCCAGCTTCGGCTTTGACTCGAACATACTCCACTACTCCAAGGATTACTGTCAGAGAGAGGAAAGTATGCTTGAAGTCGCCAAGGCGTCCCCTATCCAGACTCTCAAATGAAGCTTCGTGATAAGCCCATAAAATAGACTTTGATATCGCTGTGGACCCATATTTCCTCCGCCGTGCCGCCATCGCTCGAAGAATATCGCGCCCAATTTTGTCCATTTCATCCAGTAAAAGCACCATCTGAGGGATGCTACCAGGAGAAACCGAACTCGCGAGCTTCAAACTTTCCTGGAGGTAATCCCTCCACAAATCTTGAGCAGAGATTTTGTCGGGATCCAGCCGCTTGATATATGCTATGTGACCGGCCAGTAGTCTGAGATGAGGGTCAAAGGGCGACCTTGCTGCAGGCTGCAAGAACATCTGGGCCTCGTCACTTTCTATATAGTCTTTCACTGTCCGGTGGAGGTATTGAACAGTATATCGGGAGTAGTTCCAAGGGTTTTGTGAAATTTTGAATCTCCCCGGGGTTGATGGGGGGCCTTTGACTTCAAGCAGGCCCTTGGATCGACTATTGATACGCCGACTTATCGTGTCTATGCGCAGCACGGTCTCGTCTTCCGAAAGAGGACGACATGGTTGACGTAGAGCAAATGAGGGGTCGTCTTCGTCCACAAAGGAAGCAAGCACCACGTTCATGGGCATAGAGCTGGTTCTGACGAGAGAAAAGAGCTGCGACGCATGGTCGAGGTAGAAGTGGTCTAGGCTCAATAGCATCTTTTCGTAGAGCTTGGAGAGATCCGGTGGCAATTGGTCCAGTCTCCTCATGAAGTCCGACACTCTATCCCCTGCGTTCATGCCAGCAATAAGAGATGAGACGACCAAGGTGACCCAAAGGAATACCCCGGCAGCCTTGACAACGATGCTCTCTATCAACTGGTCTGCAAACTCCTCCTCTCGCCGCTGAAGCTGTGCAAACATGGGTTCACCGTGGAATTTCGAGGTAACAAAGCTCTTAATGTCGTCGTACGTCAAATACTCAAGCATGAGACTCGGGCTGTGCTGGAATGCGTCCTGGAACTCTACCCAGGGCCGACTGGCGACACATAATTTGATGTTTGAGTAGTCGACGATGTCTTTGAAGAGCGAGATTAGTTCCTCAGGCTTGCCTTGGAATTCGTCAAGACCGTCCACGAACAGGGCGACGGTTGAATTGACTTGGTTGATGTTCTTAGTCACCCAGTACAACCTATCTCGGAGTTCTTGATCGTCCCAGTCCAGAAGGTCTTCGCCAAACAAGCTGAGGCTCTCCCATCGGTCTGGGCAGGCCGACGGTGCGAGTTGCGGGCATTGATTAAGAATTTGGTGTAGAAGTGACATTAACAAGCCTCTCTGTGTCATTTGTGTTTGGATTCCAGAGTTCCAGAAGTAGAAGGACGCAATCACGAGGTGCTTGTCACTGCTCCATGTTTCCAAGAATTGGCGACATCGAGGGACAGGGTTTGGTTCTTGTGTAGATCGGACCGGATAACAAATATACTTGATCAAGGTCGACTTCCCACTGCCCGCTTTCCCAGTGATCCAGTACAACTTGTCGTCTGACTCAAGCCAGTCTTTGAAACTGACCCATTTGTTGGTGTCGCTGTCCTTCAGCAGCCATTGAAATGTTGTTTCATGTGCCTCGGAAATTCTTTCTTCTCTGTCATTCATTCCACTATAGCGGAGACTTGCAAGTAACATAGAGAGAGACCGCTTTCCAGCCTCCTCTGGGATAGTCGTACCCACGGCAGAGGAACGGATTTGCGAATGGCCTAGTGAGGCATTGTGTATGGCATGGATGATTTCAGTTTTCAGATCAAGTCTTGCTTGTTCTTGCTCTTTTTGATTGAGCTTGAAGGTGACGTAGTTCAAGACAGAGGTGCCGAATGGATCCGACGTGTTGATGCGACTGTTGATGCCACCACTCGTCCCGACTGGAGTGCTTTCCTGGGCCTTCTCCAGCCCTTTGAGGATCGCATTCTGTTGGACTAAGGACTGGCTGGCGTAGTACCTAGTCACCGCAATTAGGGAAGGCGGGTCGAATACGGCTTAATCCGAGCACCAACCGCATGGAAACAAGCAAGCTCAGAGTCAATTGAGACCTGAAGTCGTTGAGTCTTGCTTGAAGGACATTCATCTCCTCTCGTTTCCACATCAACTTGAATGCGGCGACGACGGCGGCGCGCTTTCGATGCGGGTCCCCACGGGCAATTTCATTCAGCGAGGTCACCAAGTTTTCAACCAGTGTTGCACACTCCTTGGACAGGTTGAGGATACCTCGATTACTCTCACCTGCCAAGTCAGTGCCACATGATTGTGTGCGAATATCCTGCAGGACAGCGCTGAGGCTGTGGTTCAGAAGATTAAGAGATGCTATCTCATCCAGGCTCTCGAGATTGCGATGAGTAGCATTGTAGATCTTCCAGGCCGTCGACACGAACTTGGATCCGAAGTCGATGACCTGGAGGATGTTAGAGGCTAGGCTCAACGCTGCAATTGCCTCCGCCATGAGATCGAGTGAAGCCGTGTTGATGTGAAGGGACAAAGCTCAGAAGGATGAAGATATCGTTGACTGACCTTTACGGCTGGGCTGTGCGGCAGTGAGGCTGTGGAAGATCAAGGCAGCGTGCGTGGCACCAGTGGTGCAAGCTGAGCATACAGCAGAGTGAGGCTGAGCCGAAGTTGAGCCGAAGTTGAGCCGGGCCACTGCCTAGTTGTTGCTGCCCAGCTGCTCCCTGAATAAAGCGGCAGTCCTGGTTCTCAAAGGAAGGCATTGAGGGTGCTTGCTCGCCCTTGAATAGCGGCGGGATTTTTTAAACGCTGAGAACACCTCCCCCGATCTCCAAGAGAGATTCTACCGGACACCTGCCAGGTACGCGAGACTCGATCCGTGTCAAGCTCCTGAGAAAACTGACAAGCCCTCAACCTCAACGGCTCCTAAAGTCCTGCACCAGCCTGTGAGCCTCTCGCCCAGGCAACACTGAATTCGAAACTGCTGCTACAAGCGAAGCCCGAACAACCCCGAATCCTCGGCCGATGTGTTGTCGACGCCTCCAACACAGCCACAGCGTCCTTCCCTCACAATCTTTCTCCAACGTCGTCACTGGCTCGGTGATAAAGTTGGTGCCTGAGGGCCCTAGAGCGTTTCGAGACTGACTGGCTCCGACGACTCCGAACCATGTGGCGGTGCCTGACTCTTTGGGCCGACCTGGAACGAGGAACATCTCATTCGCGCATATGCGCCATACCACATCCAGATGATTCTGCGGAAGGTTACGAGGACGGCCAGGGACCTGGAACCGGGAAAAATGCGTGTGCCTAATCTACTCGATCATTGAAGAGCATGTGGTGTTTTCTACGTTTGTTGCTTGAGACTCTCTTCTTTCCTGCCTCAACTCCTGCTGTCATGGTGGAAAATACTGCGACGCGTTTCTTCCGCTGCGACTGCTGACTGAATTTCGGTACTGTATTCCTACATATCACACAAGGATTGTAATCAGAACTACCCCAATATCATAGAACAGCGGCATCACACCACTTCGCCTCGGGGCTGAACTGCCGCTATTATTTGTTACTTATTCATCTTACGCATTGAGCCCCATCTCCACATCGCAGTCCTGTACAATTCTGTTGTTTTCACAAAGCACAATGTCTTCTTCAGAGAAAAGAAACCTACGGAGCACCGCGGTCGTGGATCCCTCGACACCAACCGACCTGCCGCCTTCATACGAACACACCGTGCTCCCCAACACCAACCCTTGGACCGACAGCCCGTCATCACAGAGCCCACGGCCCCCTCGGACATCATCATCAACGCCCCTCTGCGTCCCCTCACAGAACCCGCTCTCGGCACTGTCCCGGTTAACGACGGTATCGTTCGCAAAGTACCGGATCCGCGACTCCAGACTCTCCGAGGACCAGAAAGTGACCACGACGACTAATCCGGAATTGACGTCCAGCTCGCACTCGTCGTCAACGTCGCAACAGCAGCAAAGGACGCTCCTCAAGTTCATCCGCGAGCAGGCATGTCTGCCGCCGAAGCCCATCATGGTGATCCGCGGGACGCACGTGCACGGCAGCACTGTCGTGGATTTCGACTTGAAGTTGAACCTGACGAGCATGTTGGACTTGGATTGGGGAGGGAACGAGAGCGGCGGTGGTCGAGTCAAGGTCAAGCGGTACCAGCACGGCTCGTCGAACGGGTCGCCGAAGCAGATGACGAGGGAGGAGATGGACATGTCTCCGCTGGAACTGTGGGCGAAGAAGTTTTGCGAGGACAAAGCTGAGAACCGAAGGTGAGTTTGCCAGTGGTCGAGCTGGAGCCGACGTCGAGTCTGGGTCACGTTGAGAGTGATCTCCAGTACTTCATGTCCATGGCTCGAATCATTGCAATGCATCCCCAGTCCACAAGCCCAATATACACCCCACGTACACATGTCTGATCCACTCTCCACCTTACCTGTCAAGACTAAGATCTAACCGCCTATTGCATCATCTAGCTTCACGCTGCACCGATCGACACCTAATCTCCCCATAGCACTGCTCGAGGGCCACGCGCGGACGCTGCTGGCCATGGCCAAATACCGGGGCAAAGTGCACGTCGAGTTCCCCGTGCAGTACTCGGACGTGGTGATCCAGCGCAAATCGAGCAACTGGTTCACGAACATGCTCCGGCTCTATCCGACCAAGAAGTACGAGGTCGTCGACGTTGAGTGGCCCGTCATCGGCACGACCGCGGACGACCCCAGCGGCCAAGCGGACGCCGACGAAGCAGCAGCAGGAGCCGGGTTGAATGCTCCGTCGTCGTCATCACCCACATCCTCGAGACCAGCATACCAGAGCACCGGGACTGGGACAGCACCGGGACCAGCCGACGCCCAACCAGCCTCTTCGGCGTCCTCGACCTCTTCCTCTTCCTCCTCCAACCCAGCCACCAGCGGCGCCGGAGATGGCAATGATCGGACGGGCCTCCCCTCGCTCATCGCGCAGGAATGGTGGCGCGAGTGGCAGTTCGCGATCCGCAACGCCGCCCTGTCCGGCCGCAAGGGCTGGGTCACGGTGGAGGACTGGGTGGAGGCCAAGATGGGGATGAGGGAGAAGGAGAGGGCGAAGGAGTGGGGGGTCGATCACGAATAGTGCTAAACCCCCCCTTTCTTTCTCTTCCGTCACCTTCACCTTCACTGTGTGCTTTTAGCAAGAAAGCGAGGGACATTACTAGAAATTGTACCGACTATAACAACAACGACCAAAAACAGGAAGGGCTGCCACTCCAAAAAGAACGCATGGACGCATGGGACCTCAATGAACAGCGAGGGTTTGGTTTACGGATCTGACGCGGAATTGCCTCTTTCTCCATGAGCAAGCGAGCTTCCGCCTTTTTTTTTATATATATCTTCTTCTTTTCGTGTGTCTGAAAACCCACTTTTCGTGGCATGTTTTCCTCTTGGTACCTTATCTACGGACCATGTGTACTGCCTGATCAAGCAAGATATCTATATTATGGACATAAGAAGATAGCGAGAGAGATACGGGATGGGCCATGAGGACATAGCCCCCTCTCTATGGATGGGAGACATGAATGAATGAATGAATGAGTGGATGAATGGAATGCTCCCTCCCTCCCTCCCTCCTTTTCGACCTGATCGACTATATGCATAGGAACTCCGCGCATGAACCTGGATATCTAAGATACCAGTGTAGTGTTAGAGGCGCGATAGTTTTGACGCCGTTCGACGGACCCTACTGACTGACTGAGTCCCTATAAATCAACGTAGCTGCAGCTGGTATTCTATCCACCTCGTAGACGAGCCGCAGTCGCTGGGCTCGCCGTAGAGTCGTCGCCCGTTTTGTCTCGATATTTCATTTCGTCAGCATGGAGAGAAAAGAGACAGTGGTCAACTTCAAGCCGTTGTGGTATGGTATTGATTTGCTATGGAGCTCTGGGGTGTGGCTATTCCTGTGCCTATGCCTATGGCACTGGCGCTGGCGCTGGCTGTTGCTCTTGCTTCTTTCCTTCCCAATGTCTCCAATGTCTGGCCACAAGTATTGCTATCGACAGCACTGTTCAGCGTCTATTCATCTCCTTTCCTGGTGAGGGACGGGCCAACGAACCAACCAACAGGTGCAACGTTCCACGGTGACCACATGTTTGGGTTGTTATTCCATGATGACAATTCGGCCCAGCCGTGGTCTAACTCACCAGCCACCCAATCACTGCTGAGGCGGATGTCACGCACCTGCTGATGTTGTCAATGCTGCTCTGATGATGATGACAATGATGATGATGGTGTTGACACTGTCTTAAATGACGGGGAGGTCTGGCAAGGACTCGTCCGAGGAGTCTTCCCACTCGTCGTCCCCCTCCATCTGCACGCCCGTGCCAGCTAGTCCAATGACGCCATCGTGGTCGCCATCACCCTCTGTTGCTTGATGGATGTTGACTCGGTAAGCCTGCGCGACTCTGCGGTACCACTGCTTGTCCGCGGCATGTTCGCCGTCATCTGAAGCTTCGCCGACCATCTCCATCAACCACTCGCTGCCAGACTTCTCCATTTCAGCCCGCTCGTCCGCATCGTCAGGCCGGAACGTCGTGACGACAGCCTTGAGGCCTCCGTTTGCCTTGGCCAACGCATTAAATTCGTCGGCATTCATGGATTTCACGATTCCTCCTTGCTCTTCGGTCTGGATCTTCAAGGCAGCCGCCTGAAGGGTCAAGAATGGCGACATTCGAAATTGGTTGTTTCCCCAGTCAATGAGGACCCAGGCCATGTCGAACGTGGGTTTTGGTGGCTCTTCTTTCTTCTCAGCAGGATGGATAAGGACTTTTGAAGCAATGGGGTCCTGAGCAGCCGTGTCCGTAGCAATAGTCGCTGGAGGATTGTTCGGAATGGTATGGTTTGTTCCCATGACTCTGTCGATCCATCTCTTAGTTACCCCGGACCAAGCTCGAGGGAGTCCTTCGCATTCGTTGAAGACGTATTTCTCTCTGTTCAGCAGCACGAGTTTCCTGGCTTCCTCACTCCTGATGATGATGAGCCGCTTTCCCTTGTTGACGCAAGTCTCCCTGGCATACTCGGGGCCGAAGAGAATACATCTCAACCAGGCGGCGTCAATAACGCGTTCGGCATCCGGTCCGCCCTGGTCCGCCCTGAAATCCGCGCCAGAGAGAGAATAGAGAGTGAAAAACTCCTCTCGACACATGGGGCATCGCAACACACGGCTGCGGGCAGCATCGAGCTCTTGGTTGATCCACTCCAGAAGGCAGCTCGCGGGCCAGCTGTTCCTACAACTGTTGCTAGTGCCAACATGGGTGAGAACCTCGACGTTTGATGCCACAGGCCCACGACACCAGATACAGGTTTCGTGCTCTCGGGGACCGCGCCCGCGCCCTTGCTCCCAGCCAGATTGGTAAAGGGCAAGCAGACGAACGAGGTTGTTTCTGTCGGTCAGGTCGACATCGGGATGAATGGTTTCGGCGTCTGGGTCGGCGACGAAGGCGGTGCTGATCTCCTCCTGCTCGTCCTTGTCGGTCGGGGTGGTTGGATTTCCAGCTGTGCCTGAGATGTCTTTGTCAGGCTGAGTCTTGGTATTGAAGATCAACGGCTTGGAAGCCCAGGGATCCCAGGGATCATCGCCAGCGGCTGTCGGCAGCGACTTGTCCTTCACGTCGCCCTGTGCCTCCGCCATGGCTGTGATGGAGTTGGTTAGGATCGTCAGTCGTTGTGAGAAGAGACCAAAGCAGAAATGAAACGAGAAAAAGGATTTGTGGCGCGGTTGGGATTGCTATTCAGTCTGTGTCGAGACCCCAGCCGCGTGTGGTTGAGGCTAAGGAGGGGCACAGCCGCACACACACCCAAAGCCCTGGCGATTGCAATACAACCCGGGCGCGTGCTGAACCTCTCCGGGCCCTGCAACTTGGTTGGTTCACAAACCCGGAACATGATAAGTTTGCTTTGGTCTCGAATCTGGATACTAGTTCTCTGTGTTGTTGTCTGCGGCCAAGATCAACAAGGCAACCATGGCTCTGGGTCCGCAGTGGAAGGCAACACGAAAATGCTAAAATTGCCACATGCCTGTGGTGAGGAGGGTATTATAGCCGTCCAGAACCATTGATCCATTTCTCTCTCCCACATGATACTGGAAATACCACGGGCCGAGCTCCATCAACAGACCTGTGAGAGCCAGACCTTTGAAATTACTGATTGCGTCGACATTAGATGCGGTACCAAATCGAGCCCCAATCCCCAGAGATATGCAAATAAAGACCAAACTCCGGGTGTCCCGTCACTCGCTTGTGACATAAGACAGTGGCCAAGCGAGCGATCATCCTGTAAGAGAGTGTTGTAGTGAGCCTATATTGCGAAATGGAAAGCAGGCAGCCTGTGGTAACGGGGTTTCATGCAGTTTGGATCCATGAAGTCGCGAGTGCCGTGTCACCAATCAGGATGCAATGTGTGGTCGACCTCTACTTCAGTGATCGTCCAGAAGAGGGGCCCGTTCCCGGTCCTCGCTGACTATCGCACCCTCATGTCGAGCGCTACGATCTGCTCCAAAGAGTTTGGGAGCCCCCACTGCCAGAGAGAGAACGAAAAGGACGCCGGCAATGATAAAAGCAAAGATCCATTGGAAAGCCACAACCTTGGTTGCAAGTTGACCCAGTGCCAGGGCTATTCAAGTCACATCAGTAAGAAGCATCGTGCAATTAGGACCGAAAGCTTACACAACGCGAGAATCGCCAGTTCGAACCCCATAGTCCAGTCCTTGAATACCGCGAGGAAGAAGGCACCCAGCATGAGAATGCCCCAAATAAAGATGTTGGCGACAATCCGAGCAGGTAACCTGGTAGCCCCGGGAACCATCACAGCACCGTCCCAGAAGATGGCGACATAATTCCACGCCAACGGGGCAGAGACGATGGGAATGTGGATGATCAAAGGGGTGGTAGGATGGCCAAAGTAGAGAGCTGTCAAGTTGAACAGGTTGACAATGAGAAGGAGCTCGCCCTGCCAGAAGTACGATCGGACCCAAAGCAAGATGAAGCCAAAGGTCAAGAGATTGTGCTGGGCGATACCGTTAGCGATGCTCTGTCTAGCTCCGATGCTCGAGAAGCATACCAGGATGAAGTGCGAGCCCACGTTGGCAGCATTAGTCACGTAGTCCTTGTCCGCACTCCATAGGAATCGAACATAATGCGCCTGCAAGATGAGGACAATGACCCAATAGATGCTTGTCAGCACCGAATTGACGCTGAACCCTGTCGGATGGTGATTGTTTTGCCCCCATATTGTGTGACAATGTCTGTGATGTTTGCAATCGCTAGGACGCTGGAATGTGTAGACTGCTCCAAATATAACGAGCAGGAGCCAGCTAACTATCGTGAGGATCTTGTACGCAAGGAGATTTCTTGAGGTGAACTCTTCGCGCTTCGCGAACGGGTTGTCTACGGCAAGTGGATTAGCAGGCATCGTCAACAGCCAGGTATCAGATTGAGCAGTTCCGTACAGTCTGTGAGCGGCATCTCGAGCTCCTATGACCGAGTAAAGGGATTCAGAGGAGTTTTGAAACAGCCGCCTTGTAAATGCGGTGCAAAGTAGCAGGTAGTAGGCGCGGGGATGGCTGAGGCTCAGGTAGGACGATGCATAATATTGCGAGGGAAGAGGGACTTCAGCAGGCAGGATCAATCCAGGAGAAGCTGTGCTAATATCCGGCCTATGCTTCCACAGAATTCAAGCTGTCCTCGTGATCGACCTTGGAGCGTTTAGCAGTGCAACGATGCCCAGAAGGATGGAGGACCGCAACTTGAATGGGGAGTTGATTTGCATGCGGGAAAACGACTCCAGCCATTCACCACCAGCGTCGTCGAGCTTTGGGCAAGAATCGTGGGGAAATGACGTCAGTAGAGGCATGCACAGTCGCAGTCACGTGTCAGGCAGTGGAATGGTCTTGTCCTTGCAGTTTCACATGCATTGCATTTCGACCCGGAACTTGTCTTTCCAGGTACGAACACGAGACCACACTTGGTGGTCAGACGACAAGCAGGGCACATCAGATCACAAGGTCGGCGGAAGAATGATGCAATATCATACAATATCCAGACATTGAGGCAAAAGGTGGATATATGTGTCTAACAGATCACCGCCTGCTCAGAACTTGGCCATAGCAGCTTCATATGCAAACCCCAGCGTCATCTTCGCATGTTGAAGCATGTGGTCGAAGCTCAGGTACTTGATGAGATCGTCGGTGGTGTGGATTTTCTTGTCTGAATATTCAAAATCCGACTCGATCACAAATGCTGAGGGATAGCCGTATTTGCTCGCCGAAGCATGGTCGGAGCAAGCATATCCGCATTTGGTCAAAGTGTAAGGGATGTCACAGTAGGCGGTGATGATGCCTTCGACGAATTTGGTCAGAGCTGGGTCCACAAAGTCTGTAATCACTCCGACCGATTCAGGCTGACCGTGCGCAAGGGTCTGCTCGATATAGCCTGTCATGTCTTGCTGGATCATGGCCTTGATATCCTTTCCTTCTTCACTGTAGGATTTGAAGATCGCCTGGCTTCCAAGGAGACCTCCTTCCTCGGCCGAGTACCAGTGGAACTCGATCGTGTTCTCACTCGAGCCGTTGACAATCTTGTCCGACTCCAGCAGCGCCGTCATAGCCTCGAGGATAGTCACCGTCCCGCTGCCATCATCATCGGCACCGGGAGCACGGAGGTAGGGGAAGAACATATTGACGCTGTCCAGATGTGCACCGATCACAATTGTGTGATTTGTTCGCCCAGGGAACCGAGCAATAATACTCGACTGACCCCACGAATGCGGAAACAAGCTCAGAGAAGCACTGTAGTTGAATGCACCGGATGCTTCAATGACTGCCTCAATCTGGTCATGCAGCCACAGCGCGGCATCAATGCCGTACTGGCTCCTGTAGTAGCGGGTGTGAAACGCCGTGAGGCCTTCAAGGTGCTTGCGCATGTTGTCCTTGTCCAACGTCTTCATCAATGCCTTGACCTCGTGCTTGTGCTCAGGTTTTGAGGGATAGACGATCGCATTCGCCGCCGTTTTTGATTGGATAGTGATTGGGTATGTGTCTCGAGTTTCGGTGATATCCATAAACTTGACTCCTTTCTGTTGCCCTTTGGATCAGCAATGTGTTCCATTTGCCTAGACTGAGTGTGATGCGAAGGCATACTCTCTTGAGCTCCCATTTTTCCTCCTCCAGCACCCATTTCGTTTCCCCTGGACTCAGTTCAATCAAAAATCTTTCCTGAATGGCAGTTTGTTCCTGTTCAGGAGTAATTGCTTGCTGAGCGTGAGTATCAACTGAACGAGCGCAAACGGAAGCGGCCAGCGAGGTGACCAGAAGCGCGAGAGATCTCATGACAATCGCTATGTGGAGGGTAGAGGAAGAGAATGGAGATACAAGAAGCCAAAGGGAATCCAAGAAGGTGCAGAAATGCTCTGTATACCAAGCAGCACCTTTGTTGCATACACGATTAATTAATGGACGAACAGTAAATCACATTTGGGGCTGGCGACGCAGGCACCAGGGACTCGCCAGCTGCAGTTTGTTGGGTTTCCAAAGGGCTACTAGGCTTGTCCCCCCCCCCCCCATGAAGGGCAGCAGCCGACACGCCCCATGGCGGCTGCCCGTTTGGCGTCACTGGCTCTGATAAGATAGGGACCCAGGCACAGCACCCGGGTTCAGTTGGTGCCCCTCAAGCACAACTCGGGCCGCCCATGCAGGTGTTGGAGGTCAGCTTCTCGTTATTGCGGATACGAACTTCTCGAACGTCGAACTCTTTGCGCTATGTTCTCTCGAGTCATTATGATACATAGCTCTTGTAGACTCCCGACGTAAACGAATGAGTCCAGTATATAATATACATGCGGCGTTTGTCCATCTTTGACTCATGTTCAGTCAATCCTGCCCGCACGATGCTTGGTGCTTCTTTGTCATTCGCCCGTGGCCGAGAGGCCGTGACTCTCACTAATGGAGCGAGCTTCCGGGTCGCCAACTGCGGGCGCAGGTAGTGCATCCTCTGTGCTCATAGGGCAGATCGTCCTTATCCCAGGTGAGCCTCAACCGCACACCCTTAAGAGACAACCTCATCCTTCGCATCCTGCCTCTTCACTACTTCCAACAGGGCTCCTTTCAACAGCCAGGGCCTGTGCTCTCATCTCTTCGATTTCGGAACCTTGCCCCGCCGAACTGCTTTCTGCTTGTTCCGGTCGCTCGTTCGCCACTGTCTCGAGAACTTGTACGCGGTATCGACCCGTTATCATCAACGACCATGGCTATCGTCCCAATAATGTCGCCCCTTGAAGCAGCGGCGCCTGTGGTCCCACAAAGCACCGAAGAAGTGACTGCCCAGATGAACAAAGTATCCATTGATCCCGTGGCGACACCTGATCGTTCTCGTGTCGCTACCAACTCGGTTCGGATCACGGTTCCTATCGACGCTACCTCGAGGCAGGCAAGCATCGCTAAGTCGGGCATATACAGCGACCGCAAACTCGTGCGTCGCGACAGCCTGGAACGTCGCGAAGCCTTCCTCAAGGGTAAAGAGGGTTCGCGGCAACGACGGCGTTGGGAAAATGGTATTCCTACACCTACCCAGAGATGACTGTTCCAAGACTAAAGACAACATGACGAATAGATCGCCTTCTGTCCAACCCTTGGGCTGTTCCTCCTCTGCCCTCCGACTGGGAAATCCGTCCTACGTACCCCCGACGCACTGTCCCCTACTATCTCGCCCCGCTATGGGATGCCGCCGAGTTTCAACGCGCCGTTGAATCCAAACTCAAGGGTCGCCGGAACAGCACTCGGCCCCACGGGAGACGTGTGCAGAACACCGGCATAAGTCCTATGGAAGAAGCAGCGATCAACATCCCGAAGGAAGTGCGGGCCAAGCTCAAGCGCGCCAAAGCAGCCAAGGGACTGCTCCAGGATCTGGAGGAAACAGTCCGGGCATTCGTGCGGCAGTGGAACGACAGAGAAATCCGTCTTCGAAGAGATGGTCTGCATGACATTCCTCTGACAAGCGACAGTGAGGATGAGGAAATTGTTTTCATTGGCAGAAATGGTGCTATGCACGACTCAACCAGCAAGGAGCAGAAGGACAAGGGGGAGGCGGGATGGGATCAAGACGGGACGGTCGGCACCGAAAAGATGGTCTTCGAGGGTCTGGATAAAGACAAAGGCGCCGCTTTTGCGAGATGGCTGGTTCATTGCGTGGGCAGCTACTACGGCTTGCGAACCTGGAGTGTGACGCGTGACATTGAGGGTGAGGAGAAGAGAAGACAAGCCTATGTGGGCGTGGACAGCCGAGCAAGAGGATTTCTGGGCCGAGGCGTCGAGGTTGGTCGCGAAATCGAACTTCCACGCCCGCTGTGGGGGATGGTGTGAAGGTGATCCGAACTGCGTTTCCACAGCATTCATTGTAGTGGCCGTCAAAGCTGGTGATCTGTATACACCACTCATCTGTGAGTTTCTGGGTATGGAAATTTCGTCCAATTGGTCGATTGTAGAACATTAGACAATTTAATTGCAACAGGATTTTCATGATTCGTGCAAGAGCCCGGATTTCCAGAAGTCTTGCTCATGGACATTCCGCGCGTTAGCTGAGTGCTGATCAGGCCTCTTCGAGCAGGACCCTGCAGACCTGAAGTGTCGCACCCCGAGCGTGGAGGATATCGTGGAACAACTGGTGGAGCTGATATGGGCCACGCAGCCAAAGACAGTTTCACAGCATATCGCAACGAATAGAAGGAATTCTTCACAGTCATTGATAAAGCAAGGAGTTTCAGAGCCAATGAGATGCCAAAGTCAACTCCCAGAAGCACCAGTAACTTCTGTGTGATGCGACGGGAATGTAAGACGGCCAAGGCAGGCCGAAGTATCACCAGTGGCAGATTTCCGGGTTAGATGTAGGTGGCATTTCGTCGATGGAAAGGGAGCTTGTGAACGTGGGCTCCATGCTGTGGTAGTGTAGCGATATCTGGAGAGGTTTGCAAATGGATGCGTTCGTTGTACGAACGTGGTCGAGGTGCAAAGTCGGGCATATGACAGTGACAACATTATGACTCGCGCGGCGAACGGCCATTGTAGCAGTCATGCTCTATCATGAACCTCCTTGCACGGAAACGGCCGTGAAAATGGGGAACACCATGAATACGGCGCCACGCAGAACCGAGGATGGGGATCTTGAAGTACCCCGTTCCAGACCCGGCTTAAGCTGCAGCGTTCATGCGAACCGCGCCGGCATAAAGCTCACAGTTCGCATCGGAGTGCGGGTGGTAGCCCCGGATGGGAGCTGGTGCCCGCAGGGTTCCAGGGACCAGGCCTCAAGGGCTCTGAGCAACCACAAAGCTCCATGACCGACGCTCTTCAGAGCTGCGTAGTCAGGTACGTGCGAACGCCATCGATCCAACATCATTAGAAGCAAAGTTGGGCATGAACCGTGCCTCATCGCCGTTTTGCGGGTCGAGCCGTTGCTAGTCATGGATGATCCAAGGCGATGCAACCTACCGAATTTCTCAATTCGGGACTGGTTGCATGACTTTTGTCCAGATTCGTCCTAAAATGCCTCACACCCGATGATTATGATATTGTTGCCTGACTCAGATTCATCACAGCCGCACGTGCTTGCAATGGAGGGTGCCAGAGGAGGACTCTTTGTTGGAGCTCTAATGCTCTGAGATGCAGGGTGACCCGACCCAATGCTTGAAAATGAAGCGAGACATGGCTGCCCAAATGTTGGCATTGTCGGCAGGACAGAAATTTGGAGATTCTTCGACTGCAGCCCCGGAGACGAGTCCTCTGGTGGTACAGAGGCGCAAGGTACAGCATCTGGCAGTGAACACATGTTCATGGGGCACTCTTGAGCTCCTGGAAACGATTCGAGGGCGCTCCAAAATGGGCACGGGCATTGCATCCCAGCCAAGATCGAAGCAACGTATCGAAACGCCCAACAGGTGACATGGCCAACTCAGTGCCAATGAAGTGGTGCCACATATTGCCGCAGACTAACGAAGGAAGGAGTTCGTAAGAGCTTCGGCACAGGTTGAATTAAGGCATGCCGCTAATCCCAATATCGCCTAGCTGCCTCGGCCCTGTCCCGCCAGACCCCGGCCATCGGATTTTCGCTTTTTCTGTTTGACGTGGCGCATTGACCTTGCACCATCACCTGCTTGACACAGAGAAGCGGTCGGTCTGACAGGCATTAGATTTCTTAGATTTCTTATGTGCACGGCGGAATCCCCGTCATCTTGTCACCTGCTCATCTTCACTGCCCCGTCTGACAGCAAACAAGGTGATTTTTTTTTTGGCTGTCTGTCCCCCTACGCGTGAGTCCATTTTTGCCATCCCACCACAAGATCCGTTGTTCATCCAACCATCCTCCAACATGGCCGTGGCCCTTTTCTCCGTCCGACAACCTCCTCGCCACCATTGGCATTGCACTGTTTTTATCTGTCTTCGGCCTGTCGTTTGCCTCCCACGCCACGGAGAACGGTGCTGGTTCGACCCTCAATGGGGCTTGTCCGGGCCATTGTTACCCCCGTGCAAGTCGGTTACTGGAGTCTCGATGAAGGCTGGTCGCTAAGCAGGATCACTAAGAGATCTTTAGTTGAACATTCGTGTCTCAGCAAATCCGGGTGCAGGGTGTTTCCAGAAGGAAACTGGTAACCTACGGCAGGTCCCGGCCACACCCGCCATATTGCTCTTCTGGCTTGTTGTCTCCTCCGTCCTCACAAATCCGCCGTAGCATGTACGACTGGGGCCGCGCCATCACCTGCGCCTGGTCCTTCCCCCGTGCAAGATGGCTAGAGGAGGTTGACATCGCCCTTGTCTGCCTGTGGAGTGACCTTGTCACTCAAGTCTGTTTGCTTTTGGGCCTCATCACCAATGATCGCAATGGTCTGGCTTCCTTTTGATATGCCGCGGGCGTTGCTACCTCTGGGTCTTTCCATTGCCGTGGCTTCATCACCTTGCACCTCTTTGAAATATTTCTCTTTTATCAAGACTTAGAATTGCTTCCCATATCATTTCCAGACCAACACCACTGTCCTACTTCACAACATCTTCTGAGCATTCCACATCTTTCCAATATCATGCCACGACTTACCCCAGGTCGGATCTGGTCGAAGGGATCTGCTACTTCTCAGAGCTCCACCTCGACCCGCAGCGACCAGTCCAGCCATTCCAGCCTCTCCAGTCACACTCAATATACCACACTCACGTCCTGTAGCGACACCAAGCCTATCATCAAGCAGTACCACAGCTATGAGGAGCGTGCGGTCGTTGAGGCGGCCATGGTCAATGCCGACGAATATGAACAAGACCCTCGAGCATCAACCGAAACATATACCTCAACAGTTGCTTCTGAGACTGATTCATCGAGACCTCCGAGCTTATGTCCCTTGATGAGACATATATGTTACAAGCCTGATGCGATCGCCACCACTCCTATCGAGTTCGGGGAGCTATTTCCATCCACAAGAAGAATTCTTATTCAACACGACGACACCACTCCCGACGGAAATCTGAATCTTCGCATCGACACTGAGTTGACCATCTCCAAAGGGCACAAGCTGAAATTGACTCTCTTCCACCTGCGCATGTACGATCTCGCCGAACGCCAGTTCTCACTTCGTCGATATCAGCGGCAGTCGGGTCGGGAAGTCTGCAACTCGAAGCGGAAGTATCTGAAACCAGTTGCCCAGCAATCATCATCTTTGCCCTCCTCGCCCCGGCGGCGGTCATTCACCTCGACTCTTGCAAAGCTGAATTTCAGAGCACTAAAGAGCAAGCCTGAGCCCAAGCCGGCTCAAGAGATGCGAGACGAGGAGTCGGACGATGATTTCAGTTCTTTCGCTGCCCAAGTTGATGTCAAAGCGACGATCCCCACGGATACCATCAGAGTCGAATTTTCCAATTATGCCCAAGTCGAATTAGAGCGGCGTAAGACAGGAGACGGCAGATATGAGTTTGAGTATTGGGGTGAGCGGTATTCCTGGAGGCGGAATATCTATCGGGATGAATCAGAGCTGGTGTTCTCTTTTGAGCTGATCACGTCGTCTTCCGGGGCCTGCATTGCCCATATCACTCCAGACAAGTTGTCACAGAGACAAAGCAGGCAAGAAGCGGCGCTGGGTGGTTGGATTCCACCGTGTAGCCTACGGCTCACGGAGAAGGAAATCTCGAATGACTTGGGAGACGTGATTATGGCCACCGGACTCATGACCCTTGTGGATGACTGCATCAAAAGACACTGGCACGAGCCACACCGCTCCTAATCCAGGAAGAATTGATCAGCCTCGGATCGCACTTTATTGACTGGTTCTCTTTGTTCCCCCTCAACCTTTTGTTCAGCCTGAACACAAACTCGGGAATGGATTTCCCATTGCAGCGGTGTTACACAGCTACTGGCGGTGTGGGATGCATGCTGAAGACCAAATGTAAAGGACATGAGTGATGGACTCTCGGGGAGTTGTCAGGATGGAATCCGTCACATTTTTCTTGTACAGAATTTGCATTGGGCCAACGCGTGGCGGAAGATTGATCTGGGCAGGAATGTCTGGACACATTTGGGCTGGTCAGCGCAGGGGACAAGGCTTGAACAACGTAAATCAGGACGCACAGGACACGACATGACCAGAAGGGATGGGTCCATTCCGCATGACTCGTGTTCCACAGGATGAGGGGCTCTAAATGTATAGCTAAACGGATGACTTGACGCGAGTATAACGGATACTGTGTCCACGCTTCGGTGGGATGAAGCTGTACAAATGAAAAGCATAATTTGATGTACTGAGACCTGACAAGGCCATCACTGGAGTCTGACTGGGTTGCTGGGTTTCTGGGTATGAGACCTAGGTATTTAGGTGTCTAGGTGCTCAGAGGTAGCCGTGTGTACTTCCCTGTATGGAGTATTCTACCTAGGTAAACCTGTATAGGTCCGATCTAAGCTGCATTGGGATCTAGCGGCTTGGCCTCCGTCACCCGCTGCTGTGATTGGCCCCGCGGCCCCTGCTGACCAAATGGCTTTCCACGTCCGTCATGCTCATTTGCGCCCACTCTGTTTTTTGTTCCTGCTGTGCATCTTGCTCCAACCATTATGCCTCCATCATCCTAGACAAGATACTACTGCTGCACAGCTCTCGAAACTCTTGCCACGCTCGACGGCTCAATGCCGCGTTACTTTCTATTGAACACCAGTGCTCACTGCAGGCCTAAGCTCCCCCAGCCTCCACTTGTCAGTCACAGGTCTCAGCAGCAGGGATCTCGCCTCCCTTTTCTTCACCTTTTTTCTCTCTTCTCTTTCACAGCCCCTGCTTTCTCTGTGGACTGAAATGACTGGACACCTAGGCTCGTGTTCCTTGCACTCCGGGGTTGTTGCTAGGGATTGTGGTACTCTCCACCGACTAATTGGCCCTTATTATCAAATTGTTACCCGCGTATTCGCCTTTTGACTTCTGTCTGGCTTGTCCTCAGGAAGGTACCCATAGACTTCCATCTTACGCCACGATACCCAATCTCACAGTGCAAGCACTCGCCATTCTCGGAAAATTCGGTTCAAGGCAAGACGTGGATCGATCTCATGCGTGCTCTGACACACACCCCCCCGTCCAGCTCAGATTGCTGCCCAAATGCAAAATCATCCCCGAAAGCATTGAAGGCGACCAATAAGGACACCAGCCCTGGTTTTTGACGTACTCCGAATGCAGCCAGAGCAAAGGGAGATTTGCAATCCTTGTTCGGAAGCTCTCTGACTGCTTCCAACATCTCCACGACCATCGAGTCGGGTTGATGTGGACATATCACCGATGGAAACAGTTTGTGCTATTTTTTTTTCGCCGCTATCTTGCATTCGATCGGTCGGCACCAGCTGTGCCGCCCCCACTTCGATATTGCCATCCGCCATGGATGGTTTCCTTCTAGCCTTTCGCGGACTTTTCCCCCATCCCTTTGATTGTCACAGAGTCCTCTTTTTCTACGCCATCATGCATATCATCGCTTGCGCTTGGGGCCGGACCTTTCGTCCCACTACTGTACGCTGCCGGATAGCTGATGTGTTGGCAGCATCTCTCTGGTGAGGCTGTTGGCTCTGGTTTTTTTTGCTTTGCGTTCTTCCATCCCATCGCTCTACCCACGTTTGACATCTCACACCTCTGCAGTCTCGCCCTTTTGTACCACGACATTCTTCATAGATGATGCCAGGGCCGCTGCTCCATCGATACAAAAGTGTCACGAGATCTCAGATCATGTCGCACAAAGCCAACCTATCTCCTCTACGTTCAGTTGTTTTCAATGCTGCCCTACCTTGAAATGAAGCGGCCTTGATAGACAAAGAACCTGTCGTGGAAAGGAAATACTGGAGCACCTGCAGCTCGCCTTCCCTGCTTTTGGCACTCGCTCTGTCACTTTGCTCTGCGTCCATAGCTGAGCATTCGAGCTGATTCGGGGGCTTTTCTTGAGATATAAAGCCCTGAGATATCCGTGGTCACGCAGGGTGGTTTCTGTCATCATCTCACTTCGACCCTTCCTCGTTGACCACGATCCAACATCCTCTACGAAGACATCAAGCAGCTGGATCAAAAGCACTCGCAATCCAAGCCAACGACTTGACCACATTTTCATTCCACCATGGCTACAAAAACCCACAAGACCTGGCAGGAAGAGCTTGCTGGTAAGCCTCGCCCCATTATGGTTGCTAAAACTTTGGCTAACTTGTTCATAGCTGAGTGCCGGAAACTTAGGCTGCCTACTCCCCAATTCAACATCGTCTCTGATCGTCGAGGTGAGTTGTGCACTGCACAAATTCTCAGCATTTTCTTCATTGTTGTTCGGACGCTGATGCATTCTTCTGGCTTTCTAGGTGGCCGAACAGCTTGGTCTGCTACAGTCACAATCCAGGGTCAGAATCTTGCAGCAAGATACTGGTACGACGGGCAATACCTCAACAACGCCAAAGAAGACGCCGCAGAAGTGGCTTGCACCAAACTTCGCAACCCGTCGATCACGGCCGGCCAGTCAACGGTTTACCGCGCACAGTCTGGCTATGGGGGCCCCTGGGCTCGCTGAGTCTCGTGCTGTGCTGCGACGTGCGTTGGAAGGCAATACAGTGCTTTCCGCCAGGTACAAAGCCGCAGGCAGGGTTCGAAGTCGAATTTTCGGTGGGGCAATTGCCTCAATACCTACTGCATCCAACTGGGCAAAGGAGAATTTCGAATGAGAGCATAGCGATGGCGTTACGGTGACACCGAGACACAGGGACACCAGGGGGGCTAGGAGGGATGTTTTCTTTTTTTTCTTTGGGATTGGATTTTCTTTCTCCTTTGTTCGTCTTTGGCTGTTGTTTCTCAGAGAAAAAACACACACAAACAAACCCCCCAGATTCCAAGAGAGATTAGAACCAGTCTGTCTCCTTGTCCAGGCTTCAAGCTGTCAGCCAACGGGAGAGGTCTCAGTCCTCACCCAAATTTTCTTGACCGCTCTTCAGAATTGATAGAAGAAAATGCAGGAATCTATGATATCTCATGCTGATGTTTTAATTCTGCCTGTGCCTGGTCCTGCGCAGGTGTCCGATCAGTGCACGGGATATGGTTGTTTTCCTTTCCTTCTGAACACCTCATCATCCCATGCGGCGTGTCGGTGGCGGGTGGAGCTGCGGCGATCTAAGCTTGCAGCATGGGGCAAAATGTTTGTGTACCATGACCTGTCGTGCTACTGTCAATAGGCGGTTGGGAGACTGTGAAGCCACGTCCTTCGCATGACCCGACGCTCTGGATGTCGAATCAAGGCGAGGGAGCTGTTGCTCTAGAGGGGTGGGAAGGTGGGAAGGTGGGAAGGAGGGAAGGAACGAGGCGTCGCCGTGGCCGTGGCCGAGAAAAAAGTTCCGGGCCACAAACTCGTCCACCTCGTAAAATCCTGTTTCCACTTCACCGTCGCGCACCCTCCATCAGACCGAGTTGCCTTTGTCGTACTCGGCATCAAATGATCTGTCAAGTACCCGGCAAGCCAAATTGACGTGTAGAGGTACATCCCCGTGCCACCTGGACCCGCGGACAGGTGCATTTCCCACTGCCGGATTTCATATGCACTGGACCCGTCAAGTAACCAAACCACGTCTTGACATCTTCACCGCTGCGAAGCAGGCAATTACCGCCAGTCCCTATGCATTCGGACCAGTCGCCGCCATGTCGACCGCTACAAAGCCCTCAGCGCTGACCTTTGATCTCAAGGCCCGGTGTTCGGTACGCAGCCATCACTCCCCATCCATTCCCCTGCCGCAAGACCACTCCCGCAGTTGACAAATTTCCTCCTCCATCTTTCTAGACATCCAAGGCCCGTGCCTCGACTCTGCATTTGCCTCATGGCCCAGTGGACCTTCCGATTTTCATGCCAGTGGCCACCCAGGCATCCCTCAAAGGACTGACCCCCGAACAATTGGAAGAGACTGGTTGCAGATTGTGCCTGAACAATACATACCACTTGGGATTGAAACCTGGCCAGGCGGTGCTTGACGCCATTGGCGGTGCCCATAAATTGCAAGGATGGAACTACAATATCCTGACTGACAGCGGCGGGTTGGTGGTGCACAGCACCCTCTCTGCCCGAGGATAAGTGACTGATTCGGGCTATCTCAAGTTTTCAAATGGTTTCATTGCTCAAGTTGGCAAAGATCACGGAGGAAGGCGTGCGATTCCTCAGTCCCCACGATGGTAGCCCAATGTATGTGACGGCCCAGATGGAGGAACTTCGCACGAACTGGAGACTCATGTCATGCATAGGCTCCTTACTCCCGAGCACTCCATGTCCCTTCAGAACTCCATCGGCTCAGATATAATGATGCAGCTCGACGATGTGATTCAGACGACATCGCCCGATCATGCCCGTATGAAGGAGGCCATGGAACGCTCCATCCGTTGGCTCGACAGGTGCATCGCTTCGCACAAGAACCCCAGCACGCAGAACCTCTTTTGCATCATCCAGGGTGGCCTCGATCTGGACATGAGGCGGCAATGCTGCGAAGAAATGGTCAAGAGAGATACTCCTGGCATAGCCATTGGTGGTCTGTCCGGCGGAGAAGCAAAGGCGGATTTTTGCAAAGTGTATAGAAGCTTCCATTCTCTTGTTTCTGCCTTTGGTTGTCTGGACGCTTACTCTTTGGGCAGTGTTGATACATGCACCGGTCTACTACCTGAGAATAAGCCGAGATATGTAATGGGTATTGTATGGCAATCCTTTTTGTTGCTAGTAGCCGACAAGCACTTACCTGTACAGGGCTACCCAGAGGATATAGTCGTCGCAGTGGCTCTTGGAGCAGATATGTTTGATTGTGTGTGGCCAACACGAACTGCGGTGAGTCTACATACCTTTATCCTGTGTCCTCACGGCCCATAGTTCTGACAGAGGAATAACCGTGTGTATTTGTAGCGCTTTGGCAATGCGATCACTTCCAGCGGCGTCCTGAACCTCAAAAATGCTCGATATGCTGAGGACTTCGGTCCCGTCGAGCAAGGCTGTACCTGCACTTGCTGTCGTCCCAAAGAAGAAGGCGGATTGGCCATCACCAGAGCGTATATCTACCACCTCGCAGCGAAGGAGACTGTGGGGGCTCACTTGTATGTCATTCATCTCTCGAGTCAGCTTGCCTGCTGTCTGGCTGTGTCTTTGGTCTCTGTCAGCTCTGGACTGGATCTCTTGATTGACTCGTTATTTTCACAGATTGACGATGCATAATGTACACCACTTGCTTTCACTAATGCGACGGATCAGAACGGCCATCATTGACGACCAGTATGCTTCATTCTGCAAGCAATTCTTTGCAAAGTATTTTGACGGTCAGCCTCCGCCGATATGGGCTGTCGATGCTCTTAAAGGAGTGGGCATTGAGATATGATCACGTTGTAGACCCTGGTAGAGATTGACATTGTGAGGACCAAGGAGTGTGGAATCCTAGCTTCGGGTGGGTAAGCACCTTAGACCTCAACGCTCTCCGGATGGAGGATCATTTTGGTTCTTCTTTTTGAGCCTGAAATGCCCCAACCCGGCAACAAAGTCATCTCTATTCTATGGGTGAAACCCACCAAATGAAGACAACGATCATGCTCGGGCAAGACATTTTGTTTTGACCGGGCAGTAAAACAAGGCCGGAAAGTGCTCATCGGCATGGTGAAATTTACCGGTCTCCTAGTTCTACCCTATAAATCTCTATCAGGCATTGGCATAACTATCTAAAATAATATGGTCAGAGACACCCCTCCCACTCTGGACTGAAACAAAACCCCAACCTCACACGACAATTCAGATCCTTGACTGTTCCTCCGGCTTCCCCTTGCCGTTGACCTGAAGCTTCTTTTCGAGCTCCCTTTGGAAACTGGCATCCAACGCCTTGACGAGGGCATAGATTCCCCGCAGCAGCGGTGTCTGCACGCCCCTTTCCTCGGCCAATCGGACGGCGTTGCCGACGATGGCGTCGACCTCCATCCTCGCGCCGACCTTGGCGTCCGCGAGCATGGAGGGCTCTATGCCGGGCAGGCCCCTGACCTTGGCGCGGTTGATCTGGTACTCGATCGTGTCGGCGTTGACGTTGTCGTAGCCGCGAGACCGTGCGACGGCGGCGATCTCGGTCATGAGCGACTTGATCAGGTTCAGCGAGTACTCTGGCGGCGAGGAGTGGAGGAACTGCGCGTCGCGCGACCGGGATAGCGCGCACACTGGGTTCCAGCTCGCGTTGACCATGAGCTTGCTCCAGCGCTCCGGTTGCACGTCGTCGTGCACTTGCGTGCTGCCGCCCCCGGCGTTGAGGAGGCGGGCGAACGACTCTGCCGCGGCTTGGTGCTCGCGTGAGGCGTTGGTCGGGTATGTCCCAATGTGCAAAAGCTCAATCTCGCGGTGGGCGATCACGGCCGGGGCGGTTTGCGTCGCTGGAAGGTACACCACGCAGCTGAGCAGGGGGTTGTCCGGGTAGAGGGCGCGGTAGGGTTCTTCGATGGCAATGCCGTTTTGGATCAGCGCGATGGTCGTCTGGGGTGAGATGGCCGGGCGGAGTTGTTCTGGCATTGACGGGGTCGTGTGGATGGCCTTTGCCGTGACAACGATGAAGTCGAACGGTTTGCCTCCCGAGCGTGAGACGGCCTCGTCCACGCTCCGCACCACTTGGGGCTTGAAGTTGACGCCTTCCCCGAAAATCGTCGAGTTGATGGTGAAGCCCGCCGTCGAGGCCACCGCATAGTTCGACCGGCATACCGTGTACAAGTTGTCTGAGCCGACGGCACGGAAGAGGATCCAGGCGTAGACGGCGCCGACACTACCGGTGCCAAAGACGAGGACGCGAGGAGGGGTAGACATGGTTGTTGTGCTAGGAGAGTCGCGTTAACCAGGTAGAGAGAGGAGTGTTGTATGATGACTGGGCCTTTTTGTTCTCATTTCTTTACGGTGCTCCTTGCTTGAGAAGCTCGGATGCATCTTTTGGGGGGATCAATACATGAAGAATTGAGATATCGCCGGTTATGAGCCGCGGAGGGTGTGGAGATAACCGGCAAATGTCCCGATGGGATGGGATCATCTCATATCCAATGGGAAGATGCCTTTGAGCCGTTTCCAGACGGGTGAGGAGAAGTCGTGCTGGGGAAGGGAAAATGGTAGAACTATCGTGTTTCGTATCTCAGGAGAAATAGTAGGAGCAAGGAAAGACGAAAGTATGCCTACCTTTTCATCCTTTGCTGCGATATCCAACCCAGCCTCGCAATCCCGGGGGAGGTATGCTGGACAGATGGCTGAGAACTTGTTCTCCGAGCAGGGACAGCAGTGAGTTGGCCGGAGAATACTGGAGACAGGGTTCTCGTGTATATATACCGATGCTGACCATGAGGGACGTAGCATCTCACATCAGAGCAGGCAGGGTAGGCTGCTCGCGGTAAAGGCTGTGACAAGCCGAACACCCAGCGCCGGGCAACACACCGTTGGAGAGATGGTCTCATGTTTGGTAGGAGCTCTTGAGGCCTTGCATCTCTGCGCCAATGACGATGGAGGGTTTGTGGTTCGAGGCGTGGACGACGAGCACAACGGAGAAGATGTCGCAATCGTCGCGGTACTGGCCCTACAAGATCTCGAAGGATGCGTCCTCGTCCATCTTGCATCGGATCAAGGCACTGCTGAGGCCAATCGCAGAGGAGATAAGAATGCAAGGGCGGAGCAGATGCGCCAAACACGATGTGCAGCCGGCGACGCGACGCACGAGGGCACAAAAGGGGGTCAACCAGCGACCAGTGTGACTAGGATCAGCCGAATGACGTTGTTTGCTGTCCAAGAGGCTGAAACCCACTTCCCAAGATGGAGACGCTTCCCTTTGATTTGATCCATCCAGAGGTATACACAGTCCAACCCGACCAAGAGAAGGAATCAAAGGGAGCACCACAACATTCAAGGTGAAGAGAAAACAAGAACACCACAACCATGGATCCAGACATACCTACGCCCTCTATTGAGCATGGCGCCCCTCAAGACACCAACGGCGCCTTTACCACAACAACCCCAGGTCTCGTGTCACCCTCCATCCAGGTGAATCATCAAGACCACCTCCACGCGCACCCAAACTTGTTGAGTGCCGCCGCGCAAATACCCCTCCCGCCCTCTTCACCCATGCGCAGTCCCTACCACACCCCTGCGCCCTCCAAGACCAAGTCTCTGTCGCCGAAACCGCCGTCGCGCTCGCCCTCTGTCGCGAGTTCATATCGAGGCGAGAGACAAGAGAGACAGTCCACTCCGACACTGGCCACCAGGAGGTCAACCTCCAGCCTGAGTAATACCAGGGGCAGCACCCCTCAATACCGCCGAGCGTCCTCCAATCTCAACCCTCTCTATCCTGCGGCAAATGGCAAGATGTCGCTTCCAGAACGCCCGCCTGTCACTGCCAGTTCGGTAGCGAAGGAGTATTTTGGAAAAGAGTTGGAGGCCCATATCTCCCTACAATCCCCTGTGGTGGTAATAGTCCATGATTCGTGCTATGGGCACCGCTTTTCCCGCCCGCGCACCTCGAAGAATGCCCTCGCCACAATTGTCGAGCGCCCGGAAAGAATCCATGCCACGTTGCTGGGAGCGTCTGCTGCCTACGTTCGCCTGGGAGGCCGGCATGCTGACGGTGAATATGCGCCTTGCCCCAAGCACGAACCCTCACGCGTGTGCAACATCCCCTTCCAGATCCGCAAGACCTCTCGAAATATTCCTCTCAACCACCCTTCAGTCGCTTTCGTACACGGTTCAAAATGGATGGAAGAGTTGCAAATCATGTGCGACACCGCCGAAGGGAAATTGGCCCTCAACGGGAAAGAGCTGGTGAGACCAATTGGATACGGCAAGGACGAGAATGGAAATGCCCTTCCCAAGCTGCACGAAGGCGACTTGTACTTGTGTGCGGAATCGCTGGCCGCTTTCCAGGGCTGTCTCGGTGGCGTCTGCGATGCAGTCGACACTGTCTTCTCTTCACCACTCACCAAGCGAGCATTTGTCTGCATTCGACCTCCTGGCCATCATTGCTCGTCCAATTACCCCTCAGGCTTCTGCTGGCTGAACAATGTTCACGTGGGAATTGCCTATGCGGCGATGAATCACGGCCTGACACATGCCGCTATTATAGACTTCGATCTACACCATGGAGACGGTTCCCAGAATATTGCCTGGAACCACAATCGAAAGGCACAGGGCGCAGCTAAGAATGCTGCTGCACACAAGAAAACCCCTATTGGCTATTACAGCCTCCATGACATCAACTCCTATCCCTGTGAATGGGGTGACGAAGAAAAGGTGCGAAATGCAAGCTTGTGTATCGAAAACGCTCATGGCCAGTCAATCTGGAATGTCCACTTGGAACCCTGGACGAGCCATGATGATTTCTGGAAACTGTACGAGTCCAAGTATATGATCCTGCTTGACAAGGCGAGGCTGTTCCTTCGCCATCACACGGCAAAGTTGCGCGCTTCTGGAAACCAGTCCCCAAAGGCTGCCATCTTCATCTCGGCAGGCTTCGATGCCAGCGAGTGGGAAGGTGCAGGCATGCAGAGGCACAGCGTCAACGTCCCGACAGAGTTCTACGCACGTTTCACAGCCGATATTGTACGGCTTGCTCATGAAGATGACCTCGGCGTCGAGGGTCGAATCATTAGCGTCTTAGAGGGCGGATACAGTGACCGTGCTTTGACTTCAGGTGTCCTCAGCCATATCTGTGGCATGACTGGCGACAATCCTTCCCTGGTTGGCAAAAGCGCTTCAGACGCCCAAGAGAATAGATTTCAAACAATCAACAATTGGGTACAAGACATCCCGTCCTCTACTACCGGGCAGCATTTTTCCTACTCAGCAAATTGGTGGGCCCTTCAAAATATAGAAGAGCTTGAAGCTGTCGTCGCAGGCCGACAACCTCCAGCTTCAAAGGCAAAAGATAAGACTGGAAACTATTCCTCGCCAACACAAGCGTCTACTCTCAAGATGACCGAGAATGCTCGCGAAAAACGGTCATTATCAGCTTTGCATGCCAGACTCTCTCTGGAGGCTGGCTATGAGCCCCCGCCGCCCGACGTCGATTGGGCCATAGCTTCGTATGAGCTGTCTCGTGTCATCATCCCTAGCGATCGCCAAACCCTGAGTTGTACCCATGAGGAACTCAATGTGGAAGCGACAAGGGTACGACGAGAGCGGCCGTCGGCCGTCGGCTTACCTTCTGGCCCTGACGAACGGATGCAACTTCGAGATCGAAAACCAAAAGCCCCCCCTCCTAGCCTTTCGGCTGTCCGAGCAGTATCGCGGAACGGCAATCGGCGAACGACCATCGCAGCAGTTAGTGACTTGCCTGATCCGAACATAGAGCACCCAGAACTGCCCAACGGAAGAATGCGCCGAAGATCCAGTGACGCATCGAGCATATTGTCGAGCTTCCAAGGCATGAAATTGTCAGATCAGGGTGCTGGTGACGCGGAGATTATGCCAAAGCCATCAAATGTACAAGTACCTTCAAGGGCACCCCCAACAGCCCCCGGGAAGCCAGTAAAGGCCGTTGCTGTAAAGAAGACGAGAGCACCACCTGTCACAAAGGCACCGATAAAGCCAAAGTCTAGCCCTCGGAGGCAGAAAACTGTCCAATCATCTGTTACAGGCTTGTCCGAGGCCAAAACTTCCCCTAGCATTGCCCAGGAGGATGTAGTCAAAAGAGAGCCATCTGTGCCCTCCCAAGATGGCCGCAAAGAACTGTCAACTACTGATGAGATGGACAACCTTACAAATGGGATGAAGAAGATTTCGATTAAACTGAAAATGCCGACAGGGGAAGAGCACGCCAGTAAACAGAACCAAAAGATGAACGATGATAAACAGAAGAAGCCTCGTGCACCAAGGAAACCGCTGGTACCGAAAAATTTAAAGCCGGCTAAAACGACACTCGTTGCAGATCCGGGATACCCGGTCAATATACAAACAAAGCTCCCCCAGGATGGCCCCCGAGAATCCTTTGAAACGCCCGCCGCAAGTGTAGCTGGAATGGGAACGTCAACTGTTGTTACTCAAGCCGTTGAAGATCCTATCCCTGACCCCGGCGCGAATTCTCTATTTGGAGACAAAGGCACGGACATGCCTCCACCATACATGGGACCACAGAAAGTCAACGGACTGCAAGAGTCACACCAGTCGACCACGCCAGGACCGGCCGTGTCTGTGCATGTGTCAGATGCGCAAGCTCCAATAAATAACCCTCCCTTCGTTCTTCCTCCACAGAGCTCCCAAATTCAAAATACCCCGGCCTACACTACTTCGTCGGGAGTGCCTTTGTCGGCTGGAACAGATAACCCAGTCCAGAGAACAAAGCAGGACCTACCCGTCTTTACTTCAAGCTCTCCCATTCCGTTTGCGGCCCCCACTCAGGACGAGCCACACTTGCAGACACAGAATCATGAACAAGCTACGAACCAGCAGGCTTCGGTCTGGGAGATACCTGAGATCTTGCAGCCAGAGTGAAAGAGATCCTTCTGAAGACCATCCATTCTCTTATTAACTTCTTGGATGCGATTGGTCAGGCACCTTCGGGTATGAGCTTCTTGGATGGTGTGAATGGCAGGCTCCTTCCTACCCATCCTCCTTTCTCCTTTGTTCTTCTTTTGTTTGAGTTAGAGATACCCCCTACAGCATTGGTTAGGAGCTTGGATGTGTAATGGGAAAACCAGGGTTATTTTGAATCCTAATCTTTCGTTCCGAAGTGCAATGAACCGCCTCAAGTTGGAAAGAGCATGCTGAGATCAGCTCCGCCAGCAGAACCAATTGGGGATCACTGCTCCTCCGGTGACAAAAGTAATGAAATACATTCAGATCGATTTATCATCGCTCCAGTAGCTCTCGTATCTTTTTGAACAAGCGAGACAGAAAACACACAAAGAAAATTACACGAATCTGGCATGAAGGTGGCAAACATAAACTCCGCAAACGAAACATTAAGCATCCCACACAGTCCTTTCTCTGGCTTCAGTTCACATTACTACACAGCCATCCCTCTTCCTGCGGCCGCCGGGCTTACCCTCCTCGCGGGGCCTCACATTGTGCATCCTCCTGCCCTCCAACGTGCCATTCCTCTCGTTCGCCCTTGCCTGCAGCTTGTTCTTGTATGGCCAGAAGATCTCCTCCTGGTCCTTGGCAGTCAACATGGCAAATTTGGCTGTTGCCATGATTTCTTCGCGAGAGTGGCCGTCCTGGATCATGCGCTCGACGTCGTCGTAAGTCTCCTTGTAGGTGCGAGTGGCGGCTTTCTTCTGCCGCTTCGCCGCCTGGGAGGCCACTGCGTAATTGCTGTATGTGCTTGGGCTGTACGTAGTGCTGGCGGAAGCAGCTTCGGTCGTGGCGTACGGCGCCTTGGGCTGCGTGGGCGAGATGCGGCGCGGCGGGGGGTAGCTGGGCTTGCGGCGCTTCGCGACGCCCGCGTCGTATAGCAGCAGCGGGGACCGCTCGTGGCGGCGGCGGGACGGCGACGTGTTCACGATCCCGGGGATCAGGCTCGGCGGGATCTCCGACACGTCTTGCACGGTCCCGTGGAGGCGCACGCTGGTCGGGGAGTAGCTAATGCCGCCGCTCCTGCGCTCCCGGGCAGACGGCATGGCGATTTCCGTCAGGTCCTGGGCGATGTTGCCCAGCCGGCCGAACATCCGGGGCGTGTCGCTCGAGTACTGGGAGCGCGAGACCCTCTGCCGCTTGGTGATGTTCGTGGGGCTGGTGTTTGACAGCCGCTTCTGCGGCAGCGTCGCGTAGTTGGCGTACTCGGCGTACTCGGAGAAGTCGTAGCCGTCCTCGTGGACGTTGTCCCGTCGGTTCACATTGATGGGTGACGGGTTCCTTCGGGCTGTCCCGCGACGAGAGACCGCCTGGGGCGGTAGCGCCACGGGCAGCATTGGCTGCTGAACGCTGCGGGCGAGAGGGTGCAGGTGGTCCTCCGGGTGAAGAGGGATGCCTCGACTGACGCGCTGCGCGCAATCGGGACAGTTCCAGGGGATATGATATCTTATGGCGTTGACTCGCTCTTTGTTGCATTCCATTGTGGGCAGCGCGCAGCCGCCGTCTCTCCTGCTGAAGCCGCCGTTGTGGCCGCACTGGAAGACGGCTAGGTCCCAGATACACATTGTTGCGGTAGCGGAAGTCGAGGGCGGGGATTTTGTTTTGGGATTGTGAGGATTCGAGTGAAAAAGGGAAGTGAAAGGTATGATTTGTATGGGGAGCTATGGGAAGGGGAAGAGTAGACCCGGGCCACGATATGAAGCAAAGGGTGAAAGGGTCACCATACAAAGCCTTCCTTTGTTCGAGGGTCCCGCATGCGGACAGTCGGGTTCGTGAAAGAGTAGCTCTCGAGGGGCAGAAGATAATGCCACGTCAATTGGGACATAGGTATTGCATTCCCGTGGTTCTCTCACAAGAACGAATCTCATTCTTACCTTTCTCCATCTTGGGAGTTGTATGGATGGCTCATAGTCAAATACCGTAGGATTTTTGTGATTCGTGAGCCAGCAACTTCGATGCTTACCCACTCCCAGAGCATAAGACCAAAATTGCTATGCTTTCACTGGGGATGAAGGAGTCTTTACTGCGAACAGGTCTCGAACATTTGGGAGTGATTACCTAGTGCCCTGGTAGTGTGTTGTGGCCGGAGTATTGTGTTGTGATCCAGATGGCGACGAGGCTGAGACGCAGTGCCAAGACCTCAGGCGGTTGCCCCTCGAAACAGTTTGTAGCCTTCCGCATTGGGACACGGCTGTCGCCCGCCATCATCACCATGGCCAAAACAGGCCCAACGCCATTCGCTCATCTCTCCTCCACATGACGAAGGTCTTCATCTGTGCGCTGCCCGAACGCCTCTCTACTATTTTGCATTATTAGCTGCGCATGGATTCGTCCTTGATCTGACCGCCATCGCCGACTCAATCTCGAGTAAACAAACCCCGCCGCTCGCCGAACAATGGACGACCGTCCAGCCTTCACTCAAATACCGCCCGGCTATGCCGATGGACCTCCTTCATATGTCAATGGCCCAGGAGAGGAGGATGTTATGAGCATGCCCGGATACAACGGATCACTTAGGCTGCTCCCGCAGGGTCAAGATGAGTACAGACCGTATGTGACAAGCTCCGTTTCTTCTACGCAACCCAATGGACCGCCCTCACCCAGGCGCAAGCCCATACCTGACCCCAAGGTATCGCGCGTCGCATGGGAAGACTCTCCCATAGAGTCCGCCGTCCGAGGCGCCAGGATTCAGTCACCAGTGGCTTCATTGATCGCAGAAGCCGAAGAATCTCTTCGGCGCAGTCGAGAGACAGCCACGTTCATTGGCCGCGCACCTACACTCAAGGCTACTGTGACCCTCAAGAAAAGCTCCCAGACTGACAGAAGCCTTCCATATAGAACCTCTCCCTCCCTTCGAGGCTCCCCGGAAAGATATCGACCTACGGCGTCGACCGCATACAGCTCGAGGCCAGGTTCCAGTTTAGGACGGGCCCCCTCGATACCTCCACCAACGGCAAACCCTCGTTCACCGATCAGACCTTCTACCCCTTCTCGAGTATCTACCGACTGGGGCAGGCCTGCGGCGTCCAACGTTTCATATGAACCGGCGGACCTTAATGGCAGTCCACGGCCGGGCACACCATCCTCACAGTATGGCGGGAGCCCGCGAAGACCGCTACCTCCTGCGCCACTCTTCTCGGCCAAAGGCGCCGCAACAGAGACTACGATACCGATACCGGACCCCGACTTGGAAAACGATGTCTTTGTGAACGGTCACTCAATCGTCCCTGACAACGATCCCAGAGCGAGCCTAAAATCGGCTCACTCTTACATGACCGACTCGACCTTCACGGAAGAGGACGACGCACAGAGCGAGAAATTTGATCATTATGGCCCTGCTCCGGAAGGAAGACAGGACCGACGAGGACTAAGGGCAGCACAAATGACAAAAAGAGAAGTGCGACTTATCAATGGAGAATTGATCCTCGAGTGCAAGATCCCTACAATTCTCCACAGCTTTCTACCCCGGAGGGACGAACGAGAATTCACGCATATGCGATACACAGCCGTCACCTGCGACCCAGACGACTTTGTTGTGAAAGGCTACAAATTACGCCAGAACATTGGATCTACCCTTCGAGAAACAGAGCTTTTCATCTGTGTGACCATGTACAACGAAGGCGAAATCGAATTCACGAGGACAATGCATGGTATCATGAGAAACATCAGCCATTTCTGCTCGAGGACAAAATCCAGGACCTGGGGCAAAGATGGTTGGCAGAAGATCGTCGTTTGCATCATTGCGGACGGAAGACAAAAGGTCCATCCTCGCACTCTCAATGCTCTGGCAGCCATGGGAGTCTACCAGGATGGTATAGCCAAGAACATTGTCAACCAGAAAGAAGTCACCGCTCATGTGTATGAATACACGACACAGGTGTCGCTGGACGAGACTTTGAAATTCAAAGGTGCGGAAAAGGGCATTGTTCCGTGCCAAATGATCTTCTGCCTCAAGGAGAAGAACAAGAAGAAGCTCAACTCTCACCGTTGGTTCTTCAATGCTTTCGGCCGTGCCCTGACGCCCAACGTTTGCATCTTACTTGATGTTGGTACCAAACCGGATTCGAAAGCGCTATATCATCTTTGGAAAGCTTTCGACCAAGACTCTAATGTCGCTGGGGCGGCAGGTGAAATCAAGGCTGATAAGGGCAAGGGTTGGATAGGCTTGCTAAACCCGCTGGTCGCCTCACAAAACTTCGAGTACAAGATGAGCAACATCCTCGACAAGCCACTCGAGTCCGTGTTTGGCTATATCACTGTCTTACCCGGTGCTCTGTCGGCGTATCGATACTACGCTCTTCAAAACGATCCCAGTGGCCACGGTCCACTCAGCCAATATTTCAAGGGCGAAACGCTACATGGTCGTGATGCCGACGTGTTCACCGCCAATATGTATCTTGCTGAAGATCGAATCCTCTGCTGGGAGCTCGTTGCAAAACGCGGCGAACAATGGGTTTTGAAATTCGTCAAGAGCGCGTACGGGGAGACCGATGTGCCAGGTAAGGACGAAACAGAACTAGTTGAGAATTGCGCGCTGACCAGATGCAGATGCTGTTCCCGAGTTTATCTCTCAACGACGACGCTGGCTCAACGGCGCTTTCTTCGCGGCAGTATACTCTTTGGTCCACTTCAAACAGATCTGGCATACCGACCACACATTGACTCGAAAGATCTTGCTACACATCGAATTCGTTTACCAGTTTATCTCCCTGATATTCACCTTCTTCTCCCTCGCTAACTTCTACCTCACCTTCTACTTCATTGCTGGCTCATTGTCAGACCCCAAGATCGATCCTTTTGGCCACAACATCGGAAAATACATCTTCGTCATTCTCCGCTATATTACCGTGTTGTTAATCTGCCTACAGTTCATCCTCAGCATGGGCAATCGGCCGCAAGGCGCAAAGAAGCTATTCACCGGTACAATGGTCACATATTCGGTTATCATGGCATACACCACCTTTGCATCTCTCTACATTGTCATCAAGCAGCTCACAACACATGCGCTGGAGCAGACGGATCCGAACAATCCTTACAAGCTAGGCGATAACATCTTTACCAACCTCATTGTCAGCACAGTGAGCACAGTTGGCCTCTATTTCCTCATGTCATTTCTGTACCTGGATCCATGGCATATGTTCACCAGCTCGGCGCAGTACTTTGCCCTCCTGCCGTCCTACATTTGCACGTTACAAGTGTATGCATTCTGCAACACCCACGACGTCACTTGGGGCACCAAAGGTGACAACATCTTGCATACCGACCTCGGAGCAGCCAAAGCAGTCGGGTCTGGCGGAAACACCGTCGAAGTGGAAATGCCCTCTGAACAGCTTGACATCGATTCCGGGTACGATGTCGCACTCCGCAATCTGCGGGACAGAGTCGAGGTACCTAAACCGCCCGTCAGCGAGTCCCAGCTGCAGGAAGACTATTACAAGTCCGTCCGGACGTACATGGTCGCAGTATGGATAGTGTGCAATGCCATTCTCGCTATGGCCGTCTCAGAAGCTTACCCAGTGGGCAGCCACATCAGCAACAACATCTACTTGAAAGTCCTTTTGTGGTCGGTGGCTGCCGTGGCTCTCTTCCGTGCCATTGGATCCTCGGCATTTGGAATCATCAACCTCATCTCGGCAATTGTGGAGGGAAGGCTGCAAGCCAAGTTTGAGAGGATCTTTGGCGGTGGGGATGAGAATGGACGACATAGAAAGGGGTTGGGTAGCGGCATCAGTGAGAGTGGAAAGACTGGATTGAGTGGTGGCAGCAAGGGGAGTGCCACGGGTATCAGCCTGAGTGAAGTGACGAGTAAGATCTCCGAGAAGTTCAGTTGGATAGGCAGGAGGTAATGCAAAGGGATGGTGGATGGGATGAAGAAAATGCTTTTCGATGCATTGCAAACGAGTTTGAGTGGCGCTGTTTTATGGTTGATGTGTACGACAAAAGGACTATTTGTATGATTTCGGCTTTCTGGGGGATTTCGGGACGGGGAGGTAATCAATGCATTGTGACCGCATGTTGCAAAAACTTGGGACAAGGAGAAAAGAGAAAAGTTCGCATCTTTGTCTTCTGCTCTTCTGGCTGTAGAACATTAGATAAACCGTGGGAATCAACAAGCGGAGACAATATTCGAGTAGTCGACTCGATGTATCACTACTACTGCTGTTACTCTTTCTATATCAGTGAAGGACAAATCGCCAGCCCATGCTGGACAGAACATATGTACACCACAGGGCGGGACATCACGTCTCGGGTATGGATGGGAGAGGAGCAAGGGACAAAGAAAAAAGCCATGTAGTGTAGTGATCAAGAGAGGGGATAGGTGTTGAGAGTTTTAAAACCCTCACAGGAGTAGGAGTGACCTGTATGACCGGGGACATGGGGGACCGGACTGGAGGGAACTTACCAACAAACTTACCGTTTCTCTGATTCGATTATCACTCACCTATAGACACAAGCACATACTACCTTTTCAACCATTCCTAGAACCCAAACAATTCCGTAGCAAAGGTTCACCGCTCGCGGGATTGAGATAGGTCCCCTTCGAAGAGGAGACGAGACGAGACAAGACGAGATGAGACATTTGACTTACCTTTCGTCACGGAAAACATCAGAATGCCTCCACCGTTAATGCCATTTTTTGCGCTTCTCTCACTGTGTCAGAGACAGACAAATCTCGCACCGCCAGGGGGGGGGGACATGCCTGCTTCCTCCAGCGAGGAATTTTGGAGGATTTTCCCGAGATTTTTTGGGGCTTTTCACAAGTTTTGAATATTCCTGGGGGTTGAGTTCGGGGGCTTTGTAATCGAAATAAGCAGAAAAATATCACCTGGGGAAGGAATTGGCGCAGGGGGGAAACTTACCTTTCACTTACCTGTGATGACCTCTCGAACATAAACGCTCAGAGCGACGCAGTTAGGACCGCGCCTTGACCCGAGGTGCCTTTCTTCGCGGGGTATCATCGTACGAGTCGCTGTCATCTATGACAACGACACGCCTAGATCTCTTTTTGAATGCGGGCGCGGCAGGCTGGGTTGAAGAAGGCATGGGTGCTTGTCTTCTCAGGGGCATCAAGACTGGAGCGCCAACTGCTGGAACAGGAGGAGCGAGGGGAAGAGGAACGCGGACGACAGGGGCAGCGACAGAAGGAGGAAGGTGCGTGTAGAACTGTTCGACACGGCGAACATATCCCAAGAACGCTCCTGTGCGGGTCTCTTCCTTTCGATACCACTCGACTGTAGTGCCTGGGGTGGCGACGAGGGTTGGGGCGGGATGAACTACGGGAGTGGGAGCTTGCTGGGCAGGCACAGCTCGAGGTATGGCCGGATCGAGAGGATATCGAGAGTTCAGTGGCCTGTGAAGCCGTCTGGACTCACGCTCCCTCTGCTGCACCTCGCGAACCCTCTGCTTGTGCTGCTGATGATTTTCTCGCCTGTGCGCGAGCCTTCGAGCTCTGGCCGCAGCCTCTCGTTGACGTTGGACACCCTCTTCATACCATTTTTCGCTGTGCCTCAGATAGCCAGTTGGCTGGGGGAAGGCGCGGGATGGATTGGAAAACCTTGATGAAGACGCGGACAACGGGGTTGGCGCAGATTCCGGTGCTGAGCGATTCGAGGGACCTGCAGTGTTAGCGTACTCGGTGACTCGAGTGAAGTCTATCTCCCCCAGCTCGGAATTAACCACCGGAAGGTGGCTGAAGTCGAGCTCTGGAAGTTCTTGTTGCAGGGCCTGAGGAAACTGTGGCATTGGGACTGGGCGAGGCGGCGAAAGTGGTCTATACCCGACTCCGTAATCTTGAGGGTTCACGAAGGCGTCAGCCAGAGGATCCTGGGGAGCTGAGTTTGAAGCCTGTGGGGCCAGCAGTTCGGAGTATCCGAAAAAATCAGCGAGAGAGTTCATGGGGCGAGGCTGCAATTGAACCTCCTCAGGGACGAGAGGGAAGCGTGATTCAGGGGCGTTGTTGGACACTCCAAGAGGTAAAGGAGATCCTATATCCAGTTCTGTCTGGTGGGAAAACCAGAAGTCAGGATCGAACGTGTCGAGATCGGTCAGACTTTGAGCAGCTTGTGAGCGGTTGTCTGCTGGGACGACCTCATCATTAGCTGGCTCCTGGAGAACGAAACCTAGATCAAGGAAATCATAGTGGTCGGCATTGACAAAGGGCTCTTGGGCAGGCGTACCATAATCAGCGAAATGGAAGTCGGCCAAGAAGTCGCCTTCAAAATAATCCTCGGGACGAAATTCGGTACCAGGAACAGCAGGGTTCAAGTCTGGGAAAGTAGTGTCAGGTGGATTGAGATCCGTTTCAGCCGCGGTATCAGGGAGGCCGGAGTCGAGCTCTATCGGCGAGGCATATTGAGGTGCATCGGGGAACACTGGGACGTAGGGAAGGTTGTTTGTTGGACGTATCGTCGGCAAGAATGGGTCAAGAGGATTGACTGTCAGGTGCAGACGATTCTGCTCGAAGAGTTCTTCAAGTGAGCTAGAATTGGAGAATTCAGACTCGCTGTCAGAATTTATGAAGGTCCAGCCTTCGAGTGGTGGAAATGGGGTTGATCCTTCAGGTTGGGACGCCATTTTGAAAGGGGTGATCGCCGAATCTGCTTGGTTCTAGAAGTTGCTTGTGAACGGGAGCAAATGTGCGATCGATTGAGAAACCCTTTCAAGGGCGCTGGTGATTGCGTTGGAAGGATGGAGAACCAAAACGCCACTGATGCGCATCTCCTGACCCATCTTATAGTTTTCGTGCTTCGATAACAAGAGGGACATTTTGCCAGGAACACAAGGGCATTCTGATCGGATAAAGACACCAAACAGCAAGCGGCTGAGACAAAAGGCAAGCCCCAGAAGTATGCCAATGATACACAAGGCAGCTTGTTGGCCTCGGATTCTGTGAAAGATTAACGTTCTCCATGCCCTTTGTGAAAACAATGCCATTCAGCCTTTGTCGGAGGTTCAGGTATCCTAGATTGTCACTTGCAGTCTTTATCTGCCTTGTCAGCCCAGATGAGGTGCCTTGTCCATGTATCACAGGAACAAAGCACGCGAGATGAGTTTGTGGCGGCGGCAGTGATGAGGCAGCCGCAACGATGAGGCAACAGCAATACAGCCCGCATGGCTCGTCATCTCGTCCTGGATATCTGTCGACCCTTTGGCTCGCTAGTTCCTTCTTCTCCAACATCACGCAAAGACTGCTCGTGCCTTGAAGTACAAGATGGGTTCCGCCGGTGCTACTATTGGCATTGTTATGCTCGTCATCATTATTCTGGCCGTGGTTGTGGGCATCATTGGATGTCTCCGTCGGAAGCAAGAGGCCCCTCCTTCGAACAGCGTCAACCGTCGACAATACAACGAACGCTGGCCAAGTGAGTCCTATGGCACACGGCAGTCAGGTCGGACAAATCGGGTCAATGGTAAGACGGCAAGAGAGAGAGGAGAGGTTGATCCGTGGGAGCCCCGACGCGACGTGAGGATGCACCCGATCAAGCCCGCTCGAGTTCGCCGTGTCCACGGTGAAGCCTACTTCACCGAGCGCTTCAATCACGATAACTGGGTCTGAAGGTGATACATTGTTGTACTATCGGGTAGATCAAGGGTAGGTGTTGGGTAGTGGAAGTAGGAGGAGTCAACTGGAGGATGTCGGAGTGAGTTCGATGGGTACCTAATATACATAATGGGCGGATGGGATATGATAGATGGGTTGATGTAGTTGCAGTAATGAATGCAGGAGTGTCGGCAGCCTTGCTCGGACATATCGGGCGGATATAAGATGAGGCTCGGCCGAGACAATGGCCGAGATGTGTCGGACAACATCATCCTGATCATCCTCCCAACCATGCAACAATCCCAGTGGCTTGATGGCATCTTCGTACGGCCCCCAACGCCGACATTTGGCGACTTCTCTTCCGCATCGCTCCTTTCATACAGCTCGAGTGTTTCAACAATGGTTTCTGCCTATTTTCAAGTGGTGTCGTGAAAATTGATGCTTCTCTCAAGCTGTGGATGACAATATCAAGCCATCGCTCGAACACCTCTTCGCGCATTAAACAAACTGCTGGCATTTTCGAAAATTCATATTCTGTATAGGCTGGGCTCTAGTTGAATCTCGCACCATCTTGATATCCCGGCTCGGTCTTCAACCAATCACCACCGGAGCACTTGGACCAGGGCCGAGGGGCGCGGCTATCAAAGCACTCTTTGCCCGTCAAGCTCGCGTTTATCGACCCTCGGTGTTAGACCATCGGCCGCCCAAAGCTCGATCCCAACAGCCATGGGTCCCAAACGCCGTCGCCTGGCACTCTCCTGTGTGGCCTGCAGGCGAAGGAAGGTGAAGTGTGATAGGACGTATCCAACATGTGTGCGGTGTCAGAAGGGAGGTGTGAGTTGTGACTACGTCTCTTATACCAAGCAGGACAGTGCTCTCCCTACTCCCTCTGAGGAAAGTCCGCAGCTTCGGAGAGAGGCTTCGGTCACCTCTTGGACTGGTAAGTCTTCTAATACATGCTCCCCAATAAACCCGCAGATCAATTTTACCCAGCATGTTTTTCTGTTAGTTTTGTTGTCCTTCAAGTGATATCTTGAGTAAGAACTGACACTATGCAAACACTAGAACACGCCGACGTTTGGCATGCCCGGTCAAAAGAGCACGAGAGTGCCCGAAACCACGAGGAGAGTCAACAATCTGGCTCCTCGCAACCTCGCACCCAAACAAAGTCTCTGCGAGAGCTACAGGACCGAGTGTTCGATCTGGAAACCCATGTCAGGGCGGCGGGGACGCGTCCCATCTCGCCGGCGGTGTATCTCGGTCTCGGCCATTCCGCCGGTTCAGGGGCAAGCACCGACAAGAATGCGTTACATGACCACGAACGAGCCTTGCTCCGGGGTAAAGGCTTCAAAACGCAGTACTTTGGTCCGAGTCATGGAGCTAATTTACTTCTACAATTCGAGGAACTTTCCCGCTTTGTCAAGGATATCCTGCAGCGACTGCCAACACTCGAAAAATCCAGAAATATCTGGAAACAACAACGCCGGGACCTGAACGCGAACTTGATCCTTCCAGAGTTCGACACCCTGTTATCGCTGGTCCCCGAACAGAACCGTACAGATGCGTTAGTGCAAGAATATTTCGAGACGCTCGAGACCACATATCGTGTTCTGCATGCACCGACCTTCTTCCGCAAGTACAAGGAGTTCTGGGCATCGTCCAGAGACTCCTCCTCGGGGTTCCTTGTACAACTTCTTCTCGTATGCGCGAGCGTAAACTGCTCCGTAGCCGGCGGCCCTACAGGGTTCGTCGGCCGGAGTTCCGTTTGCCGTGATGCAGCCGTTAAATGGATTGAAGTTTGCGAGAGTTGGCTAGAGCTGCAGAGTCAGAAGCACATGACACTAGAAGTCTTTCAGGTCCGCGTCCTCCTGGTGATTGCCATGAAGCTGAACTGTGTCAAGGTCAAGCGAGAATGGACTGTATCAGGACATCTGCTACGTCAAGCCATGTCGTCTGGACTGCATCGCGAGCCAACATTTTTGAGCAACACCATCTCAGTCTTCGACCAGGAGATGCGCAGGAGGCTGTGGTTCACAATACTCGAGCTTGATATCCAAAACACCCTCGACCGTGGTGTGGGGCCAAGCATTGGTCCATTCGACTGGGACACCTTGCCACCCTTGAACCTCCACGATGAAGACTTTGATGAGTCGACGGAAAAGATGCCCTCGGCCAGGCCTATGACCGAGTTCACCCGTACATCATTCATTTGCCTAGCCCATCAACATTTACCGCTCCGCCTGGAGATAATATCCAGGATCAACAGCATTCGTATCTGCCTTGAAAGTGATACTGCCATCGAGCTTGATCAAAAGATCCGGCAGACCTTGGACAATCTCCCCAAGTGGTCTGATCACGCTGCAGGTGCGATGGCAGAAGCTCTCTCGGAGCTGCTCCTCTACGAGATTCTGTTGCTCATGCATCAGCCGTTTGCCACTCAGGTCGACGCCCCCGCAAGGCACTTCTACTCGAGGGCCGCCCGGCGCGACGCAGCACTGTCGACGATGAGGATTTTTACCGGACTGCGGCCCAGTAGTAGAAGGACCTATATCAACCTTCGGGATGATTTGTTCCGAGCTTGCCTTGCAACTTGCCATGATCTCGTCGTCTCAGCACGATCGAGAGAGGAATTATTACAAGATCAGACCATTGCTGAAAACCTGATCGAGCAGGGCGTCAATGTGATGGAAGAACGCATCAAAAGGGTCGGCCAAGGGTTTCATACGTATTGGCTCACCTGCAGCGCCCTGGGGCTGCTGCATTCAAAACTCTCTCCAGAGGAACCGGCAGAAAAGTTCGCACAGGAGACCGCTGACCGGGTAGCCACTCTCCAGGGCTACATGATGTCGCAGCAGATTCCGCCTGTCGGAAACAGCAACGGCGTCGAAGATGTCACCATGAGCACAGCCAACACGCTGGTAGGAATGAGTGCCCTGCCAACACCCGGTCAACCTCTACCGGAGCTTGATCCGTTTGTGACAACGACCACCGATCCATTCAATACCTTTCCTGAGACATTGTTCGACTTTGATATCACGGATCTCTGGAACATGGGAGGCATCGGGGGAAGCACACACTATTGATAGAGTTAGGTCCTGCTTGATGAGCAGGATGGGATAGCATCACCCCTCAAAAGAAGTCTTCAAATCCTATGACGGCATATTGCTTCGCTGAACGCTGCATCGCAACACTGCTGACAGAACACTGCTCACAGAACAGCCGAGTAAATTTTGTCATCGACATGCGAAGGCGAGGTCATTAGACACAATTTTCCGCCGCATTGAACACTGGTGCAAGGGCTCTCGAAAGGCATCCAGCCAAGCAGCCACGCAGCCCAGCCATGTGAAATTCGTTCCACTTGCTGCAAATTGTTCGGAGGTCGGGATTCGGCCTTGCTCCGCCTCATGGCGATCGTCAGCCACGTTCTCCAGTTAAAGCAAGCTTAGTAGGTCTCCTCTCTCCTATCCGAAACCATGGTATCCCTGTCCGTCCTCGACACTAGCCGCCCGTGCGAGAGCGTTCAACGTCCCTGAAACCTAGCAATATCCAATGTTTAAGGGGCAAAACACGGCACAGATGGCACTACAATGATTGAGCCCAAATCCATGACACCCCAAAGGTGGCTTCATCCAAAGAATCACCAGCGGTTGCTCGCCGTAGCGTCTTTCCCACTTGTTCTATACTCGATGCGCTGGGTCCAAGCTGATTGACGATCAATCAGCCCCTGCCTTATACTCCTACTGGTTTGTGTTCTCTTCTCTTCCGATCTGAAATATGTGTTTCCGCCTGATCGCGGCTTGGATATGTGAACCTTCTTCGCGCGACGAGAGCCATGTTGGCGACGGTTCTTTTCATTACTCTGCTATGCTCGTCAACAGCTTTATCTTCTGTGTCACGCAGGGCGACCACGAACTTGGACCCTGCCTGGGCTTATAATGCTTCACAGTTCTACAGGCGTTGCTCGCAGGCGAGTACGATTATTTCTGTCCATCCACCGGATGTGTGACTAAACCCTCTTACAGGTATCGTAATCGGCGACTACCTCTATATAGACGGCGGCGAGATTTATTACCTTGATGATCAAAAGTCGCCGCGAAGCCTACCATTAAATTCAACTTACTCCGTCAGCTTGACATCGACCTGGACCAATCGCTCGATATCTCTGAATCCCATCGCCAAAGGCTCAGCGCCGGTCTTGAACGGAGCGAATGTGTGGCCGGATGACGCTGGCACCTCGTTTTATTCATTCAATGGGATCGTGAGCCAGGCTTATACGACACCGCCCGAGCCGCCACCGGACCAGCTGTGGCAGTTTTTGCCTGATGGCAGTTCAGGAAGCTGGACCATTGTGGATGCACCAAATCTGAAGAGACTGAACAAGGCCGGCTCAACATCTGGGAATGGATCCTCATATATCCTCGGAGGTTGGGGGAGTTGGCTGACCGACTCGGAATACTCCAGTAATACTGCGTTAAGACATCCAGGAGGTGGTTTGGTGACATACAACTTGGACACTCGGACGTGGGCAAACCAGAGTATTGCAGAACTGGCGCCCTCAGGCTGGTCATACGAGGCTGAATTCCATTATCTCGAAGGGCTGCAGCGGGACGGACTGTTGCTTGCTATGGGTGGAGCCACAGCGCCGCCTGGACCTATCTCCTCCGGAGGACAGACCTTGAACTCCTACGGATATGTTAGTCTTTTCGATACTGCTACCGGGACGTGGTATAATCAGTCGACGACAGGCGATATTCCAGTCCAGCGGTATGACACATGTTCAGTCGGTGTCCAAGGGGACAATGGCACGTTCGAGGTACGTTATAGTGTGGCAGGATGCGCTGAACACATTCTGATTGTCTCTAGATTTTCCTGTATGGAGGCTCCGTGGTACCACCTCAGACGACGCAGCCAACAGATCAGCAATCCAACATCGACTTGGCCAAGGTGTCCATCCTGTCCTTACCATCTTTTCACTGGCACACGACGGCACTGAATCCTAAGCATTCACGGGCTAAGCACAGCTGCAATCTAGCTGGCAACAGGCAGATGATTGTTGTCGGTGGTGCCATTGCCAATGTTGCGAACGCCCATCAGACAAAAGATCCATGGGCACAGGGGCTGGGAGTTTTCGACATGACCGAGCTAGAATGGAAGGACTCTTATGATCCGTCTGCTGCGACTTACCAGACACCAAACATCGTCAAGCAATATATCTCGGCGAATGGACAATACCCTACGACCTGGGATTCCCAGACAGTTGAATCGTGGCTTTCGGCCAAAGGCAAGTCTACCCTCCCATTTACACGCCTATTGATCTAACATACCAACAGCAGCCCCGAACCCCACCAGCTCGTCTAGTCCAGCAAGCTCAAGCCCTGCTTCTAACGGTGGCAGCGGCAGTAGCAATACCGGTGCAATTGTCGGAGGTGTTGTGGGCGGTGTCGGCGGACTCCTCATTCTAGGATCGGCGTTCTTCTATCGCCGTCACCAAAGATCCCGGAGAATCGGTCGACAATCACTCAACTCCGAGGAACTCATTACTCGCGATCAAGAACAGCCGCATGGCGACGCTTCCTCTATGGTTGATATGACATCACACCCTGAGGAACTCGCCGCCACCGAACCTCGTACTGAGCTCCCAGGGATGCCTGTTGGTTTCGCAACGCCAGCTGCCAAGGAAGCGGCGCACGGCGCCCACGAGTTGCCGTGAAGGAGACATATCTCGGCCAGGCAAGCCACCGATTTGTCACGATGATCAACATCGAAGAGTGACAACTCTCCAACGCCTCAAGCTCGGTCAGAAGCCCATGCAGCAACGCCGTGCCGGTGCAAGAAGTGTGTTACCAAAAGCCACATGGAGATTCGTCTCCAGCAGATGCATACGTCCTGGATATGCTCTTGTTCCACGAGGCTGTTTCACTCCAATTGCAGCATGTCAGGCTCCAGATCCCTGCCATGATCGTCCGTGGCTAAAGATGCCGGTACGCAACATGGGCAATGTGTGAGACAAGGATGGACAATGTCCACTCGCCGATCTGGCACTGATTCCTAAGCCGCTATGGCTGAGGCAGAGTGGTTACCTAGATAAAGATACTTGTCCTTCTCGAGAAGTCAGAGAGAGGATCTCTGACTGGTTTTGGAGAGGACATGTTCCTAATCCCAAATGAGAGATGGATGCGTGATACAGTAAATAGAAAAGTCGTATCTTTCCAAAGGTGAGGGGACAAGATGAGCTCGGCATCGATCTGCCTTGTCCTTTGATGCCAAGACATGGGATCAGTTCACTTGCCACATCTGGTATAGCCAATCGCTAGCGGCCGGCTGCAGGCTTTGCATTTTCGCCTTCCCGGTATTTCTAAAATTTCGCCCTTCGCCCCTTCTTCCTTGTCACAACAATCTCTTCTCACCTCTTGCTCACTTCACTTTTTTCCCTCTCATACCTTCTCTCACGCTTCTCCTCCTTCCACACGACGAGTTGACTCTGTACAGTCGATTCTTACCCCCATCCCCCTCTTAATCATCGATTCTACACACAGGTGACGGACTTCGGCGCCCACCATGTCTTACGGTGGCTACGGATCATCAAGAGAAGGCGGTTATTCTAACGGGTATGTGAGAGACACTCCAAATTCGTCATTTTCTGTGCCAGCGCTGTCCTGCGCCCACCCTGCGGGATCCAGGACAGACCGGCGCAGGCTGACTTTTGTTGATTTTCTGGTCGAGACTAACAATTTCGCAGTTATGGCGGCGGTGGTCACGGCTACTCGAACGGCTACACCAACGGCTATGGCGGGTCCAACGGATACTCTGGCGGCGGCGGCGATAAGATGTCCAACCTGGGTGCAAACCTGAAGCAGCAGCATTGGGATCTGGACAATCTACCAAAATTCGAAAAATCATTCTACAAGGAGGATCCCATAGTCACCGCCAGGTCGCAGCGCGATGTCGATGAGTTCCGCAGAAAAAATGAGATCACAGTTCAAGGCCGCAATGTTCCACGACCAGTCGAGACTTTTGACGAGGCCGGATTCCCCAGCTATGTCATGTCTGAAGTCAAGGCTCAAGGCTTCACCAAGCCCACTCCGATTCAATCTCAAGGCTGGCCTATGGCGCTTTCTGGCCGTGATGTCGTCGGTATTGCCGAAACCGGGTCTGGCAAGACCTTGACTTACTGCCTCCCCGCTATCGTCCACATCAACGCTCAGCCACTTCTTGCTCCTGGTGATGGTCCCATTGTCCTCGTCCTTGCCCCGACCCGAGAACTCGCCGTTCAAATTCAGCAAGAAATCACCAAGTTTGGCAAATCCTCCCGCATTCGGAACACCTGCGTCTATGGTGGCGTCCCCAAGGGTGGCCAGATCCGCGACCTTACTAGGGGCGTGGAAGTGTGCATCGCCACTCCTGGCCGTCTCATTGACATGCTTGAATCTGGGAAGACCAACCTGCGCCGCGTCACTTACTTGGTTCTCGACGAAGCAGATCGTATGCTTGATATGGGTTTTGAGCCTCAAATCCGCAAGATTATCGGCCAGATTCGTCCCGATCGACAAACCTGCATGTGGTCTGCGACGTGGCCCAAGGAAGTGCGACAACTGGCTTCTGATTACCTCAACGATTTCATCCAGGTCAACATCGGCTCCATGGATTTGTCGGCAAATCACCGAATTACTCAAATCGTGGAGGTTGTGTCCGAATTCGAAAAGAGAGATCGCATGATCAAGCACTTGGAGCAGATCATGGAAGATCGCAATAACAAAGTTCTCATCTTCACTGGCACCAAACGTGTGGCTGACGACATCACTCGATTCTTGCGTCAAGACGGATGGCCAGCACTTTGTAAGTTTTATCCTCGTTTATCCTCGTTTATCCCGTCATTGATCGTAGGCTAACGATAACCAGCTATTCACGGTGACAAGCAACAAAATGAACGTGACTGGGTCCTCAACGAATTCAAGACTGGCAAGAGCCCAATCATGGTCGCTACGGATGTCGCATCCCGTGGTATCGGTATGAACAAACAGCAATCCCCTCCCCTCGCCCCTTTTTCCCTCTTATATTCTGTATCTTGCATTTCTTACCATTGCCGTCGTGTGGAATGGTGCCGCGCTCTCTTCCCGCTTGTTACGCCTCCGCATTGCGTAACTTGTCCAGGCTTTTGTGTTCTCCTCGGTCCTTCTTCCGGAAATCCTGGATTCTGTTGCAGTTTTGCCGGGACTCTGCTTCCTGGCATCTCTATATCTGCTTTGTCCCAACACGTGTAGGTTGCGGGACACGTTTACTTGACCAGATCAAACTGCAAATCCAGGATCTCTCACCTCCAAGGACCGTAGACGCTTGCCGATCTCCCGGACATGGACATTTGTCACCCAAAAGGATAATGCTCCGAGCTTCAGAGAGTGACATGCACCTCCGCTCACACGACCACACATGGTCCCCGGCGCCCCGTAAGACCACCAATGACTGAGTTGCTAACCTATACTTGAAGATGTTCGAGATATCACTCACGTGTTGAACTATGACTATCCCAACAATTCTGAGGATTATGTTCACCGAATCGGCAGAACAGGTCGAGCTGGCAAGAAGGGCACAGCCATTACGCTTTTCACCACAGACAGTACGCCTCTCCTCCCCTCTCCCATGGTTCCAGTTGCTAACTTTTTGACAGATGCCAAGCAAGCTCGTGACCTAGTTTCCGTTCTACAGGAGTCGAAGCAAAGCATCGAACCCCGTCTTGCAGAAATGGCACGCTATTCTGGAGGCGGTGGCGGTGGCGGCCGTGGATATGGTCGTGGCGGTCACCGCGGAGGCCGTGGTGGCTTCACTGCCTCCAATGCTGCACCCCTTGGCCGGTCCAGGTGGTAAAGCATGGTATCGAACGAGTCGATCGCTCGAGGCGACATACCAACGGTGAGGACGACGACCACCCGTTTCCGTCACCTCGCAAGTCTTGTCACGCATACATCTTTCCTTCACCGTTCAAAGAGACAATAGACTTGTTTTGTGCATTACTGCCATGTCAGGCTCAGGCGTCAGGAGGGGTCGGAGATGGGAAAGATAGATTGTTTCTGTCTATGAGCTGAGGGCAACTTTCCTCCCCCTCGGCAGGTTTTATGCATTCATGGGGTTTTCAGGGTCGCGGGAGCAGCGGGGCTCCTTGCTGCAGAAGATTTGAGCAAAATGGTGATAGAGCTGGTGTCTATGACGATTCCCATGCCTCATTCCATATCTTGATTGGGGAGAGAGAAGTGATATGGAAGGCATGTCTTCGGCACAAGCGTGCAGCATTGTGACCATTGGTCAAAAGACAATAGACATAGAGACTACTTGCTACATAGCTTGAGTGTACAATCGTGCAATTGCCATTGATGAAAGTTGCAGTATCGTGATCACGGTGTTCGATGAGTTTGTTTCGACTGAATTGATTTGAATTCCGAATAATGGAGTACAAGATACGTGCGAGCGGGAGTTGTTGGACCACGAGGGATATATGGAGGTATAGGAGCTGTATGTATTCGCTATGTTTAAATCCATCCATGTATCGAGATGTTGTCATGACCGATTCCAATGTGGCGGAAAGTGTTATGCAAAGCGGATATATTCTTGCGAGAGGGGAGGAAGCAATTTTCGACGTTTCGGAGTGTTTTTTCCCCCTCCTGATATCTCTTTGTAGTTTCTCTCTTTTCGGGGGTTTGGTCCTCGCTCGCTGCCTGCCTTTGTCCCCGTCTAATGTATATATATATATCAATGTGTCTCGACTGGTATACAGGATACAGTGTACAGTAGGTAGATGGGTATCTCAACGAGCATATTTTCCCGCATAAGCTTTGTTCATATCTCCCTGCTCTACCTGCTCGTTCTACCTGTGATCATTACAGCGTTGGGTTTCAGGATACAGAGGCGCAGGGCACAGGTCAAAGGCCAGAGGGCAGGTCGAGAGGAGGTCGAGGAAGTGCAAGGTAAACAGAGGGAGGGAGACGAGTGGGAGGGATTGGGGGGGGGGGGGACGATTTATCCGTCCACCTACAGTATCAACGTATCTCTCACTCGAACTCGGTCTCGTGGATTGATCGACATTGGTCTCCCTCGAATCACCACTGGCCTGACGAGAAGATGCTCTTGGAGGATGAGGTTCCCCTCGTGAGATTTGTGACTGGGCGACGGTGCGACCTGGTGACCTTGGCCGGCAGAAAGTGCGAGAAACAGGAGCGAAGAATTGGTCGAGGTGGTGGTATCATTCCATGAGCGTCTCATCTTTCGAATCAAACGTGTACCTACTGTAAACTCTGGGTAGGCAGTCCGTCGGTCGACATGGCGACACGTTCGGCCGGTCTGGCTAACTAATTCACTAACTAACTAACCAACTACATACGTCGTAGGAATCCTCTGCTCGCTGGCTTGCTGGCCGGGTGACTGGGGTCGTTGGTATAGTCATGTCTATCTATCGTGTGCTCAGTACTCTGCTCTACTCTACTCAACTTAAGGCCCCAGCAACCAGATGCTCTTTTCAATCCATTCAAACTGCCAGGGACTTGCAAGGGTGTAGCCCTGACACGGGAAGAGCAGCTCTGTTATGTCCGCCACTAGAATCAGTGCTGTGACATCGCCTGGACTCGTAACGAGCAATGGGTGGGAGGGAGGGAGGGAGGGAGGGAGGGAGGGAGGGAGGGAGGTTTGACGACGTGAGATGATGTTCGTCGCATTAGGAGGTGATGATGGCCTCTCCCAAGGCTTGGGGAGCCGTTCTGGGACAATCAATAGTCTTCAAAAGGGGGGTCACGATTGAGGATGCTCCCGCTTGTCCTGCACTCGATGCTCTTGCAGGTTCTGGCCGCTGAGGTTCCGTGTTGCTCTGGCGGTGCGGAAGTATCGACTCCTATCTTCCCTGCCTCACGGTCAGAGGATGTAGCTATCCGGGCACAGGAATCCGTTGTGATGTGACATTCATTCTGGAGATTGGAAGGGTAGGTAGAAGATCTTTTGCACGGTTCGTGGAGCTGGTTCCCCGTGACGGGGCTTTCAATAGGGTGTCCCAACCCCAAGGTAGTTGCGCCCAACACGAGAGACATATGCACAGCTGAAGAAAATCGAGGTAACGAGTGGTACGGAGAGATGAACGTGCTGTAAGTAGATGCCTTGGTCAGGGGGTTTGCGGTGCAGGACTGAAGTCACGCAGGGAGTGCCCGCGGGATATCTAGGCAGTGCACTCAGAGCAGGCCGTACTTCAGCGATTACGTGGCGTGGTCGTGAGGACATCAGTTCGTCCCTACCTCTTGGTCGGCCTTCGCGCCTGGTGTATGCCAGAACTTCGGTGTGCAAACGCAATGCTTGAATCCATTGAAGCTGGAAGTTCTTCCTCGCGGCAGGCTTCACTGCCACCTGCGTATTCAGCAGCTCGTCAAGGTTGGCGTCAGGCACGAGGTGCGCTCTGGACCTGGAAATCCATGAGATGGTCTGAAAGGGGGTGCCGCCTACCTTTCCCGTTGAAGCAGCCGCCAAGGGAAGATCCAAAGTTCACCTGGGGAATTGTACGGAGGGCATTCTCGTGCGACTAAGCTGTTTCGTGCATAGCAGCCAGAGAGCGATCCTGCTAGCTGCTCCCCCTTTTGAACGGTTTGCGAGGAGCTGAGATTCTCCATTCCGACTCCCCACAAGATCGCCTGACCGTTCGTCGACCTGGGAGGCTGGGAGATTAGCACACAGACACAACCCGCTCTGCATACTCGGTAGAGTGTGATGATCGACGTGTCGCGATCATCAGAGATGTGGCCACATGAACCAGGTGCTTCGAGGCTCCGTCCAGTCTGCTGGTCTGGCACCTCTTGCCCGGATGCTGCGAGCTCACCTCCTAAGATATTCAACTTACAGCACCGGAGTGCTTGCGACTTGGTCAAAACTTTTGTAGTCGATATTGGTTGACAACAACCTGGGGATAAGGCTGAGAAGTCGCATCATCCAGTCCAATGCCTCCTGTGCGATGGGGGCTGTTGTCGCCGATGCTGGGAGCTCACTATTTCGCTTTCGTGCCCCTTTCGCTTGACTTTGAGGCGGGATTGCAGATATCGGCACCATGTCTCAACTGTCAAGTTAGCATTAAACTCTGAAACAGCACGAGACTTTTTCCAAAGAGTCGGTGAGCGCCCAAATCCGCTACCAGGCCGTTGAGTGAAGGCAGGAGCAGTAGTAATTCGTCCCGGATACTGGGGCGAGTTCCACCTGTAGGAGCATTCAACTCTGGTTCATACGAGTACACTTCCTCTAGGAAAGTAGAAGAGGTCGTTTGCCGGCATTGTACCAACCTGTTCGTCACTGCAGGATGCAGGGTGGAGGGCATCTCTTCCTTTTCCCCAAACGGGCTGCAAAGTTGCAGGTCGTATATTATGGCTCGCGAAGGCTATACCGAAACAGGGAGTGTACCTCTCAGGACGCATCGAGTCGCACATCTCTGAGAGATGCGGAGCAAGCCGTTTCATTTCCTCATCGGAACCCAAAGAGATCGGCAGCCAGGCCACGCCATAAGAGAGTTTGCTCGAGGTGGGTACATGGGTGTCCAATTTCTTGATCAATGGACCTTGGAAATGACCTTGCTGGAGTTTTCCGGGTGTGGAGGCTTTTTGGTTAAGATGGACCATTTTGAATCGGAGAGCACCCGAGCAAGCGACCCCAAGCTCTGATCGCAGTACTAACTAGCCAGATCGCTAAAGGGGAGAGCACTCTACTCGTACTCCGCACCAGTCCACCAAAAACGAAAGAGAATGGCGAATGAATGCCAAGGCAGTTGGTGGGCATCCCACGAGATCGGCGGTGTATCTTCGTCCCAGGGAGAGAAAGCAGACGGCCTCTCGGGACTTGTGGAACCAGTGCTCCATCAACTCAGCACCTCTGTCACCTCGAAAAACGTCACGGGCGCCAGGGGAGGCAAGCATTCCGGAAACAGGCGAACGTCTGAGCTGGGGCAAGTCGACACAAAAAGCAAAACCTAGCTAGGTGTGCTTTGGTTGGCTGACTTTGGCCACGAGGTTTCCGCGCAGGGTGACAGCACATCCATGATGAGGAGGTCGGTGGCGAGGAAGCCAGGCTCTGATTGTGGTCCCCGAAAGACGGATGGGATGGCCTGGTGGGCCGGGGCATCTCTGACAAAAGTGCCGCAGACCAGCCTCCTGATTAGCCATTGTTCCTTCGTTCCAAGAGAGCTCAGTCAACCCTGCTTGACGAGATGTCGGTCATGTTGACACAATCAAGGATGTCAGTCTTCTGTGTGACGAAAGACACCGTATCAGGTGGGTAAACGGGTCTGCATAGGCGTCGAATCACCTGCCAGTAACCCCGAGCTTTAGCTTTTCCTTGCAGCACGGGCCTCCTTCTGCCTCCTTGAATCTTGGTGATGGTCTGGGAGGTTCCAGCACCACGGTTCCGGCCTGCCCGACTTCCTCCATCCCTTGCGCTGCTCAACCACAGGCTTTCCCCAAAGCTTAATGAGAGACAAAACGGCATCGACGACCCGGGGAGTTTGCCTCGTAGTATCGTCTGCTTGGTGTGGCTAGGCTCGCTTCCAATGGGTGAGGGCACTGCCTCGTGGACAGAAAAGGCCCGTCCGTGGGAGTAGCCAGCAGCACCAGTTTTGGTTATGCAGGTACGCCAGGACCAGCACAGGGAGACCCCTAACGAAGACACTATCAGAAGTGCTAGCCGAAAATCGGAGCGGACGGCGGCTCGCCTGGTGGTCAGCTCACCAGCGTGACTTGAGTTTGCCCCTAAGGTGGGAGCTGGGAGTTTGGGAATTTTCCCACCAAGCACTTCCCCCTAGGTCGAAAGATTGCACCCCACGAGAGTTGGATATCGGTGGCGGATCCAGAAACGGTACGCCAAAGAGCTGCCCGGTCATCTCCCCCAGAATGGCACCATCTCGTAGTGGGATGGGCTGCTCGTGTGCCAATATAGAAGAGATTTTCAGACGTGGTGCTTGACAACAGCAGAAAAGCCGCTCGCCAGAAGTCAAAGTCCCAGTGTCGCTAGCATGTACTCCTTGGGCACAGCAAGCCGTGTCCTTCGCTTGTTTTGCCCTGCCCTCTGCATTGTAGTGACCATGTTGGCCTCTGGTTCGGGGTGATTGCAGTGATAGCGCCGCAACCTGCATATGCAAGAGGTTGGGGGTCTAGAAGGTCTTGCCCTTTCCGCGAATCACGGTATATGCGAGCCATCGGAAAACTGGCCATCCGCTCAGGTTGGTGGTGCACTTGACCTTGCAAGGCATTATTGTTGCTCACCTGCATGTACCGAGTACCTCGTACCCGGTTGGAAGTCATCATTTCTTCACTTGTTGGAGAGCTGTCGGTTGAATAGTTGTAGTCGCCTCGACCTAAGCGGCAAGGTCAGGATTCTTCTCGAGCGCTTCTAACTGGCCGTTGCCTCCTTGGCACCATCTCTCTCCAATCTAAAGGCGTCTCTTGTTGACGCTACTGAAAGTGTTGAAGGTGGATGTCGTGAACTCTGAAGATTTTCAGGGGTGGATGCCCGTGCCGCTCGATGTCAACTACGGCGACCACCAGTATACTCGGGAGAGGGGCTTCACGAGGCTCGCCCGGTGCCATCAACCCCCAAGTTTCGCAACGAAGCTAACTAGTACAATGGAATATAGCCGACAGCATAGGGCAGGAGTCCAGAACGTCCAAGGACCTCCTGCCCCCTTACCAAGCGTAGATAGTGCAATACACGATCATCAACCCCATCTCAACACTGTATGGTCAAGTTCGAGGTGGTCACCACCTCGCATCCAGAGGAATTCTGTTCCAAAATGTAAGTAACTTTGGCGACTGATCCGTTTCATCCGGACGAGGATGTCCAGGAGAAAGAACAGCAGAAGGCAAATGACCTGGTGCCCCTCCACACAAGGTTCATTCTTGCGTGAGCTGCTGGGGCCGCGACAACATCGAGATCTTCCTTACGGGTCCTTGATGCTGAAATGAACTCGACGAGGATGATGGTTACCCAAAGAGCAGTGAATTTGTCATAGTTTTCAAGATTTGCTGGGGACGTATGCCAGTGGACGTCACCTCTATGTTTGTCAGTGATAAAAAGGCAGCCCCAGACGACGAGATCCACCATGAAGATAGCTGAGCAAAAACTCAAATGACAGCAGAAATGTGGCATCTGAAGCGTGGCGCCATCCAACGTCAACGGGAATCCTCCACTTACCTCCGGCATGCATTGCAGGGGTTCGAGTCTGCAGACAGCACGGAGTATTCTACCCAAAACATCGGATCCACCGCAGGCACGGGAGCATTGCGCATGCGGCCTTGAATCATTCCCAGACCGGGCGGTGAAGGGAGTCCTTCCCTGAAATCACCGAGTCATAGGTTATGTTCGGTACCTGGCCAGCTGGGGGTCCATGTTCTTGCTCGTTGATGGCGGTCGTCAGTGTACAAAATTGGCTGTCCACCAGGGAAGAAGTCAAAGTTCCATCGTCACGCTAAACGGTAGAGAGTAGCAGGGTCTTCAGGCATGATTGGCGCGAGAATAGAGGCCTCTTAGGCATCCTGGGGAAGTTGAGGCTAGAGAGCCTAGAGAATTCACTCCTCTCAGAAAGGGCAGGCGCCACAGTTGGACTTGTCTAGCTCCATGGTAGTTAGTCTCTCGACACCGAGATCCAAACCCCCAAGGAATACCGAATTTGCGAATTGCAACCGTTCGAGAGCAACCTTCGCCTGTCTGTCTGGATGTCCACGGAATCCCAACCAGGCGGCATCGGAGCTTTCTGTTTGCAGTATTGAGGATGCAAGAGTCTGGATCACAAGACACGGGTGATGCGAGTCAGTGTCTAGAGTAGTAATCGCTTGCATTTTCTCTTCTGACAAGTTGATCTCGCTCTGTGGTGGTATTTTGGAGACGGGGAGGGCGACAGCCTTCTGATCAAGGAATTCTGCATGGAAGGTGGTGTGAAGGCTCATGGCTGCGGCAAGATTAACCTTGCAGGCCCGCCACTTATTACGAAGTTGGCACCCTACAGCAAGTCACCAGTGACAATCTTAACTCGGTGCGGTGGAGGAGGAGCAGGATGAAGGAAGGATCATGGACCTGGGGAGGGGGGCGAACCGGGGCCGGTATTGTCCAATAAACCAGCAAGGCCTGGCGCTGGAGTTGGGGGGGTGGTCGTCTCGGAGGAAGGGTCTCAGCGGGGGGGGGGGGTGATGATTGGTATGGACCGGCCGCCTTGGGGCAAAAGAAAGAGAAGAGGGAGAGACAACATTCCCAAGAGGTTGAAGAGCAGCGAACAATAATGTGGCACTTTGGAGAAGCGAGTCTCATTTGCAGTGCAGGCCAGGAATCGAGATAGCCTGGGGAGGGTCATTGATGCCAAGACGGCCCTAGTCTGCAGGAGGCGTAGTGGCAATGCAACCCGTGCGTTGGTGGCATGGTGTGCTGCCCGCCTTTGGCACTGGTGGCACTCCGCGGATTGTTACTCACACCTCACCCCTTCCAAGTTGGAGAAATACTCCGGTGACAACAGAACGACCGTGTGAGACATGGGGGAATGGCAAGAGGCTGATTGGAGCAAGAGAAGGAGGCGCGAATTTGGGTGCCGAAAAGGCGGAAGAAAAGAACCAAGCCCCCGGGTCCCGGACAAGCTGGACAAAGTCCTGCAATGGTTTGGCTGGTGGAAGCCAGAAATACCATGAGCAGCGCCGGTGCCCGCGACAGCGAGTAATTATAGGCCTTGTTTGGGGGGTGATTTTTAGGTGTCCGGGCGTCAAGTAGGCTTCAGTAGTAGGACTCATAGTGAGTGCTTAGGTGTCTAGGCCCGACCTTGGGGGGGGGGCGGCCCCCGTGCTCGATTCCTGTGCTCCGCTCCCAAACCGCTGGCTCCTTGGCTCTCCTTCCTTTTCCTCGTTCCCTTGCCTTGTCCCTCGGTATGCAGTCGGGTTGTCGGCTACTGCTGGAGCTGCTGCAAATCACCGCCGCTCGCACCCTGGCCGCCTTGGGCGAATCACGACGCCCACTAATTTGCTCCAACGGGCAGCGCACGAGGCAATCTCGTCAGTCAATTAACCTCTGGAGTTGCTGGGCCGTCACAACCTCATTGCTCTCCACCTAACCGCATCATCGACCCCCATCCTTCAACCCTTTCATCCTCGCAGCAGAGCCTATCCTGACCCGTCTTTCTCCGTACTGCCGCTCCACCCAGAAACCTTGCGGTGCAGTCAACTGTCTGGCCACCGCAGGAAGCGTCCCCGTCGGCGACCAGCCATCTGCATGCTGCATTTCTGCCCCCTCGCCCACCCCTGTCTGATCCAATCACGGGCCCTGCCGCACCTGGCCCGTTCTGCAGCATTATTCACCCATCAGCGTGCAGTGACCACAGCGTGACCGCACTCTCTCTCACTCGCAATCTTGGGACCGGCTTGGGAACTCAGATGCTTGCCATCAGTGCCCGTCACTGAGCAGGATTCCCACGGTACTCGGTCGCCTCGCTTCCCACGACTTGTTCTGCCTCTCCCCCCTCTCTGTTCCCACCAATCCAAAGCTTACACTAAAGCCTGCGAGTCCACCCACGCACCGCTCGTTGCCTTTTTCGCTCCAAGCTCGACCCGAACCCCAGTCCCAAGCGCAACAAGAAGCCACTCAGCAGCCAACCCACCAGACCCCCAACCTTGGGAATCAACCACCGCCATCTGACTTCTCACCTCTCGTTCACTCCCAGAAGCCACATCACCCCCAGTTCTCGTCCAGCGCTTCTGCTGTTGTCTACCTAGCCACCATCTTCACCTGAACACCGACTGCAGAAGGAAAAAACCAGGGCAAAAAGAAAAACACACACACACCCACCCACCAGTCATCCCCCGGTGTCCTCACTGAGCCATTGGACGCTTCGAGAGACTTGTGGGCCCGTCCTCAAAACATCAGGTCAACACTCCACTGTTCCCCTGCTTCAGAGCTAGTTACCGCACCTCGCGCCATCACTACTTGACACTAGTGGACGCTCGAAGCTTCGCACTATCACCAAAATTTCCCTCTAAACTCCACTCTAAGTCGACCTCCAAAACTTTGTTTCCTTCTCGGCCTCGCTATCTGCCGGTGGGTTCGACCTGCCACCTGCGCTGGGTGCAGCCTGCTCGCTATCGACCGGGGTCAGCATCACATTCCCCCCCCCTGCGCGACAACGCTCGCAAGCTCGCGAGAAAAGAAGAGCAGGTCAAGGCACAACCCCCCCGTTCTGCAGACCCCCTCTCGACCATTATCAAACGCACTGCTATTGGCAGAACCTCTAGTGAAAAGCCTGCCACCCTGGGCCACCTGGTTCCACTCCAGGAAGGCGGTCACCCACCTGCATCTCTGATCATACTCCCTCCACGGACCCAAGCTCCCAGTTGAGACGGTTGTCCGGCGCAGGTTGTCAAGGAATAAGAAAAGCAAAAAAGAGGGACCCCTACCCTGTCACGTCACCTGGGAAGAATAAACGCTGTGGTTGGAGTGCGAAAGCAGACACAACGCTCAAAGGCAAAAAAAAGCCACCCACTCAACTGCTACATAGAACAAGGAGGATCCTGGGGCCAAAGGCAAAACCTATCAGACTCCCCCCCCCCGACTCTTTTGCAAGACTTTGGCCCGTCTGCTCTTTGAGCGCAATTCTTTATTAGTCCTCGGGGGCCCGCACCATCTCGAGGAAGTAACGGCTACTCTTCATTCAGTTCAAGCTTGCAACTAGCGCTGTGAAAATCGTGCTAAAAGCCCTCTTTTCCGACCCATCTTCGCCCCCTCGGTTCGAACGATACGGTGCGCTGCCCCTGGTCAAGATCAACCCCGTCCCTTTTGTTGCTTGAGCGCTGGCAGCAGCACCGATCTGGTGCCCGTCTCTCGTGCAAAAAGGCGCTTGTCGCTCCCGACCCAACCCCATCCAAAGCACTTGTTACAACCTGCTCCCCACCTCGGCCTCTTGAGGTTTGGCCGCTTTCTTGGACTCCCTCGTCTAGAAAGCCTTCAAAATAAAGAATACGCCGGTCTCTGGCCTAAGGATTGCTTCAATCCGTATCGTCGCCTGTCTGTCCAAACGTGTGGACTGGTCCTTTACTTTTGAGGGACCAACTGTCATCCACAACCTTTCTCTCGGGTCAGTCACATCATACGCCGGTGACACTCGAGTCTCCTACCACCATATCACTCACTCCCTTGCCTATTAACCGCGTTCCTTCACGTGGGAGGCAGGTAACGAGAAACACCTTTGATGGACAGGGGTGGATCAGAATACGCGCAGTCAGGTTAGCAGCAACGAGCCATCATCATCTTTGCCGCGAGCAAGCTCTGAGAAAAATTTCTTTGTGTCAATAGATCAGTCGTCTGTCGCGACCTACGCCACGCAAGACCCGCGCTCTGCCACTATCTCGAGCAACAACACACCGCAGTCGGATTACGGTCTGACTCCGTCGTCGGCGCGTTCGTCGGGTTTCCCTCCAGAGCATCTGCGCTACAGCCAATACCCTCCGGCGCAGCACCATCAAGGTGCTGTTGGAACAATGGCACAACCAACAAGTCCGTCAAAGTCCCTGCCAGAAGGAGCACCCAATGGCAATCCAACCGCAAACTCCCACCATGTGAGGTCTAACTCGGATGTGCCTATAGATCCCTCGATTTCGCAAGCAAGCCCGACCTATCCTCCCTATTCGCCTTACCCGCAAGGACAGGACATGCAACATGCGTACCAGCCTCAGCACGCGCCATACATGCCGCAGCGACCACCGCATGAGCAATGGGGCGGTTATCCACCACAACATGCGATCCCGGGGCCATACCCTCATCCTGGACCGGGGGTCCAAGGCCCGCCTCCATCTTCAGGTGCATCGCGCTCTGGTCAGGTACGTTGCGCGTCCTCTTGTGGCTCCTGAATGGGATAGATTGGTTTTGACAAATTTTCCGTGCAGGTCTACTCATTCGTCCCTATCCCGGGTGCGCAGCAGCATAAGCGACCGCGCCGTAGGTATGAAGAAATTGAACGAATGTACAAGTGCGGCTGGAATGGATGTGAAAAAGCGTATGGAACACTGAATCATCTGAATGCCCACGTCACGATGCAGTCGCATGGAACCAAGAGAACTCCAGAAGGTGAGCTACACCCTTGTAGGCCTCAAATCTCTGGACCAGTCTTTTCGGCGAGACCATATGATTTGTTGATGGGGCTCGACTGACCTTTTCGCGTAGAGTTCAAGGAGATCCGCAAGGAGTGGAAAGCTCGCAAGAAGGAAGAAGAAAACGCGCGCAAGGCGGAAGAAGAGCGCCAGAGAGTTGCAGCGCAAGCTAATCAGGTGGACGGTCCACCGGGCGATGCGCATCCCGTTCCTGGCCAAGGCTATCAACAGAACGGCACTCGACCATCACTCCCACCCATTGGCTATCAGTCCGCAGAGGGGCACGCTCAAGGACAATACGGACAGCCGCAAGGTGGTATGGTCTATCCACCAGGCAGCACCCAGATGAACAGCTATCCCAATTATCCGAATTCGCCTTATGCGCAGCAAGGCCAGGTTTACCAACAACGTCAATATTAGAAACATACCCATGAGCAAGCCGCCAGGCTCCTGGCTTGTGGTGCGTCCTTGGCTCTCAGCGATCACTCAGCTTTGGATGGTGAGCGGCGCAAGAATGCTTATGTCAAGAGCTGCATGCTTTCATGGAGTGATGCAGCACCTCATTTTTACACCAAGATACCCCTAGGTGGGAGTGGAGGAGATAATGGACGAGCAAACGCGGACCAAGTCAAAAGTATCGTGATGAGGAGCATGCTGGGAGGAGTTTGTCACATTGGCTGGCGGGTTCCGATACTCATGAGTTTCCTTTTCTTTGTTCTCGTTTTCCCCATCTCTTTTTTTTTTGTTTCATTTGACGCGTTTGTCACCATTTGCACAGCAAAACGCGTCTCTTTCGAGGGTGATGAACGTTATGACCGATCGGCCGACTGCATGCATTTTTGTTGAAGAGGACCAGTGCATTTTATGAGAGCAGGGGATTGTTCCTGTCTGCACAGGCCAACCCGAACATCGAAGAGCTTTTGGAAGGGAAAGACGATGGGAATACAGTCAACAGCATGGATTGTCAATGCGTGCGTGTCCACCGAAGGGAGAGCAAGGGGAACTGTCAAATTGCTGTTGGGTTGGGAAGTCTGGTCCCACGAGTGCTCGTTATTGTACAGTGGTGGTACCCTAGGGTCAGACAGGATATGACTTGCACTCCGGTCAGTCGGTGCTGCGGGCCGGAATTCGTTATTAGAACAAGGAGTTGGTCTTGCTGTTCATGTTCAGACACAGAAGGCAGACCAGAGATCAATTTGAGCATCAAGTGATTATGGCGAATAAACGGGTATTTCCTTTTTGGCAACACTGCCAGATCCCTGGGCTTGATAAATTTCTTCGATGACTGATTCACTAGACATCAGTCGAAGTGTGTCGTGAGAATTAAGTTGGGCCAGGGGATCTCCAGTGGTGTATTTGGCGTGATTTAGCCTGTCCTACCAACTGGTGGATTTTTCCAAAGCGTGGCAAACAAACACATGGCAAAGTGAAGACCAAAAGCTGGGGAATTCCCTGGCTCGGTTTTTTAGCATGCAGTCATCAGGTTACACAACGTTGCGGACCAACTACTGTGAGGGAACTAAGATGGCGTCCGAAATGGGCTCGCCGTTGAGGTCTAGACTGAGGCCGACAAGATGCACGAAATTCACTGGTGTGAGGGTTGCGCAACCACTGAAGTCTCTGCGCTTTCCAAGCACCGGCGCAACCGCAAACGCCCGCGACGGCGCCTGGACTAGGGCTTAGAAGCTTCAGAGCTGGAACCCAGGGGGGCCGAGATGGGGGGGTTTGATGGGGATGAGGGGGACCTGCTTTAGGCCCTTAGCAGCCTAATGTTGTTAACTGGACGAGCTAGCTGAATGGTGAATAGCGGGCACACTACCGCTTAGTTTCCCGGGCCTCGCCATGTCACAGGCGACCCTGCGTGCCCTGCGTGCCTGCGTCGTCCTATCCAAGCACAAAACTCACCCCGACACACCATTTTCTACACCCAGATCCCGACATGGTGGTTCAACCACTCCTCCATCGCCCTTCCATCCTCCGCCTTATTTGACGCTAGGTTTTAGTACCACACGACGAACTCTGATGCCCTTGCTCAGACCAGCCTCAGCCATAACAACGCTCTGGCGCCTTCGCAATGGACAACTGACTAGCCCACTGGACCCTACGGTCACCTCCACCGAGACTGTTGAAAAGAACATCATCTCTTCCGCATTCTCTTGCCTGGGATTTGGGCTTGGAATCTTTGAATTCAACGGAACCACTCGGATCCTACTGCCATCCACAAGTGCCTCTCTGCCGGGGTCGCCACCCTGTCGGCGAGCATTCCATCCCTTTGTTCTCGGAGTACTCGGAATGCGATTCTTGCCCGGAGAAGGAAGAATGTCGTGAGGTGCAAAGGCACAGGAGTAACATAACGCAAATACACGAGTCAAGAAAGCTGGTCTGAATGGCCGGCCGTGCCCGGAAACCGAATCCGCAGCGTGCATGAACAAAGTTCCCACTGGGAGGTGCCCTCCAAGGTTTAAGTGGCTTTCCCTGTCAGCCAGAGGAGGAGCTGAGCAAGGCAGGGTACATCGTTCTAGCAAAGTGCTCCATACAGAATCCGGCCATTCCTTCTGCATGGCTCCAGGTTGGCGCAATGCCACGTTGGCTGACCAAGACCAAACGATGCGATCGCGGCTATACGTGAAACGGTGTGACGCTGACGGGTCTAGAGAGGCATGCGACAGGTACCTAGTACTGCATAGATGGAGCCTTGAACGTCAGCCCTACCGAGACTCGCAGCTGTGGGAGGCTAGGAGAATACGAGCGCAGGTCGAAGGATGGCGCCTTATATGGAGACCACGAGCCTTGCTTATTATCTCGTCCTGTCTAGGGTCCTTTGAGTCGGATTTCCACCGAGGGGTTGTTGACGCCCGGATTGCTTCTTTGGCCTATGTATCACACATCGCAGACCTGACCAACGACAGACGTATCTGAACGATTGTCAGGCCCAGCCCTCAGCGACTCGATGTACCAGGTACCTCGGAAACGAGACATTACACCACCCTGACAAGAATGCCGCTATTTTGCGGGAGCCCATCCTTGCATGACGTACATGACGGTCATCGGGTAAGTTTCCTGACCGGAAAATTTTGAAATTCTCCCGACCGGACGGCCGCGAGCCCTATGCGCAGTAGCCATCGCCAAGTCGCCTTGATTGAGGATAGGATTCGCTCTTTTTTCTCCCTCTCCTTTTCTCGTACTCCTGTTCCATCGCCTTATTTGGCTCTTTCTCCTGATGTTCACCTGCGATGCCTGTCTTCGTCGGGCACTTATCTCGCTGGGGTGCGGCGCCGGTCCGTCACACTTCCCATCTCCCTTGTCTAGACACTCGTTCGAGCACGCGATCAATTCCACGGCTGCCTTCTCTCGCGATCATGCAACTCTACAATCCCTCAGAAAGGGCCATCACCGCAACGAGCTTTTCAGAGCCCTAAAAGAGGAACGCAAAACCCCCCCCGTGAAAGCCAAGCCGTCGAACGCTCGCGCAAAACTCCTGGCGAAAGATGCTCAGGCAAGGGAACGCAACTGGTTGCAGCGCCTTGAACCCTCCGACCGAGAAGCATATCTGAAGAAGGCGATGGAGAAGGAAGCCAGATACTTGGTGGACCCTCTGAAACTGGCTCAGGGCGTCGTCGAAAAACTCCGGGACCACAATCTGCAGGCCGCCTTGGAGCTGGTCCGTGCAAGTGAAAGGGCTCATAACGGCAAGGGAGTGGACAATGTCGTCAGTTGGAATCATATCATAGATTGGCTGATGGGCCAGGAGTCTCCTGGCGAGGCGTGGAAGGTCTACAACGAGGTATATTCAACTCCACTCCATAATGCTGCGCCTGACTGACTCGATTCGTTTCCCGCAGATGAAAAAACGAGGCCATAAACCCGACTCCCACACTTACACCATTATGCTGAGAGGCTATCGCGATAATGTCAAAAACCCGAACGCCGTTCAGCAAGCGTTGAGCGTTTACGACTCCATCTCCGCCGCCAACTCGGCAGTCACTCCGACTACCATTCATACAAATGCTGTCATCAGTGTTTGCGCGCGCGCGCATGATATTGATGCCATATGGAGAATTGCTGGGAGACTTCCTGAACGTGGACCTGGCGCCCCAGACCACGTTACGTTCACCACCATACTGCAGGCCCTGAATAGCGAAGCGCAAAAGAGGGCAATAGATCGAGGAGGCAGAGAAGGACCTGGTTTTGATCCGCAGCCAATATTTGACCAAGTGATTGACGACGCGCGCAAGTTGTGGCTTGACATTACCGCGCGATGGAGAAGAGGAGACCTTCACCTAGATGAGCCCCTTGTCTGTGCCATGGGAAGATTGTTGATGCTCTCGAGCAATCGAAATACTCATCTGGATGTTCTCAACCTGGTCCAACAAGCCATGAACATAAGCAGATTGCCTGAGGCTTCAAGTGCCGATCCGGTAGATAGGATAGAGGAGGCGGCAGAGGAACAGGAATTGGAAATCGCAGCTAAGCACGAGCCTCCAACCTTCCTCGACATTTCAGCAACGAGAGCAACCCGCTCGAGTCCGCCCTCAAGACAGCCCAGCATGGCGATCTCATCTGTGTATGCCACGCCTGGTACCAATACTCTCTCAATGCTCATGGAGACAACCACCGCGCTTCGGAAGCTGAAGCTGGGCAAATACTATTGGGAATTGCTCACATCCGCAGATGGCTCTTACAAGATCGTTCCCGATCATCAGAACATTATGGCTTTCCTCCGTCTGCTTCGGGTTTCTCGCGCAAGTAGAGCGGCCTTGGACGTTCTTCGAGCTCCACGACCCAATGACGTACGAGACAAACTCATGGTTCGGGGCACATTTGTCATAGCCATGAGCACCTGCCTCCGAGACAAGAAGAATCCAAACGTCTTCGAGACGGCCAGCCGGATTATGGATTTGATGCAAGAGAGCACACAAGATATGAGAGTTGACCCTGATGGTTCTGAAACAGAGCCTCAAGGCCAGAAGCTCAGGTTCTCTCCCAAAGTCCTCCGGATGTATTTGGAAGTTGCGATGGCGACCACCAAAGGAATTGGTGCCGGCCCGCTCGAGAAGACCAGCAATGGAGACTTGGATTTCGAGCGGGATCCTAGCAAAAACCATACTTTGAGAGCATTGCGACGACTCGGTCCCGATGTGATCAACGTCAGGCAGCTAATCAAATCTCACTTGGTTGAGCTTGAACAACAAGCTGCCATGAGAGGACGTACAATCAGAGTCCAAAAATTGCTTGAGAAGCGCCAGATTACGCCGTACAGCGTCACTGAAAACATCGGCGAACTGGTCGAGTTGCTGCGGACCATGATCAGTGCGATTGACAAGATCATTCTGGTCAATGAGCGATTGGAGGATGATGGAATGGGGCCTTTGGATAAAAGCATTTTGACCGAGTGCTGGTTGCAGAAACGCAAGTTGTCGGCCTTTGTATCCAGGGTTGCGAATGTGGTTGCGGACCCCAAAGGACCTGGAGAGCTGAAGGCGCGGCGTGTAGACGAAAGAGGTCGTCCCTTGACTGGCAGAGGCAAGCACAAGGAAGACGCAGATGCCGGAGCCAAAGACGCCGAGGAGGCAGGCGACGAGATGGCGGACGAGGGTTTTGATGCCGGCATGGCCCCTGCCAGTCCGCGCGCAAAACTCTTGGACGACATCAAGACCGCGCAGGCCAAGCAAGCCAAGTCCAAGGAAGAACGAGGCCTCTCACGCCGGCAGAAACTGGAACTGATCAAAGAAGAACAAATCCGTGCGCAGTTCCCCAGCAGCGTGTTGAGAGAGCGGCAGAGCGGGCACGTTCGAACCCAGAGGAGGGAGACCACCGGGCCGGTATCGACCCAGGGAAGCCGGGCGGGAGCTTCTCGAAAGGCGCCCGTTTGGAAAACGAGGCAGATGGAGATCAAGGAGATGCGAAGAGAGAAAAGAGAGGCCAAGGCCAAGGAAGCCCAGGAGCGGAGAAACGAGAGGGAGACGTACAGGGGATGGGGAGGCGGGTTCGAGGACATGTTGAAAGTACAGGACAAGCCTGAAAGGGCCGGCATTGTGGAATTGGGGCCCTGATTGTGTTTGGCGTCCCGACTATTTGCACCCCTACGGTTAATGTACGATACAAGGCTTGAGATAGCCTGGGAGGTGGCATGGTTTCAAAGGCGTCGACTAGGACCAGAAAGCAAGGAAGGAGATGGGCGTGATACCAAAGAATCTCTCCCTCTCTTCATCTATGAATACAGGAATTATACTTGTCTACCCAGAAGGAATGGAGTCTCTAAACGGCGCAGGAAACCTTTGCCTTGTCCTCTTTCCTCTTTTCTCTTTTCTCGCCGTGCTGGCCGAACGTTCGGGTCGGGTCGGGTCCTTTTGATACCGCGTGGAACTGACTCTACGAGGGCCTCGTGGCAGGATGTCGTTGTGGATGGGACATTTACAAGCTGTTCCTGGCCGCTGAGTGTGCCCTGCCAGACGAAAAGGGCTCCGTCAGAATGTCGCCGTTAACGGCCATCTGCATGTGTCGCGGCGGGATTCGACGTGCGATCTGAAAGCCACCTCTCCTCCACCTCCCCGGCCCAGATGTCGAGCTTCGCGTTGTTCACAAAGGCGAGGTCGCCGGGGGTGGCCATGTCGGCGGTCAGCCACGACGACATGGCGCTCAGCACGTCCGTCCTGGTCTTGGAACTGGCCATCATGGCCATCTCGACGAACTCGAAGACCTCGTCGACGTGGAAGACCGTGTCCGCGGGCCCGGTCCGCCTTTCGGCGTCGGCGTCGGCGTCGGCGGCATTGTGCGCTATCATCAGGATCAGGACCAGGGAAGGGAGCTTGGCTCCGCCGGCACGAAGGGCGAGATTGGACGGCGCGCTCATCTCCACGGCGGTGGTCAGTCCCTGCAGGTACGCGTTGGTGGTTCGGTCGCTGTCTCGAAATGCCCAGAGCGCCGTGTTGATCGCGAATAGAGCGCCCAGGTAGAACCTGCACTGTGCGTCGTCCAGTTCGCCTGCAGGCAGCTCGACATAGTCGAACAAGGCAGTCTCGGACGCGAAGGCACGAGCACGCCCGCTGCTGTTTGAATCCTCCTCATCCACGCCAGAATCAGGGTCGGGTTTCATGGGGTCGTTGTTGACTTGACGTAAAGCTTTTGACGCGTGCGCCCTGAGATTGAAGTTCCAAAGCTGGACGTCTCGTACCCATTGCGATACCCCTTTCAGCTTCTTTTGGAGACCAGAGTGCGTCTTCCAGAGCCCGTCCACGCCGTTCTCCACAAAGACGTTGACAACCATCAATCCCAACGGATATGTGATGCCTCGGACCGACCGTGTCCCACCTCTCAGTTCCAGAAGTTTTCTTGCTGCCCTGACGTGATATTGGGCGCTCTTGGTGTTGCCCATTCGATGCTCACAGCCTCCCGCGATGGCGACTGCCAGAACGTAGTCGTCCATTAGCGAGCTCCCCTGTTCGGAAAGCCGAGCATTCATCAGCCTATACACCAACGACCTTCGCGCGAGGATCGAGAGTTGTCTGTCTTTCTTCGTGGGCTGAAAGCTCACAATCTGTGATTCAATAACGAGCAGCAGCCACAGGACCACAATTTCGTTCGTGGCCACAACCCCAACAGTACTATGTCGAGCAGTGCTCGCCACGACGCCGGTCGTCGACCCATATATCTGGTCCGGGACCGTGGTCAAGTCTGCATTTCGGATCAGTACAAGGTCCTATTAGGGAGTGGTCCCTGGGACTGCTTTTCTAAGGACAAAAAGAATTCACGACATACACAGATGCAGCAAATGCTGATCTGGGACAGAGAGCTCGAGAGCTGCACGCGCAAAGGGATCTAGAGAGCTTTTGCGGATGTCCTTGGGCAGTTTGACTGGGACCGAAGCCGCTCTAGTCCTCCTCTTTGCGTCCTCAATGTCCTCATTTTCGTCTTCATCCTTCTCAGCGCGGTGAGACGACAACGGGTGCTGGTTTCTGCCTGTGCTGACGTTCAACCTGAATTTCAGAATAGATAATGCGGAGGTAGAGGCACGTCTGTCGGTATTTTCGAGCTCGAGCTCGATCTTTCCTGACGACGATGATTCAGGACTGGATTCGCTGCCTTGGGTATGGGAGGAATCTGGTGAAGTTGAGACGGACGCGCCGCCACGAGCCTCAGATCCACCTCTCAACGGCCTGGGAGTGCGGACCCTGCGGGCAGGCGGTTTAGAGTCTTTAAACGAGTGCGAAACCCGAGCAGCATGAGATCGAGCCTCAGACTTTGCGGCGTCCAGAGCCTTCCGATTCGCCGAGGTATTGCCTCCCAAGGCCGAGATGGTGGCATTGGGGGAGAGGAAGTGTATCTGATATCGATGGCCACTCATGGTCGTGGGTGCTGTTCATGTTCATTTTTGGCCATCGGCTTAACTCGCTGGGTGGTTCGAGATCATCGCCAGGCGTCCGAGGATGCAGATAGAGGGTTCCTCAATCATCAGACTCGAGGCAGATAATCACAGGGAGCATTGCCTTTACCTCCGAATGGGCTGTGAGATATCTCCGCTCACGCCCTTGCCAATTTTGCCCGCAACCAGCCGGAGCTTATCGATCAGTGGTAACCAGGCAGATGGAGGATTGAGGCTGCCATGGCGCGTCCAATGACGGCCGAGGCATCAGGTGATGGATCAGACGAATGCATCTTGACTTCGGATCTGGCGAACGGGCAGCTCTTGTTGCAGTCTGTTCCAAGGAGGATGGAGCATTGCACTGACGGAGGTGCCCGGCCGGCTGCTGGGGGCCCTTAAGCGCCCATGGCCGCACCTTGTAAGGGTCAAGCGCAGTGCCCAGGGCTGCGCTAGGCCCTGGGTCCCCCTTGGAGAAAGATTTCCGAAAGAGATCTCAGGTAATGGTCCTGCAGTGACAAACTGCATGTGGAAAACAGAAAACGAAAAATTATGTCAACACATCAACCACTACATTCCTCACCATTTACTCAGTTCGACATCTCGACCCGAGCCTCTCTGAACGCTCGCCATGCGACATGGAGGCTCCCGTCAACTCCGATTCGACCGATTGAGCTCTCAATCATCTCTGGGTCTCCTCCGCCAATACTCTTCTAGCCTGCGGCCAAAATGCGCATGTCTCGGTAACACCTACTACAAAGCTGCTTCGACCGCTCGGTTCTTTAGCCATGCTTCGACAGAGGCTGACCAGAGCCCTCCCTCGGGACCTGTACGGAAGTGGTCAACTCCCCTCGCGAAGACCATCGCGCAGGCGATCGAGGTAAAGGCTTCCTGCCTCCTCCAACGTCAGACATCTTTGTAGCAGCTAACCAACGCCTGTATAAACTAGGTGACAGGACCCATCTCGATCGCCTCTTATATGCGGCAATGCTTGACAAATCCTGACGGAGGGTACTACACTACTAGTCGCCCATCAGCGGAAGATGCGGACCCGTTCGGCGCAGCGGGCGACTTCATCACCTCTCCCGAGATATCTCAAGTCTTTGGTGAACTTGTCGGAATATGGTTCATGACCGAATGGATGGCTCAAGGGCGCCCGTCCCAAGGTGTTCAGTTCATTGAGATGGGGCCTGGCCGAGGGACACTTATGAGCGACATCCTCCGAACTATCGGACAGTTCAAGACATTCGCGAGGGCTATATCGGCAGTATGGCTAGTCGAAGCAGGAGAGGGCTTGCGGAGAAAACAAAAAGACCTGCTCTGCGGGAGAGATGCTGACATGAAGGAGGTTGCCGATGAGACTGGGAAGAATGTCTGGTGGGAAGCCACAAGCGCTCAGGGAATACCCATCAGATGGGTCGAGGACATCGTACTGCTGCCGGCTCGAAACTATGGTGGAGGTGCTGAGATGCCCTTCATCATCGCGCACGAGTTCTTCGATGCTCTCCCTATCCATGCCTTTGAGTCTGTTGCTCCCAAGCCCGAAGAGGCACGGCAGGAAGATGCTAGGCCCCAGCTTCTGACCGAAAGTGGTCAGCCGGTCACGAAATCAATCGCGACCAGCAGACTCCCTCAATGGCGAGAACTACTCGTAGCGCCTACGACGCCGAAACTGACCGCCCTTCTCGCCCCCGAAACCGATAAATCATTGAGTCGTAAAGAGCCTGAGCCGGACTTCCAACTCACCCTAGCCAAGGCGAGCACTCCTTCTTCCCTTGTCATCCCCGAACGACCTCGCTATCGATCCCTCAAGGCTCAAGTGTCCTCGCGCGTCGAGGTGTCTCCGGAGAGTGCTCGATATATCCAAGACTTTGCCCGCCGAATTGGCGGAAGCGCGGTTCCTTCTGCCATCTCCAAGGGCACGCACAAGCAGACCCAGGCAGAAGCACCTCCTCGAACACCCGCGGGAGCAGCACTAGTAATCGATTATGGGCCTCTGGACACGGTCCCAGTCAACTCTCTGCGAGGGATCCGCAAACACAAGATCATTTCCCCTTTCGTGTATGCCGGCGACGCGGATATCAGTGCGGACGTGGACTTTGGAGCTCTTGCAGACGCGGCTCTGGAAGCTAGTCCGGGCGTGGAGGTCCATGGGCCGGTCGAGCAGGGGGCGTGGTTGATGCAGTTAGGGATCAAGGAGAGGGCAGAGAGGCTTTTGAGGGAGCTGGACAAGAACGCTGGTACAGACGAGGAAGCGGAGAAGAGGAGGCGAGAAACTGAGATGGGGTGGAGGAGGCTGGTCGAAGGCGGACCCAAGGGCATGGGCAAGGCGTACAAAGTCATGACGATCCTGCCGGAGAATGGCGGGAGAAGAAGACCCGTCGGCTTTGGAGGCGTGGTAGCTGGGTGAATAGGGATATAGCCCTCTTTGCAACACATCTCTCTCCTCTTATACGAGCAGGGGGAAAAGGTTGTATTCTATATAATCTGTACCATCACATTGTGCCACCACCACCAGAAGGCAGAACCGGGTCTTGCGACCACTCCCTCACTCAGCGGCCGTCTGTGATTGTTCCTGATCAGGGTGTGCATCAAAGTCCCAAAAGCGGACTTCCATCTCGGTGGACCGGACGAAGATGGCGATCAGCTCCTCTATCCGCGAGGGCGACTGCTTGACGATGTTCGCCTCGATGAGTTCTGCCGCGCAGTCGAAGCCGGCAGGGTTAGCATACGAGTCTGGCCAGAAGGGTGGACTGCCGAGGAAGAGAACGAGTTTGTCTGGAACACACAGCGGGGAACAGAAAGGAAGAGCAACAAAGAGAGGAAAAGGGATGCCAGTGAAAAAGAAGAAAAAGGAACTTCTCACCTCTACCAACCCTCACGGCCTCCTGGTAGTCCTCGGCGACATAGTTCTCGACCCACCTCCAGTAGCGATTGCCCTTGTCGCCGGTGACGCTCTCGCGCTCGCGGTACAGGCGGGCGGCGGTGACGCCGTAGCCGATCAGGCAGGGGGCCAGGGACATCTGCAGGGCGAGCCAGTCCTGGCTGGCGCCGACGTCGAGGCAGTAGCGGCTGTAGGCGACGCAGGCGGGCGACTCCTTGGTGACGGCGGGATCCTCGAGGCGGGCGCGCGAGATGCCGAACTCGGCGCAGTACGACAGGTGCAGCTCCATCTCGCGCCGGATGTGCAGGATGATGTTGGCGCTGGCCGTGATGGCCGCCATGGTCTGCGACTTGTACGCCGCCAGCGCGTGCGTGCGCGCAAAGTGCGTCAGGTACAGGTAGTCCTGCACCAGGTAGTTCTTGAACAGCCCCTCCGGCAGCGTGCCCCGCGCCATGGCCGTGGCGAACGGGTGGTGCGTGAACGCCTCCCAGCTGCGCGCCACCAGCGGGTGCGTCAGCAGGTACGTGTCGATGAAGTGGCCCGGCGAGAAGGGCAGGATCTGCAGGTTGTGGAAGTGGTTGATGGGGCCCGACCCGTTGCCGATCAGCGAGTCGGCCATTTTGATCCCCGTCGTGACATAGTGCACGGCGAGACGCGTCGCTGTGGCCAGGGACGGGGCTTGTGATCGGGACTTTTGGAGCGCCATGTTGGAGGCGATGGCGCTGGCCAGCGAGCAGCCGGTGCCGTGGGTGTTTTTGGACGTCAGGTATTGCGACTCGACGATGGTATAGTCGTTGCCGTCGTACAGAACGTCGACGGTCAGGGCCTTGTCTTCGTCGCGGGTGGCTTTGACGTAGTTCTTGGTCAAGGGCATGTGGCCTCCTTTGACGAGCACGGCTTGCGGACCGAGTTGATGGACCAGCTTGGCTAGCGTCTTCAGGTCATCCAGGCCCGAGGGGGACTTGTAGTGTATGTCGGCGTCGCGCAACAGCAACGCAGCTTCGGGGATGTTGGGCGTGACAAGCGTCGACATCGGCAGCAGTCTTTCGCGCAGGTTCTTGACAGCATCACCCGGAAGCAGTTGCGCACCGCTCGTAGCGACCATGACCTGTGCGCGAACCATGAGTTTCCAGAAGACTTGGTCGGTGGAAGTCGGAGCACATCATATTCATACAGGATCAACAATAATGGTAGAAACCTCGTAGCGTTGAAGGGCCTCGGTCACGACCTTCACGGTTTCCGCCGAGGCGAGCATGCCTTGTCCCATCAAGTCTCAGCGACTCGTCCTGCATATCTCGGCGGCGCAGCGCGTTTGGGGACAGGCCCTTACCGATCTTGACAGCATCACATCCAATGTCGCTCAAACAAGCATCGATCTGCTTGCCAACGAAGGCCGGCGGCGTGATGTGGATGTCCACGACACCTAACGTATTCTGAGCAGTCAAGGCTGTGGTGGCGGTCATTCCATAGCAGCCATGAGCCGCAAGGACCTTCTGGTCTGCTTCTAGCCCTCTGTGATGAGAGTCTTGGTGTCAGAGCATAGTGCAGGGATGGACGCAGAAAAACTCACGCTCCACCTGAGCTGTCAGAGCCTGCAATGATCAGAACTCGGGGAGTGGTCATCTTGCACAAGAGGCCACTGTCATCGGTTCAGAGTGAGAGTGATTATGTAGGAGACGAGAGTCTGGCGCGCCAAATACGATCCGACAGATGAATCCGGTCTGGTACATAGGCAGATGAAGTTGTGAGTCGACTATCATTGAGATTGTCGTTTGTCTGGAGCCAATCAGAGAACAAGAGACGCAGGGCAGCGTCTCCACCACGGCTGAGGTCATCGTCGCACCCATTGTGGTATCGTAATACTCCTGCGCTGGGCTACAGAGTCACTGCTATATAGGTATTACCTCTTGTGCTTGTGCTTACTCGAACTTTGCGCTCCATGTAGGCAATTATGAGGGATTGTCGTATCTCATCTATGCAGCGAATGAACGTACTACAAACCCATATCCAAACATCACTTCAGGGCGAAGCCGAACAGCGTATCCATCTCTACCCATTGTCGCCCACATTTCTTCAGATATCCATCCACGACAGCCCTGATGCCCTCGAATGCTTCCTTGTTCGTCTCCGCAAGCACCATGATCCGATCCTTCTTGTCGGCGTATTCCTTGTCCGACCGCGCCTTGTTTTTGGCCTTCTCAACGTCAAACAAGGCCGCAAAGTATAACATCTGGTTGTACAGCTTCTTCTCCGAATACTCATATGACATCCGTCCAAGACAGCCTTCGGCGCGCCCGTTCGGGCCCAGACATCGATGGCCATAGACTGACATCTGCCGGGTTCGGTTGCCGCAGGATGGATCGTCACAGACCAGCCAGCCCTCATAGTAGGCACATGTCTGCGCTCGGATTTGCGACTCGAGTTGCATAACGATCCTCAATCGTGAAATGAGCTTCTTGCAATCGGCATTGCCGCACAAGATACCCTCCGGTGTGCATGAATCCGTGGAATCACAAATTCCTTCAAAAATGGTCGTCTGCTTGCACTCTCCACACTTCAGACTGAGCCTCGCAGCATCTTGGAAGCGGACGCTGTCAGGGATTTGCGATTCAAGAGGGAAAATCTCTGTATTTCGTTGACTCGCCCCGTTCGAAGTGTTGATCTGATATTTGCGAACGTCCAAACCTAAGCACTCGGCTAGTCTGACCGAGTCAGTCCCGGGAATGGGTGCACAGAGCCTTTCAATAGGCGGGAAGATCTGTTTGTGGAGATAGTATTCGACGTCGGGAACCAGTCCAGAATCTGGCTTCTGAACGTCCTGGGGCGTGTAAGATCGCTTCGGCGCTGGTAGACCCTTTGTTTGCTCGTCCCCCATTGTTACAATGTAAGACATAACATCGTTCACCCGAACGGTTTTGCCTCGACTAATCTCACGGAGCGCAACTTGCACCTGAGGCATCGAATCTGCATTGGGGTATTCTGTTGGATTCTTGCCAAGTTTCTAAAGGAATCAGCATCGACTCTCAGACAGTTCAGCGAAAACTTACCGTGTATATGACATATTTCTGAACTGGAATGGCGTTGTCCCTCATGTTGCTCGACAGCTCCCGGAGATATTCGTGGATTTTCTCGAGGACAACCTCTGGATCTTCACCAGAAAGGATTTCGTTCAAAAGCTTCTGGGACGCCTCCTTGGATAAGGCGCAGTACTCTCTTCTCTTCATATCAAGACCTTTGACTTCAAGCTTCTCAACATACTTGCCATCTATCTCGGCCATGTTTATGGCAGCATATTTCTTTTTGGCATGCAGCAGCAAGCGTCGGAAAATGTTGTCGATGTCAATCTCCAATAGTTTGTACCTCTCGTTGACCGAGCGTTTGAACTCCAACCCAACACCCAGGGCTTGCGCAATGTTGTCTGCATTCGTGTTAATCATAACGGAATCGGTGTCGCCATAAATGACCTGGAGTTGGTTGCTTTCTGCGAGCTCCTTCGTGCTTCTCAGAATCTCCCGACCTTTGAAAGTGGTGAGCATGGCTAACGGCCGTGCATAGAAGCGGGATTGGGTATAGCCGAGACACCCGTACATGGAGTTGGCTGTAAGTTTCAAAGCCATTTGTTTGGTATCCCAGAGTGCCTGTTGCTCTGCAGAGGCTCTTTTGTCCTTCATCAGCTTCTTGACTTCGCGACGACGCGTGACAAGGTTGGCGATCAGCTTTGGTAAGATTCCTTGTGGCTGATCGACTGGGACCTCTGGCACCTTCTCCTCGTTCTCATTTTCGGCGGTAGCCGATCGGTCGACAGTTGTGAAGCAGATGTTGTACTCCTGAATGATGCTGGGGTACAAACTGTTGAAGTCCATCACAAGGATGAACTTGTCGTACAGACCCTTCTCTGGCTCAAAGACCAGACCACCTTTGTACTTGTCCTTCTTTTTGGCGTCGGCCCCGTCATCTTCATCCTCATTTTCCTGTGCCTGTTTCGCACGACCTTTGCCGTACTCTTTGTCGGGACAGATGTACTTATTGCGGTAGAACTCGTGCAGCAGAATGTACTCGTTCCGTTCGGCTCGTGTGCCGCTCAGGGTACGTGCCCACGAGTTCCCAGCAAGTTCGGTGAGTACTTTAGTCAACGGCAGCATTTGCAGTTTTAGAGCAAGAGCCGCAATAAAAAAGGTGTCAGCGTGGCAGTGGGTGACATAGTTGAGCAAACCATCGCGAGTGGTTGCCCACGTCTTCAAGGCTGCCTCGTTGTCCAGCTCACGACGACGATTGTCTGGTCCGAGATAGAGGTCACACATCTCTGTCAAGCTCCACTGTTGACATTTGGTCATCAGTGACTTGCCCATGTCGTTTGCCAGATCGCACATGAGTCGCCCCGCCAGGAGCTGTCTCTCAGCGAAGAATGTGGCACCTCTCCCAAAGGATTTTGGCCATTCTCCTCGTTTCAATCTACCGATCCGATGCCACCCTGGGGTTTTCTTCTCTTTCAAGCGACTGAGAAGAATGCTGTAGTCGACTTCTTGAAGTTGGTGGCCAATTAAAACGTCTGGGTCAACCCTTTCGAAAAGTGCAAGAAACTTGCTGAGGAGAAACTGTTCCGTCTTCTCAAGCATAAACGTGTCGTTCCGCTTTTTGGTTTCAGCTTCAAAGCCGACTGGGTAAGCAGATCCCGACGGTCGCATCACGGTGAATGTCCGAGAGGGCATTTCTTCGGGAGGAGTAGTGTCAGTCAGGGAGACATTCTCGTAGACCCGAGCACTCGCGACCAAGATTTCCTGCTTGTTTTCCTTGACATTGAGTTGAGTCCGGAACGCCAGAGACATCAATGTAAGACGTGGAGCTTCGAGGTTCTCCGAGTTGCTCAGGACGGTAATGTTGGCCGGTTTGGTGACAGCACATTCCAGCTTGCACCAAGACGCATTATTGACAGCGCTGAAGTCGGCATCTTCAATGTTCAACCAGCACGGGCCCATGATGTTCTTCCATAGCACGAACTGTTCAAATAGGGCCGTGTTCGTGCCAAACACGCGGGAAAATGTCTCTCCCTGGAGGTCCATCGGTAGTGGATTCTTATCGTAGGGATAGAGAAGTTTGAGGTATTCGGCTTCCTTCGGGACATCAGGGAGCTCGAATGCGTACTTCCGTGTACATGGCTTGACCTTTCTGGTGGAAACCTTCATTTTGGACATTAATGAATCGACCTCACCGTACACGTCGTCCATCTCGACTTCTTCGCTAGTTTCCTGGCCGTTGACAACCCTGTATTTTCTCGGCAGGAAGAAGAGCTTGCGGAGAATATTGTCGACCTTGACGAATGCACTGCGGTACTGTCCACTGGTTTTATCCTTGACCTTGCCAAAGAGACAAAGACTGCCATTGATTTCAGTGTAGTCCAACCAGAACATCCGCAGACTGCCGTCTTCTTCAACCGCATCTTGAGGCTTCATCTTGCCAAAAGTCCGAATTTCCGAAGACGGACTACTCTGGATATTCAGCTTGCTGGTAATCTTGTTCCAAGAAGAAGCGTCTACTTCATTGACTGGGGGCAGCGGCGGAGAAGAGCTCTGAGGAGTTGGGAGCTGTGGAGACTTGATCTTTGGCGGCGGTCTGCTGCCAGTCATGTTGATACTTGTTGATTGAGCAGCTTCATGCCCAACAACCTGGGCAACATCCATGACATCTTCATCCTCGTCCTCCTCTTTGATCTGCACTTTCGTCTTGCGTTCCACAGCCTTGACAACTGGAGAAGAAGGAAGAGGGTCGCTCATGATATTGTCGTCATCAAACGTCGGCAAATGGTCGTCCTGTTCTTGCACAGACTGCGGAGGCGGAGTATCGACCAGCTCGGTAGGCGGAGCTTGGTACCTCTGTCGAGGTTGTTCGCGGGAAGGCGGAGGAGAGAGCACCCTGACTTTGCGTCGATTTTCGGACTTGACTGGTTTTGTTGTATACGTGCGGGTAGAGAGGATATTGGCGTCGACTTCCCCAAGGAGATCGGCCATGAAGGCTTCATCTTCGGCAGTAGTTTGGATCTAGAACTGTCAGAATCAAGCAGTTAGGACTGAGAAAGAGTCTGTACCTTTGGCTTGGGAGCTGCCGACACAGGACCATTGTTGAAGTAGTTGAGAATCTTGTGGTTGGTGCGGTCTTCTTTCTCACGATCTTCTTCGCGTTTTCGTTTCGCAGCTTTTCCTTTCAGTGGAAGCTCCTCGGCATCATCACTGCTATAGTACTGCCGTTCATTTTGCCATTCTTCTCGACCGTCGTCTGCATAACCTTCCCCGTTGTCGTCAACAACAAAGTCATCTTTGTCAAGGCGACTTCGGACGACTTTCTTGTAACCATCTTCATCCACCTCGTCGTAAATGGCGCCTTGGTCTTCGATCTGGTAGGAATCGAGCCGTGTCTTGCCGGAAGCTCGCTGAGCTCGAAGCTGAGCAAGTGCTGAACGATGCGACATCGTGCAAGCTCCGACAGCTGCAACAATGGAGGTACAAGGATTGAGAGACGACTGCCTGAGGATGTAGAAGAAGGAACGTGATGGTGTGAACGGTGAATGGGGCAATTGAATAAAGCTCGCGTCCCGTCACGTCGCGCGTGAGACGCGTGCTGCGCGGGGATTCCGCGAAGCAACTCCACCTTCGCGTCGTGATGGATAAGTATTGTTCCGCTTTCACATTACTCGTGTACGGAGTATAAGTAGCCCGCTCACCCCCTGATCACATCTAGCCTGGCCAGCAAAAGCAAGCAGCTACGTTCTCCTGGGGTGTGCTGCCCAACACTTTGTATGTTCGATGCATCCATCATACGCCCCAATGTCATGGCTAGAGACAAACAATCACATCTGTGAACTGTTTGCTGTCAATCCTGGGAGCCGCCAAGGCGTGTTTGCAAACGACAGACGCCAAAAATGGATAGAACATCTTCATAACCTATTCAAACACAGAGACTGCAACTCTGAAGATAGCCGCCAAGCTAAGATCATCACAATAGGTACTGCCTGCTGCTTCATGTGAGAATTTATATTACATATATATATGCCGCCAAGGGCGTAACCTAACCTATTGGAGCTCCGGGCGCCTTCCAGCTTTATTGCCACCAGAATACGTCGGCCGACAACAACATTGACGTGAATATAATCCCGCCACTTTAACGGTCATGGAGATGGAATTCTTCAAGCGGTGCTTCTTCGCACCAATCCCTCCAATATGGACGTTTCAACCTCAGCCGGGGTTGCCGGATCACAAGCACGACCGCGGGGAAAGCCAGGATCTCACACTATCCTATGGTGATCAAAAATGCCCGTCCCAACGAAAAATCTCGAGCCAGAGATTCAATACATGGTAGTGGAGGTATTGGTGGCTGAGTTTGAGTGGCTGAACAGCAGAATCTGGTTGCGAGAGCACAGGGCCGACAAGTAAGTCTACCCACGACGCCTGGGCGAGCCTTCAGCTGACCTGGCATAGACATCGTGTTCTATCTACGCTCCTGTCACTGAGGTTGGCGTGCCAGAGTTTCGGAGATGCCAATATAATCAAGGCCGTTGTTTTCAAAGAGATCACACTTCAGGCGACGGTACTCAATTTCAACCGTTTGAGACGGACCGGATTCTTGTCTATTGCGCCGTTCGTGAAAAAGATCAATTTTCTACCCACTCCATTCAACATTAGCCTCAAACTCAGGGGCTTTACTAGGGCGCTTGAAATTCTGTCACAGCACGAATCAGATCTGCCAGTGCGGTGTAAGAGGCACGTGGCCACACACTGGGGTCACATCCCTACAACAGAAGCCGAGGTCGCAGCCGCATTTAGGAATTACGGTCAACAAGCATACATGGATCAAGATATTATAAACAGCGGTGAGCTGCAGTGTCTATGGACTGCGACACTGCGGACTTTCCGGCACGCGAACGATTTTGAACTCCTTTCACTCTTCGGCAGACACCCCTTGGATCCCAGTGACGACTCGGGGACACTGCATTGCAAGTCATGTGAGGAATCCAAGTGCACGCTGTACGACCGCACATGTGTTTCTGAGAGTCAAATGTTCAGGACGGCGATACAGTGTCTTGGGTCTGCGAACGCGCAGATCAAGTCCTTGACAATCCACAGAACGCTCGCGCAGCATTTTAACGGAGGGCTCTCTGCTTCATGGGACCTCTTGGATCTTAGCACACTAGAGTCCTTCAAATTCCCAGACTTGGAAATTGTGGAAGATGACTATGAGGGCGACATGGCGGAACGAGATGCTGCGGTGGAAACTTGCTTGGCCCAGTTCCTTCGAAAGCCTCTCCCTAGTCTGAGGGAGTGGAGTGTCGACCACTACGTCGCATATCCTCGAATGCCGCTGCCATCTCTTTCGCATATATTCCTTCCACGCCTTCGTTTTCTCACCCTCGGAGGGATCCTGCTTAGGATCCCACGCCTTGCACAGATCGTTACAAGTTGCGTTGCGTTGGAAGATATCACCCTAAGAGATTGTCACCCTCAGGGACCTGGAGGACGCCGGCTAGAAGACCCAGGAGATGAGGCGTGGCAACCGTTATTCGACGCCTTGTCTCAACATCCGACTTTGACACATATCACGATTGCTGACGAGTGGGACGCTGTTAACAACGAAGGTGTAATCGGCCCGCCCTGCAGTCCCAACACTGTTGGCATTGAAGTCTATCGGGTCATGCTCCAGACTGGCATGTCAGCCGTTCGTAGCCCAGAAATTCGGGGAATATGGGATGCGGCTCTACATGTCTACCTTGGATAGCAACAGCGAGGGCAGCGGTAATTGCTCTAGTCAGGAACTTTTAGGCACAGGAGACATTATGAGGGGCTTCTGGAAGGGGCTACTGGAAATATCGGTTTACGAGATGGCTTACAGTAAGCAGCAAGTGAACTGCGGACAAGACCATTTCTACTTCAGCAGAGGTGAGGGCAGATAATTCCCTGGCTGTACTGGCCGACGAGACTACAAAAGAGACTCGCAGACATTTGGCAGGACTGGTTTGCTATACATTCATTCAGTCAGCTTCACAGTGTCTCCTGCCTCTATCGCAGGCAATCACGTTATGAATTGATACAGCTCGATACTAGGTATGGGGCTCAAAGCATCATTTCCCTAAAGCTTGGTGACCCGCAACGCAGCCTGACTATCCAGGTACGGTGTACATAACAGCCCGTCAAATACATCCAGAAATCACGATCAGTAGCAGGCTCACATGATCCAATACCGCGTCCAAAAAACAATCCATTGTCCCTTCCGCAGGTTAGTGTTGGTGATGTTCGTAATTGCCAATTTTGGAGGGCTGCTACTTTCAAATGGTTTGTTTAGGACCGGGGTTATTTCCAGGAGGGAAATCCTACCAAGCAGTTATTTGGACAGGCGTGACCAGCCCCGAAATGGAGAGAATTCAAAATTCCACTCTGCGGCTCTGGCACCGTTATTAAGGGAATGAGGTGCGGATTTTGAGTACAGGAAGTCAATGAAGACCTCTTCCCGTCCTTTGAGTTTTCTCTTACGTTAACAGCATTCCCAGCCAGCCAGACCTCTATCACGCCATCCCTTGTTGGCTAGCTGAGCAAAGTCTGGAACGAATGTCTAATTAATATACCGCAAGCGAAAAGATTTCAAGGATACTGAGGACAATGATGCGAGCTTGGTTGCTTGAAGCATTTAACGAGCCATACCAGCTCCGCGATATTCCCAAACCCTCGAGCCCCAGTGGCCCAGATGTTCTGGTCCAAGTACTGGCCGCGTCGTACTGCCACACCGACGCAGTGCTGGCTTCCGGATCACGCTGGCCAAATCTCCCTCGCGTTGGATCCCACGAAGTCAGCGGGAAGATTATCGCACTTGGGCCCGACGTGGACCCTTCTAGGGAACTAAGAGTAGGCGACTGCGTTGGAGTGCCTGCGCGGGCCTACCATCCGTGCGGAAAGTGTTTCGAGTGTCGGAACACAGGTGGCGATCCCGTGGGATACAGTGTTTATTGCCCTAAGGCAACCCACTTCGGCCTTTCACACGACGGTGGCTTCCAAGAGTATGCACTGGCAGATTCGCGGCAGGTGGTGCGCATTCCGAGCGGGCTAAGCGCTGTCGACGCGGCGCCTTTGATGTGCGCTGGACTGACCATGTGGAACGCATTAGCAAGAGTGGGCATATCTATGGAGGAAGGAGGTGGGAAGGGCTTTAAAGTTGCTATTATGGGAGCTGGTGGTGGGTTAGGTCACTTGGGCATTCAATTCGCTTCGAAGCTCGGTTGCGATGTGGTTGCCGTTGACGCAGCCACTGAAGGTGTACGACTGGCAGAAGAGATCGCATCGAATATCGAACATGAGGATGAAAAGAGAGGCTATGGGAAGATTACCGTTGTCGATGCGCGGTACGACACTGCTGAAACGGTTCGTCAAAGCATCTGTGGCCCAGTGGAAAAGGGGCTTGAAGGCGAGAGTGGCCTGGATGGTGCCGTGATACTGCCTGACAGCCAGGCTTCGCTGGACTTTGCCATGAAACTCCTCAAAAACCACTCCACTGTCGGCGTTGTTAGCTTTCCAAAGAACGGGTTTCGCGTCGATGCCCAAAACCTCATCTTTCGAGACATCAAACTTATCGGTGTTCTAGTCGCCCGAGCATGGCAAGTGCAGGATATGGTGAACTTTGCGGCAAAGCATCACATCAAGCCAAGCTGCAAGACGTACCCTTTTGAGAAAGTCAACGATTTAGTGGCGGACTACCACAAGGGAGTAGGTGGGAAACTGGTCGTCGACATGGCGCTCTGAAGAGTAGTTCATGCAATAAATAGGCTGTCTACCATGTTGGAAGCAGTCAGTGCGCTGGTAAGATCTAGCAGTGGCTCAGATATACAGCCGTATTCCTGGGAGTAAGTATTTGCGGGAAAGCATGGTTGGAGTGGCGCGGGATAGCCAGGGCAGGCAAGAGATGACTGTAGCTGGATGACAGCATTCAAATCGAGTTGGAAAACAGGCACTCCCTTGGTCCTCGTTTTCTACAATGGATTTTATCACAACCCAAGCCCCCGTGTTCTCAGGCGTGCCCTGCTGCCATTGCACAATCCAAGAGGTTGACTGACTTCAAACTCTGGCGCTGCTGGAATCATTTGACACCGCAAGAGTCGATATCAGAAGCAGTCGTATCTAGATTATAGTGACTGCCCGACGATCAGGGTCTGTATGTCGTTCTGCCAGAGAAACAGAGTAGTACTCCAGACTGTTCTATACTGCTTCGATCGATGGCTGACCATCGTTGTCTCCACCACCGGGCTCCGGACGAGTCCGCAAGTCGATCGTTACCATGTATTCTTCTGATTGGCGAGCGGGCATGTGGGTGAAGAGCCCCGAACTGGAGTCTCACGAGTCTCCAAGTTGGGGCCAGTAATTCTGTAGACGGATGCAACCGCTGCGGAGCATGCAGCGTATAGCGGTCACATACAGCGTATTCAAGGCGCGCTCTCGTGTCAGCGATAGACATAGGACTATTTTATCGATATATACTTTGCCCGAGAGAAGATGGAAATCTAATTTTAGTTCCCGAGTCTATCTCGCAGTATCAATTCTTCTTGCAGCTGCAAAACTTCACTATAGCCATGGAGTACCATCCCTCCCTCTTGCTCGCAGTGGTCGTGGTGGCCGTCCTGGCCCTCAAGTACTTCAATCAGACGGACATTCCCAAGATCAAGGGGTTGCCAGAGATTCCTGGAGTACCCATTTTTGGTTCTCTTCTGAAGCTGGGTGATAGCCATGCACGGGCATGTGCTCAACTGGTACCCAAGTATGGTCCCGTGTTCCAGGTGCGACTTGGGAATCGGGTAAGTATCGAACTGAGGACATACCTAGTTTGCAATTGATTGCTGTCGACTGACCTATCAGCGAGTTATTTTTGCCAATTCATTCCAAGCGGTGAAAGATCTGTGGATTGGCCATCACGCCGCTATGATATCCCGTCCAACGTTCTGGACCTTTCACAAGGCGGTCTCGAAAAACGACGTATTCACTTTGGGCACTTCACCCTGGAATGACTCGGTCAAAGTGGTACGAAAGATGGCGTCAACGGCCATCAATCGGAGGGCTGTACAGACATATCTGCCTCTAATCGACCTTGAATGTACGACGAGCCTCAAGGAAATATTGGACAATTCCGAGCACGGCGATATTAACCCTAATGGGTACTTTCAGAGATTCTCACTCAATATTAGTCTGCGTTTGAACTACGGATTCCGCATCAAAGGCTCGGTTCAGGACAAAATGCTCAATGAAGTCGTTGACGTCGAGCGCGAGCTGGGACTTCTCCGTGGCTCGGCGCACTGCTGGCAGGATTACATACCGATCTTGCGCTTGTGGCCGCGATATCGAGCTCATGCAAAAACTCTGGCTGCGAGGCGAGACGAATATATCTTGTCGTTTCTGGATGAGCTGAAACGACGAATGGAGAATGGCACAGACAATCCATGCATTACGGGCAATGTATTGAGAGACCCAGAGGCCAAGCTTACTGATGGTGAGTAAATTGATCCCATGTCCGATCTTCTCGGTGGGTGCTTACAGGAGACTTTTAGGACAGTTGAAGACTTGTTGTCTGACCATGGTTGCCGCCGGTCTTGATACGTTACCATCCAACATCAATCTAATGATCGCATATCTTGGTTCTCCGCACGGTCAAGAAATACAAGCTCGAGCTTACGAAGAACTGACCAAGACATACCCTGACGGAGACGGTTGGCACGCGTGTAAAGAGGCCGAAACGTGCGAATACTTGGTGTCTTTCATCAAGGAAATGCTTCGATATTGGAGTACATTGAATCTGGCCTTTACTCGCGAGACTGTCAAGCCTATCGAATACAAAGGGGCCGTGATTCCCGCGGGCACTCCTATGTTCTTGGTAAGGACTAACTTCTTCAACGGATGGCATCAGCGGCCCTGGCTAATGGTTCTAGAACACGTATGCTGCCAACCATGACCCTACTCACTTTAAGGACCCTGAATCCTTCATCCCAGAGCGATTCATGGGCCAAGAGACGGTCGGCGGTGGCATACAGCAGATGGCATATGGAGCTGGGGCCAGACAATGCGAAGGAGCTCATCTGGCCAACCGGCAGCTTTACATCATCTTTACACGGTTATTCCTGGGCTTCCGCATCTACGAGACAAGTGATCTTTCTGCGCGACCGATTTTAGATCCTATCGAGTGCAGCATGGACAAGACTGGCTTGGTGTCGATCCCGAGAGCGTTCAAGGTTCGGTTTGTGCCTCGTAGCCGGCCACAATTGGAGAAGTGGATTCACGAGTCTTTGGTTGCCACCGAGTCGTTTGATGTATGAGTGACGATGAAGGATGTGGACGGATGCACGAAGCAAGAGAAAGCATATATTGAATGCTTGTCGGTGTATCTTGTCTTACCTAAGTGCGTATATCAACTTTAGCAACACACGATCGACAGAGACTGGTGCAGACGTACATTAGTGATCTACGAAAACTATGCCTAATCTCCTTGCAAGTGTGAAATGCTCGTTCGACCAGGAACCAAGGATGGTGAACCAAGGCTCGACACAGCCATCAGGCGACGTGTAGCAACCGATGCTCCGGCTTATGGCGGGATCAGCCACACTAAGACTCGCACGAGTATGGACCAACCCGAAATCTTGATCGAGCCAACGATGTCGGCCCTATCAGCCGCTCATGTTCTCGCCTCGCCGAGGTGTTCTGGGCGAGACTCTGGGGCATTGCGGGGCAGTCGCCGGTCTCTTGCATAAGACTATAAGATTATTATGTCGCTGGAGACGCGCCCCGTCGATACTCTATGTCCTCTCCCAACCCACTCAACCTTTACCAGCGCAACGCCCGAATGAAGAAGTACCAGTGCTCACGATGCCCCCGGCAATTTGGTCGGCTCGAGCATCTCAAACGACACGATCGATCTCGTAAGATGTCTGACCCTCGCAGCTGAACGCATATACTAAGTGCAATGTGCAGACACAAAAGAAAAGCCATACGCATGCACGAAATGTGATAGTGCGTTTACACGACAGTATGATCTAGTCTGTGGCCGTCGACAACTGCTGACGGATCTACCAAAGTGATCTCCTTACTCGCCACAATCGATTGACACATGCTTCGCCTGGCGGAGACCGACAGCAGCCACGACAAGCGGCTCAAGGCACTGCTACGGCAGCAATAGCACAAAACACGACCACAGGTAGAGATCAGCTACCATCAACCGTTCTATTGTCAAACAATGCAGCTCTCGCTCCGACCATATCTGATGGAGCTTCTTATGTGCAACCATTTCCTGACATCGACACTTCGATGCCTTCGAGCGATGGCCTGCGCGACTTTTCGGCCTTCGACTTCGCAGTGAAGGATACAGTGCCGGCTCCGGATGTTGATCTGCCCACCCAGATGGACAGTCTCGAAGCCACACAGCAAATCCTTTCTCCGAGTTTCGACCATTTCATGACCATGCCCTACGACTTCATCTACCCGTTGCCACAGATGGATCTCGCTATGCCCGATGTGAGAGCACCGGTAGTCCAACGGGAGTGTCCACCGGAGACAGAGCAAGGACTTTCCAGGTTTGGGTCTCGATTGCCTTGGCTCGAACAGACGACTGCATCGGCGGGATCAAGAACCAAGAGTAGCCACGCGGAACAGTCCACGTCGTGTCCTGCGGAGGACGTACCCTCGCCAAACCTCAAATCGAACTTTACATCACATCCTAAGTTGCAAGTCACAAACAAGTGCCGGGAACGGATTGCGTCGGAAATGGACGCCTTCGCGGCTGTGATCTCTCCGCAGCTCGTCCTCCCCACGAAGCACGCACTTGGTCGATTCCTGGCAGGCTATACTATGGGCTTCTACGACCACAACCCGGTCATCCACCTCCCAACCCTCGATCTAGAGGAGGTTTCTTTGGAGCTTTTTCTGGCGTTGACATCCATTGGGGCGCGCTACTGCCGCGAGGAACGCAAAAGCGAGGAGCTTTTCCAAGCAGCAAAGGCAGTGGTGTTCGAACGATTGAAATCAGCGGGCAGTAGCAACGCGGGCATGCACGGCGAAAGCCATCTGACCCCCCGAAACGAGACTCAGCCCGGCCCGAATGATAGATGCCTTACTAACCGAGCTCGACTTCAAGCAGTGCAAGCTCTGTTGACGCTTTTCGGGGCGTCCATCTGGTTCAGCACAAAGGTACCCGCTCGTGCTAGAGACGCCGCCATTCTCCGGAGTTTGCTGGGTGTGATGGTGCACGAGATCAGCACAAGGCCGCCCACGGAACAACTCGGCACTGAATGGGAAACTTGGATCCAGCAAGAAACATTAAAACGAATTCAATTGCATGCCTTTTGCCTGTCAAACATTCAAACAATTGCCTACGATGCGACTCCAGCACTGACCTGGTCGTCCGTCGACCTCCCACTTCCTTGCTCGGAGCGACGCTGGCGAGCAACAGACCAGGCTACCTGGATCCAGGCTCAAGACAACGCCGGAACTGTCAACGCTACTTTGAAGGAGATGGTCAGCCAGCTTTTCCAAGGCGGGACAACCTCGTCGTTCTGTTTCACGTCCTTTGGGGGCTATGTGCTCATTCATGCAATCCTTCAGCACATCTGGCTCCTTTATCAGACCGCACAAATACGCCCAGGGGGCCCAGTGCTGCAGAGTGCGGATTGTGCTTTGATAGAGCAGGCCCTTCGTCGATGGTGCATTGGTTGGGAACAAAACAAGGAATCGTCCATGGATCCTATCAGTCCCAATGGGCCCCTGGCATTTACATCGACAGCCTTGTTGCGGCTGGCCTATATTCAAATTAGCGTCAGCCCTAAACTGACACCGCTTTTGAGCGCATGGAACCCGACAGAGATTGCGCGACTCCTCAGTAATATATCACCCATCCAACGAAGTGACCGTGTTACAACCGCGGTCCTTCACTGCGCCCATGCGCTCAGTATACCCGCGAAGCTTGGTATTGAATTTGTTGCCCACACAATGTCCTTTTTCTGGTCCAACCAGCATGCGCTTTGTGCTTTGGAATCGGCAATGCTGTTGTCGAAGTGGCTGGAAGCTGTAACGGTCGTGAATCCCCAGCCGCCATTGACGGATGCTGAGGTTCAGCTCCTTCAGTTTGTCAATGAGATTTTGGCGGAGACTGAGCAGGAGCCTGCCCTCGAACATCTCGGTGCGACCAGTGTACGCCTCAATTCCCTCGTGGTGCGAGTATGGGCGAAAATATTTCGTGCCGGTAGCGTCTGGGATTTTGTCGATCTTGTAGGAGACTCTTTGGAGGAATATGCAGATCTGCTGGACAGTCAGTAGCTTGGTTGGCTATAATAATAATCTGAGCGGGGCACAAACAGTCAGAGCTGTTCATCGACTGTTTTGCTAGCACGATATCCTGCCGTCCAGGTCGTGCTCGGGCGATATCGCTCAATTGGAGTCACTCCACATCGTCGGACTGAGAACCACATGAGGGAATGTCAAAGCGCGCAAACGTGGACGGACGGTCGCCAGTGCACACACGAGTCAAGCCCAAAACATCTGTACCTTATTTATATACTCTTCCTCATGTACTTCCGCCTGTGTTACCATTCCTGAATGATCAATGCACAACCATTCCTCCATTTCCGACCACAATTGAGGGGAGCGAAAGAGCAAAACACCCCTAGGATGAAGATCAGGGTGTCAGAAGCCGTCGCACTGGCCGAAGCGGCGCTGCAAAAGATGGGATACAAGCCCCATGATGCCACGATCACCGCACGACACCTCATAGACAGCGAGCTCCGAGGCTTTGGCGCCGCGGGTCTTGCTCGCGTGTTGAGTATCCGCGATCGCCTGAGAGAGAAGGGGCTGAAGGACGAGATCACGAAGACCCTCGAGAGTCCTTCGACGGCGCAGCTGAACGGGCACGACAGTCTAGGCTACCTGGTGGCACAGAAAGCCACGGAAATCGCGATCCAGAAAGCCAAACAGACTGGAGTGGCGGTCGTGGGCGCGAGTGATACGTGGTACACGGGCATGCTCGCCTATTACGCCGAGCAGGCCGCCAGAGAGGACTTGGTCACCGTCATTGCCTCCAACGCAAGCCCCTGGGTAGCACCGTCTGATGGCTACAAGCCCATGTTTGGCACAAACCCCTTCTGTGTCGGGTTTCCCTCCGGCACTGGCACCCCGGTCATCTACGACGTGGGCACGTCCAAGATCCTGCACGCCGACATCCTTCTTGCGCAGCGCCTTGGAGAGCCGCTGCCCCCGGATTCAGCCTACGACTCCGCTGGCCGGGTGACGAGGGACCCTATAGAGGCACTGCAAGGCGCCATTGCCGTGTGGGGTGGCCACCGCGGCTCGGGTCTGGCCATCACAGTGCAGCTGCTAGGCGCTTTGGCCGGCTCGCCTGCTCTGCCGGGGAACCTGGAGGAGTTTGGGTTCTTGATCATTGCCATCAATCCGGCCATGTTCAGGCCCATTGACGAGTTCAAGGCCGAGATCGACGCCTATTCCGCCAAGCTTCGACAGAGTCCTCCTCTGCCCGGCAAGGGGCCGCTGAGAATGCCTTACGAACGCTCAGCTGCAGTGCGAGCAAGGGCGGTAGAGAGCGGCGAATTCGAGGTTCAGGATGAGATTGTGGACATGTTGCGCCGGATGATCAATTCAGAGGGGCCACGGGCATCGATTTGAATACAGCCACTCGGGCATCGAGGAGATGACGTAGCTGGCAGCCTTGAATATGCCTATCAAAGGAAGAATAGCACGTGTTTATAGGAGGATGTGGGTAGCATAAGCTGCGTACTCGGTAGAGGGATGGGGACAATGAGGCCTCCTGGAACGGGTTTCATTGCTTAGCTCAGATCTGAAATGACCGATCAGCAACCGCCGTGACAAATATACTCTTACCTGTGTTGGAATCTGCCTGCAGACCTGTATTGCCGTCAACCACACGGTAAAACGACCCCTGAGTAGGTCGCATTCTGTGTCCTTTGGACAAGTGGGATGCTGGCGGGGCCACGAGGCTGACACTAACTCGCGATCTGATGCCCCGACTTGGAGACAATGAAACGGCGTCCCGTACATTCAATTGGCCAAGGACCGCCTCCAACGTCACAAATTATCTTATTGAACGGGGCTTCTTCTTGGGCCAGGCTTCAGAGTGGATTTTCGTTGGTTGCCATCTTTGAAGCCCGGCCGAGGGAAACAATAGTGTAAACAACGTGCTGGTACTCTGTCAACATACGCAAGATGATCATCACCTTTGACGAGTCGGGGATGCTCTGGCAGTCTTGCAAAAAGTGCATGTAGAATCTATCTGTTATTCCAGCGGTGTTACTGAAAGCGCTCGAGCCCTCACCGCACCACCACCACGACTGCCAAGCTTGGTGAATTCAACATTTGAAGGCGGCAGTGGATGAAAAGGACGGACTCGATAGCAGAGAGCAGCCGGACAGAATTGGTCTCAAAACATATGAGCTAGATCCAGAACAGGTGGCTGGAAAGTGGTCGGAAACCACAGATTTACAGGTTTACAGAAACATCTCTAGGTACAGCATATAAAGCTTATTGTTGACTGCTAGGCAAAGAGTACAATTCCAAGTATGTGTGAGAAGATGTTCTTCAGTCTCTAAATCTTCTTCATTCCTTGACACCGCGAGTCTTATGGACGACCGAGACATGTTGTCAATTGGTGCTTTCATCCTCATCACCGTCGTGGGGAATCACAATCGCGTCAGTGAATGATTTCTTCTGAACCCGAAAGATGGCATCAGATACCCATAGTCGCGAGCGTTTTGGCCTTGTCTGGAGGGCATGCGGAGGTCTCTCTGCTTCGCCTCTTTGATCAAGTCCAACGTTGACGATACTTGTGGGCGTCAGTGTAGGCCATCTTCGGGCTCCTTGCTGAGGGCGCTCGTTCATTGTTGTGGGAGTGCTGTTGGAATTAGGCATCGTCTGCTTGTCCGCCATGGTGCAAGTCGATTTCGTGATGTGCCAGGGATTTACAAAATCTGTGCCTGGGAAACCAGGTATCGGAGGGCTTGCAGGATGGCTTTGTCTCTTCTCCATGGGGCATAATCTGCCTCCTGCGTCACAATCCATCAGATTGAGAAACTCCCTCTCGTTTGCTGTAGAGCCATTTGAATTTCTCGCTTGCGTGGGATCCAGCTTGGCTTCTTCATCGCGAGAAGAATTGGCATTCCACAGCTCTTGGAATTCGTCCTCGTCCACAATCATCCCAAAAGAGTCAATCAGACGTAACGAAGCCGCAAACTCGTCCTCATCGACATCTTTCCAAGAGTGCTTCGGCAGAGATTCATCGATTGTGGAAATTCTTCGTGATATGGTCGGGAGATCCGTCTGGCCACCCCCTGTTCCACAGCCGAATACCTCCTGGCTGAGCATCTCACCACTTGAATGTTCCTGGTTGGGATTGCTCATTCTAGACGGCTGAAAGACAGAGAAATCATTTGAGTGGAAGGTAACTCTCCAGGGCTGTTCTCCCTGGTTCGGGGTCATGCCTTATGTGTAGCAATGTTGACCCACTTGCGTTTTAGGAATGGGGGTCCGCATTTGGGACTCTCGAACGGCCTTTCGCGGGTGAAGATGAACGTGTACGACACCCAACAGATGCCTCTGAGCATTCATGACGCAATCGCATTAGCCAGAGCCTCACGGCCCAAGGCCAGAGGTCTTCCTCGTTACCAATACCATTGGTGACTGACAGGAATAGCCCAATTGGGAAGGTGCACAACCCTCTAACCCCAACCTTGAAATAGCCCCAATTCGGTCTATCGGCTTTGTCCGCCTCGTCGACCGCAAGGCTATTTGCCGGAGGTAGTTGCGATCGGATGACTCAACGATGGCTCAAGCAACAACAAATTGATTCTAATAAAACACACAATATGGACCGGTCTTCGGATCAGCTGCTGGAATCAGCGCTCAAGGTCGTGGAGCTGTCTGTGGCCAACCGTCAAGGAATTTCTGACCAGCCGATTGTGAAAATCACCCAACCTGAAGTTGCGCAGCGATTTTCGAATCTTGCAAAACCCCGACGCCAACCTACTCCGATCGACACGATCCTGGAAGATGCACGAGACGTGTTCGACCACCGCATCAGGATGGATCATCCGAGATTCTTTGGGTTCATACCATCCCCCGCGTCCGACTGGTCTTGGCTGGGGGAGGTTCTCAATTCAGCGTTCAACACGCATGCTGGCAGTTGGTTTCAGAGCTCTGGGCCAAGCGCAATTGAGCAATCTCTGATATCTTGGTTGGCTCAAGACTTGCTCGGCTTTCCCCCGACTGCCGGTGGCTGTTTTGTTTCGGGCGGATCGATGGCAAATCTGTCGGCGCTCATGGTGGCGCGGGATCAGAAGCTCGATTTCGAAGAGAGGGCGAGGGCCATCGTATACACTTCCGAGCAAACTCATTCCTCCATCGCGAAAGGTCTCCGGATTCTAGGCTTCCACGACAAGCAGATCGCCAAAATTGAGTGCGACCAACGCTATCGCCTCAACACCGCCGCGTTGCAACTCCGGATCGAGGAGGATCGTCGCGCAGGGAAGAAACCCTTTTTAGTTGTGGGTAGCTGCGGTACAACCAACACAGGCAGCGTTGATCCTTTAGAGGAGTTGGCCGCGATTGCACAAAAGGAAGATCTATGGTTTCATGTTGATGGAGCCTATGGTGCCTCGGCCGCGCTGTCCAAGTGTCGAAAGTCCTTGATTAAAGGTGTGGAGCTCTGTGATAGCATATCCTGGGATGCACACAAATGGCTCTTCCAGACTTACGGCTGCGGAATGGTGTTGGTTCGCGATCGAAAGCTTTTGATAGATTCGTTCCGGACAGGGGCTGAGTATACCCAGGACGCCTCGGATGGCCCCGAAGAATATCCGAATTTCTGGAATTACACGCCAGAGCTGACGCGCCCGGCAAGAGCTATGAAGATGTGGTTCTCCTTGCAAGCGTTGGGGCTCGATGCGGTTGAAAATGCCATCGAACATGCATTCGAATTAGCGGAAACAGCGCAAGTTGCTTTGGAAAAGCTTGAATGCTGGCAAGTTCTGTCCCCTGCGCAGATGGGCATTGTCTGTTTCCGATACGAACCTCCTGGGCTCGATGAAGCCGCCTTGGAGACCCTCAACAAGGACATATCTAGGATCGCGATCGAGGACAATGTGGCGGCAGCATTGACTACGCGGTTATTGGGGAAACTCGTGATAAGGATCTGTAGCATGCACCCGGATTTGACGAAGGACGAAATGACGAAGATCATCCTAGACCTGGATCAAATTGCACGAGCACAGATGCAACACCAGAGCGAGAGAGCATAATTAATACTTTAGATTTGATCTGCATCAAGTTAGACCGGCCACGCCACAACAAGTCGAAGTTTCCCATGAATTTGCCTAGTCCATAGTTCTTGGCCGTCTTTCGATGCCTTTCCCGCTTGTTGACAATCTCAGGCTGACGCTGACTTTAGAATGCGGTCGCCGGCGTATTTGCAGGCCTATGGCATGGTCTAGAGCACACGTTGAGAGAATATCATCAACGCCGGCCCAGCCAAACGCTAGCCTTTTGGCTTCTCTCTTTGACAAACGGTGGCCACGGCTGGAACATCAACTTTTTGCTTTGCACTTGCACATAGAACACCTCTTATCGCATCGATATACCGTCCACTTCGTCCTTTATACACCTGTGCGTTTGACAATCGGCTAGATCAGAGACCCAGATTGTTGATACACAGCCACCGATGCAAGAACAATCGCAAAGCATATCATAAAAATCCAGGATGGAGAAATGCTATTCGAGCTGGGGGGAAGTGTGTCCGTTGATTTCGTGGCTGAATTTAACTTTGCCTGCGCATTGTCAGCACCTCAATATCGAATGCGTGGCATGGCGGGCAGACGGTGCATACCTCTTGGAGGAGGTCGCCAATACACATGTCGCTCAGGAGTTTCCGAGCATCGTCGCTGTGGGCGGCATTCTCAAAGAGCTCCGTCACGTCGCTTCCCCCTGTCTCCAACAGCTTTTCGCGGCCACCACTACCGGCAATTAATATCATACAGCATGGGACGGATGGATCTTTGTTTCTTACGGATGGTGGTCGATGAAATCCGTCACGTCGTGTACCTTGCCGTGGACGATCAAATACAGCTCCTTGTTCGACGAGCGTGCATCAACGTCGGAAAGCGTAAATGTTAGCGACATTCTGATGATGGTGACGCTGAAGAATGGCGAACCAAGCCAGCGTGCTCCCCGGGGTTGTCAGATCTGATACTCAAGCGCAAAACACTGCACGTTATTTGCTTGAAGGAGGAAATGTTCATGTATCTGACAAGATTGAAGCGCCGAGAGTGGGCCGCAAAATTGTGCTTCAGTCATGTTACGCTTCGTTAGTGTAATGCAGCAAGAAGTATTCCAGCCGAGGTCAGCAAGGTGCTTTGGCTCTTCGAGTCTCAGCAAGTTCGCTGGCCTACGGCGAAAACAGCGGTTCAGGTAACTGAAAACTATTCTTTTGGCTTGGACCTGGGTGTGTGCAACACGCCCGAAACAACGACTTCATCCCTACGGTTTTCTTACGGCCTCCAAATCGGAGACTTGAGATTACGCAGTGGGGTGACCACCCCAGAACGGTTTCGACGGATATGATTCTTCCGGGATTTTGAGAGGGAGCCCTCTGGTACAATATGTGAATGCGTATTGCCAAAGTGGGCCAAATCATAGCAAAGGTCCGTGTCTGATAACGGCAGAGATGGAGAAAGGGTTATGAGCGACTTCAACAGCGAATACTTAGCTCTCTTTCTTACTTCCAAATTTATGTCTATTCTTGCCTTCTACTTACCCCTTTACACCTATAACCCCTAAACCAACCTCAATATGGCTCCTCGACTACCGACACGGCAACTTGGCAAGAATGGACCTCAAGTCACAGCGCTCGGCTTCGGCGCCATGGGCCTTTCCGCATTCTACAGCACTCCCAAGCCGGACGAAGACCGGTTGGCCCTGCTCGACCACGTCTACGCCTCGGGGGAGCTTTTCTGGGACAGCGCCGACATCTACAAGGACAACGAGGATCTGCTGGGGTTGTGGTTTAGGAAGAACCCGGAGAAGCGCAAAGACATCTTTCTCGCGACCAAGTTCGCTCTGTGGATTGACCCCAAGACGGGCATCAGGCACACGCGCAACGAACCGGAGTACATCAGAGAAGCCATCGACAAGTCGCTAAAGAGGCTTGGTCTGCCGTACGTGGACCTATACTATGCCCACCGGATCGACTCGACTCAACCGATCGAGACGACAGTCACGGTGATGAAGGAATTGAAGGATCAAGGCAAGGTCAAATACCTTGGTCTCAGCGAGTGCAGCTCTGAAACCCTGCGCAGGGCGAGCAAGGTACGGCAAATCTTCGAGATCTATCCTGTTTCGAAGCTAATCCCTCGGGTCTCAGATAGTTCATATCGATGCTGTCCAGATCGAGTACAGCCCTTTCACGCTGGACATTGAGGATCCACAGATTGGCCTCTTGAGAACGTGTCAAGAGCTCGGCACAGCGGTCGTCGCCTACTCGCCGCTCGGCAGGGGCTTCTTGACCGGCGCCCTGAAGAGCCCCGACGATTTTGAGCCCGGGGACTTTCGCGTCAACGCCCCGAGATTCAGCAGGGACAACTTCCCCAAGAACCTCAAACTAGTCGACGACCTCCAGCGCGTGGCGGCCGGCAAGCACTGCACCTCGGGCCAGCTGGTCCTTGCCTGGTTGATGGCGCAATGGAACCACATCATCCCGATCCCCGGCACCACGCAGATCAAAAACTTTGACGAGAACATCGGGGCGCTCGAGGTCACTCTGACCGAGGAGGAGAGCCGGCGGATCAGGGGCATGATCGAGGCCGCTGAAGTCTACGGTCACCGGTACGCCGAGGCGGCCGCCAAAGGATTGTTTGCGGATACTGTGCCGTTGGAGACGTAGATGACGGAGGCACAATCCAGTGATTGCCGTTAACATGGCTCGGGGAAGTTGTAAATTCCAGAGCAAATAATCGAAACATACATGTCCTAAAAGCTCACAGGCTTGGCTGGACCTGCTCGCTTCGTCTTTGTGCAAATCTTTCAGCTTTCGGTGAGTATCTTGCCTACCGCACGCCATCCGTATGTGTCCAGAGCCTTGTGCTGAGACTCGTATCCCTACCTCATCCCCAGTGCGCATGAATCGCCCTTCGGGGAGTTCTGCAGAGGTTTCCCTCGTCACGGAGTCGTTCGCTAGATGCACAGTGTGGTCGTGTGGTTCTGTGTGCTTTGGGGCTATTCTGGTCAAGCACGACGAACTGTACGGTCGCCCCAAAAGGCGCTCTTGGAGACGTTCGATTGTGACGAATACGACTTGTTCCTCCGGAGCTGAAATGAACCAGTAAATCACGACTCCGATTTGGGGCTCTCTGCTGACACAAAGCAGTGCGTCGGTTCGGGCGGAGGTGGCACCAACCAAGCTAACCATTCTTGGCCACCCAGGGTCATGAGTCGTGTAGATCATGTCGAGACGGGCCTTGAAGTTCTAGTCGCGATTAGGGCTAAGCATGTGCGAGGGAGCATTCGTAAATAATCATACGCTGTAACTGCCAGAAATCGGAAAGGATCGGTTGGCGTACGGAGAGATGGTTGGACTGGAATGCCATTGTGAGATATCGCGAGACTCGATTGTCCAGCGTGAGAGAAGAGGATATCCTAAACCACTTTTGAGGTTTTACAGGCAGTTCACCACATCGTCTATAGTTTTCAGCCACCAGCTCCACAGCATCCAGTCGTCGACACTATATACACACTTTTCCACGAGAACAGTTGGGAAAACTGATGCAATATCCTCATGCATCCTCGACAGGAGTCTCCCGGCGCTCTTGTGCCAATTTCCTCGCTCGCTTTCCCTTGAACCTGATGCTGAGATCGCCCACTGGAAGAGTCAAGGGGAAGTCGACAGCCTCCAGAAGGATGGTGAAGAGCAAGTAGAATGCCAACATGGATATAATGAATGTAACGACACCAGCTCCCTTTTCCAAAGTGTAGGTTAGAGAATGTTCATAGAAAATGTGAGTGGCTCACCTTAAGTAAATTCTCTCCGCGCGGAACTGCACCGTCTGCCAAACTCCAGTACGCCGCTGCGAGAAGCTCTGTCACAATGATGATGAGCAGGAACAAAGTGACAAAGACGACGTTCGTGCGCAGAGAGCAGACAAGGAATATCAGTATGATGACACCGAAGAATGCGAGGACATAGGCTGAAGGCTCAACGCATCAGTATCCAGACCATTTGTGGTGCTTTCGTGGACGAGTCAGGATGGCCACAGGATTTACACATACCGTAGCTCGCGTAAAAGTCTGCCGGGTCGTCGGCTTGGGGAATGACGAGTTGCTCGGTTACACCCAGAGCCAGCCAAAATGCTCCTGCTCGCTGAAGTTAGGAATATTCCCAGGTGTTACTGGCCATACTGCTGTATAGCGATGCTGCTTGGCGGCTCGATGCAGAACTCACCGAATGTTCCGAAAACGATGCAGGGGAAGGTGTTCGCCAGAAAGAACTCCAGGAGACACGCAATGAGCTGGATCGTTCCGCCGAAGAAGTAGAGTACACCTCTGATAAGCAGCTTATTAGTGAAAAGCCTCCGAAAGAACGTCTCGAGACAATGCTCAAAGGAGAAACGGTGAACGGTCGCGTACGTCAATGCTCCGATATCAGAAGCACCCCGCCAGCCCATCAAGATGCAAGCGAAAGGACTGGTTGTCATGACAAACCCTACTAGACCTCTGCAAGATCAAGTCAGCAAGCGCCTCTTTACCCACATCGAACAACAGTATACTCACAATGGGGTGGGATTGGCAAAGGTTGACCTCAAGTGGCCTCTGGCAGGCAGCTGGGGGGTCAGATAGAGCTTTTCGAAGACATCCTTCGGGATCATTATGGACGCGTTTGTATCTTGCCTGTCCAAGGGATGGTCGGTGGCATTGATCTCAATTGCGTCCGCCTTTAGGGAAGGAGTCATGATGTTTGAAGTGCTCGAGGAGTAAGGGAGGCGCGACTGTATTTTCTGTCGAGGAAGAGTACTGAACGAGAACACGACCCTCTGGCTTCTCTCTCCGCTTCGACATTATTTAAGAGAATTGTTCGGTGGGCTTGGCTTCTTGGACTATTGATGGCGACTGTAAACAATACAGAAGTGACCCCAATTCGGGAAAGGGTACCAGGTACCGGGCGGTCACGTATTCCTGCTGTCGTTGTAAGAAGTCGGGGGTGGAGAAGAAATGTGGAGGCGGAGAAGTCTGGGCACAGCAAGGAGAAGAGAGCCCAGATCCTTCATATCTGACAAATGCTGAAGTCGGGGTTTCGCTCGAATTCCCCCTATCCTGGGTCCGTTGGGGCCAGATCGATAATTCAAAAGGGCATTCTCGAGTCTTGATATAGTGCTGACAGTCGTTACATAATATTAAGTATAGAAATGAGCAGCAGATCAGTATGTCGTGACTGGAAGTGACGCGGTTGGATCTGCACATCTTGATTTGCAACTCTGGTATGTACAGGTCCAACAGATGGGAGAGTCCATCCACTTCATCTCCTTCAGACGCGTATCACACGTCTCCAGCTACCGGCAAGTGGGTGAATAGAGACTGGAAGCGGTCCAGGTATATACATAGACGTGTTCCAGAAAGGAAACAGAGATCCCACCCGCCAAAAATCACACATTGACCCCGTCTCGTCCTGATTGCAGCGTGGCAAATCCAGGATCTCCCCGTCATTTTGTCTCCCTCACACGGACCTCCATTGATTACTTCTTCACACAGCACCACCAGGCCAGGGCACGTCCTTGACACCCGCGCCCCAGTTATCGTTCCGCCCGTCGACATAGCGCATCTTGAACTGGCTCAAGTCGAGACCGTCCTGGGGTTGGTCGAGGGTGACGGCGTTGATGGAGAAGAATTCGTGCATGGTCCCGGAGCCCGGAGGGAACTCGAACTTGCCCTCGCCGCAGACGTGGATGCCACACGTGCCGCAGAAGTACTTGTGGATGTCTGGGGATCGGAACTGGTAGTCCCGTGCCTCGGAGAGCGACGCGGGCGAGAGCAGCGTGAAGTCCTCGCGTGGGAGGCGGATGCCCGTGAATCCCTGTTTCACGCAGATGGTGCAGTTGCAGCGGCCGGCGGTGGGCGGGTCGGTCAGGGCGAGGGCTGCTTCGTATTTGATGAAGCCACAGTGGCAGGAGCCCTTGAACGTCTTCTTCTCCCCTGTTGGCACACTCATGTTTTCCGCCATGGGAGAATCCACAGGGTCGCTGGCAGGAGCGGGATTGCTGGTGTGATGCGCACCTAATATGTCAATTAGAGCTTCAAGTTGAGGAGATCTGAACACACCCCTTACAGCAAAGGATCGCTCAGGTATAAATAGCTAAGGCCGAATGAGTATCTGGTGTATATCTACGGCACTCGGTTCACTCTGACGTATTGGATCGGGTTTAGTGGAAGGCAGACACGCTCTTAGCCCATTGGTGCCTGAGAGCTTGACTCAAAGGAGAATAGCGTCTTCGAGTTAGTTACGAGTACGAGCGTCTAGACCTCTAAACCCAGGGGCATTGAGGGAGTAGTTAATACGAGTTCGTGATGTTGAGAGGTACTACAGAGACTTGCAAAACCGGTTTCCTCCCTGCGCATATTCTTTAATATTCTCTGTTCTGGAGTGGAGCAGGCCGGTATCCACATTCTCCCAGATCAATTTAAGTCTGGTCAGCAATCATCTCTAGCTGTTACCGCCGGCCATACAGTCCATTACGTCTCTCAATATACTGGGGGTTGTCTTGACAAATATATTTTTTGGGCTAGCAATCACGTGCTCTAACACGTTTGTCTCGCGCTACACTATTTAACAGCTATATCGACATCGCGTCGGAGCTGCTATTTTCCGGGCTAAAGAACAATCCGTCAGCCCATTTTCTTACCACCACCATTGGTGGCATGGCCACACTTGACGCTCGAAATGCCATGTCGCTGTAGATACAGTAGTGTAACGTTACCCTTCAGGTCGTGCCTTCTTTACTTCTAAGATCGACGGAAGTATTTCTGGATCTTCAACAACGGCGTTTTCTTAGTGTTCCTTGTTAGTGCGCTAGAAGTCCGGGTCTCTAGAGTGAGGAATTAGTGTCCTTTCGCGGTGAAAATGACCGGTAGGGAGTCCATACCTTACTGGAGATCTACGGATTTGATAGCACTCTCAAGTTGTCTACACCGCTCATGGGATGAGCCTAGAACATGCCGAAGACCAACTAGTGCTCGTTGAAAGAACTCCGTCGCCTCCTTTGGTCGGCCTCGAAGAACCAGCAGCCGAGCAAGATTCTCATAGGTGTTCAGTGTAGGAGGATATTGTTTTACGAGGCCCGTGCCTAAAGCATTCTCGTAGCCTCGTAGCGCTCGCTCGTACATCTCTTCCGCCTCCTTAAGCTTCCCTTGATC